ACGTTTGCAATGTTTTTTATTGGTGGGGCAGAATCGGTCGTTTGCTGGCTTCCATGGCTGCAATACGCCATTTTCCGCCAACTGGTGTCGAAATACCATTGGGTAAATTGGCAGTGTGCAGGATCAAACAGACCAAAAAAAAAAAAAAACAGATATTCTGAAACACAATGCATATTTCAAAGTAGATTGACAGGCCGTAGCATTGTATTTGGATAAACAAGTACTTGAACTAAGCTTGTTTGCTACATCCCTGCAAACATACTACGGTAATTTTTTATGATTTGGTGCGGTAAAAAAAGACAAACAGCACCTTTAAGAGATATGTTGTTGTTGAAAATGAAAGTAAAAGAGGGACATCTATTACTGTGAAATAAGAGTTTGTGTCTTTATTAAAATCAACACATGATGATTTATCTCACCCACCCGTGACCCATACGCTAAATTAATTGGAATGTTATTTTTTTATTACTTGGCCCGCCCAACCCGAGGATGATCCACAGTGTCCGCGGATATAACCGTGATCTGCGCATCATGTGCATTAAAACCTGCAGACTTACTACTTTCCATCGTTCCTTCACCAGAATGCCCGTGGTCAGAATGTCTGTCTGCTCCTGCCCCGCGCTCATCCTGTCTGTGGTCTGATCCGTGCTCGTCCCCTAACACCAGTGACAGGGGCCTCGGTCTGGCATTGGAGCCCGGTGGTGCCCGCTGGACACAGAAAAGAAAAGAGCATTGTGTTAAAGTTGCTTGTTGTACTGTTACCACACTTACAATGCACAATCCGTGGCTTCTTATTCCATCATAAAAACTGCTGTAGTCCCATACCTGTTCAGCCAGGTGACAATTGTGCTGATATTCAGACCAACAGAGGGACTTAGAGGGTTTTATTGCTTTTATACAATAGTTTTAAGGTGTAAGTTGGATGTTTCATCATAACACATCGCCTTATGTCGATTCTCTTAGCCAGCAATATGATAGTGATCTCTCAAAACATGCAGTAATATAACTTGAAGGGGCCCGTGATCGTAATATCGACATTACTATATTATGCACCCATTTTACACAACCAGTTACATTTTTTATTTATTCACAAAGGCAACTCTGAAAAATGTGAATCACAATTAGGACATCCACAACAAAAAATACACTTTAATTTTTACAATAATATAGTAAAGTTAATCATGAAAAAGTCACACCTGAGATTAATTGTCTGATGACAACTTATCACTAGCTTGTGCAATACGATAAGTGACATCTCTTGAGAAATAAACACAAAAATGAATATAAAAAAGACATACAAAATAAAAGTTAAAACAACAACTGTCTTCATATATTTAATATATTTTTATAAGTAAAAAAAAAAAAGTCCTTTCTTTAAAAACAGCGCATGTGAGAGGAGTGGAGGACAGAGATTTCCCTTCCCACACAGCAAGCATCTGTAATCACTCTGCTCCAACTCCACTCCGGGTTTTCCATGTCATGCATGCTAATTTACAATGGTCTGGAACACAGATAATACAGCGAAAAATCCAAGGCTGTGTCTGAAATCGCTTCCTATCCCTTAAATAGGGCACTATCTAGTGCACTCATTCAATCCCACAGTGCACCACCACAATGAGTGTACAACCATATGGCTGGATTCCAAATGGCACTCTTCATGTTGACTCGCAGTCTTGTGGCCTTAAATTGCGTGTGCTCGCCAAGTGTATGAGTCTGTCAGTATGTTGTCCCATTCGGCATTTCAGTGCTCAGAAGTGTGCTCGCGAGCGCTGCCTTTGTGCCCCTGATGCGGACTTAGGCAAAGTAAGTAAGTAAGTAAGTAAAATTTATTTGTATAGCACTTTTCTCAGATGAAGATCACAAAGTGCTTCACAACAAATGAAAGCATACAACTCTCATAAATACATTGCATCACAAAACAAAATAAAAGCCCCGCACTTTCGCACCCTCCACACGAGTCACCTACCTAGGAATCATTGCGAAGTTGCGAACACACAATCGGATAAATGAGGGTACGTGTTACATGGCTGTTTGACTTTTGTGGCATGTTCATCAAGCCTGTCCCAAAATAAACTCTCCCGTGCCCTCGTAAACTCGAGCCCAGCGCCAGCAATTTCTGACGTCACCAAGTGTTAACTCGAAGGAGGTCCAAAAGGCCGGAGTGTGCCATTTGGGATTCAGCCAATGTTTCCTCAACGGCTAGAGAATACCCACAATCTCACTGCAGAATGAATTTCCACATCTGGCCAGAAGATGACGCTGAATCATCCATCTATCCATTTTCCAAACCGCTGGTCCAATGTGGGTACAGCGTAATATCATACAGGTATAAATTCCTTTTTAATTGATTATTAAATTGTTTAATTAAGGTTTATACATGCTAGTTTCCATGACAGAGTTCAAAATCAATCTTTTCATTACTACTGGAGCCTGTTTGCTAAGTTTTAAATGATTAAACAGCAAGCACAAACTATGCAAAAGCGGCAGCCCTTCCGCTGAACTCAGAGTCAGAATTCACTCACTTGTTTTCATTCACTCCCTTAAGTGGACTATATTAGTGGAGTAATGTGGGAATAGTGAATGAGGGTATGGGGGGCGATTTTGAACACAGCCCAATTGTGAGGTTCCGAAATATAAACCAATCAAGAACCGAGAAAATTAGACAGTAGCTCTGTGTTGTACTAGTTGCTTTCCTTTAGATAAAAGTCTCAACCAAAAGAAAATGTAATAGTACACAGACATCAGAGAAATTATAATATCTTTAAGAAGCGAGAGATGTCATTTTAACAAGTACTAACGTTACACACATTAACTTACTACGCTAAACTGATCTGTGAAACTAACGTAACAGAGGTGTGCAGATTGTGCGTTTTGTACAATTAACGTTTGTAAGACTCTGAGCTCGATTTGTGTGTGTTTTGCAGAGCTTGTTTAAGTAATTATCCGATCATTTCGTTACACAGCATTTGCTTTTGTCTGCATACAGTGGTTTCATGGTTTCACGAATTTTACCTCCTAATAAAAACATCTGATTATTTTTTCCATTTTTAAATGTTAATATGTCGTCTGTTTTGAGTCTGATCTGTTTTAATGGCAGCGGCCCGCTGTTGAAATGTGATCCGCACCGCTTGATGTGTCTCGTTGCTACAGTGAACACAGATAACAACACATCCACACACAGACACACACTTTACATATCACAAATTGTTCGTTCCAGTGATATGACCTTGAAAACAGTGCTATAACTGCATTATTATGACTGCAGCTGTCACTGACGGCATGCCATAGAGCCCAGTGTCCGTATCCATGTTACTCACCTCAATCCCGATCCTCACAGCGCCGGGTGTGGTTTATAATTCTCATAAAATACGCTTTAAAATCATGTCGAAGACGTCAAATGGTGTAAATACGCGGACAGTTCCTCCATGAGGACGAAATGAGGTGTCATTTGCTCTGACATATGCACAACTGCGCCGTGTTTTTGTAAATGTCCCTATCGCGGTTCCTTCAGCATCTCTGCAGATTCGTGACGTGCTGATCCTTCTGCCTGCATGCGCGCTCGTTCGCGACGCTATCGCCCTTCGCAACAGCAGGCGCGTGCACTAGCATTCCACTCTGAGAGTGCACGTAGATTGTCTGGGCGCGTTCTCGAGAAGTGTTAAAATGTGAGAAAGATCCCTCTTCTGTTTAAACACGGAACAGCACGCAAATCACAGTTTTGTCTGGTTTCTGACTATATAAATAACTATTAAATAATATAGTGTGTTTTGTGTAGCCTAATTAATTACTTAAGTACTTAAGTAATTAATTACTGTAATTTAATTACTTTTCCCTTTAAAAAGTAAAGTAAAGGATTAGGCCTACTCTTAATTTTTCTGTCATTTAATTACAGTTACCAATTTAACATCAAAATGTAACGTCTAATGTTAAAATGTATGTTCTTAATGTCACTTTTCTCCCTTTAAATGCTTTGGTCAGTTCAATAGTAATTTATGCAATTGTATATTATTTATTTAAAACAATTAAACAAGAAGTTACATGTCTATCCTCGCAACTGGTTGAGATTGATATGGTAGTATAAGTAATGCATTACTTTTTAGAGAGAGTAATTAGTTATTAACTTACACTGTTGAAGATTGTAATTAGTAGCTAGTAATTAATTCCTTTTTTATAGTAACTTTCCCAACAACACCGATAATGATCCCTTTTGTAAGAAAGTGTACAAAAATGTACACTGTACACTTATTTTAAGAAAAAAAAACATTTTCTTTTTGGATATAAATTCCAATTCCTGATATCCAATATTGCTATCCATACATAAAATGCCTTGGGAATAATAATAAAGACATAAAAGCATTTCTTCTCATTATTAAATGAGGAGGAGGAGGAAAATTAAGGATATGCTGATATGCATACTGATATATTATACTGATAGAATACTGGGTTCCACTTGCCCTCTTTATTATCTTAGGGATAGTTGACCTGAAAATGAAAACTGTCATATTTACTCACTTACATGTGGTTCCAAACTATATATTTATTTATTCAGCAACACAATTGTCAACACAATTTAAAAAAGAAAATGCTATTTTAGTCCAATTACAGACCACCCAATCGTCCTCAGCATGACATTTCGACATAAATGTCACAGGGCTCAAAGAACCACAGACAGAGAAAAACGAGAATGGAATATTATAAGTTCTCAAATAGGCGGGGCTTAGTAGCCCAGACGTTCTCTAATTGGTCAGGTGTAGGGTCTAAACAAATAATTCGTCGATTTTATGTATATATTTCATATTTATATTTTACTTTTGTTTTAAAATATAACCACTATTAACATATCGCATGGTCATTCCTAAAGTGTAAATTATTGTCCTGACAGCTAAAATAGCCTATCATATCAACGGTGACGGTGACGGTGTCTGTACCTGTTCCTTTTCTCAACGGTACTGAAAATGGGCCAATCACAGGCGTTTGTGATTAATGTACACAAAGAATGAAAAAAAAATGTTTTTACAGATTGATTAGGCAGGTATGCCAGTTAACGTTAGCAGTCGCTTAAAATTACAATTACAAACCTTAATATTTAAATAAAGAAAGACAAACCCCATTTTAGATTTGAATGCGTCTGAATGGAGGATTCGCTGTCTGAGCCATCATGCGCCCCCTTGTAGGGATTTTTGTGCACCATAATACATTTAAAAGTATTAGCGGTTGTCTCCCATTAGAAAGAACATACACCTCGAGTCAGTCTAGTCTGTCAAACTTCCTCTTCATGTCGCGGAATCATGGAGGTGAATGTTCTTTCAACTGAACTTGAGAGGTAACAAGCATTCCTGCAGCATTGAAACGATGGTTATGCATGTGATCATGTAATGTGATCAAAATCACGTTGTTAAAATTGTGAGCGATGTGTGTCTTTATCATCATTGTTGTCATTAAGGACATGTAGCATATGCTTGCAGACTACTTGCAATTATTACAGTAGCCTATTAAAAAAATTGAACTGTACTTAATTATGATGTACCATAACATTACATTACAGTGGCGTTCCGGGTGACGAGTTTAAAGAGAAGTTTAAGAAAAACCATGACATTACATTCTTGAGGTAAGTATTATTATTGTTGTTATTAATAATATCTAGATGCCATTATTTAGGAAATAAGTCTCTTTATTTATTTAGTGAAATAAATTTGACTTTTGATCTCTACAATAGGCGACAGAGAGATAAAGCATGGTCTCAGTACTTTGCCTCCTTGGAGACTTTATTGCTCACAGATAGAGGAGCCAGTCTGGAACTCTGTGAGCGGGACTCTCAGGTGGACTGAGCTCATAGCTCATTCTTTTACTGTTGTCTTGTTAAATTCAAATGATGTAGTTTAAATGATGTAAAATTGGAAGTATCCAAAAATGCAAAATATCATAAAACGTTATCGAAACTATTTATACATCTTCCAGAATCGGCTGAGTCTTCAAATACGGGCAAGCCAAAATGGAACGGTCAGAGTGTCTATTGATGAGCTTCAGCCTCTTAAACAACGCTACCACGTTTCAGACGTTTTGGTTGGAGGGATGAGATATGAGCCGTAAGCCATGAACTTGACAATTCTCTTCACATCTGTCCTAGATCTGCTACTGCCAGGTCTTCATTGTTATGTCTTTGACAGGCTGAGAGTTCATTGGAAGAGAGAGGACTGTGTATGTCTAACTTGGGGTCTGGGAGAGTACCAGTTGCTGGTTTCCTTTTCACCTTTCAAACTAGAGATTTCCTGTGATGGGGAGGAGATTGTCACACTTAACCCAGAGAACAAACTCTACTTTGAGACTCTGCAAGATCCAACTAAGTATGAGGAACAATTTATGAGGACTGTTGTTTTATGTTGTTTTTTTCCCCATTTAACTATATTTAAATTTCTTACAGGTCATCTTCAAATTCATTTCAGGTGAGATTATAGGCTTTAATGTGAACATTTATGATTGAGAGAACTTACTTGTTAGACAAATCATGTTCTTCCATCTCAAAGGGAGATGAAAATCAATGCGGGCTGTGGAAGGAAACTTTCAGACAGTTTGAGGACATCAAGGCAAACGGTAAACCATAATATGCAGAATACAACTCCAGTGTTAAGTTCATCAACTCCAGAATGTTGGTAGCTAGTGAATTCCATTGTATTTTTTCCCCTACTTTGGAAGTCAATGGCTACCGTCAACTGTCTGGTTACCAACATTCTCCAAAATGTTTTCATTGTGTTCTGCAGAAGAGAGAAATTCATACATAGTTTTACATGAGCAAGCACCAGCCACATTCTCTAGTTATTTTATAACATACTCTTAGAAGAAAAGGTTCTATATAGAACGTTAAAAGGTTCTATCAGCGCTACATATTTGGAACCCCTAAAAGGTTCTATACACTCTTAATAAAGGGTTCCTCTGGGTTCTATATAGAACCCTGGGGTTCCATACTTGGCCAATAGAACCTTTTACCATAAAAATGGTTCTATATAGAACCATTTTGGAATTCCATATATGAAGCGGGGGAGGAATTCCATATATGAAGCGGGGGATGGAACCATTTCTGGTTCTAAATAGAATGAGTGCATACTGTATCATTGCTGATGTCTTAAATTCAGGTCCTAGTTCGGTGGGTATGGACTTAAGTCTCCATGGGTTCAACCATACGTATGGTCTTCCTGAACATGCTGATTCCCTGGTGTTGAAGGACACAAGGTAGTGCACTTCATAAAATACTTCAGAGTTTGCTTTCTAAAACGGATGTGGTTGAGACACAGAAGACAAATTGATCAGAATAGACTCTTGCCTAATATGATGTAGTTTTACTTCACAGTGTCTCTGAGGCGTATCGGCTGTACAACTTGGATGTGTTTGGCTATGACATCAATAGCAGGTTGGGTCTTTACGGTTCTGTCCCTGTCCTGATAGCTCACAAGCCAGAGAGGACAGCTGGAGTGTTCTGGCTGAACGCATCTGAGACTCTGGTTGATGTCAAGTACAATTCAAAGCCAAATGAGGTGCAGTTTTATTATTCAATCGACCGTTTGGAAACAATTGCAATATTGTTTGGTGACACTAGTGGGCTAGAAATGACACACTGTAAAGTTTAAATGACTTTCCGATAACAGTTGACCTTGCTAACAAAATAATATTTAAAAACGTTTTGCTAATTTTCCCATTATGTTATGAAGACGTTATTTCTGAATGTTCCCTAAAACATCCAGTTTTAGGGAACATTCAGAAAGAACATTCAGAAATTTTGGGGTGAACTATCCCTTTAACATAAATTTAACCTTAAAAACTGGATGTTTTAGGGAAACATCCCGTTTTTAAGGTTAAATTTATGTTAAAGGGATAGTTCACCCCAAAATAAATATTCTGCCATCATTTACTCACCATAAAGTTGTTCCAAACAGGAATGAGTTTCATTCTTCTGTTGAGCACAAAAGAAGATATTTGTAAGAATATGAGTAACCAAACAGTTTTGGGAAGGCACCATTGACTTCCATAGTGTGAAAAAAAATGTCAATGGCTACAGTCAACTGAAAATATCTTATTTTGTGTTCAACAAAAGAGAGAAATTCATTCAGGTTTGGAACAACATGAGGGTGAGGAAATGATGACAAAATTTTAATTTTTTGTGTGAACTATCTCTTTAAGGGAACATTGACATTCCTTTTGATAGTTTTGCAAACATTATGGGAAACTTTTATTTGATTGTTCTCTGAACGTTCTGAATCAAGTAGTAACATTAGATGAACTTTGAGAGAACCTTGCCAGAACATTAGCCAAAGTTCCCTGTTAGCTGGAGGATAGTCAAAATCAATAAAATAGGAGAAGTATGGATTTTCAGATGTGTTTCAGTTGAATATTTTGGTGTCTGAACAGAATGAGGATGAACCACCAGGGAAGAAAAGCAAGATCGCACCCCAGACTGATGTTAGATGGATATCAGAGAGCGGCACAATCGACTGTTTCATTTTGCCGGGACCCACAGCTGCCCAAGTGTTCTCTCAGTACGCTCAACTCACAGGTACATACCAGTCCCCAAATATCTGTGGAATAACAAAAATTTACATTTAGAACTTTTGTAGATTTATCATTGACATTGATTTTTTTCAGTTACAAATGTCCATATTTGCTCTTATATTGAAAAGAATGTGCCTATAAATGTACAGAAGTTCCTTTAGTATTTCTCTGCCAACAGGCTATCAGGCTCTTCCTCCACTCTTCTCTTTGGGCTATCACCAATGCCGCTGGAACTACGAGGACGAGGCGGATGTGAAAGCTGTGGATGCTGGATTTGACTCCCACAGTATTCCGTATGATGTCATATGGTTGGATATAGAGCACACAAACGGGAAGCGCTACTTCACCTGGGACTCTAAGCTTTTTCCAAACCCAGCAGAACTACAGCGTCACCTCCAGAAGAAGAACAGGAAGGTATAGTAATGGGCTTCTGAAGTTAAAATGTATCAGGTTTTTTTTTGTTTATTATTTGCCTCTTTAGTTGGTTGTTATTAGTGACCCACACATCAAGATTGATCCTGATTGGTCGTTTTACTGTGAAGCTAAAGCCGGAGGCCACTTTGTGAAGAATAGAGAAGGCACTGTTTATGAAGGAACATGTTGGCCAGGTAAGATCCAGTATATCCAGAAAACGAAAATCATACAGAAATCGTACCATCAATTGATTACAATTTCTCTAAACTATCGATAATTCTTCATTAGTGATCTCTATTGCTTGGCTAATGAGAGATAAAGAGAAATAGTTCACCTGAAAATGAACTAATATTTATTTATTATTCTATTGTAGTATTTAACATTTTGAATTAGCTATTATTTTTGTATTTTAGTTTAAGCTTTAGTTATTGTATGTGCTTTTGTCAAATGTATTCGATTTTCAACACTGAAAATCCCTTAATCATACACTCAGCCTCATATCGTTTCTGTGGAATCCAAAAGAAGATATTTTGACGAATTCTGGTAATTAAACGTTTTGGTTACCATTGATTTCCATTGTAAGGACAAAAAATATCACTGAAATCAGAAAAAATATCCAATTTTATGTTCCACAGCAGAAAAAAAATGACATGAGACCTGAGGAAAGGATGGCAACATTTTTATTTTTGGATGAACTATCCCTTTAAAACTTATTTACATTGAGATCTTGTTTTACATCAAATTTAGCACTCACATTTCAAGGAAATGTCAAAATCAAGTAATTACTCTTCCATCGTCAGGTGAATCCAGTTATTTGGACTTCAGTAGCTCAAAGACAAGATCATTTTATGCCAGACAGTTCTCTCTAAGCAAATATGAAGTGAGTCTATTAAGGTTTTATCTAATGTATCTATTGCTTGTTAAAATGTACTGATCACTATTTGAGGTGGTTCCTCAGCATCTTTTGATCTAAAAAATCAGTTGTCTCTACATTTCTATAGGTAACGGTTTGCTCTTCATCCACTCTTCCATTAGGGCTCGACAGAGTCTTTGTTCGTGTGGAACGACATGAATGAACCTTCTGTCTTTAACGGGCCAGAGCAGACAATGCCAAAAGATGCAGTGCATTTCGGAGGATGGGAACATAGGGAACTACACAACTTGTATGGCTTCTATCAGGTAAGCTCAGTCAAAACATACTTGTAATATAGAGATAGATCATGGTTATATTGTTTTTCCCCTCTTCACAGCATATGGCTACATTTGAGGGCTTATTAACCCGCTCAGGTGGCACAGAAAGGCCGTTTATCCTTTCACGTTCCTTCTTTGCTGGCTCTCAAAGATTAGGTAAGTTCAAAATCAGATGACATGCACTATGTCCATTGTGTTGCTGGAAACAAACAGCACGGCCCATTGCAACACTGAACTGTTTATGTCACAGGTGCCATATGGACTGGGGACAATGTTGCTACATGGGAGTACTTGAAGATTTCAATACCCATGCTGCTGTCACTGAGTTTGACAGGAATACAGTTTTGTGGAGGTTAGACTAATAAAAGTGATGGTTTTTATGTTTAATATTTCATATTTTAACCTACAAAGTAAGTTGATTGTGATATTAATGTTGGTAAATATGTCATACATAAACAGTACTATACACTCAGGGCCTAAAATTTTGCCACACCTGCCAATGGCCATGAAACTGTTTTTGCAAAAATGTTATGACGGTTAAACAATCAGTTATGAATTGCAATTATGACGCCCAAATTTTAGAGACCAGTGAAAATTGACAATTTTCAGGTACTCATATTGAATAAAGTAGGCTAATCAAATGTAAAATAACACTGCATATTCTTCACTGTATAAATTAAAAATAGATTAATCCTTATTAAAGTTATAGCAGTGAGTGGTTTTTAACATTAAAACACAAAGAGCAGCAGGTGTTTTAGGCTGCTGTCACTTTAAGACCGAATACGGATACATTCTGTACATATGTTTACTGTTTACGTTAATTTAAGACATAGCCTACTATGATTACTAGGATACTCACTGAGACAGGCATTACATAATTTAGACTTTCATGACGATGAAGAGCTGGTCCGTCAACTGTCCCGAGCGTCGTTCATGTTTGTTCATGTTCTCACAACATTGTATTGTTAGAATTCATAAAAACTTTGCAAACATATTATTTTATTTCATATACTAAATTTAGGCCCTGAATAAACTACTCCCCAAAAGTTTGGGTATTGTAATTCTTTTTTTTTTTTTTTTTTGAAATTAACACTTTTATGCAACATGAACACATTAAATTGATCAGAAGTGACAGTAAAGACATTTATTATGTTATAAATTATTTCTATTTAAAATAACTGCTCTTCCTTTGAAATTTCTATTCATTAAAGAATCCTGATGAAAGTATCATGGTTTCCACAGAAATAATAAGCCACACAACTTTTGATTATAAAATTTCTTGAAATCACCATATTAGAATGATTTCTGAAGGATCATGTGACACTGAAGACAATGATGCTGAAAATTCAGCGTTGACATAACAGGAATAAAGTACATTTTAAAATGTATTACAATTGAAATTAGTTCTTTCAAATTGTAATAATATTTCACAGTATTACTGTATATTTGGTCAAACTGAACTGGGTGTAAAATGACCATCACTGATTGAATATGGTCTGGTATGTGTGTGTGTAGCCGATGTAGGGGGATTTGTGCAGGATCCAGACCCTGAGCTCCTGGTCCGCTGGTATCAAGCAGGGGCTCTTCAGCCATTTTTCAGAGGACACTCGGCTAAAGTGACCAAGCGTCGTGAGCCCTGGCTGTTTGGGGTGGAAGTCACCTCTGCAATCCGCTCTGCTGTTCAGGACCGATACTGTCTCCTGCCGTACTGGTACACTCTGTTCCACCAAGCACACACGTCAGCCCTGCCTCCCATCAGGTACTGCATTTTAAACTGCATCACCCTATTTACTATGGCTTACATGTATGCTGAAGAGTTTTCCGTGTGTTTTCCTACAGACCTCTTTGGGTAGAGTTTCCCAGCGATTCAAGCACGTTTGCTGTGGAGAACCAGTACATAATTGGTAAACATGTCTAGATCTGCTGTGTAATACTGATAATAAAGTCACTATCACTAAATTGTTTTGACATGCAAGGAAAACAACTTTCCAAGCGTTATATACTTTTTCTACTCCACTAAATTCTACAAAATCCTATCAGTCCTTGTTGTTTCAAATCGAAGAATTCAACACATTTCAACACGCGATTGCAGTGTCCGATTTGTTAGCGATTGTTTTCAATGATCCTATTGAAACGGTTCACAAATCTCACTGAACGATTCATTCACAAGTCATCGGGCTGATCCGACTGCAGGCATTCATTTAGGAATTCCCTGAGATATTTGACTCAAAATATGACAAGTACCATGAGATCCTCGGAGCTCGAGCTTGTGCGGACTGACACAGATGCTGAATTTTAAGTATTGATTATTGTATATATATTTAAAAAATCACATTTTGGTCATAATTGTGAGTCATTTAGCGGTTTAAGCTTAAGTTAAACCTGTAAATTATATTAAAATAATTCAAATTAATTCACGTGTCTTCTGTAGCAGTTTCAAATTAAATGTTTTAACGTTTATTGTTTTGATAGTGTTTTGGTAATAAAATGTTTGGTTATTTGCAGAATGCAGATCAATAAATATTCAATGTTTTGATTTACTAATTTTCCTTATTGTAGGATAAAATATAAAATATATAAGATATATATATATATATGCAAAATAATGGTTCATCGCACTCTAAGTACATTAAAAATCCAAGTACAGTACTTATGTACTTCTACACTAGAAGTGCTCTTTTCCTCTTGATTTGTGTATTCATCCACCATTGGTCACAATAAATTATATATACAGTGTATATATATATATATTTATATTTATATAGATTTTTAAAACATAGCAGTCCAAATCAGATACCATTCTAACTAATGGGCATTTTGCAGGCAGTGCTCTCCTTGTGTGCCCTGTGACAGATCCTGGGGTCACAGAGGTTAAGGTTTTGCTCCCAGGGTCTGATGAGGTAAGCCTAATTCACAAATGAATTGTACTGAAGGTTAAAGTGTGTTCATAAGAGATGTTTTGTGTGTTTGAAAGCTGTGGTACGACACAAACACGGCAGAAGTACACAAGGGTGCCAGAACTCTGGATCTGCCAGTGACTCTGAACACCGTGAGTGACTCGCCTTACATCTCTGACACAGCAGTCTACTGAATATAGAAGTCATACAGAGTTATTTACGGTATGGTCTCCGTGTGTCAGGTGCCTGTGTTCCAGCGTGGCGGGACAGTGGTTCCCAGGAGAGCCGGTTGTGGGTCCTGTACAGCAGACTTACAGCAGCATCCAATCACTCTCACTGTGGCACTGGACACTAAGGTGACCACATGACGATAAAACAGAAAGTACTGGTGGTACCATAGTACAGGTCAGGGATGGAATCAGATGCTAATATCATAATATACATGTGTCACAGTTGCCACAAACAATATTAAGCAGCACAACTGTTTTCCACATTGATAATAATGTTCCTTGAGCAGCAAATCCGCATATTAGAATGATTTCTGAAGGATCATGTGACACTAAAGACTGGAGTAATGCTGAAAATTTAGCTTTGACCACAGGAATAAATTACATTTATAACTAAATCGGTTAGTGTTAAGTTACTTGTAATTTTGGATAATTTACTGTTATAACTATAGTAAGTACGTGTACCTGTAATAAGGACACAATAAAGCTGAGTGTGTACCAAATTTGTGCTTACATCACCCACTCCAAGACTTAATATTACTATGGTACCGTTTGATTTTCATATTTATGTTTTACAGTATTTACATGGTACTTTATGCAATGTTTTCCAAAGCATTGTGTGCACTAGGTTCTCTTTGTGTACATTCACATAACGTTCAGCATTTTTTGGATTGAAGTTTACAGCATTTCACCAGAATTGTTATAATTATTATCAAATAATATTTTTTTTTCTTTGCAGTACAATTGTGATTTACAACAGTAATATATTCTGCCTTCATTTGTTATTATTAGTTATTAAATTAATAATAATTATTATTATAATTTCTTAAAAAATATTCTACTAATAAAAACAATAAAAAAGTGACCAGAAAACCGTGAATATGTCAATGCGTTTTTAAGTTATAGAAATATTAACTTAAAATCTCAGGGGGTACTTCAAGTAAATATTTTCAGATGATAAAAAAAGTTTTGGAAGTATTTAAAATTATACATGTCCAGAAACATAGTTTTGCAAGTGAACATGTCCAAAGAAACACGGTTGTGCATGATGTGCCTCATGGTCGGATCTTTGAGGAGCCCAACATTTAACAAGATTTGAACACACACACACATAATAATAGACTGCATTGATTTGGATGATATGTTTTGCATTGCAGGGCAATGCTGATGGATTTATTTATCTGGATGACGGCCACTCTTTTAGTTACAGAGACCAGATGCAGTTCTGCCTGCGCCGGTTTAGCATGCGAGTTGACAGGCTTGTTAGCAGGTAATGGCTCAACATCACTTTTCATTTCCTTTACAATATGGTATATTTTAGGGATGGTCTTATATTTAAAAGGTCTTATATTTGATATTTTGGTACCGTTTACAAGGAATTTGAAATGTAAACAGAACATGGTATATAGGCTACCATTGTGCAGGGGCGTAAAATTTAGTAGGGATGCTAGGGACGTGTCCCTACCAATATCCGGTGACACTGATATATCCCTAGCAATAACTTCAATCAATACTTAAAATATATTTATACATTGATGTCCCCTCCCCACCAATTTCAAAATCAAACCTACATCACCGCCAATGTGTGTGTTCAGAAAGCTCAATACGCCGTTCTCCTTTTTGTTTTTAGCAGTGCTGATGATAAAGGCTCATTCGTCTCTGATGACAAAGTGGAATCAGTGGTCATTCTTGGTCTGAAAAGTTTGAAAAGAAAACCTAAGCTCAAGTCAGGTGTGTAGACGGCAAACCTTTTCTTTTGTGGGAACTATTAGTAGAATACTTCATACATAAATAATGCGGTGTTAAAGAGTTATAATATAAACCTTCTGTTTCTCTCTTTAAGGTGCGGCGAAGACACCAGTTGTGTTTGAGTTCGACGTTAAACGAGGTGTATTAACTTTAACTGGCTTGGGCCTAGAAATACACAAAGACTGGGAAATAATAATATAGTGGATGGTATATTTCAAATGTCCCGGATTGCATTATTTTTATTTTTGCAATTTTAATTTTGGTATTTTTCAGATGCTGTTTCATGTCTTAAAAAGTGTCAGCAGCTTATAATTGCAATAAAACATTATAATTTGGTTAATTAAATCAGCAATTTAATAATGCAGTTTAATATTAAAGATTCCCTCCATAATGATTGTCTACCTCAAGAAATGAGTTTGTTTTAATGTGATTAATAGCTGTTTTCCTTCGCCACACTTACATAATACTGTAGATTTGACATGATGGAGGTGAAATTTGTAAATAAAGAATTCTGAAAGAGCAAAGTAATTGTTTTTTTTTATGATCCATGTACAGTACCATTCAAAAGGTTGTGGTCAGTAAGATCATTTTATTTAAGAAATTTTAAATATATATATATATATATATATAAATTTTTTTTATTTTTTTATAATAACATTTTTTTTTTATTTAGTAGGGATTCATTTAATTGATCAAATATGACAGTAAATGTATTTATGTTACAAAAGATTTCTATTTCACATAAATCCTGAGAAACTGTATCATGATTCCCAAAAATAAATGAATAATATTAAAAGAAAAGAACAAAATCAGCATATTAGAATGATTTCTGACGGATCATGTGACACCGAAGCCTGGAGTAATGCTGCCGAAAATTCATCTCCATCACAAGAATAAATTACATTTTTATTAAAATAGAAAACAGTTATTTTAAATTGCAATAATATGTCACAAAACGTAAAGACTACGTAAAATTTTGATTGCTATTGTATGATACAACTGAACATTCGACAATGTTGGTCACAGTAGCTGGTCGATAATTATCCACACAAATGAGGCGTTGATAAAGTGATATAATATAGAGTTTGTTAGGTGAGGTCAAGCCTGTGGTTATGCTGAGAGTGCTTAATGCTGAACTCTATTGAGAACAGGTTTAAAGGCTGTGAATGCCTTCTGCTGAGGCAGGCCATCTCACTGGCCTCTCTTTGCAGGACCGCTTTCCTTTGTGTCGCCCTACAATGGCGGCACGAGAGCGCAACCCTCGCCCAATACTCATTGTTCATCAGCCAATGGGAGAAGACTGTAGCATTTTGTGTATGTATGCAGGTGTGTTTGTGTGTATGTGTTTGTGCATGTAAAAGGAGTGTGTTCACACATTGTTTTTTTCTTCTAACCCTGGTTTCTACTCCCTGACCAAAAGCAGGAGAGCCAATCAGACGTCAGCTGTTTGAATTTATGCCAGGGAGTTTTGGCTTGCAAGACTTAAGTTGTGGTGGCAAAAGCTAGTGTTTTCAATCCCTAAAAAAACACCGTCCCGGTGAGACACGATGCCTTATACGCCGTCTGGGTTCTTTTGCGACCGGTTAATCCGGGAGAGAGAGAGAAGGGATGGCGAAGGCTCCCTGAGCAAACCTCTCCGTTTTAGCGGACAGGACTACAACCTTCTCAAGCAGGAGTACCTCCAGAAGAAGACCCTTTTTGAGGATGAAACCTTTCCTGCCACTGTGGACTCCCTTGGCTATAAAGAGCTGGGCCACAAGTCGAACAAAGTCAAGAACATCGTCTGGAAGCGTCCCAAGGTAGGCGGCAGAGGGCCTGTGAGGGTTCAAGTGGACTGGGACTGACATTGTGGGTGGGATGTCGAAATGGCTCATGGGATGGATGGAATGTCACAAGTAATTGGACTTCCTTAAAAATAGATTTATTTGCTTATACATGCACACATTCATGGGAAATGATGGCAAAATGGCTTAAGACCTGCCTCTGATGGAGTAAGAACCTCAAAGATAGGATTGCAGAGGGCATGTTGGGAAAGCTAGTTGTCACTGTTCTTCAAAGTATTGGCTATAAAAAGCTATTTAGCAAATCAAATGATAAAAAAATTTACTTAATTGAACATGCTTTGACCTCTTGTGACTAGATGGGCCAACAGCACGGACAGTTTTCATACTATGCGGGGTCAGTTGTCACAATGCATATAGCATATTAAAGAACGGTATTTAATTATGAATAACAAAGCAATGAAATAACATTTCAAGTCATTGTTACACCAAGTATTCCTAAACATTTGTGTCATCTGAACCTCTTTGATCTAAACTTTACTTCATGCACCCCCTGAGATTATAAACTAATATTTCAGTTATTTCACAACACATGACATGGAGGTAAACAAATGAGTTTTTTTCATTTTGATTATTATTTCTTCTCTCTAATTTTTTTTTTTTTTTTACAATTTAATTAGCTTTTCATCAACTCATGAACCCCCCATGAAACTCTGGTTTAGGCCAATGGATAATGTAGTAAATAAAATGACTAAAATTACAAGTAAATTTCACTTGACAGTCAATGATAACCCCTGAGATAAACAGGATTAGCTATCCGAGATTAATTAAAAATACTCATATCATGATAATTATATGGAAAAGCTTGTTTTAATACTTTGAAAAAATTAGAAATATAAATCACATTGTGATATATAGTCACAATTGTGAGGAATAAAGTCACAGTTGTGAAAACTAAAGTCACATTGTGATATAAAGTCGGAATTACGAGAAGGTTTAGTCACATTGTGAAATATAAAGTCAGAATTATGAGAACAAAAGTCACATTGTGAGATATAAAGTCGCAATTATTCGAAATACACTGTAATATAAAAAATAAAGAAATGGGCTAAGTTAATTTGTGAGATTTAAAATCGCAATTGTGAATAATTGTCAAACTGAGAAATAAAGTCACAATTGTGAACACTAATTGAGTTGCAAGGACTTAAGTCACATTGTGAGACATAAAGTCGCAATTTAGAGAAATAGTCACATCGCAATATAAAAAGCCACAAATGGGAGAAATAAAGTAACTTTGTGAAATATAAAATCGCAATAGTGAGAAATACATTACATTGTGAGTTTTAAACTTGCCCTTGCAAGAAGCAAGGTCAAAATGTGAGATATAAATCTGCAGTCACGAGAAATAGTCTCATTGTAAGGTAGAGTATAATGTTGCAAAAGCGGGAAATAAAGTCACATAGTGCGATATAGTCGCAATTACAAGTGAAAGATGAAGTCATGATTGCAACAAAAGAGAGAAATTATGAACACAAGTGGTATACTTCTAGCTTAAAACCTTGTGACAATTAGTCTATCCATCCATTTATTCATCCAAAACATCAGAGAGTGATCATATCAGTCTTCGTATCTGTCAAACCATGTGTAAAATCTGAGTTACAATTAAACACTTTGATGGCATTTGTTCTGCAGGAGATTTGTGAAAACCCACAGTTCATTGTCGGAGACGCTAACAGGACGGATATCTGCCAGGGAGACCTGGGTAAGATTAACACATTAACACAATAATGTAATCTGTTTACCCTGATATTTGGAGAGTGTGTTTAGAGTCTAATTGCAAGAACGAGTACCTCTCCCTGGCCCCATGTATACAGGCCAACAGTCCAGCAGGGACCCCTCCATATTGTGTTTACTGTGTTGGAAGGGAATCCAGCTAGCAGCGCTTCCTATTGTTGTGACCCCATATGGGCAATAAAAGAGCCCAAAGACACAAAGGTTGCTAATACATAGAGTACCAACCTGGCATGTTCCCCTGGACAATCTGAAAATGCTGAGATCAGCAGTGTAGGCCCCTGTTTTGCTGCAAATAGGTCAGTATATATAATGTTTTTGTGAAATATTGTTGTAATTTAGGAGACTGCTGGTTGCTCGCTGCCATTGCATGTCTGACTCTGAACGACAAGCTGCTATATCGTGTTATACCTCAAGAGCAGAGCTTCTCTGAAGGCTATGCGGGAATTTTCCATTTCCAGGTCGGTGTCTTTTCATCAAAATAGCTTTTGAATTCATATCTTCATTGCGCCTGATTTCCGTGTCCTCCTCTGTCTGTTTTCCTACTCAGTTCTGGCGTTATGGTGACTGGGTGGATGTTGTTGTTGATGACCGCATTCCCACCTTCAACAACCAGCTGGTTTTCACCAAGTCCGCTGAAAGGAATGAATTCTGGAGTGCTCTTCTGGAAAAAGCTTATGCTAAGTAAGTATCAAGTGCTTGACATCACATTTACATCTTTTGTTTTGGAGTTGGTCAGTCCTTGAATGTTACAGGGTTGAAGGTCAGGGCAAAAATGACTAAGGCCACTAATGGCCGTTCAGACAGAACACATTTTTTTGCTGTTAAAAACGTGAGACGAAGGTCAGTGGAACAACAAAAATGTGTTTTTGTTAAAAGTTGAACTTCTTTTAACTTGAGTGCAATGCATGCAACTCCGCAAAAGACACGAGTGCAGCGGTTAAAGACAGTGTTGTGCACTCGAGACTCGAACTTGGTCTCGGACTTGGTCTCTAGTCCATATTTTAATGGACTCGGTCTTGTCATGGATTTTGACTCGGAATTGACTCGTACTCTAACATATTGGGAGTCGGGACTCGGACTTATTCCCGAGTCCACTCGAGTGACATGTCATGATTATTACTGTATGTTAATATTTCTTTAAATTGTTGTTTGATTGAAACGTCCAATGATTGCTTACTTTCTTGTGCGCAACTGCGCATGACTTGAGACTATAACGTTCGCGGCACGCAAATGCAGCAGGACCCAGGTCAGATGTGACGTGGAGCCTCTAGCTCAACTATGTATTGAAAATGTCTGCCTTATCATCCCTAATTCAGTTTGCATATAAGAGCCACACAGAATTCGTGTGCAGTAATGTTCTGTGAAAGAGCACTTACTGATTGTAAAAATTGTAAGTCATATAATAAAATTACCTTTACACCACTATGGCTACGTTCACACTGCAGGCTGAAACGACCTAATTCCGATTTTTTTGCCCCTATGCGACCTGTATCTGATTTTTTCATGACAGTCTGAACGACACAGATCCGATCTTTTCAAATGCGACCCAGGCCACTTGGGTATGTGGTCCAAATCCGATATGTATCCGATCTTTTGAAATGCGACTTCAATCTGAACGGCCAGGTCACATATATCCGACCCGCACGTCATTGCGTTGTGCACGCACCTGTAGCCAGCCAATACACGCTAACTCCAATGCGTTTCTGCACTGTTATGGGCCGCTGCAGACGTGTCTCTTCCCCAGTGTTGTGCCTGAACGCGTTCATATACTGTATTACTGCCTGATGAACATTACTGTGAACACGTTCATTCTGGTGTCTGTGAACGTGCGCTCTCTCTCAGTATAACTTTGTACATAGGGTGCCAGATTGATTTCTATAGAGCCTTCCAGGCGAAAACCTGGCTAAAACACATGTAAACATGCCTTAAAATGTAGCGAAAAAACACCCAATCTGGCAACACCAGCCACCAGTGTCGCACCGCGGCCGCCGGTGACAAAGCAAGGAGCGCCGAGGACGCACACTATCAATTAAACGGGGTTTATGACGAGCCTCGGTGAGGATCGGAAAAATCTTACATTTATGTGCAAACTTTGCCCCTCGATAAAATAATTGTTGTCTGTGTTTGTATATGGGCTGTGGCAATAATAATAATAAAACAAAAGCTCGCAACATATGGAAAAAAAGGACTATTCCGCAAAAAACAAGTGACGTCGTTAACCGTTGATTAATCTTCTGCGCATGCGGGTCACTTCTGGGTCATTTCACGTTCACACAGGAGATCACAAAAGGTCGCATTTAATTGGAAATGTGAACGGCCTTGCAAAAAAATCGAATTTTTTCAAAAAAATCGGAATGCAGTGTGAACGTAGCCTATGTGGCCTTTTTACCATTACAGTGTACATGATTCCATGGTATATTTGGTTTACTGTTTGAGTATGGTGCAATTTTATTGTTACCACCAACTATTTTACATATTCTTTAAGTCTGGTTTGAGACCCAACCTTAGGTTATCTAACCTCTGTGGTCTCGGTCTCGACTGTCTTTGGTAAAATCCAGCTCATATCTCTTGCTTTCGGTGATGTGCACTTCATTAAATCCGCATATAGCGCGGGAATTGAACATCGGATTTATATCAGTTTTGCAAAAACACATTTATGTGACCAGGTGTAAATGGAATCGTTTTGATAAATCAGAGATAGCTATCCGATCTGAGAAAATGCATTGTGGCCAGGTGTAAACAGCCCTATGTTTATTGAGCATTGAGCATTAAGCCCTGCAGTGTGAACGTAGCCTATGTGGCCTTTTTACCATTACAGTGTACATGATTCCATGGTATATTTGGTTTACTGTTTGAGTATGGTGCCAATTTTATTGTTACCACCAAATATTTTACATATTCTTTAAGTCTGGTTTGAGACCCAACCTTAGGTTATCTAACCTCTGTGGTCTCGGTCTCGACTGTCTTTGGTCGCGGTCTCGACTCGGACTCGACTCTCTTTGGTCTCGGTCTCAACACGGACTCGAGTGAGCTGGTCTCGACTACAACACTGGTTAAAGATGTCCGCATAGGCCGTGTTTACATAGAAAAATAATGGAAAAACAATGGAAAATTAGTGCAGTGGAATGGAAAACACATTCTGTGTGATCGACCCCTAAATATGCACTAGACAATTGAAGCCTATTTCTATCACAGAATTTAAAAAAATGAAAGGTAATTGCAACTTTTTATCTCACAATTTTGACTTTTCAAATGGGGCATTTACACAGTTTCAAGTGCAAGTCTTTGAAACCAATACTGTTATCGTCTACGAAAACGTGAATTTTTGAAAACTGACGTCATGCACATGCATATTAGGTGTTCATTCTATGGGGCCGTTTAAACCTGGCCACTTCATGCGTTTTCTGTGATCGGATAGCTATCCGATCCTGAAAAGACCAGGTGTAATGCCCCCCGAAACGCATTCGAGACGGATTTGAATCCGATCGCTCAAACGACTTCAGGAGGTGGTCTGGGCCGCATTCCAGACGAAATTGGACAAGTGTAAATGCATCTGGTTCTTGAAACCACATATGTAAATGTTACTACTCTCAAAAATGCTAAAAAAAATAAAAATAAACGCGTGAGAGCGTGTTAAAGGCTGTCAAGCCATTTTAGTCAGATGACGATGCTACTGCGACGCGCTCACGCGCATCACCTCAGATGAGCACGCCAATGCGTCGCAATTATCTCAAATCAAAGTGAAAGTAAGTCGCAGACGATTAACACCACCATCTTCATTAAAAGTAAAGAAACGAAATGATCTTACCAGTTCTGTTGCCGCTCTCTCTTATCACCGTCTTTGCTGATTTTGAAATTAGCCGATGATCAATAAAATCCAGCTCTTGCTTTCGGTGACGTGCGCTTCATTAAATCCGCATATAGCGCGGGAATTGAAGATCGGATTTATATCAGTTTTGCAAAAACACATTTATGTGACCAGGTGTAAATGGAATCGTTTTGATAAATCAGAGATAGCTATCCGATCTGAGAAAACGCATTGTGGCCAGGTGTAAACAGCCCTATGTGCGTATTGTTTCTTTACAAAGTGACATCGCCAACTACTGGTCTGGCATGAATAATACAGCATATTTAGTCTTTTTCGAAGATCCGTGTGAACGTGGATCGCTCAGAATTCTTAGTTTATCTCTTATTTTTGTGAATAAAGTATGTATCACTAAATGCATGTTTTATTCAATACATTTTTTTGTTAGATTTCATTTCAGATTCATATTTTTATACACAAATTAAATCACATATTGCATTCACAAAATGTTGATAAATGATGACATGCAGACTGGATGATGTTCAGGTGTAAAACAAACATTGGTAACACTTTATTTCTACAATATAAGTAACTTTGCAACTACATGTCAACTAACTCTCATTTGAGTATAAGTAGACTGTCTGCTTAATATCTGCTAAGTCTTTATTGTGATGGTCCTCCAACAGACTATAAATCATAAAGTATATGTCAACTTATTCTAACCCTACTAATACTCTACTAACACTCTAATGATATCAGTGATGGGGACACATACACACAAATGGCACAATTTCCTCAGAATGACCCTAATATTAAATGTAAAATTGCCTTGCATGATCAGAGCGCCACTTCTTTTTAGTATTTATACTAAATTAATTGTATCCAATGAAACTATACAATAACTGAATTACAGCAGAAATTCGTTGTATCTCTCTTAACGTAACTTATTTGTATTCCTGTTCAGACTTCATGGCTCCTATGAGGCTCTTAAGGGTGGAAACACTGCAGAGGGAATGGAGGACTTCACCGGTGGAGTGACTGAATTCTATGAGATGAAGGAGGCACCGAAAGAGCTGTACAAGATCATGAAGAAAGCTCTGGCGAGAGGCTCCCTCATGGGCTGCTCCATTGATGTGAGTCAAGCAGAAGACATTTTCAACTTTCTTTAGTGTGCAATGTTGCTATTTGCTCATGAAAAAGGTCTGCAAAGTTACAAAGTCATTCCAATTTGAGTTATTTTCTATCAGTAAGCCCTGATTTTGAACTCCCTGAAACGTCTCGATTGTAGTCATGAGATTTCTTCCTGGAAAAAACACGTCATAATATCCCTCATTTAAATCATTTAAATAATAAATACCACGGTAATAAAAGGGGCGTGACATTTTGAAACTCCCTGAAAGCGGTCGACCAATCAGAGCACATTTTGCTTTTCAGAAGGAGGTGCTTCATAGACAAAAACTAAACGGAGCGTTACTGACGGACTGGGAAGTTAAGGCCAATTTATACTTCTGCGTAGGGTGCGCGCAGTAGGTACGGCGTAGCATACGCACAGACGCGTCTCATACCGCGTACCCTTCGCCGTCGCCTGACGCGCACCTCCTCAAAAATGTAACTACACGTCGCGACGACGCGGACCGCAAGATCGGTGATTGGTTGGCTTGGTAGCATCGCATTTCCTCCTACGCATTTCCGCACGTACCTTCTCACGCATTTCCACCACTGTCTATGATTTCCACAAGTTTCATCTCCTCCGAAGTCTTCTCTCATTTCTGCCTTTCAGTTTTAGTAATTTCACTAAAGTGAACTGTTTTTCCACCTTAATAAGCTCCAATTCCAACATGATCAGCTCTCTTTCACTCGTAGTAACCTAGCCGCGAGGAATCTAAACACAGTGGAACATTAAAACTCTCCGCCGCCAACTAGCGTTTCGGAGCAGTACTGCAGAGCAACCAAGACCTGAACGCAGAAGTATAAATGCTCACAACGGCGTCGCCTACGTGCGTAGCCAACGCCGTACACTACGGCGTACCCTCGACGCAGAAGTATAAATTGGCCTTTAGGCGCTACAGCAATGTCAAATATGTGTTTTTAAAACATTCAAGCATTAAAACCTATTCTAGTCGCCCCCAAAAACAAAATCAAGACTTTGTAAAAGGGCATAATATGGCTTTTTTTACAACAATCTTAGTTGATAGTAAATATTTTTTATAAAAACAATGACAACTTTTGGTCTAAATTCTAGTATCCTACCATGAAGCAATTACATTTTTTACCCACAGTCCCTGGTTCCAGCGCGCTTTGAAACCCGTACCACTACAGGTCTTGTGAAGGGACATGCTTACTCTGTCACCGCTGTAGAGGAGGTAAACAGTCTGTTATTTTGCGTTTCTTGTTTCTAAATTCTAACTTAACCTTGATAGCCTCTGATGATAATTGTGATATTGTGTGTCTGCAGTGTAAACAGTCCCTGCAGAAGGAGTCTAAAATTCGTCTGGTGCGTCTGCGTAACCCCTGGGGTCAGGTAGAATGGAACGGACCGTGGAGCGATAAGTGAGTTTCTGCTTATATCTGAATTTAGACTGGCTTAACCCAATAAATCATATTTGATATACCAATTTCGAAGGCCTCTAACATGATCAAAACTTTGCTGAATAAGTAGTTAAGTGCACAATCTCCTACATGCTTTCTGTCATCTGATTGGTAGTTTACACTTTTATTATTGTATTGTATTGTATTGTATTTATTTCTCCGGTCAGTCATTTTGAGATCATATGTCATAGATCATATGTAATGCAAAAAAAAAATCCTGTACATAATACAAAAGAAACAAATCCATAAAAAACAATTAAACAAAATAGAAAAGGAAAAGATGATTGAAATACATCAGAAAAAATAAAAACATTAGGATTTTTTTTGTTGATGCTAATAAATAGCAGTTAATAGGCCTTTTTGCATCATTCTGAAAATGTCCACCGTCAGATCGTAATATACGTGTCTTTTTGCTGTGAAATCTTTACAGATTTGTAAAAAGTAAATGTACGAATAACTTTAATATTGTTAATATTTCAAGATGAACACTTACTGGATTGATGTTTCTTATATCTAATTGATTATCCATACATATTTTTTTTGAAAAATCATGTTAGAACGTAAGTATGGAATATGATACATGAGACTTTTGAGGAACGTTTATATGCACACACCTCTGTACAAATATCATGTTACTATATTATTAGGAGATATAGACTTATATATTTTTGTGTGCATTTTATGTAAGTAGTCATCTTTACTGTTAAAAAAGCTATCATAATTTTATCTTCCTTTTAGCCCATATAATTATCAGCAACTGCACCAAATTGCATTATTTCCTGTTTTTAAAAACTGAAGAGCTTCTTATTCTCACTATATCATACTATATGAGCCATAAAAGCCTAGTGCATGAAATATGATACTTAAAAATTTTTCCAGGCTTTACAGGGTTAAAAAATGCTATTACAAGTGTTTATTTTTTTCTTCAGTTCGAAAGAGTGGGAAACCATCTCTAAAGCTGAAAAAGAGAAACTCCAGCATCAGAATGCTGAAGATGGAGAATTCTGGTGAGTTAACAAAGTCAACAAGCAAACATATCCTTATAATGAATTATGAGACTGATATAGACAGCGTTGTGGATGAGACCAGCTCAGTCCATGACAGACCATGAAAATAACTCCATATCTTTATTCACAAAGATAACTGTTCACATTATTGTCATCAACCCATAGGATGTCATTTGAGGATTTTAAGAAAAATTTCACAAAAATAGAGATTTGCAACTTGACCCCTGATGCTCTGGAGGATGATAAGCTACACAAATGGACGGTGTCTGTTAATGAGGGACGCTGGATAAGAGGCTGCTCTGCTGGAGGATGCAGGAACTATCCAGGTGTGTGTCCTTAAAAAGTTTTGTTTTATCAAATTTCAAGTCATAATAAGTCAATTTAAAGGGATAGTGCACTTTGAAATTAATTTTTGATATGTTTTAGCTTGCCTCAAGGCAAGGCATCCAAGATGTAGGTGTCTTTGTTTCAACAGTATTTTCAATTTTGATATTTTTAGGTCAAACCGTTCTTGTCTGTCAGTCCTATAATAGAAGTTTATGGTCGACACCTCAGAGCATGCAACAATGTTATGATATTCATTTTTAATTTATTTTTTGTAGTATCTTACATACATAAAATGCATCACAAAGTGCTTCACAGGTCAAAAACTAAAAAACTAAAAATAATGTCTTGCAAAAAAATAAAAATATTTGCTTCAATATTTATTTGTGTGGTTTCCAATCCAATAGACACATTCTGGACAAATCCACAATACCGTCTGCGTCTTCTGGAGGAAGATGATGACCCAGAGGATGATGAAGTTGCATGCACTTTTGTTGTTGCTCTAATGCAGAAAAACAGACGTAGAGAACGCAAGTTGGGTGCAAATCTCTTCACTATTGGATTTTCCATCTATGAGGTATCAATGCTACTATATTTAATCTTCAGAGAGAAAATCACTGAAATTATACAAAGCATGCAAATAGTGATAAAGATCAGGTTGATCACTCTTTTAACTCTCTCTATTTGCCCGTAGGTGCCAAAGGAGGTATGAAAATGTGAAGATCCAATATTTGGACCCAAGGCTTGTGTACATCATGCTCATGTTCATGCAGTTTCTTTGCTCTTTTAGAACTAGTGTTGTTTTATAGATGGATTAGAAACACCTTTGTGATTGTGTCTGACCAAATTCCTGATCAAGTTTCTCTGTCTGTCAGATGCACGGAAACAAGCAGCACATGCAGAAGGAGTTCTTCACGTCTAACTCATCTAAGGCCCGTTCCAGGGCGTACATTAACCTGCGAGAGGTGACCCAGCGTTTCCGTCTGAGTCCAGGGGAGTATGTCATCGTTCCCTCCACATACGAGCCCCACCTGGAAGGCGATTTCATCCTCCGCGTCTTCTCTGAAAGGAGAAATACCTCTGAGTGAGTAAGAGCAGAAGGGAAGAGAGCGCTGGTGGTTTTTTAATATTATTGTTCAATGATATCCGAGTAAATTTATCCTCACAAAGCAAAAAAATATATATTTTCTGAAGTATTTTTGTCAGAAAATATATCGGAACAACCATGAACAGGATAAATAAATTGAAATAAATTATCTATTTATTTTTTTCTAATAATTAATTTAATTAAATGGAAATTAAAAATTTGTGGAAATTAAAAGAAATTTTGGAAAATCTTAAATAAATGTATTAAATTTTTTACTCGAAAAAATTCAGATGCTGGTTAAGGGGCTGTTCACATATAATGCATTTTTCACTCCATTGTGCAGCTTTATTATTGTTTTTTTATGTAAATGTGCTTACATTTTTACAATTTGAGCTGCCGTCTCATGTCTTTTACAGGACATGACACGTTTTAGAATTGCGGCTCTCGGAGAAACACATTTTGTTATTTTCAATTTCACTGCCCTGTGTCTCACATTTTTAAAGACAAAAACTCGTTTGTTGTGAATGGCCCCTGAGAAAATTACTTTTGTATTATGAGAAAAAAAAAATTTACGGAGGAATATCTATATTTTTCTTTGACATGTATGGGGCTCCGTAAAAATGAACTCTTTAACGCTGACCCGACATCCTATTTTTTCTGGTGTTTTTGTAGTTGTTTGTAAGTACTCTGTTACGTTAAATTGTGTCATAGGTGAAGAACTTCTGAAACATCTGGCTGGAAAGCAGCTGTTACAGAAGTTAATACTCATGTCAGTGGGTGCTTTAAATCCTCACCAAAATATATTTTATGTACAAAGACTATGGTGTTGTAGTAATAGTGTCATGGTTATATTATCACAAGGTAGTTTCATAGTAGTTCAATTTAAAGAAGGGATGGGAAACAATTGAGAAAGGGGGTGGAGAAAACCACAAGGACAAAAATTTAATGACAATTTGATTTGTAGAGCTGGAAGAAATCGGCCCCAGTTCGAGGCTGTAATGGAATCTTTTTTAGGACAAGCAACAGCACATTTTGGGACCCTCCGGTAAACATTCCCTTTCAGTTCTAACCAAGTCTTGCCACACAATTAAACTTCAGCTACTAGGAAGACATGGATACACGAAGGATTGACGAAGGTCTCCAAGGAATACTGATGATGCTGCTGCAGGTCAAGCCCTGATGACAAGGATTCACAGTATTTTAATAAGGATCATGTCATGATTTCCAGTTCCCTAAGAAGGGAACTCGAGCTGCGTCGAGACGCTGTGGGAACGCCCCTGCATGATTGCGTCGTCAAGCACGTGTATAATGGTGTGTCAAGACCAAGCGGCAACATTCTAATCTGAAAGGTGAAGCCTACCCGGAAGTGCGATAAACTGCAATACATCTCAAATCCGCTAGAGGCCGGTCCAAAAAGGGAGCAAATATCCACAGACGTCACGTTAAAACATCAGTTTTCACAGCATAAATTCATATGTTTACAGTTTGGTCCCATGGACTTTTATTGTAATCTTCAATATGTTCTGCGTGCCTGACAACTGTGAGGGGGGTGAATTTTTTTCTAACTCGTTAGTTTAGATCATATTTAGATATAAAACGTATGACAAATAAGGGCGGTTAACTTTGATTGACAGCTGATAACGGGCTGCGCCGAGTGAATTTGACGTCTCGGCCATGATCTTACACAACACATACCACCTCTGTATCCTTTCTGAAACTTTTGGTATTTTGTATTTCCCAAGATTTTCCAGTATGGCGCCGCCCATACCCCCCATAAACAGCCTCAAACCCGTTCCTCAGAGAGTCTATGGGTGACGTCACAGACGCTTTGTCCATATTTTTTACAGTCTATGGTCAAGACATTATAGACCAGGAAACATTAAGGCACACCTGTAAACAGACAGCGTTAGCTTCAGCCTTCAGCAAACGCTTTCTGTGTACTGTCTCTGTCTATTTGGTGTTGTCTGTCGTTGCAAGAACAATATTCTCACAGTACGAGCAGATGGCGGGTCGGCATCAAGATGTCATTCTGTCCCATATAAAGATGAGGTCTGTTTTCATGTGTGCTTTATTAGTTTCCTGGTCTATGACATCACCCGCTTATGACGTCTCGTCACACCATTGGACTTATTATACACATGCTTCACAACGCAATCACATAGGGGCGTTCCCACAGCGTCCCGACGCAGCCTCTCATTCCCTCTTCAGGAAACCAGAGTTACATGCATAACCTGAGACGTTTCTTGCTGTGGCCTAAATGTAAATTAATCACTGTAACCATTAATCAAACTTTTCAAAAAAATTTAAACATGCAGAGAATAAACTTTAACATTTATCATTAATAATATTTGAAGGTAATCATACTTTAAAGATTATTTACACAAGGTAAGTATGAGTAACTCCTAATCAGTTATCACAGAAAAAGGCACATCTGTTTATATGTATCTAAAGAAATTTGTCTATTTATCAAAAGGGGCTCTAAAGACATGCTATATGGAAAAAAACAAAGGTTCCCCAAAAGATCTCTGATGTCTTGTGCTGTCTACTATGGTGACAAGTGTTTGTTGGTTTCTTCTCAGGGAGATAGAGAACAGGATTGAAGCTGATCATCCAGTGGTAAGTTTACATTTACATTTATTCATTTAGCTGACGCTTTTATCCAAAACGACTTACAATTGTTATATGTCAGAGGTCGCATGCCTCTTGAGCAACTAGGGGTTAAGTGTCTTGCTCAGGGACACAGTGGGGTCTCTCACAAAAAAATTAATAATTTTTTTTTTTTTTATCTAAAAGTGATCAGATTCTTTAGTTATTCACACAATGAAGATGAGAGAATAAATTCAGTTCTGACATGTGTAATTTTCAACTGCCATGTCTGATCAGCCGGCTCCAGCTTCAACTGGGGAAGAGAGTGAGGAGGACCAGCAGTTCCTGTCCATTTTCCAGCAGATCGCGGGGGACGTGAGTACTGGGGAGCCACTGAGCGAAGGGGGGAGTGTGAGTATGGAGGTGGGGTGGGACTCGTAATTGGCCATGCCAGTGGTAACAGTGGTAATTACAATATCAATACTGTTTTACTTTGCCGTAATAAACACCACACCTGGCTTTCTGTTTATTCTTATATCTTGCAGCAAATGGAGATCTCAGCCAATGAACTCAAAAATGTCTTGAACAAGGTGGTGTCTAAATGTACGTATCTTTGAATATTTGTTTCTGGGTTATGGTTTTTCTGTATACTGTCTTCAAGAAACGATCTGTTATTTACAGACAAAGACATAAACACTGAGGGTTTCAGTCGGGAGAACTGTAGAAGCATGATCGCCCTCATGGATGTATCCTTTGTATCAAGACTGCATGTCTGTTTTGAAGGTGCTGTCAAGCTAAAATATTGGGTCACACTTTACACTAGGGTCCAATTCTCTCTATTAACTACGACTTTTGCGTCAGTTACTGCTTATTAATAGTTAGTAAGGTTGTTAAGTTTAGGAATTGGGTTGGATTAAGGGATGTAGAATATAGTCAAGCAGAATTATGAGTTAATATGTGCTTTATAAGTACTAATAAACAGCAAATATGCTAGTTAATAGTGAGAATTGGACACTAAACTAACTTTTTACCAAATATTGTTATGTTAGCATAATGCTGGTAATGGTAAATCCATTTTGAGGTCATTTATCATTATTAATTATAAACAAAAGCATAGAATACTACATTTCAACATTGTAACATTAAGTTAGGAATTTATATTCTGAACAATTTAATTGACTTTTCAATTTAGGCTTAATCACTAGTTTCGTTGTAAGAATTACATTAGATTTTATTTTAAAGCAGAGGTGATGGTGTAGAATACTGCCAGCAAAGTTTTCTTAATCCTTATCGCACAGATGGATGGAACGGGAAGACTTAACCTACAAGAGTTTAGACACTTGTGGAACAAAATCAAACAGTGGCAGGTTTGTCCTCATTCTTTCCCCATACACACACTCACCGGGCCACTTTATTCAACTGCTGTTCAACTGCTCATTTATGCTTATATCTAATCAGCCAATCACATGGCAGCAACTCAATGCATTTAGGCATGTAGAAATGGTCAAGATGATCCACTGAAGGTCAAACTGAGCATCAAAATGGGGAAGAAAGGGGATATAAGCGAGTTAGAACGTGGCATGGTTGTTGGTGGAGTTTCAGAAACTGATGATCTACTGGGATTTTCACATGTAATCATCTCTAGAGTTTATAGAGAATGATCAGAAAAAGAGGAAATATACAGTGAACAGCAGTTCTGTGGGTGAAAATGCCGTGTTGATGGAGAATCAGACTGGTTCAGCTGATAGAAAGGCAACAGTACCTCAAATAAGCACTGGTTACAACTGAGGTCTACAGAAGAGCATCTCTGAACACACAACACGTCCAGCCTTGAAGCAGAAGAGCTTCGCAGAATGTCAGATAAGAACTGGAAACTGAGGCTACAATTCACCAAAATTGGACAATAGAAGATTGGAAAAACGTTGGCTGGTCTGATGAATCTTGATTTCTGCTGTGACATTCACATGATGGAGTCAGAATTCGGGGTAAACAACTGAAAGGATGGATGCATCCTGCCTTGTATCAATGGATCAGACTGCTGCTGTAATGGTGTAAGGGATATTTTCTTGCCACATTTTGGGCATGTTTAAACGCCACGTCAATGAGTTCACTAAACTCAAACGGCCTCCACAGTCACCAGATCTCATTTCAATAGAGCATCTTTGGGGTGTGCTGGAATGGGAGATTCGCATCATGGATGTGCAGCCAACAAATCTGCATCAACTGTGTGATTCTGTCATGTCAATATGGACCAAAATCTCTGAGGAATGTTTCCAGCATCTTGTTGAATCTGTGCCATGAAGAATTAAGGCAGTTCTGAAGGCAAAAGGGGTCCAACCCAGTACTAATAAAGTGGCGGGTGAGTGTATAAAAAAGATTGCTGCACACATTGACTTTATGAATTTTGTCTGCAGGGAATCTTCAAGCGCTATGACTTTGATCATATTGGCACTATCAGCAGCTATGAGATGAGAAACGCCATCAATGATGCAGGTTAGAAGGTTTTCATGCCCATTCTACTGTACTGTAAGTGGATCTGTTCTCATGTTGAAGAACATTTGACTAGACTAACACTAATGGACTTGTCACTGTACAGTCACGTGTCTTGTTTGCCACTCAGGGTTCCGTCTGAATAACCAGCTGTATGACATCGTCACCATGCGCTACGCCAATGATAACATGAACGTCGACTTTGACAGTTTTGTCAGCTGTCTTGTACGACTGGAGGGGATGTTCAGTAAGTTGCTAAATTAACTGCAAACACATCTTTTTCACTGGCAAATTCAGGAAGTGGTGCCATTGAAGATGGTCACTTTTTATGTTAAACAATACCTTACATTATTTTGCTTCTACAATATATTAAGTTTGTCAAAGTAAGTTTGGAATTATATACAGTTTCATCATGCCTTGTAATAAATCATGCTTTAAAAACAACAAAAACATTTCTCTTTTAAAAGCATTTTGCCAACCCGGTTATATTCATAATGCCTTGGGACTGAAAGTAGGTACAAAATTATAGCCTTAGCAGACAAATATGATCATAACATTTCCTGCAGTCAATATTCTCGTAGCTTATGCCAAGAACTATTTATTTTCTGTAAAAAATAGCTGACTGATCACTGACTTTTCCCTACCTCATCATTACAGAGTTGAACTATTGAGCTTGATAAGGCTCTATTAAAAGTCTCTATTAAATATGATGTCAGAAAGACTATTAAAAAAAGTCCCACAATTTTCATTTGTGGCCACATTTTATAAATTCGTTCTCTCGTTTTTGTTCAGTTGTCACCACACTGTACTAATTAATTCCCTGGTTATTTGTTCAATCGTGGCCATGATTTACCTAAAATAAGATGGATTAGTGCAATGCTTGCCTGGGAAAACCCAGACAACTTCCGGCAAATTTAGATTTCTGGGTTTCAGTCACGTGATTATGATGACGCGCAAAATTCAGACGGAGGGCAAGGAGTGAAGAGCGCAATGGACGAGATGGAGGAAAGTACGTACTGTACTACTTTACGCGCTATTACAAGAGAAAGATGTAAACAAAAAATCAAACATATGTTGGACGTGATCCTTACGTTATGAAGGGGAGCGATTTTTCAACTGAATTGAACGATTTTCCAGACATCAGGGCGGTAGATATCAGCAACTATGAACTACCTCGTCTTACAGACATACTTTGACTTTACAAAGTTCGGAAACATTACACAAACGTAGCCACTTGAATTGTTGTATTAACTCACCTTTGACGAAGTGATCACTGCACACGCAGGCATTTTCCCATTCGGCTCCTCCCGACCGCAGACGTAGGTATGCAAGCCGTTTTTCAGGAGTTTTTCGGTCAATTTCTAGCATTTGCCCCCTTATGAACAACAACTTTAGGTACACGATAAAAACTCCTCAAGGTTTGATCGATTTAAGTAACGATAAACAACGCAAAACACAGGCATTTTGAGTGTGTTATAGTGCTTTCTAAATAGAGCAAATCACTTCCTGCCCTCCATTTGCATTTCGCGCCATGGCAACGCAGTGGCGTGACGTCACGTGAAAAAACAAGCTAATGCGGGCTTTACACGATGACGACAGCGCTGGGATTTTGAAGCAGATTTTGTAGCCTACATTACAAAGATGGATGCCGCCGTCGAACATCACTCGTTCAAGTCAGCTATCGCGTCTGTTTTAAGCGATTTAAACGTTTCCGTTGTTTAAAACCGATCAAAGAACAACACTCGAAAATGTTTCTCCGCCGGCCGCCGCTCTGCCTACGTCATCTCCATCACTCTGATTGTTTTTTTAGGTCTACCCGCGACGTCCGCTAATGGGCTCTATGCACGGCGTTATTTCCGGTGAAGGATTAAGGATGCTCGATAACTTCCGCCGATCATAGAGTCCAATACAATACCGAGAATTTATATTGAATTTTATACTCCATGGTTATACTAATGAAACGTTAGTCACAAAAACAGATAAAACAGACACCCCTCGTTGTGTTTATGCTTCTTTTTAAAATTATATTAAATAAACATAACTATATATAAAATTACATCTAAACGTATGTACGTTTCGTTTCAAAGACGGGAGGACAGTAAATATTGAAGACTCTGCCATAATCCCGTTTTCTCCGGTTTTCCTCCGCTTTAATCTACACAACCGGAAATGGACGAGCATCCTTACGTCAAATGCGGAACTTATGCGTGCATATAGCCCATTGTATATTACGCTTTGCCAGACCATAACGCACTTACAACTGAGGTCTGGTCTTAAACAGGCTAGTGCAATGCCATCATGAGGGATTTTTTTTCAAGCATTTTTCAATTATTTCTTTTCAATTAAACTTTTTAAGCACTAAAAGTTATCAAAATAAGATGACTAAGTTCAATATCCAAGTCATCATGGGGAACACACACAGAGCCGCTTCCTGAAAATGATCCAACACCACAATACGTACCATTTTAGTTCAAATATTTCATTTAAATTTGAGTACCAATTGATACCAATGGCTTGTGTATGCTAATAATCATGTCTGAACCTGTTTTCTTTATAGGAGCATTCCAAGCCTTTGATCGAGGTGGAGACGGCACCATCAGACTTAATGTACTGGAGGTGAGTGATCTTAAGATATAACGTAATAATGTTTAGCATCATGTCCAAGTCCTGAGCTTCAAACGCCAAAAGCTGTAGGTTAGCTGATTACAAAATGTTAAACGGCTATTTCAATTTCTCCAGTGGCTCCAGCTAACCATGTATGCCTAGACCTACGGATCCAGGCGAGCCCAGACTCGGCAAGGACAAGAACTACCAGCTTTTACCTCAACACTCAATGTGCCAGACTACTGTTACCTCTTTCTCTGTACCTCAGCCCACATCGAACACCAGCTCGAGAAACTTTACACGATTACTTCAATTTTATTAGGGATTGTCATGATGGGTGAAATGAGTAATAGCGTTATAGACTGATGTCACTTTTTTTAGTCAGATTGCGGAGAAAACGTTGCGCACAAGCGACTTTTGAGGCACGTCATTGTGTCATTTTTAGCATGATTTCTGATTTTCTGTTGTAATTTGTTCCTCAAAGTCATCATTCTTTTCACATGAACATTCAATTCGTCTACACTGGTGCTACAGACATCGTTTCTCTTTTACCTCAACCAGCCTCAAAATATGCTGACATGACGCTGAGATGGATATATATAACGGATTATCTAACATCATATAAAACTATAACACTAGATTCAGACAAGAACAAGTAGATTCGGGTGCTTTAAATTACCAATGATGATTCAATTTGACCATTCACACTAAAAAACACAATCCAGATTTGACTCTGATTCCACACCACATATGGATGTGGTTCGGATCATGTTTGTAAACATTGGGTTTCACGCGAGTTCAGACTACAAAAACTACCAAAACTTTGGGGAAACGCAAACAAAGTCTCATCTTGACGTTTGCATTAGTATTATTTCTCTCTCTCTCTCTCTGTGGCATCTAACACAAACCCTTTTCATAATACTACCACCTCTGTCTAATTCAGCTTTCTTAAAGAATGTCTTTCCATATTTACCCAGATGTACTCTTACATGCATCCCATCTTCACATTTTGTTCCCATTTGGTAATATCAACTTCCATTAAAACAAAGCAGGGCCATGTAGATGGTCCTTGTTGTTTCAAATCCTGGTTGTTTTGTTTTGTAAGTTAACATAATAGGAAATGAAAAACAAGATGAACCAGGTGAGGAAACAATCATCGGAGGAGAATCGTCAGGGAACTCATGACGGATGGCAGGATTCAAGGTCTTTCTTTCATAACTGTGGGCAAAGACATGGGGCGATCCTAGGCTTTTTTTGTTTTTGTGCTTGACCCCCATTTAACCTTTTGTTCAAATGAGTGTACTGACTTCGCCCGTTTAACAAAATAAATAATTGTGTAGTTCTTGGTTGAAGTGCTTTCCCAGGAAAAACCAGAATGGTGTTTTTGAAAGCCTAATTATTCAAACACGAGCATAAACTTTTATCAACAAAGGGTCTGCTAAAGCTTTATATTATGCAATCTATTTAAATCAACGTTTATTTTATGTCTGGTTAGCAATGTTTTTCAGCCCTGTTGCAAAATTTGGGTTTTCAGCATTTAATACACTGTAATGTGAAATTACATTCTAGAAATTATTAAACAAACATATATTCCATAAATTCAAGAACATATTAGTGGTTGAGCTTGATGAATGAAGTCACTGGTAAAATATGTAACTATTTTTATGCCATTTTAATTTAGTTAGATTTAGTTTATCTATAGTTCTCTAATAAGCCTTTATTACGTTATTTGCAGTTTATTCATTATATCCCCTGGTTTCACAGACAAGCTTTAAACCTAGTCCCAGACTTGCATGGATGTTTGAGCTGTTAGCAAACTACACGGACACATCTTAAAATATATCGGTGCCATTGTTTTGTCTCAAGTATTTTTTTCTAAGGCATGTTTATAATTAAACAGGCCTAATCCTGGCTTAATCTAAGCCCTGTCTGTGAAACCAGGCCTAAACGTGTTTATTAAACGGAAATATAACGCAAATTTCCCCTTAGGATTAAAGAAACTGACACAATAGCACAGTTATGTGTATTTATCTTTTTTTAATTCTGTTTGTTTCAATAGCGTGTGTACAAAATGTCTATAAAGATTTAATAGTATTTGAGATCAACAAGTGTGAGAAACTTGGGAATACCGGGTAAGAGGTTGGCTGCCATCTCTCCTCAGCAACACACAACTATAGCAAAGAGCTGAGACGCATTTCAAAGGCTATGACTGGGTGGAAAAACAAGCTGTATCTCCATCCAATATGATATAAGCTAACAAAAAGAAACCCTAGAGTGACCAACACTTCAGGTTGGGTTCAACTGACAGGAGATAGTGCTGTAACTCCATATAAAATCTAACATCAGAAACCATGTTAGGATATTAAGATGTCAATAAATGTTTGCAGTTACACAAAGTTTGGTTTTGGTTTGTAATAGGGCTGAGGATTACAGGAAGTGAAGTAATACGCACCCAACCGCACAAAACCACCTCCCATGTTTATCGCCCCTACAACTTTCATTCTCACACAGGTACTTTCCAGTGCGAGGGCCCTCCTGTACTTTCATAAAACTACAAATCTCATCTCCACAATTACCACAAAATACTGTGAAGAAAATATATAACTAACTTCTTCGCTACAGAAAAATATGGAAAACAAAATTATCTTCTACACACTGTCATAAAACACATTTGTGTGTTCTCAAAGGCTTACGCACACCAACCGTCACGTTTCAGTCTCTGTCAACAGCACAGCAAACACATTTCAACTGCAGTCTCGAGTCACAGCACACCTGAATCCGTCAACTTTGCTTCATTGATGAGCAACCACAGAGAAACCAAAATAAAAAAGAGAGAGGAAATAGATTCAACCACTCAAACAGCTATATTTAAATGATCAATTAAAAACGAAAATCAAATAAAATCACCAGAAAAAAAAACGAAAATAGTTTTTATTTGGAAACCAGAATGAGATGTAAAAGCGTCCCCGTTGTCAAGTATGTATCGCCGTGACAACACGATGCAACTTGAGAAAGGTGTGTCTTTCATTAAAAAAATAACACTAAAAACTAGTTGCCTTTCTTAAATCACTCCACATCATAACGTCTCTAAACTCGGACCGCACACACACATCAGTGAGCTACACGTGTTTGCTGAGGGAGCTGCCGCACCTCTGTTGCTGTCCCGGTACCCAACCGTTTCCCACAGTTTCTTTGTGTTTGGTCAGTAAATCTCAGATCTGCTGATGACAGACATGTAGAAGCATCGATCCCTTCCAGGAGAACATCAGAGCAATGCCACGTCAGTATAAAAGAACTGAGCATAGTTCACACTTCAGATAGAAGAGACAAAATCAAAAAGACTTAGAGATACCAATCACATCCACTTAGATAAGGGCACGTTTTCTTCTTTATGTGTGAAAAACGGTAACATTTTTTCTCTTTTCTGTTTACTACATAATACCAATTTCTGAGCGATTAAAATCATCCATCTTAATTTAAACTGTGGCATCGGCATCATCTAAGTGGCAGTTTTTGGTATCTGCTGGGTCATATAAAAAAGGGCTCCTCTGGTGAGGGCTGAATGAGACATTCCCAATATGGGAAAAGAGGAGACTACGTCTGTGATCTTCCATTGGCCCCTCATGGCTCCATTTTACTGTCGTCCTCAGCGTGTTTCTGCATGTGACAATGCACCGCCTACAAAGACAAGAGGCACGTCAATGTTTTAGCATTTTTTTCATAGAATTTCTTGTTTTTCTCCCACACATTGTACCGTTCATAAGTTTGGGGTTGGTAAGATTTGTACATGTTTTTAAAAGATGTCTTTTCTGCTCATTAAGGCTGCATTTATTTGATCACAAATACAGTAAAAATAGTAACATTGTGAAATATTATTATCAATTTAAGAATGAATGCACAGATCTAATATAAGGTTACACATCCAATTTGCACATCTGAACTGTTTACATTTGCATATGACATTTTCATATGGCCATTAAGCCGTGACTCAAATTTGTAAGAATTTGAACCAAGCTAATTTATTTCGCCGTTTAAAATACACACACACACACACGTCAACATGCATATAAATTGTAAGAAAATCAATTCAACGGTGTGTGCATCTGTGCATGTATATATAGCGCTGTCAAACGATTAATAGCGATTAAACGCATTCAAAATAAAAGTTTTTGTTTACAAAATATATGTGGGTGCACACTGCACAGTGTATAATTATTTTATATATATAAATACACACACATGCTTGCATATATTTAAGAAATTTTTTCATGTATATACTTTATATGGATTTATATATAACTTATATTATATATAAATATAATATTTTATATTTAAATAATATTTTTTTCTTAAATATACATGCGTGTGTGTATTTATATATATGAAGAGTTCAGATGCAAAAGCCTCTAAATGCCATTTGAAATTTTCTTCTTTAATGATGATTTTTATCAAACTTGTATATTTAAGTTCAGTAATTTCACTTAAATGGCAATGAGGATTACCTATTAATTGTTATTTAAGTGAAATTACTGAACTTAAATATACAAGTTTGATAAAAATCATCATTAAAGATGAAAATTTCAAATGGCATTTAGAGGCTTTTGCATCTGAACTCTTCATATATATATATATACAAAATAATTATACACAGTGCACCCATATATTATATTATGTAAATATAAACTTTTTTTTTTGGATGCGATTAATCGTTTGACATCCCTTATATATATATATATACGGTATATAGACACACACATACACACACTGTTGAATTGATATTCTTACAATTATATATATTTAAGTGATATACAGCGTGCCAATTGAAGAGTGTGCGCCGTAGGCGCAGTATAAATAAATGATAAAATAATATAGAATTTTTGTTGCATTACGGTAATAAAAATTGGGAGGAAAATGTTGTTAATCATGAAAATAAATTGTACTCTCATTCTTGTTGTAATATTTTCCAAATATTAATATTTGTAATGTTGTAGCCAATTATATTTCTGATGCAGGGGGTTGAAGAATTTACGGCAAATGACAGCAGAGGGTTAAACGGGGTTACATTTTGTTGGTGGTACATGAATGGTAGCTCACAGCAAGTCGTTACAGGTGTGGTACATGCAGCAAAATTGATAAATGACCCTTTGCGGTACAACTTCAGAATGTTCATGTGTGAAAGGGAATACTAATGTCTGCATTAAGAGTGTGGGAAAGCTGCCGTACCTGCTTGGAGCCGTTGCGCGTGGTGAAGTACGTGTCGCAGCTCCTCCAGCGGCATTTGAATGTTTGCTGTGCTGGGCTGGTGTGGTCGTTCAGCAGGTGCTGCAGCAGGTGCTCCATCACACCAAAGATTAGGGTACAACCGTACCACTGTAAAGAGTCATGCAACAGATATTAACTGGCATCAGGAATGGCTTCCAGTCACATTATAGGTCATGAGCTCAGTTTTTTACCCAGCAGCGGTGGTTCTGAATCAGGTTCAATTTAACAGCTCTCACGCTCCCATCATAGCAGCCTGTGTAGATCTGTAACAGACAAATCATCAAAAAGTTTACTTAAGCAATCAATGCTTGTAAATATGTAAGGTGGGACCTGCTATAGGGTGCTAAGATGTGCTCACCATGCTCTTGTGGATGACCATACACATCACCATGTCTGAATGGCCACCGTATACTTGAAGTCTGTCATGAGACTGGAACCACCAGAGATTTGGTCAAAATCATAAAAAGAGTTCATAACAAGCATACAACAATATAATTCCAATACAATCCACCAAGAGTGATTTTCACAATGCCTCAGAAAATTGAGTATTTTGTTTACATTGATTTCATGACAATTAAGCTCTTTTCTTTCCCAAAATTTGCTCTACTGTGATGCAAAAAACATTTTCGTTCACATTTTCCTCATCATAATGTGAAAAATACATTAAAACTGTAAAGTTTACATACATCGTGGTAGTATTTACCATGATTTTAGTTAGAAAATACTGCTCAACGAGTGATATATTAGTATTATTTATATGAAGTCAATAGTATTTATTATTATTTTTACCTTTTATTTTTGTATTTTCATGTTTTAATAATGTTTGTTATTTTTTATAATAAGTATTTTAGTATTTATATTTAGCTTTCAATTTCGGTAACTCTATTTTACATTGCTTAATTTATCTTAAAACAATGTAAAAAATATCTTAATGGTGCTAAGCATATTTTTTTTTTATGAAAATTGAAATTTCTTTAAAATATCTTGTTAAAAAAAAGAAGAAGAAAAGAAGTAGTTATCAGCAAACGTGTCACATATACCTGGAGCTCATACACACGGACCAGTTTGTCCAGGCATGCGGTGACCATCACCTTTCCCAATATGGCCACCACGGTGACGGCATGACTATGACCCTTATAGATTCTCACCAGTTCTCCTGTCTGGAGATCCAGAGACATGGAAGAAATTTAGATATAAACAAGACACCTCATTCCTGCATCTCAATGGGAAAGGAGAAACACATGAGGTACTCACATGTATATTATGTGCATGTACAGACTGGTCACTCGAGCCACTGAACACCAAATCGTTCACCACCTGCAGAGAAGCAACAAATAAATACTTAAGGTGTGATACTTGGTACACATCCTTTGATAGAATCCTTTATTTTCCCTCATGTAGATCTTTTTTACTTTATTTCTTCAAAAAATGAAAATGGTGTCATCATTTACTCACCCTCATGTTGTAAAAAGTCACAATGAAATCTAAATTGACAAATCTTATTTTTTATTAAATATATTTTCTCTGACTATGAAGTGTCAGATGTGTACTGGCGTGAGGGCAGGATAATTTGTCACTTATCATTACATCAGCCAATAGAAAACCACAACCATCCAATCAACTCCCGATGGACAAAATCAACTTGTTCGAGAAGGAGTTTCACGCAGTAATACGTCACAATAGAAAAGAAAAGACAATTTCCATTTTATGCCGTAATTAAAGGTGCAGTAATTGATTTCTGAGAAACACTTGAAATTTGAAATCAACCCAAACAAACACAACCCTCTCTTCATTGCTCTATATTGTAGAAGTCATTTCAAGTTTCTCACTTCTCTTCCAGCCAGCTGTCATTGATATGGTGTCATGAAATCAAGTATTTTTAAGGATGATATTCAATATGAAAGCACGTTTCAAACCTTGAAAACATTCTCCAAACTTTCAACAGCGTTTCTCAGAAATCTCGTACTGCCCCTTTAAGCATATTCATTAGAAAAGACACAGACCTTCATGCAGAGCACAGTTTTGCTGTGGCCTTCCAGCGTACGCAGCAATAGGCCATTCTTAGCATCTCTAACGCTGATGGTGGCGTCATAGGAGCCAACTAGCAGGATACGACGAGCCCCTTCCTGAGCCGTCGCCAGGCAGCTTACGGCCCGTGGGCCATGGCACTCAAACATATCCAGCTGCTTATTGTTCTACAGGAGATGAGAGAAATGTTGTTAATTACCCCACAGCCAAAGAACAGTGGACACAAAACTTACTTTAACCCAAACTCTTTCATTAAACACTTCATACCCTAAGACTGAAGGTGATCACAGAGCCATTGGCCAGACCGGCATAGAGAATTTTCCAACGATTATGAAGACAGAGCACTCGATCTGGGAGAGACAGCTGTTCCTGACATTCTGTTGTCTGAGGAAAAAAATAGACAAATGCTTGTCATATTTACAATATTATACGTTTAAAGACTAAAATACAACTTAGGAATAGAAGGAATTTTAAGACATTAGGGCTTATAAGACACTGATGTCTAGGATGTTCATTAAAAACTACTTGAATTAAAATTTTAACCATTGATTTAATATTAAACTAATACATTTTCTACTTTTATCAGCCTTTATGCTGTTTTGTGGTTTCGTAAGATATCACTCAATGTTTGGAAATTTGGTGTTCCACAGATAAAATAAAATCATTTGAGTTTGGAACCAATAAATCCTTTAAATATCAGTTGATTGTTTACACAGAGCAGAGCTATTGTATTGTTTCGTGGAAGTTTTTTGGAGCTTGACAGTGTGAATAAATCTATACTTTGCTGAATGGAGAAGAGCAGACTGTGTATCTGATTTTTCAGTGGAAGGAAATGGACTATTTACTCTTCTCCCATCTGGGAGACGATATAGGAGCTTTCGCTGTCGTACGAGCAGATTTAGGAACAGTTTCTGCCCATCTGCGGTCAAGATGTTAAACACTACCTCTAATTTCTGAGACATTGCACTGAGCCCCGCAACTGCACTATTTATTTATATTTATATATTGTATATATTGTGTAACTTTTTATGTTTCTTTTAAATTATTACTACTGTTTGCACTTCTGGTCAGATGCTAACTATGTTTCGTTGGCTTTGTACTTTGTATTTTGTCAATGACAATAAAATGAATCTGAATCTGAAATCTGAAAAAAAGTATACATTAGTTGACATTTTATTGTGTAACCAATATATCAATAATACCCTCCACCTAAAAAAGGGATAAAGAGGGACTTTTAATAAAAACAGGACTCTTATTTTGAAACTCTGAAACTGCTAGCCTGTAGAGCCGTAGAACCTGGTTTTTACTTTGAAACATGCAATGGTTTGAGGTTTAATAATCACATTTGGTCATGTTTTATACCATTTAAAATATATAAGGCATTATATTACCTTAATTTGATCAAAGTGAATTTAAGACTTTTTAAAGACCCGCAGAAACCCTGTAAACAGCTGTGTGGGTCAGAGCCAAGCACCTTGAGGTTGTAACAGCGGATGGTCTGGTCACTTGATCCCGAGTACAGGCGTTGTTGCAGGCCTCCTCCACTTGACACCAACAGGCAATTCACTTTACTGCTGTGACCTTCATACACAGCCACACACTTCCGGCTCTGTAACAATTAAGAGACTTCTTAAAGAAACCTGCTTTCTGAGCTACATTCAAAAGAACATCATTTTCATGTTTAAATGCTTTTACTAAACTACACATTTCAGACAATTTTGTACTAAGTTTACCCACTCAAATGAAAAAAAAGAAGTGTACAATGATCTTACTATCAAGTTGAAAGCACGTATAGTGCGGTCCCCTGAGCAAGTATACAGCAGTCCGTTATGGATCTGCATGCCATTAACGGCCTCTTGATGACCTTCAAACTCTCCTTCAGTTGGCACATCCTCCTCCCCTGGATTTGAAATATCTGCTAACAAACACACACAAACATCAGTTATTGAGTGAAACATTAACACTATGGACAACACATTTTCTGAAGAGACACACGATCGCTTTTTACGCTGAACAGATTGAATTTAGGCTTTTATTCACATATAAACATTCATTAACTCACACATCAGTTATGGTAAACGGAAGCTTCCGCAAAAACCAATGAGGTTCATTCTCGTCTGTTACGTAGCAAGAGGTTTGTTCTTGCGAATCAAGTTAAGCTTCTGTTTATGTTCGCTGATCAATGTTTATGTGAATTAAAAGCCTAAATTCAATCTGTTCAACGAATAAAGCCCAAAAAGGTCCCAAAAGGGAGCAAATATCCATAGATCCCATGTTAAAATGTCCGTTTTCACAGCATAAATTCATGGTTTTACAGGTTGGTCCCATGGACTTTTATTGTATTTTTGGATAGGTTCCGGGTGCCTGACAACAGTGGGGGGGTGAATAATTTTTTTTCTATTTCGTAAGTTTAGATCATATTTAGATATAAAATGTATGACAAAAAAGGGTGTGGTTAACTTTGATTGACAGCTGATTACGGGCTGCGCCGAGTGAAATTTGACGTCTTGGCCATGATCTGACACAACACATTGATCATACCACCTCTGTATCCTTTCTGAACATTTGTATTTTGTATTTCCAAAGATTTTCCATGATGGCGCCACCCATACCCCCCATAACCAGCCTCAAAACTGTTCTTTAGAAAGTCTATGGGTGACATCACAGACGTTTTGTCCATATTTTTTAGTCTATGGCCATAACGCAAGGGTGGTGATCATCAAAATTGATAATCGATATGTTTGAATGTTTTCTTTTTGAACAAAAATTCACATAAAGTGTTTTTATTTTTAACCTTTTTAAACAAACTGTTGTGAAACTGAGATAATATGAAAGTGCCAGTATGTTTAATTTCAGTCATTTAAAGGAGTTCCCAAGAAACCAGCACTAGTGCTCTCATTCTGAGTTGGCACAATTCTCAGGGTTGTCAAACCGGCAATCACTCTCAGAGGCACAGATCAAGCATAAAACTATAAATACCTTGCCCTTAAAAAGTAATTTGGGGACTTGATGAACTATATTTGTACGCTAATTTGGTTGCTCTGCTTCGACTGCAATGAGCAAGGAACTAGATGAATTGATGTGTACTGACAGCTCCCACAAGGTAAAAAAAATTAATAAATTACATATTTAGTAAGTGAATGGCACATAATGCATTGTTGAGGCAGCAGTTAAATTGTATAAATGATAAGATACAGCTTCCATGTATGTTTTTAAATATATCACATACCTGAATGCAACACTGTTGAGGCTGATTTTATTACACTGTAAAAATAAAAACAAGATTTTTAATACTGCAATACTGAGAAACATCAATGAAAGCAGACAGAAAGATTCAAGGTGCCAGATGGCCATGCAGTAATAATGATTTCAATCAAGCTGTATCTTACAGTGGTGCATTGCTGCCACATGAATATTATTTTTCCACTTAATTATGTCGTAATAAACAAGATATGTTGTTTTAACCGGGAAAAGTAGGCTATAATTATATAAAAAGGAGTTAAAATTAATTATTATTAATTATAATTATAATTAATTAAGTAGGCTAGTGATAATAAATGTGTCTGAAAAAATAACAAAGCATTTTATTGTTTATTAATAAACAAGTGTTTTCTAAATCAGTGTAGGCTGCTAACATATCTCCATAAATGTCCGCTGTAAATTAGATGCACCTTTAGAGAGAAAACGCACCTTTCATTCGGAAATGATTGCATAATCAGAGAGTACCGTATTTTCTTTTAATTCATTTTTTTTTCAACTTTATCCTTGTCTTAGCAGCCTATTAAGCATTTTCTTTATAATAAGGGGTTTCTATGGGAGGCAAACACTGACAGGGTAATTAATAGCAATGCATTCGTATTCTGGCCTCATCTGCTATTCTGTAGGCTACATAAACTTTATCAATAAGGTACAGAATTTCATCTTTTAACATTAATGTCCATCGGAGGCTGCTACTATTTGCTTCAACTTTTGGAACGTAGAAGTATGATAAAGGTATGATTTGGCTATATACATTTTAAGTGGATAAAGGCATATTTTGTGCATGACTACACGTCCTTATAAGACCTAGAAAAATCTCGTTATTACGAGAAAAGATGTAGTAAAAACGACATCTCGTTATTCCGAGAAATGTCGTCAACACGACATAACATCTCATTATTATGACATAACTGAGTGGAAAAAAATAACATGTATGTGACAGCAATGTGCCACCGTAGTATCTGAAACAACTAACCAAGGAATTACCCTTCCAGGAGCAGGATGGGACACCCATGCTATAAGATATTAAGAATGCTAAGAAAATCACAGTCCAAAACATGAGACTTACCTGTCACAAGCCTTGACTGAACTGCTAGTATCAATTTCACTAGTGGAGGTGACCTCATTGCAGGCAAGATTTTGGGGGTCTGTGATGGCACGGTCTGTTGAGTGTGCAGTGGCCGACTCTTTGGCCGACTCTTTGGCCGACTCCTTGGCCGACTCCTTGGCCGACTCCTCTGCCTTCTTTTCAGGCATCTCATCTTGGTCTGAAGAATCTAGATTGACAAAATCAGTGGGCACAGGTGGGGGAAGCTCCACCATTTCCAGTTCAGATGAATCAGAGTGAGCTTCCTTCATTGGTGGTGTTGATAGCTTGATTCCCGGTGGTTGTGCCTTTGAAGCTTCGGTCACCACCATCTCCTCATTTTCATTTTTCTCTTCTGGTGTGGGGGCTGAGGCATAGGTTCTGCTGGATCGCCGATTAGGTCTGTACTTGCGGGCAGGTCGAGCAGCGGGCTGCTCCGCGTCAAGCTCTGATTCACTGATTTCAGGCTGCTCATTCCCCTTTGCTTTCTTAAGACACTTTTTCTTCTTCAGTTTTCGAACACGCTTAACTGGATCAGTTTCTATGTGGTTTGAGGGAGACAGCGGCTTGGAAGAGAGTTGGGAAGAAGGTTTGGCAAACCCCTCTAGAGAATTTTGATGAATTTTTTTGTTGGGTGACGGCTCTATTCTGTGATCTGAGGGAGCTGCCGTTAAATCCATGCTTGTGGCGTCAGGTGAAGACTCCAGGTTGTATTTGAAGGTATCTGTTTCAAATTGAATGAATTAATTCAATAATTCAGTTACGTTAGGAATAACTACCTCTGAGCTGCAATTTAATGATTGGAACCTACCTGTTTGACAAGCTGCAAACTCTGTTTGGACAGGTGTGGTATTCTGTGGTCCTGGGAAGGGGATTTGATAGGAATGGGGTTACATTGAGCGATGGGCTCTTGTTTAATGGTAACAGGCTGTGAGGAGGTTGAAGAGGATTGGAACCTACCTGTTTGACAAGATGCAAACTCTGTTTGGACGGGTGTGGTATTTTGAGGTCCTGGGAAGGGGGATTTGATAAGGTTAGGCTCAGGAATGGGGTTACATTGAGCAATGGGCTCTTGTTTGATGGTAACAGGCAGTGAGGAGGTTGAAGAGGATGATTGGGCAGCTGTTGCTGGGAGAACAGAGCTTAAGATCTCACTGTTCCTCTCTTTTTCTTTTGGCTCAAATTCGCCTGAAAGAGTTAAAGAAATAGAATTCTTGATCTCTATTTTATTTTATTATAAATAACAAAGAAGCTGTCCACAAACCATTTGTACAGTATGATTCCCATTAAAGCTATTCTAATTTCCCCTGATAACTTTTACCTTAGATTTGTAAAGCTAGTAAATATGATTAAATGACTCCTCTATTTAGATTTTTGTACCTTGCATTCCTTGAAGAATTTCAATCCGCTGGGTTCTCAAAGAGTTCATCTCACCGATAACCTGTAAAATATACAACAGTTATTAAAATATTGCAAAATAAAGTGATAGCCCAGTGAGAACTAAAAACAAATTTTGGGGGAAATGCGATCTAGTGAAAACGTTTACCTGTTGTTTCACCATAAGCAGTCGCTGTACTTCCAAATAGGCAGCTTGCAGGGCAGCACGTGCCTGAATAAGACTGTTATCCACTGCCTGAAGTGAGTTATTAAGCTCCTCCTCACGTAGAGATACAGCCAGCAACTGATCCACTTGAGAGCGCTCTGCAAAACACAATACATACCCATATTATAATAGCCAACTAAATTGGCTGTCGAGGTAAAGTTAATTTAAAACCCTGATTACATATATTTATTACCTTTCTTAGACTTAATTTTTTGCCTCTTGTTTTTCCTATCTTCGTTAGGAATCTCTGGAGTCAAAGCATCCTAGAGGAGAGATCACCAAGACCTTGATTAAATTTAGGTTATTCTTGCATTACTTTCAATGTTGAACATTTCAAATCAGACACTTATAATGCTCCATTTCAATTAGGAAGTAGCCTCGGAAGGCAGCTATGTAATATGGTAGACATCAGGGTAGGGGTGGGCGATATGGCAAAAATATCATATCACGATTTTTTTAGGAAAATCACGATCACGATTTTTTATCACGATTCTTTTTCAAGTTGGTTTTAATATTTTGCAAGTGGCTGTTCATTACAGCCAAACTAATGTCCCTATGTTATAAACAAAGCCTTAGGTAACAAAAGAAAAAAAGAAAGGCATACATTTAGGCCAGTGGCGAAGATAAAAATCTTTGTCATTATTTTCTTTGTTATTAAAAAAATAAGACAAGATAAACATTACACAAATTAATATTCTAATTAAATAAATAGTGCTTTATTTTTTCAGATACAGTAGGTGTATTTAGCAGTAGCATTGAAGAAAGTAATTAAATTAACAAATATGAAATTAAAACACTACATAGACTTCACTGAATAAATTATTGATTCTTATTAAAGCTACTATTAAAGTTCTCAGTCAGTGAGTGATTTTCTCCTTGTGTTTTTTTGTTTTATTAACACTAAAGGGATAGTTCCCTCAAAAATGAAAATGGTCTTAATTTAGTCTCTCAAGATGTTTTAAACCCGAATAAGTTTCTTTCTTCTGTTGAAAATGAAAGTTATTTTGAATAATGTGGGTAACCGAACAGTTGCTGGTCCCCCTATAGTTTTTTTTATAGGTTCTCTCCTGGAAGTTAATGGGGACCAGCAACTGTTTGGTTACCCACATTAAAAAAAAAATCGTCTTTTGTGTTCAGCACAAGAAAGAAATTAATACAGGTTTGGAACAACATTAGAGTGAGTAAATAATGACAGATTTTTTTTTTTTTTTGTGAACTATCCCTTTAAGGACAAGCGATTCCTGTCGCTTTTAGACCAGCACGCGACGCGTTTAATATAGACGCATATTACACCAGATATTCTCTCAAATGTTTGCTTTCACTTTAGACATAGCGTGTTTATGTAAACATTGTGTGTATTTAACAGTATTAGCATAATAAGACTCGAAAGATAACTTAGTCCAGTATTCAGGCGCTGTTTGACAGGCTTCTAGTTCCTGTGAGCGTCGGGAGTATACGGTCAGGAAAGCGCACGTTAGAACAGCGCATCAGCGCGTGAATTAAATATTAACCGGCAAGGCTTATGCAAATAATAATAACTTTTGTGAATTGCAGTGTCCCGTACCTATTCATTAACGTGTGATGTGTAGGCTACGTTGCGTTGTACAGTTGAGACGGCGCCAGAACTGAACTGATAGAATGCACTGTAACACGATACTACGATATTTCTTCAAAAGCAGATCGTGGAGACATTTTAATCGTCCACGATTAAAAATCGTCATATCGCACACCCCTACATCAGGGGTGCTCACTAGATTTGGATCAGAGCTGTATTTCCAAGTATGCCAAGATTCACCACAGTAGAAAGCTTACCCCAGGAGCTCTGCGTTTCTTCCCAGCTGCTTGCATGTCAATCTGTTCAATCTCTGATGTACAACCACTGTCTCCTTCAGCATCCTCTGGGCCATTAGAAGGCCCTTTTGAAGCTTGAATCTCCAGATGACCTTTGAACTGCAGCTCTTCTCTCATTGGTTGCTGTGAGGGGCCACAAGCAGTAGAGTCTTTCATTGGGTCTACACCTTTAGGAAGGGAGCTGGTACCAGCAGGGCCATCTTTGACCACATTGCTTTCAGACAAGCTACGCTTGCGGGAAGGCACTGGACTGAGGTCAAACAGAGAATCCCAATGAAAGCCCTCAGAAAGAGGTACATCATTTTCATCCATTTGGTTCAGACCCTCGGGTTCACAGGGCACCATTTCTATGCCAAATCTGAAAAGATTCAGAACGAATATGGAATTAGGGTATCAAGGAAGTAACAATACATTAAAGTACTGACTGTTTTTCAGTCTACAACCATTTAATGAAAGTAAACCAAAATGTAAGAAATACTCAAGCAGTACCTTGGTAAGCCCTTGCCTTGCTTCTTCCGGTTGACTTCCTGGTAGACCTGGTCCCAGTTGACATTCCGCCTGGAGCCAGAGGTGCTAATGAGCTGCCGCAAGGTGGGTTTCAGTCCTAAATCCTTCTCAGGCTCGTTCTTTCGCGTGCCACTTACATTCCTAATTCGTCTGGCAATATTCAAGTTGGGTTCATGGGATGCTGCTTTGCCTTTGGTTCCAATATGGCGGTTCAAATCCCTTTGGAGACAAGCAGGCAAGGCAAGCTTACTTAAAGAGGGCACGGAGCCACCTGCTGTTTGTTGGGATGGGCTGCTGTGGGACTCCTCACCAACGGAGTATAAATCTTCATCTAGTATGTCCATGACTTGATCTTGTACCTGTAGGTGAGGATTTTCTTCCATTTCAACACACTCCTCGTCATCGTCATGGTCCATAGTAGAGGTACTAACATGCAAGGACTGCAGAGATGGCCTAGTGTCATTGCGCACATTGCCAATCTGTACTGATTTGTCTGTGCTGGTTAAATGCTCTTGTTCATTGCTAATACGTCTTACAAAACCCAGCCTTTCTTGACTCTTGTTCTTGCTCAGTTTTTTCGTACTCTCATGTAATTCTTGATTCTTGTTTAGTTCTAAATTCTCAACTTTTTTATTAACCTGAGGCACAGATTTTGATTCTTTGAGGCTGTTCTCTGGGCAACATACATCAAAAGAGTTATTTCTGTTAAGCAATGTCTCTTTAGCTTTTCGCAGCATCTCTGACAGCAGACGGTCTTGGTCTGCATTGAAAGTAGCATGATCTGGGAATTCAGAACTTGAATGGGAATGCTTAGATCCTTTAGCGCTGATAGAGTCTTGACTTCCTGCAAGCTTGCTGGGTATCTCTGTTCTTCTAGTGGTGGAGGTGGAGGGGTGGGCGAAACTATCTTTATTAGTACTGCCAATGTTCTTGAAGGCACTCTTCTGCTCCCTGCACACACTCTCTTCACAGTTAGGTTCTGTGGGATTATCCTGCCAATTTATTCGGTCTGTCTTGGATTTCATCACTATGTCCTGAGTGGCCTCATTGAAACTTTGTGTCATAACGTTTTCAGGAGATTCCACATTAGACTTATCTAAAATTTGCTGAAGGTTAGTCAGAGATGAAGCATCCCCAAGTTTAGCTGGTGGATAAGGTGCCCATCGATGTGCCTTCTCTGACTTCTGACCCTTTCCTTTGTTGGGATCGTGATCACCACCAGACTCTTCTACACTCTGTTCACCCTTTGTCTGATTCTCAGAGCAGTTTGGTGTTTTTTTATGGTCTTTTGCAGATGATTTATAGTGCCTAGGTGGTGGCATATACTGTCCCTGCCAAGGGGCATTAAACTGATTGTTGTTCCAGGGAAATTGCTTTCTCAGATGTGGAGGGCAGACTCCATAGCCACCTTGTCTACCACTCCAGAAGTTTCCTTGGTTGTGCAAACTCCCTCCCTGACGACCAACAGAGCCCCACTTCTGCAAGTCAGGTGGTCCTTCAGCATGCCATGTGGCACACCTAGCCTGTCGGTTAAGGTTAAACCATTTGTTGCGGTCAGGGGATGAAAATCTTAAATTCTGCCAATTAGAGCCCCTGCCCCTTTTGGGCATCTGAGGAAAGTTAGGATAGGGTCGGTCCCAAGGGCCACACTGCTGGTACATCAAAGGCCTTGCCCCCTGCCACTGAGTCCGAAGCTCCTGCCACCTTCTTGAGTTGTCCCGCTCTTCTTTAGCAAGCATTGCAGAAGCCTCTTCTTTCCTAATTGAGTTCAATACAGAATGGTCACATAGAATGATTTAACTGATAAAATTGTATTGACACACCACAATGAGGATAGGTGAATAGCATGGTGATAGTGTAGCCCTCAAACCGTATTCACTTTATAGCCCTTAATCCCGTAATCCTGACAAATGTGGGCAAAGAGGACTCAGGTGTGGTCCAAATTTTTATTTATAATAAATGTTATATCACTGTCTTCGTTAAAGTTTTGTCTATCCATTTATGGTGTTTTTTAATTTTATTTTGGGGGTATTTTAGAATTTATTTACTTCAAAAAGTACCATATTTTCTATAAAAAATATTTCCAAGTAAATTAGTTAGTTTTATTTTTATTTTATTTTTTTTAACTACATTAAAATATCATTCCAATAAGTCCTTAGAGGTAAAACCTAAAGATGAAGTGACTTTGCTGTCACCTGGTGTCTTATTTTTCTTATTTTAGATTAAAAAATGTAATTAAATTAAAAAATGTTCCCATTCATTTCTATGGGTGCCCAATTTTGACCCAAATACAAGATTAAGGAGTTTTTTTTTCACCCACTTAACATTGTAAAATTGAGTAAAAAAAATGTGTGTGTTCAGGAGGCAAACTTAGGAAAAGAAGTCAAGTCTTGTACCGCTCAGATCAAGGGAAGTATTTAAAAAAAATAAATCAATACTATTTTGCCCACATTTGTCCAGAATACGGTTTTAGGGTTAAACAACAATGCATATAAATAAAAATATGGGAAGAAACACAAAACATAAATGCCATGGAAGAAATGTCTATGATTTTCCTTGTCTTAATATCAGACTTATATTATTGGATCAAACTTATTATATTGTATTATAACACTATCATATTAATAAGGAATCTTTTTGTATTATTAAAGAATTACATCTATTAGCTGCTGTCTTAATTTGCTGTGATCTTGACTGAATTTTCTTGGAATGCAAAGGATTTCTGTCATTTATAAATGTCTAACACTCTCATTTAAACAGCATGGCGCATAAAAATAGTTGATGAGGTCAGACTATTTAAAGACATACTGCCCCATATACTGTTTAAGGGTTGAACTGGAAGGGTATAGTGTGGTATGCATACAAGAGTGTGAGAGCGCAAGTGTTGCAGTCACGGCTGTTTTAGGCCTCACATGACACCAGACTCTAGTGTCAGAACTGTTTGCAGAATAGTTTAATATAGAACTGCAGGTGTTGTGGTTACAAACAGACAATTAAATACACTCCAATAAGAAATATTTCAACTTAACGATTTTAAGTACACTACCATCTAATAAATATACATCTTTAAATATCATAAATAAAGACTGGCAGGTCTGCAACCACCATCACAGCCATACAATTCAGGGTTTTTAGCAGGGCCATAGCAAGACTCACCTGATCATTTCCTTGCGTTTCTCGATGAGCTGCACAATGTCCTTGTCAAAGTAGTCTTCATCTTGGTCTTCGTTTGAGGGCTGGTGCTTCTGATCCTCAATGCACTGTTTATGTGAAGGGCTGGAGATGTGACTGGCATAGTCGGTCAGGCTCACCTCAGTTACGCCGCAGACCCGGCACTCGTGTCCACAGTCCCTGGGGACGGAGAGGCACACAGGCTGCTCAATGCTTCCCTCGGGCATGGCTGATACTTTTGAGAGTGGCTGTCTAATCAGTTGGGATCCTTTTAAGAGATCAGGAGGCAAACTGACTTTTCAATATAAAATCCAACTAGTTACTAAAAAAGAACAAAAAAAATGCAATCTTCCTGATCTTGTGGTACATCTCCAAGGGCTTCACAACTGGTTTAGAGTGAGCAGGCAAGAACAGAAGGCAATAGGAGACAGTGAGCTCAGGGGGTGACCACCCGCTCAGCACCAGCTGAGCCTAGCACGCTGTCATGATGGAGTCTGCTGTGCTCTGAGAAGAGGGTTGGGAGAGCGGATCGATTTTGGTGTGTGAAATCGCATCCCCCACCCTCTGGCTCCACCTTCCACTGCTCTTTAAGGCTGCACCAAGGCCAGGACTCTTCAGCAAGCTGTAATGCGAGCTGCTTACAGTTGCCGGCTTGAGAACCCCTCCCTCCCTATTTTCTCTTTTTAACTGCCAAACTCGTGAGCGCTGTTGGCAGTCGGTTTATCCCCGAAAAATGGTGTCATGGCAGCTTGCCATTTTCCAGTCAGCAGCCTGTAAAGTTCTTTCAATTTTGAAAATATACGTGTTTTGCATGGCTTGCGAATGAGTACTATGATTTTGATTATGATTAGACTTATATGTGATTATTGGTCTGCGGTTCATTACCATTTGTTCAAATAAATTATTGATTATCACGCTTAATTATTGCTCTGATTAAAGCACAAAACAAGTTAAACTAATCTCATAAACATCATTATTAGCAAAATGCAATTAGGTCAAATATGACGAACCTGTAACCTGATGTTTGTGTGTTTTTCACCTTGAATTTCAATACTCTCCCCATTTAAGAATGCAATTCTCACTCTTCAAATTCCAGAGATCGACATAATTGTCACGAGGCAGTTGTCATTTGTCGGCCTTACCAGTTGTTCCCAACGTCCCTATATTTACTCCTGGGTTATGGCAGCTGCCTCGGCTTATCTATCCACTGACCAAAAGAGACACGTGCCTTTCAATACACATGCTTTGACCAAAAGTGTATTCAGGGTTTCCACACCTTTTTATCAAACAATTTTCCAAAATATTTCCCATGACTTTGACACTTTCTACGGAGCCCTTAAACTAAGGGATGTGGTGGTGGTGGTGGTGAACAAAATTTTGGGATGGGAGAATTTATTTATTTTTTTTACATCTTTTGCGTTCCCTCGAAAAACATTTGTTTTCCCTTGAGAAACTGCATTCCCCCGCAAAGAAATGTTGTATTCCCTCGCTAAACGTTGTTTAAACGCAAATGACACTTAGGTTATTAAAAATCTCAAAAACCCAAATTTCCTCAAAACGAGCTTTATAATATAAATTGATTGCTATAAGCAGGAGGGTGAGAGACAAGTCTGAAGGGACCATCTGCAAAGTGCAATATATACCCCAAAAAAAGTTACTACAAAAATACTCATTACACACTGTAGTGTCACCAAATTCAATTTACACATCAATGGTCTCCCACAGGTCATACTACAACACTTAGTTTATAAAATGCACATTTTATATTATCAAACATATTCAATAACTTCACTGTAACACACCAAATTCAATGCTGGCTATACAAATATACAAAACTAATAACTAATACAATAACTAAAAATAAGTAGGCCTATTCTTTACACAAATGATATTGGTACACAGCTAACATAATAGTCACAACCATAGCTTTTGCATAATATTTTCTTACTGAATTTTAAATGGCGTTACACTATAACAGTGTGAGGCTATTGAATATTTTTTCTAAAAATTGTGAATTATTGATTTTGTTTTATAATAAATAATCATAAAAATTCAGCTTTTTTTTTTAAATCAAACTAAGTATTGTAGTATAACCAACAGGAGAGCGGTGATGTGTGGACTGATGGTGACAGAACAGTGAGTCACAGTGAAGCTACTGAATATGTTTCATAATATAAAATGTGCAGGGTTTTGGGTTTTTAAGTAAAATTGGGTTGTAGCTCATCGTCAAGGTTGCTGTGATTGTAAAGAGGTGTCAATTGTGTTTTAACAACATTTAGCTCAAGAACATTGTTTCCGGGAACTTCGAATATGTGAATATGTGTATTGACAACTTCACTGAACTCCTTGAGTTAATAAGCGCTGACGCCTTTCTTTATCTTTGAGTCCACATTTGGGTGAATTTCTAAATTTTTAAATAGCAGATTAAAACAATTAAGCATTATAATTAGAGCACAAACATCTCAGATGAGGCTACAACACCCTGAGATGTAAACGTCACTCAGTTAATGTTGATAGTGTAGCGAAGGGTTTCCCAAACAGGGGTTCATGAGGGAGTTTGCGAGTTGATGAAAAGCTAATAACTAATGGAATCATAAAAAAATGAAACACTTACGAACAGAAGATTAAATACTATGTTTAGCTGCCTGTCAAGTGAGCATCAACCGTCATTACAAAACAATGAACGTGCAAATGTGTTGTTATATTATTGAAATATTAACTTAAAAGATTTATCTGAAGTAGAGCCTGATGTAAGTTAAGGGGTTCTGGTTGACATAAAGGTGGATTACATGATTCTATGCAACATTTGTGTGTAACATGACCTCTTACCGGCCTTTCAGATTCTCCAGCTCCCTGTGGTGCAGCATACTCCTCATGTGCTCCTCCATCTCCTAAAAACCAAAGACAGACACCGCTGAAATATAGCATCATGGTACTGAACAATATTTCAATTCATACAGGCATACATTTGGTGAAACAAACTTTTTCATGTTACACAGATCATTTTTAACATATCATATTTTATTCTTATAATGTTTCGCCTTGCACAGGTTATAGATCTCACAATAGAACAGTGCAGAACTGTGCAAGTCAGACAGGAGCCAACACGAGCGTCTAAATTACAATTTGCAGAGGTGGACAGTTACAAAGTACATTTCCTTGAGTACACTTTATGAATATCTGTACTTGAGTTTTGAAAATGACAAATATCATACTTTTTATTCCACTACATTTCTGTCATGGTCCTAGAGTAGAAAGTAGTCAAGTCAGTCAGGGGATGATTTTGGTTGGAGGGGTTACATTTCGGTTAGAAATGAAAGTCGGGTTGACGTCAGAACATCAACCTGATTTTAATTTTCATTGTTGGGTTTGGTCTTTTAATTACGAATTTTGTTATTGCTTTGATACTAGCTTAGAGTAAGGCTACCATATTCATACTAAAAGCCAAAAAACTTTAAATAGGGCACTATTTTAGGAAACAGCCATTTGGGTGTCTGAAACCATTGTGGACGTTATTGAGTGCACTTATCAATCTCACATTCAATCCCATACTGGAACTGTGTTCTAGATATGCATTTGACATTGATATGGGGGTAGACAGGCATAAATTCAGAGGCATAAGATACTGTTAGTATTACATTCAATGCAACAATAATAAAACTGCATTGGCATTTAATTTTACTTTCAATACTTGATCATAACGATAACTTCTGTACTTTTACTTATGTAAAAATCGGTCTTTACAACTAAATTACTTATAACTGAGTAAAATTTGACCACTAGTGTCAGTACTTTCACTCAAGTATGGACAGTTTGTCACAGAAAAACTAAAACTTTTCAAATTGTCACATTATAGCAGAACTGGGAGAAGGTTTGTGTTTAAAAAAAGCCAAGTTTACCTGTTTGGAGCTGTAGACCGTTTCACAAAGAATGCATTTCTGTTCTCGAACCATGTTGAAAGATGTTATTGTATCTTAGACCACCACAAATAAACAGGGTTCTGGATAATGAGACAGATAAAACAATCAGAACATGCAGCATGTAATGAGTGCAAAATCAAAAAATCATATGCTAAAAATGATTTCTTATTTCATATACACACACACTTTCTCTCTCTCTTAAACATTTCCTGTCAAAACACAAATATATTTGAGATAACAAATAAAATTGGATTTACAAAGGAAATATAAATCTTTCAAAATTGAAATACTGATCATATATTAAAGTGATAACACATTATTTTAAGGGTTGAATAGCAATACATGTACTTGTAATAGTAATAATTACAAGTAACTAATCATAAACAAAACCCTACCCTTAACCCTAATGTAGTTAATTAGTAGTTAGTACTACTACTAAGTACTAAGATAGATAGATAGATAGATAGATAGATAGATAGATAGATAGATAGATAGATAGATAGATAGATAGATAGATAGATAGATAGATAGATAGGCATTCAGACTCATGCACATAACTCAAAGATGACTGAGGTTTATTAATTATTTCATACTGCAGAGGCTCGTATGAAAAGGCTTTGCCAATTCCTACATTAGACTGTGTGGTATCAGTAATGCAAAAGGTTGGACAAACTCCATAAGGACGGAAAGAAGGTCAGTGTGTCTGGCTCCGTGCAGGTGCCAGAAGACACAAACAGGAACAGCAGTCGGTCAGGGGACTAAATGCAGTATGCTGAGAGTGTAGCACACAAGCCAACCACGACACCACAGAAGGGTCATGTCTGGACAGGTTCAGTGATTGGAAAAACACTGGACCAACACTGTATCTACACAGCTTGAGGAGCCATTCACACATAACGCGTTTTTGTGCTTAAAAATTTGATGCACACGGCAGTGGAATAGACCAAGCCATGTTGTATGCAAGACATTTGCTGCAAAAGACACCAGACACAACAGTCAAACCCGTGAAAGAAGAAGACTCACACAGAAAACATTTTTGTCATCCAGCTCTCAATATGGACTATTAGACAATGAGAATTATAAGCATTCACATTCATTTATGTAAATGTTCCAGAACTGTATTGTGGTGAAAAGCGCAGTGAAAATTGACATGACTAAAATAAAAATAAACTCTATTTGTGGATCTTGACAGTAAAAGGCTTATCTAAAAATGCCCCCCCTTCAGTGAAATATTTGATGTAAAATATTCAATGATTTTTATTAAGTAATCATTTATATTGTTAGTAATATTCCAAGATGAACGCTTGGTGGATTGAATTACCTTTGAATTAACACAAAAATTGTCAAAACATAAGAACCAGATAATATAAATCAGGCTTTTGAGGAACACTTATATGTACATTTCTCAATCATTCTTGTATTGCATTGCATTACACATTTTGTCACCACAATAAAAACTACAGAACTTTGATCATAAAACCTGGCATCTATAGTGTAAAAAGTGATATTTTGAAAAAATATCTAAAAACTGATATTTGATATCAGTTTGATAACTGATATATCTTAAAAAATAATAATAAAAACTGAAGCATTTTATGGAAGTAGTCAGCCATACTGCTAAGATCTCATTGATTTATCACAAGCTATCAGGCTTTCATATTCCTTTCAGCCTAGGCTATATAAATATCAGCAATTGCCCAAAGAAATTGCATAAATTTGCTTAGTTTGGGCCTCTGAATGAAATTTTGATAAGGATTAAATGTTTTTACCCTCCATATTCTCACTAGGCTACATTATATTTCAGCCTAATATATATGAAAAAACAAAAACACATGCAAACTTGTGATTTTGTCTAAAGTTTCAACATAACGTTACTGTACCGTACAAAAAATGTGTTGTTGTTTTTTTGTTTTTTTTTCTATTTTCTGACTATTATTTCTTATGTCAGGTGTAACAGGGTTTATATGGATGACTGTAAACTAGCATGCTTTGAACGGAAGTGCAGTTTATGCAGAAAAAGGGCACGACATGATTAGGCAGCGGTGCAGGAAATATTAATAATGTAAAAAAATAAATGTTCCACAACAGAAAAATGGCAAACCATCAGTGCTGTGAGTGGTCATTTCCAATGGTGCCACTGATAACAACAAAGCTTAAAATAGCTCTCAAGCACAGGTCAGTTTGCATGTCCTCTTCAAGTAAATAGAGCCCTGCCTCCCTCTCCTGTAAAAAAACAGCTCAGTAATATAATAACGGGGTGGAACATGAAACAGGCTGAAGGTTAATAAACAGGTTTGAGTTACTGAAATCTATCAATAGAGAAACCAATCAAACTGTTTACAACTCATTCATGCAGAGAACGGCGTGTTTGTTACAAATTCGCTCGTTGGTTAATGCAGCTCTAAGAAAAATGATGCTAACATCACTGATTAATATACTACTGTGAACTGACAGAAGGATAAATTGCAGCAAAACGTAAAAAGTGAAACATGCAGGGGTGTTTCTCATGTGCAGATGTTTAGCATTGAGGCTAACACACTGCATGGACTGAACGTTAGATCATGTAAGTTAAGCAGCAATACAATGTGGATAAAGACAAACACGGTATCATGTATACCTCTTAATTCACGCGGAGAACGCATTTCTTCAGATTTCCATAAAAATCACACCATTTCTATTCATTTTCCACAATTAGCAACGTTATGGGCGCCTTTCTTCGATGAAAACGGAAACAGTCGACCAGTTTCAAAATGGCCGCCAAGATTTTAAAGTAAAAGTCACTAACGGTATCGGGTAACCATAAACAAACACACTAGCTAATGTAAAAAAAACTTTAAAAAAAATTCAAAATACTTTTATAGATTCTAAATAAGGATACGAAGAACTTAAAAGACCACTATTTAAATAGCGCGTAGAATATAAAGCTAATAAACGTAAAGTGCAAAATAAAAAATCTTATGAATTATTCATCACTGCCATAACATTATTATTACTTCTTGTGTAAAACAAAGTCTCCTCATACGAATAATTAATTTAGCTGTAATAATCACTAAATACATTCAAGTAACTTGGTTTTAAATATAGTTTAAACAAGAAAAAATTTGCAGTGCTGGAGTCCACAGTTATAGAAGAATATTTTGTATATTAATACAATTGGAAGTTATAATGCTAATAACACAATTTTGATAACACAATAAAATAAAAGAACATCACATGGAAACAAGTCAAAGTCGTTTCATCATAACTACAAAAAAGACCTTCTTGTTTTGTAAACACGATTAAATAATGTTTTCAGAACATTTTTAAATCAATGATATAATTCCATAAGTTGGTATGAGTCTATACAACATGTCTCATAACAATAAAGCATAACTCATTCACACTGAAGAAAACAGCAGCAAGGCCGTATTTCTCTGTCATTGAATGTCCTGATATTTATACATTTGTTGATCAATTGGAAATGCAACTTAACCAAAGGTCCCAGTCATTAAAAGCCTTTTTTGTTTCAGCTAAATTCCTACTCAGTCATCATTTCAGCTGGCTGAATCTCACTGAGAACCAGTGTGAATAGTTAATATTTCAGTGTCACAACCACATTAATACACTTTGCCCTTGTACTGTAGAACACATGGCTCAGCTCATCAAGTTAAAATATATTGCCCAGTTAAAACATAACGTACAATAGAACAACAACAACACATTTCCATGAAAGTGTAATACATTCTTTGCACTGAAATAGTTCGCCAGAAGTCTCAAAGTGGTGGATGGTCGTAATTAAAAACTCCATTCGTGTTGTCAGATGTAATAGAATTAGCTCATTTGGTCCAATTCTCTAATTTTTGCCCTTAAGTGTCTTTTACGGATTTTGATCATCCACTTAATGCTGAGTTTGGCAAACTCTGCTGCTTTAAATAGAGCCATGAAGACACCACACAATATGGCTATAGTGTTCCACGGGTTTGCTGTGACTATCTGTTCAAAAACAAAAGGCACACTTAATTAGACTCCCTGTACAGCGTTATACAGAGACAATTAGTTAAATATTTAATTATGTGTTCACTTACATCTTTCACTTGCTGTATAAATGGATCTCGCCATTGGAACACAACAAAGAAAAGCTCGTTGGCTTGCTCCTGTGGCGGCCTCTTGTCCATGTACTTCACCACACTGGACTGAAATAAATATGGATCAAGTAAGTGACTGTAACAAAATATTCAGTATTTTAGGTGGATCAAGTCTAATATATATAAAAGGACATATTATGAAGTCTTGATTATGTTTTTAGGTTTTACAATAATAGGTTTTCATGCTTGAATGTTGCAAAAAACATTATTTTGCATATATTTTACATTGTTGCAGAAACGATTCCAACGATATAACTTCTCTGTGCATTATCCATTTTAGCCGTGGCGTTAACTCTGCTATTCTTTAATATTGAGATTTTTTTAGAACTATATCTTTATTGTTATCCATGGAGTTATCATTATTTGTGCTTTCTAACTTTGCAACTTTTTCATGCTCAAACTACAACATTACATATGGCAAGCCATTTTAGCTTTTATTCATTTCCAGGACATGAATTCTTGATATCAACAATTCAATTCTTGATATCAACAATAATATTGATGACAATTATCACCATAGGCTGCCATTCAAAACCAATTGTTGATATCAAGAATTGATTTCTTACTAGTTGAAATTCCAATTTCACATATCAGAAATACAATTATTACTAGTAAAAACCTTTATTTTTGATATCAAGAATTCAATTGTTACTAATTGAAATGTCTATTCTTGTACACTGTCTATTCTCTAATACATTTTCAGATATCAAAAATGATCATTTTTACTAGTACCAATTGAATTGTTGATATCAAGAATAGACATTTCAACTAGTGACAATTTAATTATTGATATCAGGAATTCACATTTTTAATAGTAACTATGTAATTATTGATATCAAAAATGATATTTCTACTAGTAAAAAAATCAATTCTTGATATTAACTATTTATTTTGAATGGCAGCCTATGGTGACATTTCACTAGTGGAAATACAATACAATTGTTGATAGCCAAAAATGTTATTGTTGATATCTAGAATTCATATCCTAGAAATGAATAAAAGCTAAAACGGCTTGCCATACATTACACACTAAATGCAAATGTTGACCAAGCAAAAAGCATAATAGATCCTCTTTAAGCCTAATTTGGTTGGTTGATCTAAATATTTACATATTAAAACATAATCACTTGATTTTCCATGGTGGTTATGATCCTGATTGTTATACTAGCAAGCTGAAGTTGACAAAGATTAAAAAAATAGCATAACAAATCTATTACCTCCTGTCTAAATTCAACTGATTCACTTCCTCTGCCAGACGTCTTGACCAAAGACATTTTGACCCATGTCCGAAATCCCCCAGAGAAGGTCCACATGGAGTAGTTCCTTTCACAGTCCATCATAAAAGCTGCTTTATCCGAGCTGATAAGAAAAATACTTTTTTAATATAAACAGTAAAACAAATCAGATTCATGCTGAACATAAATCTACCTTTTATGCAAGTCACTGAATGTGGCAAAAAACATGTAACTGATAGCGCTGAAATCCTCCTCCGTTTCATTCCGACTGAACTGAAGGAAAATTAGTTCTCGGTTCCTCACATCAGTTGGCCCTCTGACCACTATGGCTCGCTTCTGCAGTAGACGTGTTGCATAAAAGATTATTAATAGTAGCATTTCTTCAAAAATAGTTGATGAGGAAGCTCTAAAACATACTTGCGTCTGGTTTGAATAAGGCCCGTAGTAAATGACCTCCTCGGTTATACAGTTACTTTTCTCTAGTCTGCCCGATGCAACAAGAGGTGGAATGTTGTCATGATAGTGATGCATGCAACTTAATAACTGCGCCTTCCCAGGATACAAAGCAATTCCTGTTCGTAAAGAAATTATGAAAGATTCTGTATATAGACAATGAGAGATACCATAAAATAACAGTGTATTATAGCTCACCTGGTGCAGTAAACTCCTCAACTTCTTTGTATGAAACAGACATCACTGGATGGTTGAGTTTCTCCATGAAGTCTGAGATAGTCTGGTAGGCCAAGAACACAGCCACTGCAGTGAGCAGCAGGTATATGAAGACAAGGATGACTGTGAAGACATTCTTCAGGCAAGCTTTGTTGAAACCATTGGGCATTAGATTGCTGTCCACAGCATCCTCATCTGCAATATATAATAAAAAGTTTATTTTTAAGCAATGTCTTTAATAAAAAAGACACAATACATACTGTACATAAAGAACTATCCCAGAATGCAAATGTTCAATTTGTCTTAATAAATAAATTAATTCAATGTATTCCTCAAGAAGAGAAGTTTGTACAAATAACTAAATATAGATTTTATCTATATATAATATATAGATTCAGATGGTCAGTGAAAACAGTTTACTTTGTGGCTTACTATGTTTTTATTTTGGCAATTTAAAAGTATCATACAATCATTGTTAAATCAACTCCCTAAGTTAATTAAACTTATATTAAATTTAAATATGTAAACATACATGCATAGGCCTACCTACAAGTCAAGTCACCTTTATTTATATTGTGCTTTATACAATCCAGATTGTTCCAAAACAACAGGAAAATGATTCAATGATGCAAACAGAGTTCATTTTGGCTGTCATTGTTCATCTGAAGTCGGTTTACATGTTTATTCCGTTGTGAAGATCATTATATAAAGCAGTTTTGCAGAAAATTGTGGTTTTCTGAATACATAAAATTACACCACCACAATATAACTATTGGATTAATGGTAACACGACTTTACAATAAGCTTCATTAGTTAGCAAATGTATTATGAACTAACCATGAGCAATACATTTGTTACTGTATTTGTTAATCTTTGTTAACGTTACTTAATAAAAAAAACAGCTGTTAGTTCACAGTGTATCAACTAATGTTAACAAATACAACTTTTGAATTGAATAATGTCTGAGTAAGTGTTGAAATTAATTAGGGCTGTGTTAAACGATTAATCGCATCCAAAATAAAAGTTTGTGTTTACATAATATATGTGGGTGCACTGTGTACAATTATTTTATATATATATATAAATACAGACACACACACATGCTTGTATATATTAAATACATATTTTCACGTATATAGATTTATATATAATTTATATTATATATAAATATTTTATATATAATTTTTTTTCTTAAATATACATGCATGTGTGTGTGTATATGCACAATAATTATACACAGTGCACCCACATATATTATGTAAACACAAACTTTTATTTTGGATGCGATTAATCGTTTGACAGCCCTAAAATTAATATGAACTAAGATTAATAAATGCTGTAAGTATTGTTCATTGTTAGTTCATGTTAACTAAGGTAGTTAACTAATGAACCTTATTGTAAAGTACTGTATTACCTGATTAATACCAAACTCTAGATCTACATGAACAGAAAAACAATGACCTATCAGTGTCATATTTTAGGAACAAGTTCTGACCTGGTAAAGGGTCACACCTAGCTTCATCAAGCTCCACTTCAGAAACATCATTGTTCTCAAGTGGCCCAGCAGCAAAGTCCTCGCCATTGAACTATAATGCAATAACAATAAATGACATAAAAAGTACAGACATATACAGTTATTTGTTTGCTTTTTTGCTAAAGCACATTTGACAGTATTTTGCGCCTCGTATCTCTCTAACGCCCAGCGGCAAGCGGTCAGCTGATATCACATGACTGCAGCTTCTGCTTTAACCATGAAACTCACTCACTGAAAAGAAACTGCTTTCATACGGATCACACTATGAATGAGTCCTGCTGGATCCAACCGCATTTCACACACTAGTTAGTTTCATTACCTCCTGATAAGATCGAGATGTGTCTCTCCTCAGCATTGTGCTTCACCTTCGAATATTTGGGGCATTTAAACTTTGCCATCAACTTGCTCGAGCAGGACCCAGACCTTCTCATCTCTTGTTACGGATCGTCTCGAGGAGCTCGCGTGAGGCGCAGCCAACGGCCAACAAACATGCCAAGCGTGACATCACAGCTGCTAGTTAGTTGGGGAGGGCTTGGACACTGTCTGTGATCTTATTCTAAGAAGTTTACGCAAAGTCTTCCATAACACATTACACGATTTAGGTTCTGTTTAGTATTTTCTATCACACCACATGGTATCCATAACGAATAACAAGTAGCCTAATGAGAAACCAGCACTTTCGAAAAATAAGTTATTTTCTCAACAGTACTGAGAGAGTTTTTTTATTGGTGTAATATTGGTGTTTCGTGAACTATCTTTTAAGCGAATGAATCGTTGTCATTCACATTTTAGAGACGTTACTGATAACATATTTTCGTGTGTTTCTTTTGGAAGCGCGTGACGGTGACTGACTGAGATTGACTATGGCAAGAGCCAATAGCATTCAAGGTGGTCTGTAATGGAACATTTCATTGGTTTGGTTTACTGAACGACTACGCCCCCGTCACCGGGTCATTATTAAGTGCTAACCTTACTAGACGACAGGGGGCATTGTACATCACTGTATTTCAGGTTTATCTCATAAACAGTAAAAGAAAGGTTTATCTATGGGTTTATCATCATGTGATCTCGTTCACAAGGAGAGAAAGGAGTAATACGAGTTATAAATGACTGTGTAAAAATAAATGATGGCAAAAAAATGTAGATGGAAGTACGTTACTAAACGCAAACTCTAAAATCCTTTTTATTAACTTTAACTTTTATAACTTTTATTTGTAATTGCACAAGTATTGACAGAAGAGAAATCTATTAGGCCAAAGCCCGTCCTAAATGTAATAACATACAAATGATTTGTGCTTCAGAATTGTGTTTTTATACACAGCGCTTTATGAAATGAAATGAAAAGTTTTTATTTCGAACATGTAGAAAACAAAAAACAAACAATACATAAAACAAAGAGAAAAAACAAAAACAACAAAAAAAATTTTTTTTAACTTATATGTCCGAAAAGGAGTAGGAAGAAGCATAAGCTTATTCAATCCTACCCCATCTTCAACTAATTACTAATTAACCGGTTGACCGAATATTTTAATCTATTTGTCTCTAAACACCAAAAACAAAAACAACATACATATCTACCTATGTGTATATACATCTTCAAAAAAAAATTACATAAGAGAAAATAAATAAAAACTAATAATAATAATAAGAGAGAAAAAAAGAAAAATATATAAATAAACTATTACCTAACTAATACTCTTCATCCTCTCTATACCGTTCAAATATCATATTTTTACAATGCTTTTTAAACTAAGTCATAAAAATTTATAAAATATTTTAAAATATTGTTATAAAAGTAGAGATTTGTTAAATTTATACATTTTTATGGATAATAACCATGACATTCAGATAATTCCCTTGTTTAAAATATAGAGGAACCTGGCTGTTGGCTGTTAGCCAAGTTCCAAAGAAGAGTTTCATTGGTGCACGTCACATCCGGTCCATCTCACGTGAATGGAGAGACAGAAACTCGCGGCAAGTGGAAGAAATTTAGAAAGTTTCCAAGCAGAAGTTGTTGTTTGAAGCAGTCTCATGAAGTGCAAAGTCATATAAGTCCACTATATCCGGACCCCAAACAGCGATTCATTAAAATAGTAAATCATTTTGTCCTAAAGCACCAATTAGATACCGTTCCGAAACAAATGGAGCATTTCCACCTCCGATTGTGAAGATCTGATCTGAGATCAGCATCTGAAAGCCTGAATGGAAACACCGAGAGACACTCCCGTGGCAACAAGGAAACTGTAGCCCCAGACTCGGTACTTACAAACCTCAACAACACGGACAGTCCACAATGTTTTATGCCCGTAGTGTTTTATTATACGCATTACTATGTATTTGTTCCACAAATGATGAGAGCAAAATTAAAAACGCACCGAAACCGGTGCGTTTGTTCACCGAGGAGGAGTTGCAAAGGTACGATGGGAGCGAGGTATGTTCCGTCATCTCAAAAACACGGTGCTAGTTTTATGCGCTGTTTCAAAACTATGTACTTTTAATTAATTATTAAATGCAAATTGTTTTTATTGACGAGTTTTAAACGTGCCCCGCCCCCTTTACAGGATGGACAACCAATTTACATGGCCATTAAAGGAGTAGTGTTTGACGTCACCACTGGAAAAGGTCAGATGTGGTATAGCCTAACTTCACCTTCTTCAATGTTTTGTGTGTTGGTGGAAGTTTCAAACTAATAGACACTCATTAGAGGAAGTAGGTCTAGTTTAGATCTTTGCTTTGTTCCCTATTTTGATTTTGTGTATGTCCTCACTTATCTGGTGAAATATTATGACAACTGCCTAGTGAGGGCATCCTTACTAGTTAAAAAGGCTTGTAAATCGGCCAAAAACATGTTTTTAATGTGCTTTGCACATGTTTCGGTCAGGGTTGTGTTTAGGGTTAGGACTTGGGTTAAGAAAATATCCTTAACATGATTTAAAATCAGCAGAAGTCTATTCAATCTCCTCACTGACAGTTAATACAGTATAGTGAAACAAACGTGCGTGTTAGAATTAAGCAGTGTAACCACAGGCCTATTTGCATTTTACTGGATCAAGTTTCCAACATTCCTGGGGAAATACAGGAATTTCCAGGGCTGGAAAAACAATGAAGCTATGCAATTTAAGGGCCCGATATACTCACGGTAAAGTTCTTTTTTGTTCTTCGTTTGGCGTAAAAAGATATTCGAAATACGTGAGCAGCGATACACTATCGAACATCCAACACCACCCACAATGCTGAGAGCAAATTTATATGAATATGTAAATATGTGCTGTGTGCTTTTCACTCAACAAAATAAACACACAACCAAATTGAGAAAACAGCAAACAACATTTTAATAAAAAGCATAAGAAAAGCACACCTGCCTATTTCGTAACCGCCATGGGCCAATGAAAGTACAATAGTCTTTACCAGCCCTAGCAAATTTTCGAACTTCGTTTCGGCCTGATTTTGTTCGAAATGATGTCACATAAGTTCGTTCTTCGATTTCGCTTGAAGTATATCAGGGCCTTTAGCACCGTTCCAGGATTCATGAGAATTTCTATAGTGAATTTAAAGTCACCATGAAATCAAAACTGACAATTCTTAGTTTTTAATGGGATATTGCAATATTTATTATAAAAAAGTTTTATTCGTGCACATCATTTTTTTTAAATACATGTGACCTCGTAATCTTTAATCAAAATAACTGTTCTTCTCTGATGATGTGTTTACTGGCAGGAGGGCGGGACAACCTGTCAATCATATGAGATCACAGCAAAAGCAAACCACAACAATCCAACGTTCCAATCAAATCTCGATGGACGAAATTAAGCCCCGCCCTACATTTTTTCTTGTCCGAGAAGCCGTTTCACTCAGATATACGTCGCAATAGGAATGGCTAACAAAGTCATGGGAATTCCTTGGGTCAAAAAGTGTTGAAACCTTACTTTGTCTATTTCATTTCCAGATTTTTACGGAAAGGGAGCATCTTATAATGCCCTTGTGGGCAAAGACTCAACCAGAGCCGTGGCCAAAATGTCCCTCGACCCCGCAGATCTCACACATGACACTGTAAGTTGGGGATTTTATAAAGATCACAACTTTGCCACAGAAAAATAAACAGTAACACTTTACAATAAGGTTCATTATTTAACATTAGTTAATGTATTAACTAACATGAACTAACCGTGAGCAATGCATTTGTTACAGTATTTGTTAATCTTCGTTGATGTTAGTTAATGATAATAAAGCTGTTCATTGTTTGTTCATGTTAGTTCACAGCGCATTAACTAATGTTAACAAGATTTTAATAAAGTATTAGTAAATATTGAAATTAACATTTATAAGTATAAGTGCTGTTCATTATTAGTTCATGCTAACTAATGTAGTTAACTAATGTTAACTAATGAACCTTATTGTAAAGTGTTACCAAATAAACTAGTTAAAGCTTCAACACTGTTGTTAGATTGACTCTTTGCCACAAACCTTAATAGCTTTTTTTGGTTTCCATTTGTCAGACGGGCCTCACTGAGACTCAACTTCGATCCCTCGAGCAGATTTTTAAAGGCACATACAAAGCAAAGTACCCCATCGTCGGATACACCAGCAGGCGCGTTCTCAATGAGGACGGCAGCCCCAATAAAGACTTCAAACCTGAAGACCAACTTAATTTCAACATTAAAGATGAATTTTGATGCTGAGACACCCTTTAACGAAAAAAGACATCCAACAATCCAATCAAAAGTCTGAGTAATAGTTGTTTGTGACCTCTGACAGTAGTGGGCATGTGTAAATTTGAGGTTGTCTGGTGGTCTTTCAGCCTACAACCTAGAAAATATTATGATGCATTATATCCCACGTGGGTTTTTCCCTGGTGGGCTGTTTTGAAGGTCATTCAAATGAGGCCACCTACAGGTGTGATTTAAAAAAATATATATAGGCACCTCGTTTGGCCTTTTTGAATGTATCAAATGATGATTTGAAATGTTTGCGCTGTTTAAAAAGTATTGATTATTGTAAGCCTGCAATAAATCACTTGGTTTCTCACTGTACACGAGGGGAAAGTTTGGTGATTCACATGTAGAAATTGAAATTGCTTTTGTGGTGAGGGGTTTCGTTTTACAAATTAAGAAGTTAAGCGTTAATGATATCATTCCACAACATCATTTTTACTCAAACACCATCTCAGTCATAATTATAGTGTTGTGTCTAATCTATATAAAATGCCCTTGATGACCAGAAATGTTTCACATTAATCTGAGAAAGAGAGAGTTGTTTGTTACTTTGGCTTGTTGTCCTCTCATATTAGGGTCTTCTGGGATATTTTAAGTCTGAATGGAATGTAATAAACAAGTTGTTTAGAAACACACAGTCTCAAACGAGTGTGATGTGAGTCAGGCTATTGGAACATGGCTGTTCAACATGTAGAAGAGAACGGGGCTAGTTGTCACAAGAGCTAAAACTCAGTAAGGATCTGAAAAAAAGTCTAGTTGTACAAAAAAAAAAAGTTGAACATATCTATACCATTTAAATATTTGAGCTCAGTATTGTTTAATGTTTTTGAAAGAAATGTCTTATACTCACCAGGGCTGCATTTATGTGCTCAAAAATACTGTAGAAACAGCATTATTTGTGAAATATTATTACTATTTAAAGCAGCCATTACTCATTTTAATAAACTGATTTCAAGACACATTTCTGATTATCATCAATGTGCTGCTGATATTTTTGTGTTAACCATGCAGTCGACAAATTTAAAAGAAAATTTATTTTAAATATAAATCTTGTAACATAATTGTCTTTACTGTCTGCCACCTTTGATTGATTGAATGTAACCTAGCTGGATCCGAAACTTTTCTATCATATTATATATTTTTTAAACCAAAATGATAAGATTCTTATTTGTTATACTGTTTGATTTCCACTGGAAAAAAATATATTATTTAATGGCACATTCCCTGCTATTGGGGCATATAAAATGCCCCCACAGTAAAAAAAAAATATATATATATATTGTTGGTTTAACTTAAAAAATGAAGTAACCTGGTTGCCTTAAAATTTTAAGTTGATTGAACTGGAAAAAGTGAGTTAATACAATGAAGGAGATTGATTTAATCATCAGAAACTCAAAATAATAAGTTATCTCAACTAAATAAATTATTTAAGTTGATTTGACAAAAGAAAAAATGTTGCGATAACAAATTTTGAAAATAGTTTTTTTTACAGTGAAAATGGACATTTTCAGTTTCTTTTAGTAAAGTAATCTGCTGCCCAGTTCTCCCCAGTAAAGAAAGAAATAGCTGTTCAAACTACGATTTTTAAGAAGACTCGCTTTTACCGTTTTAAACTCCCCTGCATGTTTAACTTTCCAAAACATCAAAAGGCTCCTGATGAGAACTCAATGACCTGATTTCCTGGGAGACTGTAAACAGTGGGAGGGTATATGCAGAAAGGCATTTGGCCAAATGCAGCTTTTATTTTCATGATGAATTTACTTATTATACATCTCTTAAAACATGGGGGCTGGCCGGTTTCATGAGCGACAGTGAGTCAGTTAGCAAAACACTGTCAGATTCGGAGTCTCAAAATGATGTTTTTTGTTGCTTTTAAAAAGTCCCGGCCAGGGTATCATTAGCATTTACAGCACAATAATGAATCATTGTAAAAGTGCCTTTACTGTAAACACTAGCCAGGCTTAATTAGTATCAAATTCACCAGAAAACCTTCAGAAACTGAAATTGATTTCAAGAAATAATACAAAATGACTAAATGCCAAGCAACTGCCATTATAGAATGCAATATAACATAATAATGATTGACATCTTAAGACATTAAACTCCAATTGGGCATATATTCGTGCTCACATGAGTGACGTATGTCGCACTTTCCACCCTCGGTCACAACAACTTGCCTTTTGTAGCTAAAGAGGTGTTGATGGTGGGTGCCCGTGACGCTACTTCCTGTCTCCATTGCACTTCAGAATTTCCCCTTTGCCCGCCCACTAGTATTTTGTGTGGTGCAGTGGGCTGTTTCACTTCAGTCTGACTGAGTCTCTTGCTACAGTCTGTTCTGCTCCGGAGTCAATGTAGCTTGTTGCTTTCTCCAGCCACCCACAACATTTAATATCTTCTTGGATTTTTTATAGTGGTGAGTAATGTTTATTTACAAATACTGGTTTTATTGTAGTGTGTTATTACCCTGGCTTGGGAGCTGTTAGCTAATTCAATTAAACATAAGTATGCATACATTCTTGATATTTTGCTAATAAATATGGATAAGTCTGTTTAGCAAATGCATTATTTGGATCATGGACTTTGGGTGTTGATTTCCCAAGTTTGATGCTATGATACGCTTTGTATTAAGTTTCTGTAATACCTAATCAAACCATTTTCACTGATCAGGTAATCTGACGAGGACTGATCTATTGGTCATCAACACCCAGCAAACCCATGAAGGTGCTGAGTGGTCACGACGTGGTAAGTTATCACCTTCGCGCATAGTTTCACTCACCTTTTGTCCCTTAATGTCATCATGGAAACTGATTAGTACGTACTTGAATTGACCTGCTTCCACAAATCTCAATGAAAGGATAAACACATCTTTTGCTCTTTCTGTTTCAGTCTAAATCGTTGACTCAAACCAGCATGGACCAATTCATCATCCCAGCCACAGATGTAAGTATTGATCCCAAGATCTTACGCATAGAGCACTTCTGATTGAAAGGTTAGTGCAATTAAGGATTCTTTGAAGGCTGAGCATTGAGAACAAAGCCTAAAATGGGATATTACAAAGTCCTGACCTGTTACATCTCAATATATTTAACCAACCTGTAGTTTACAAAGCTCACCAACCTAAAATCCCCCAATTACCATTTTTAGTTCTTCCTCTTAATAGAAATGCCTCTAGGTCATTGCTTCATCTGATGGATTGCTTTCTATTTCCATTAGGTTCCCTTAAATACAGGCATTTCCCTTAGTCAGCAGACCAATGCAAATCTGACCAGGATCTCCCCCACTGGTAAGCTTACAGTCTCACTTCTGTTCTCTTAAATGTCATTGCTCTTGTTGTCTTGGACTTTTTGATGTCGAAAAGAAACAACAACGACCTTTCAAAATTTTCATTGTAAATTAGAGTATCAGACTACTGTATGCTTGTGGAATAGTGGGTTTTTACAGTTTCTTTATTGATATTCAACAGGAAACATAAACATCAATCAAAGGCGTTGGAGGAGCATGTTTCGACGAGTACAGAAAAGGAACATGGAATCCCATGATGCAAGTGTTCATCCCGAAAACAAACTGTTTGGGCGAGCCTTGTCGGAAATCTGTCAAAAAGATGGGTGTCCTCCCAAACCAATTATGGTGAGAATTGTCTGAATGAATGTCCATATTTTATGTATGTTGTTTTAGTCTTTCAAATGTCTCAATTTACCTCAATTTGCTTCGCAGGATATCCTTACGTTGCTACAAAAAAAAGGTCCAGACACCGAGGGGGTGTTCAGAAAGGCCGGGAACGCCAGACTGCTGAGAGAGTTCAAGAAGAAGCTCAACGATGGGATAGAAGTGGATCTGACGGAGCAGTCTGTGTTTTTGCTTGCTGATCTTATCAAGGTATTGGACGAACTTGAGCAACATGATTTGATTTGAGTGACTGACAGTAATGAAGTCTAAAAGATGCATATTTGGTCATTAATTCCCTGGGTTTTGTGTATTCCGATTGGCAGGATTTTCTTAGACAACTGCCTGGCAGTTTACTAATGGTGGACAAGGCGAAATCCTGGATGACTGCAATGGAAAAGGAAGATGAAGTTCAGAGGTGTGCTGAAATCAAAATGTAAGTTATCTAATGACACACTTGGGTTGAATGAAAAGTGTTTAGTGTATTTGTGTGTTTGTAACCAGGTTTTTTTTTAAATTTTGTCTTTAGGGTGATCAACACGCTTCCTGAGCCAAATATTCAGCTCTTGAAGCACTTGATTGTTCTGCTTTACCACATAAGTAAGAAGGCTGAATCAAACAAGATGGTTCCCCTCAATCTAGCTACATGCGTTTCCCCCAACTTGCTCCAAACGGACAACGACGTGAAAAAGATGGAAGAGGTGAGTGTGTAGTGATTTCTAAAAGTCTTAACCTTACTAAGTTCCCACACAATGTGGCCAGGAGCCAGATAATAGCAGACTGAGTAATACTGAAACTGAAGTGATCAACCTAGTTTCATATCCAAAGTTCAAACTTATTTTTACCTAATTTCATTTTTTTGCCATCGAGGTGCCATTTGTCTAATCCTCATGTCACTCTTTGAATTTGCAGGTGACAAATCTGACAGAGTTCCTCATTAAAAACTGCGACCAAATATTTGGTGAGGATGTGCTGATGCTCTTTGGAGACTCTGATGAAGAGGAACTCAGCGATAACCAAGGTAGCTTCTTCTAACATTTTATCTTTTTGAATGCCTATGTAGTCGATTTTTTTATTAATGGGCATGAAGTACACTCTAATAAATGCTGGGTTGTTTCAACCCAAATTTGGGTCAAATATGGACAAACCCAAATGTTGGGTTAAAAACGTAACCCAACTTCAACTTTCACTTTCAACCGTAATTTTTTAACGAAACATTTGGGTTTGTCCAAATTTGACCCAAATTTGGGTTGAAGCAACCCAGCATTTTATAGAGTGTATCAACTTCAGATGTGTCTCTGAATATTATTTAGGAGAATTTGATCTTGAATGATATCTTGGGAAATATGAGAACATTGCTAAGATCTCTTCTGAAACCCTTGAAATAGAGATCATTTTAAATTGTTCTAATCTATGGGTTCGTAAAGTCTTCTTTGCCATTTTTCCAGTCATTATGCAATCAATAGTTGCTCATCCTTTGACCAATGAGAGGCGGTCCAGTTGTACCTTCAGAAATCTAATTGGCCGTCCAATTCCAACTTGAATTTTATCTCCACACCCTCAAAACATCTTTCCAATTATCTGTCTCCAGTGTGTGGGCAACCTTTACATAGAAAAGCCAATGTAGACAAAATACTTAATGTTCTGATAATTATTAAGTATCTATCCTTGATTTCTCCTTCAGATTCGTTTTCTTCACACCATCACGACTCGGCATATGACAGTAATGACCCTGATGCAGGCTACAAGGGAAGTTTCTCTGACATGGACTCTATCAAATCCGGCGTTGAAGAGAATGCCCAGAAACTTTCCAGCACGGAGGAACCTTGGACTACAAAATTGTTGACTCGCAGACGCTCTGAACCAGCAATCGTCTTGAGCAAGGAAGTCCGGCACATGGTCCTATCTAGAAGCCAGACAGAAATGGACTTTCATGACAAACAATTAACAAAACAGATCTCCGATGACTGTATTGTGTTTAGAGCAGGTAACAGCTTGGGGAAAAGCGGTTGTTTGGCACCTAAAACCAAAGAATCCTCGTATTGTTCTTCAAGTTCACTTGAGAGTTGTTTCTCCAGCGCTTCAGAGAGCTCAATCCATAATAGCTCTCCTATCATGCCTTCATGCAATCAGAGAAAGACCCTTCTACGCAAACATTCGCATCCCACCCGCCAGTCGGCACCTGCCCCGAATCGCTCAGAGACCCCAAAAAGACGCTCGCAATCAATGAAGAGCGCTCACATAAGAAGCAGGACCGTCTTCGGGCGAAGTGGGTCCACCAAACGGGCCATCGAGAGAGCTCTACGCCATAGCCAGACCCTACCTGAGGTGCTGAAGCCTCAACCGGAGCCGAGACGTTTGTCTAGCGAGGAGGTTTTCCATCAGGTGGACAGCAGGATACCAAGCGATCCGCCGAGTTATCAGCAAGCGCTTGAGCACAATTCCCATGTAACTCTCTCGAGCTGCAAATCGCTGACCGTTCAGGACGCCAGATGTCTGTCGAAGAAAACATGCAGCTGCTCCAGATCCTCAAGCGAAGAAACATTGGATTCACCTTCTGGGAATGAACAATTTGATATCCACAATAGAGACAATGAAGAGACATGTTGTGATTGTATGAGTGGATCTGAATATGTGTATGAAACATCACTGCCAGAGTGGTGCAATCCAGAACACCTCAGAGAGACATACGTCTGATGAACTGTTTTTGATATATTTTGTATATTGTTGCTACTTTTTGGTGGTGTCATAATATCTTTTGCTTTTGACCTCATAATGAGGCACAATTCAGAAGTACAATAAAGTACAAATCAGGCATATTTGCCTATTCTTCATTTTAGTCTGGTCTTTTGTGACGATGTTTTTATACCCACTGTATTTTGATTTTCCAGCTCCCCAAAATTGTGGGAAAAAGCTACTGAAAGGCACTTTGAGGAATTTTCACTACACGTGTTCATAAGTTTTTGTGCAATGTTTGCAGAACTAATGTATATGCTTTAAAGCAATGCAAACCATTTGTATGTCTTCTCATGAAATAAAGACATGAAATAAAACTAGTCGTGTTTCCATTTATAAAAAATGAATTTAAATAATTTAATAGTTTTTGTTTTTGTTTCAAACCATGAATCAAATCGGCTTGGTCTGTAAATGATTGAAAACTAAAGCTAAAACTAAAACCATTTTTTTCTCATTTTTTAAAATACAATAAACAGTAACTAAAATAAAATATAAAAAACTATCAAACTTATATTATTCACTTATTCAGCTAGTTGCTTAAATTTAGTTTAAGTTAAAGTGTTTAACTCAAACTAAAGGAAAGTACTAAAAAACTAAAACATATAAAACTACATAGACATGTTTAAAAAAAAAAAAAAGACAAACACTGAACAAAATTACTAAACTACAATGGCCCGTAAAAAAACATTTGGACCTTAAAATGTATAAATGACATTGCATTAGATCAGCAAACTCAGGCTATGACCCATCTAGATGTATAATCTTGATAGTCATTAAAAAAATGAATTTAAATGAAATATGATGAGTGCAGTGCACCTGTTAATGCGGTTCGGGATGCAGGTTCACCAATAGGTTGTGACCCACATTTAAAAACCAATAAATTAGATCAAATGTCAAACCAAGTAGCAAACAAATAACTCTCTATTTTTTACAGTCTATGATAACCCTACATTCTTAAAAAATGGTTTTTAAAAGGTGTTTTTCACAGGTGTTTTCAACCCTGATCCACTTTTCTGCAGAGTTTATCTCTCCAACCATGAAACTCAAAATTTCCAGAACTCTTAAAGACCTAGGGTGTGTCTCAATCAGGTCGTGAATCAGTATATCGTGTAGCCTACATGAATTCAGGCACTGGTCGGACAGTAAGGCAGGGTCCCTTCAAAATGAACTTAATCTTTTTCCGAGTCATTCATTCATTGAATGAACCAAATGACATGAAAAAGATTCGTTCGTTTTGATAAACGAGTTCGTCACAAACGCTCATCACAGAACAGAGCAAGGCGAGCATTTGAGCTCATAAAACTTAAACTTTGTTATTTTTTTTTTAAATGAGCGTCGTTTCGCTTGATAAGACCCTTATTCATCGTCTGGTTTCGTATAAACCCCTCTGAACAGTTTCGCAGTTTGCACTGAAACTGTCTTTTGGACCTTGAACCGTTTGGTTACCAGTAAAGTGCATTATATGTAGAAAAATCTTGGAATGTTTTCATCAAAAACCTTAATTTCTTTTCGACTGAAGAAAGAATCACATCTTGGATGACATGGGGGTGAGTAATTATCAGCAAAAGTTTTTAAAAGTGAACTTACTCCTTTAAGTGTTTAAATAGCCTACGTTGTGTGAGGCTACTACATACTAGCCTACCTGTCGGCCTAGGCTAGGCTAATAATAGACTAGAGTAAGTTGAGAACACCTTTGTTGTAAGCTCAACTCCACCCATGATCTCTCCACCTGCAGTGTATATGGATGGACGAATGCTGTAATGTAACAGTGAGCTGTTAAAGAGCTTCTCTCATTGATAGCAACGAGACAAGAACCTTCTGTTCAAATTAGCAAGGCTGCATTACTGCATACAGTGCGTGCTCGGTGCTCTGGGTCTGTCGCATTGCGTGCGTCGCCGTCTGGGCGCGAGCCCGATCAAAGGTCGAACCTACAGGATCCGCAGCTGCGCGGTAAGCAGAGACCCGTTGCGCCTCTTTAACTCGAGTGGTCTAACTAACTTATCGTACTAGCTATCGCTGGGGCGAGGCTTTGACACCATCTATCGAAAATGACTCAGGAATGAGTCTCTAGCGTTCACTGTTAAGATAGGTCGCGAGCACAGAGACTGTTAAAGATCCAGCGCGCGCCTATGGTTTCTTTTCTTCAGTTGGTTCCCATAAAAGACTGACGATGCCTAAGCCTGTAAGTATTTCTTTTCTTTTTTATTAAACGTAAAGTTTATGTTTACATAGGGGTAAATTCAGGTTGATTTGGACACTTTTTTCCCGTTCATCTCAATGGCAAAATGTGTCCCACTCAACCTGCATTCACCCCCAAGAACAAAACAGGTGTAATAAATGGGAACAATTATATAAGTTAAACTCCCTATTACACAGGGATTTTTTTTGGGTGAAGAAAGTAGCCTAATATGTCTAACTTACTGTATGTCTTTCCTAATTTATGTTTATTCTTGATAAATATAATTGAATTGTGTCTTATTTAGTGGGGTTTGTATCTATCTATGCCTGCTGACTTACAATAGTCATCTGTCAAAAAGACTCATTTCATTACAAAAAAGTTTTATAGTTTAAGATTATTTGATATTTTATTCAATATTTTTGTAATCTGTTATGCCAAATGTTGAAAGATAGGATATTTTTTGTTTGCATTCAGTAGTTAAACCAAGGTAAAGCAGCCATTTATTACTATATTACCTACCTCATTGTCAATGTTGACGAGTAAAATGGCATATCTAAATCATATTAATGCTTATGATTAGTGGTTATTTCTGAAATTACATTATCATCTTTATAATTAATCTCCAAGAGGTGTACATCAAACTTTAGGAGGATACTAACTATGAATGTGATGGTTAACATGCTTGAGTATGATGAGTCTTTACTCATTAACTAAACTTAGACAATGAGGATGAGTTCATGCTGTGTTCACGGGCGCAGAATGCCGCAAAGTAAAATATTAGCTAAATGTGCTGCTGTGAACATACTTTTGACTTTAGTATTTGAATACCAGGATGTGATGTCACTCTAATTATTGCTGAGAGGTTACTGATAAACCAGCTTATTCATCAAGGTTTTAATCTTTATGTATTTGTAAGTATTTGAGTTCTTTTAGTGGTATGAGAGTGGAATCTTTCTGCACACCGCATGGACATGTTACAAGTGAAAAAGCGATTCATTCTGAGAGAAATATGGAGATACAGCATTACCAAATTTGTCCCCATTGTTGAGTATCACATTATAATTTAATTAAATTAATAATCATTTGGTTAAAACAGAAATATGCCATTATATCATACACTCTTTAAAATGAAGGTTCCAAAAGGGGGGGTTTCTCAATAATATCACTGAATATTTTATCTTCCATAGTTCCATAATGTTAAGGTTCTTCATGAACCATTGATGCCAATAAAGAACAGTCTATTATCAAAGATTACAATTGTTAGAAAAGATAATTCAATTGAAATTGTCCCCTCGCTGCTTGAAACGTACAAAGTCCTTCCAGGATTATCACAGACATACTTTAAACCCCAGCTGCAATTATTGTGCATGCAGTTTTCATAAACTCATATGAATTGAGAGAATGTACTTTGCCAATACTTTGGAAAAAATCATTCGGGACACCGCAAGACCATTGAAACAAACTAGAGAAGAAAAAAGCTGATTAAAAAGCTTAAAAGAAATGGTGACCAGCATCATATACCTGAAATTTAATGTCCATTTCCATTTTTCATGAGTTATCCAAATACGTTTATTTAATCTGAGAGAAGACCTAAAGCTTATTTAAGGCTACGTGGAGCACAAACACTTGTGTGTGATTTGAGAAGTGGGTTAGCACTGCCTTATGAGGTACTCTTTACCCTCCAAGGCGAACGAGACGCGCAGGTCTTATGACGTCTTTCTTCCGGCTAGATCTGATGGTTGCTCATGGAGATGGTGACTGCTGGATTAAACAGCACTCATGCAGTCTGTTCCATTACTAGGACAAATCCAACCGAGAGGACAAGCTTTGAAGATTATAGATTATACCTGCCATGCTGGCGTTGAGATTATTAATTTTGATTTGCTTTGGATACGGAGAGGCTGAAGCTGCCAATAATAGCTTGTTTGCCACTTTTTGATTACTGAAAGCATATGTGCCAATGTATTATGTGTGTAGTATAGTTATCATATATAAAGATACCATATTAGTTAGTTATACAGTTAGTTATATTGTGTATTATGTGTATGTTATCATATATAACGAGACCATATTAGTTACAGCAGTGATTTAAGCTCTGTTTTGACACAGCTGCCAGCCTATTGTGCCTTATCTAAGGGCTTGCTGATAAGGTTAATTTGCATTATGTTACGCTGATAGTGATACTCAGAAGACTGAACACCCTGTGCTAATGTTTTATTGTAATTTTATTCACATCATTGTACATGCTTTCTTACTAAAACAGAGAGTTATGTGTGGTTATTTTATTTTAAAATGGACAGTGCGTAATTGACATGAGAACTTGTGTAAATGTGCCAGATTTATATATATATAGGGCTGTGCAAAAATTAATTGCGATTAATCGCATCCAAAATAAAAGTCTGTGTTTACATAATATATGTGTGTGTGCTGTATATAATTATTTTGTATATATAAATACACACACATGCATGTATATACTTAAGAAAATGTGTTATTCATATATAAAATATTTATATTTATATAGATCATGTATTTATATATATATATATATATATATATATATATATATATATACAGAATTTAAGCGCAAATAATTCTTAAATATATACATGCATGCATAGGTATTTATATATAGAAAATAATTGTATACAGCACACACAAATATATTATGTAAACACAGACTTTTATTTTGGATGCGATTAATCGCAATTAATTTTTGCAGAGCCCTAATATATATAGGGGTCTGGAAATAAGTGGAGTCGCCAAATGTCTGCAGAATCAATAGTTACAGGCATCCAAATATCGTGTGGCCTTCAGATTAGCTCAAGAATAGTGTGTCGAGCTTCATGGAATGGGTTTCCATGGGCGAGCAGCTGCATCAAAGCCTTACATCACCAAGTGCAATGCAAAGGGTCGAATGCAGTGGTGTAAAGCACGTCGCCACTGGAGAGCTGAGACGTGTTCTCTGGAGTGACGAATCACGCAATCCGATGGACGAGTCTGGGTTTGGCAGTTGCCAGGAGAACGGTACTTGTCTGACTGCATTGTGCCAAGTGTACAGTTTGGTGGAGGTTGTTTATCAGGAGTTTGGCTTGGCCCCTTAGTTCCAGAGAAAAGAACTTTTAATGCTTCAGCATACCAAGACATTTTGGACAATTGCATGCTCCCAAGTTTGTGGGAACAATTTGAGGATGGTCCCTCCCTGTTCCCTCATGACTGCGCACCATTGCACAAAGCTATAGGTCTATAAAGAAATGGATGAGCGAGTTTGGTGTGGAGGAACTTGACTGGACTGCACTGGTCCTGACCTCAACCCGAATGAACACCTGTGGATGAATTAGAGCGGAGACTGCGAGCCAGGCCTTTATATCACAACAGAAACATATTGCCACAAAAACTACATAAAATTTGAATTACATTTATTTATTTATTTTTATTATGATTTATTGTTTTTTACCATAAATTATTAGGTAAATTATATTATTACTTTAATACTAAAAATATATACTTAAAGATTTTACTGTGAAAGAGCATGTATTCTTGTCTCTTATCTCTTTTTTCCATGAATTTTATAGTAATGTAGAATTAAATTCCTTTTATTCAGCAAGGATGCATTGCATTGATCAAAAGTGATAGTAAAGACATTTAACATGTTACTAAATATTTATTTTTTAAATAAACACTGAACTTTTTATCAATCATTTTATTTTTATTCAAAAATCCTGAGACAATTGTATCAGTTTCCACAAAAATATGAAGCTGCTCAACTGTTTTCATGTTTCTTGAGCGACAAATCAGCATAGAATGATTTCTGAAGGATCGTGTGACACTGATGCTGAAAATTCAGATTTGCATCACAGGAATAAATTAAAAATAGAAAACAGTTATTTTAAATTGTAATACTATTTCATAATATTACTGTTTTTACTGTATTTTCTAAATCAAATAAATGCATCCTTGATGAGTTTAAGAGACTTGTTTTAAAAACATTATAAAATCTTACCAACCCCAAACTTTTGTGGTATGGTTGAGTTAACCCGTTTTATATAGCTTTTATATATAATTCATTATTTTCATTAAAGTTAGTTATATTTTCTACTGTTCCAAATTTGCACAGGAGTTTAAAGTGGTAAAAAAATTGTTGCAACTTTGTATTGTCAGCAATTAACCAATAGTTCTTCAGTAGGTGGCCAAAACATGCAGATCATTTACTTGCTGATGTGGCTAAATACTAACACCGGGGTGTAATGGTTATTGCAGTGTGAGTATTATTGCTTGAACTTTTCCCGTGATTAGAGCCACTAAATGTGTACTAATCCTGGATTATATGAAGGTCTTTTATTTATGCTTTTCGAATAGGAACTTATAACAGGAAGCAAGCGTTGAACTGAAATGTTGATGGGTCTGAAAATAACTTTGCTAACATTTGTTGCACAAGTTTGAAGGGTTTATCTTTACAGCTCTAGAGTAGTTTGCAATGAGGTTGTGTAACTTTGACAGTACTTGTAAGGCTCTGTCAAGGTTCACCAGGTCGTTATGAAAGCTTGTGTAAAGTGTGCTGGACTGAAACGTGACCTTGGACAAGAGATTGTCACCATTGAAGTCCTTAGAAACAGATTTTTAGTTTTATGTCTTGTTAATGTTAGAGTTTTCTTTATCAGTTTAAGTACATTACAAGCATGTTTGCAAGGTGTTTTGTTTTAATGTCTACTTTGTGAAGTACAAAACTAAATCTCATACATTTTAAAATACACAGCATGGCCAAAACAAAATTAGCTGTTTTTGGATTTAAACGTGCAAATACTTAAGACGTGCAAATACAAATACAAACATCCTGACAACAACATAGGAATGTCCTAAAAACCACTGAGAATGTGTTAGCTATATGGGTGGGGATATAATTGTTATTTTACAACTATTTTACTACTCTTACATGTACAACTATGAAGGCTGACTTTCTGACATGTGATTTTTTTTTTTTTTTTTAAGTTTATTTGAATGGGACAAGTATGTTACATAAGCTCATGTTCCATACTACAACATTTTAGCCGAAGCTAATTCTCAATGTTAGTCCCTAGTGGGCCTTTACATAAAATTACACAATACATGCCTTTGCCTTTGCTTTTGACAGGACTGTATAGTTGCAACATGACACATTTGATTAAGTTACTAAAGTTCAGGTTTTAGAACAACAGTTCAATTTTTCACTCTTGAAATGTTCCTTCAAGTAGTTAACTCAATTTGTGGAGTTGCTATATTTATTGTTCATGCAATCACCTAATATACATATCATCATATAGTAATAGTTATCACAAATGTTGTGCTTTGGCAGCCCAGTAGACAAAACCATAGGTGTAGATTGCTAGTCAAATAATTGGATCAGTCTACAATTGGATCAGTATTGCAGTGATTATCATGTTTCTAGCATATTATATGTTTAGGAACAGTTTTCCTAACCCTAATTGATGGAGTGTGTAGCTTTACATTTCTTAAACAATCATGTAGGAATATCATCATCATCATGGCCATATTCCAGATGACAATGTCAAGATTCATCAGTCTCAAAATATATGTGGGTGCACTGTGTATAATTATTTTATATATATAAATACACACACATGCTTGTATATATTTAAGAAATATTTTCATGTATATACTGTATATAGATTTATATATAATTTATATTATATATAAATATAAATATTTGATATATAAATAATATTTTTTTCGTAAATATACATGCATGTGTGTGTGTATTTATATATATATATATATATATATATACACAAAATAATTATACACAGTGCACCCACATATGTTATGTAAACACAAACACCTAACTATTTTGGATGCGATTAATCGTTTGACAGCCCTAATTTTAAAGCTCTAGGCGGGTGGTGTATATTATAGTATCCCAGATTAGTAATGGATTAGACTAGTTGGATCTGTTGAAACCATCTAAGATGTCAATTTTCTGGAAGATTTTACATAATGCATATCTGTCATAAGGCTTTACTGCCTGTGGCTTTGTAGAATGACATGTAATTTAGATGGTTGATATTCTGACTGATGTGATTTTAAATATCTGATATGACAATGGTGTTATGTAATTCAGGTGTTATAAATTCAAACAAATCTTTATACAAATGCCACCAAAATCCTGCTTTAATTTATTCCCGTTCTTGACACACTTTTGTTCGTTCTGTGCAGATCAATGTCCGTGTCACCACTATGGATGCCGAGCTGGAATTTGCGATCCAGTCAGTTACAACAGGCAAACAGCTCTTTGAGCAGGTAACCTCCTGAAATCTTCCTGATATTTCTTTCAAGCTTGAGGCGGCATGTGAGGAATTAGTACTTGAATGTGTTTTTAAGCTAAGGAGTAAATTGAATCCACTTTTGCGTCAACATTTTTGTAGTTTCGCATTGCATGCTGGGAAAATAACTCAAGCTTATTTCAAAACTAATGGGAATAATTTTTTTTTTTTAAATTAGAAGACCTCACCAAACTATGAAAATCTTCTACCAATATGATATTTATATTTGGGGTGTAACAATATATCGTGCCACAATATATATCGCAATACAAATACGTATTGTGGATAGTGACAGTATGTATCGTGGATAGTCCCCCCAAAATAAAAATTACTGTGTGAGAAAAAAGTTTTCAGAGTTTTAGTGTCAGTACTACATTAAACTACTATATATAATGTTGATTATAATGTATAATGGGGGAATATTTGTGGGTCCTGATAATGCCATATGACTTATGTGACTTGCCCAGTAAAAAGTTTCCAACATTATTTTAAATCTATCTATAAATCTAATCAGAAATAGTGCAAGAATATTCATCTAAAATAAATCTGTGTTTTCAGTTTCAGAATCATGAACTTGGGTTATGGGTTACAAGCACAGAGGGTTTTGGGTCATGGGTCACAAGCACAGAGTCCAAACCTATTCATTTAAACCAACAGTGTAATGTCAAAGTTAGCATTTTAATCAACAGTACATTTTTTGTTAACCTTTCATCATATGTCTTAGAGTATTGCAATAATATCGTATCGTGATATGTATCGAATCATGACATGAGGGTATCGTTATGCACTTGCATAAGTAATACTTTCCTATTATTTCCTACTAGGCAAATGTACTACTTTTGTTTTATTACAATTACTCTTAAACTAGTGACTTATACTTTGTAGCTAATTGCAAAAGCATTTTTGTTACCTCAGAGACACACCCGAATTCATGCTAATGACTATAGTCAATGGGTGTAAATCATTGTTTAGATACTGTTGAGATTAGTAATGCGGGACTACCTTGGTATATGGTGATTAGTGAGGTATGATATGACATTACTGTATATGGAATATAGGTGGTGGACACCGTCTCTGCCTATTTGTACACACTTAACTGATAAGAGGGCGGGTGGGTTGGTAGTTTCCCTCCCTGTTGATAGCATGAACTCAAATTGTAGAGTTCCTATTCTAATCTTCTCTGAGACTCTCCCATTGTTTGACATCCAACATAAGGTCATGCTTGTTTTATCAAGTGCCGCAGGCGATTATGTATTATGTTTTAAATTTACGTCATAGCAATCGATATCACATTTTGTTTACATTTGTCATTGTGTTAGTCCCATGTAACTGGTTGAATTTCTTCCCCTGTGTTAATGTGTTCAGGTGGTTAAGACGGTGGGTTTGCGTGAGGTCTGGTACTTTGGTCTTCAGTACACAGACAACAAAGGCTTTCTGACATGGCTGAAACTGGACAAAAAGGTATTTTTGATTTTATACAGAAAATGTATTGTATTCGAACCCGTATTTGCACCAATACGGGCCAATACTAATACCAAGACACATGTTTAAGTGCCCCTATTATGCTTTTTCGAGTGCAATGTTGCTGTTTGTGAATGTAAAAGGTCTACAAAGTTTGAAAGATCAAATTAAAGTTATTGTCTCCTAAAAGAATGAATCGAATCTGAATTGCAACAATAATAACGAATGGTCTTTGGTCTGTGGTCTTCATTGGCTGCCCGCGAACACAGTGTCTATTTTGCCCTGTCCTCAAACACTGTAGTTGTAGCTTGAGATTGAAAGAGTTTGGTTCGTGTTGTCGACATTTTGACAAGACGCTGTTTTCAGAGATGCGAATCCACTTTGCATGCATTTCAAAAGGATGAGGACTTGTGCCTGAAATGATACAGGAAAAATCAATGCAATTGTGACTGTTCGTGTCACTATTTATCAAGTGCTGAAGAAGAACTAGACCTGAAATTCAGGACCCGTCCACACTACTGCGTTTTCGTTTAAAAACGGAGACCTTTTGCTACGTTTGCACCTCCCGTCCACACTAAAACGGGAAAAACGAAGACCTAAAACAGGGAAGTTTAGAAACGCTGCAGCTGCGTTTTGCGTTTTGAAACTCCGGAGGGCGTTTTAGTGTGGACGAGACAAAACGGAGGAGTTTACAAACGATGACGCAGAGGCTTACGCTCGGCTCTATGATTGGGTGTCATCAGTCATGACGTGTCCTTCCCTGATTCGCCAACCACTGTTTACACCGGCGCGCGCATGCCCAGTGTTGGTGAATGGTCACGTGATCTGCGTTTTCAGTCGTTTTAATGTGGACGGAGATCAATTCTAATACGCAGATAAAACGCTGGTGTGGACGGAGATCGTATTCGTTTTAATTCTCCGTTTTTAAACGAAAACGCAGTAGTGTGGACGGGGCCTCAGATTTCATTTCCGACACGCAACTGTAAGTGGTAGACCAATCACAACAGAACAGACTGGGCCGTTTGACCAATCAGAGCAGAGCAGACTCACGGAAAGTCAAAAGAATCCCATAGACTTACAGGCACCCAATCCAAATCTACAGATTAAAGTATTGTAGAGATTTGGGGGTGGGCTCTTTTGGCTTGTAACCACAATAGAAATTACCCAAAATACCCCAGCAAACATCCAGACAACAACATAGGAATGTCCTAAAAACCACTGAGAATGTGTTAGCTATATGGGTGGGGATATAATTGTTATTTTACAACTCTTTTACTACTCTTACATGTACAACTATGAAGGCTGACTTTCTGACATGTGATTTTTCTTTTTTTTAAGTTTATTTGAATGGGACAAGTATGTTACATAAGCTCATGTTCCATACTACAACATTTTAAACTAGGCTAATTCTCAATGTTAGTCCCCAGTGGGCCTTTCCATAAAATTACACAATACATGTGATTGCCTTTGCTTTTGACAGGACTGTATATTTGCAACATGACACATTTGATTAAGTTACTAAAGTTCAGGTTTTAGAACAACAGTTCAATTTTTCACTCTTGAAATGTTCCTTCAAGTAGTTAACTCAATTTGTGGAGTTGCTATATTTATTGTTCATGCAATCACCTAATATACATATCATCATATAGTAATAGTTATCACAAATGTTGTGCTCTGGCAGCCCAGTAGACAAAACCATAGGTGTAGATTGCTAGTCAAATAAACATTGACCACTACAGGATTCCTGTTAGAGAAGTCACAAGTCAATCAGGTGATGTTGAACTTTGATTATTGCTCAACAATGGAAAACAATAAGTTAAATCAATAGCTGAGTCACTGAAATGACATCTAGAACTCAATATTGATATATACTGTAGTCATTTAATTGTGTATGTTAACAATCAATCTGTGTGTAGAGGGGATGCAATGGTTTTGCAAGCAAACATAAATGTTTTGAAATATACTTCTTACCTACCACCTCATATTATTTCTATCAGCATTTGGGAACACAAAGTTTATTGGGAGAATGCAAAAGTTTTGAAAGCATTAAAAAATGATATTTGTCCTCATTTATTTCAATTCAAAATTGCTTTATTTGCATGATGTACAGCATACAATATTGCCAAAGCTTGGAATACATAGAATAATTAAAAGAACATGAAAATAGTAAAATATTATAACATTAACATCTAAAATGCATGAAAATCAAATGAAGAATTTATAATTCAGTGTGTAAGTGTTTTTGTGTTTGGTGTACAATGTGTGTTTGTGGGAGCATCACTGATTAGTTGTCGACTCTCTCTTTTTGTGACTCTCTTCTCTTTTTATTTCCCCGTCACCATGTTCCTTTAGAGGCTCCGCAAACCAACAATCATTCTTGATTCTGATTTCATAGGTGTCCTCTCAAGAGGTAAAGCAAGAGAACCCTCTGCAGTTTAAGTTTCGGGCCAAGCACTACCCTGAGGACGTGTCTGAGGAACTGATTCAGGACATCACAAAAAAGCTTTTCTTCCTGCAAGTGAAGGAAGGCATCTTGAGCGATGAGATCTACTGCCCCCCAGAGACAGCAGTGCTATTGGCCTCATATTCTGTACAGGCCAAGTTTGGAGACTACTCACCAGAACCCCAAAAAACTGGATACCTGTCGTCTGAGAGGCTTCTGCCTCAGAGGTGAGGGGGGAAACTGCTATAAAAAAATAAAAAAAACAGGAATCTAGTGCGTTCTAATGATTCAGCGAGTTGAAATGACTTAAATAAGATTTACATTAAGCATGGTCAATGTGATTTTGCCATGTAAGACATGTTAATGGATATTTTGTTGATCCTGGAACAACATTCCTGTCTGAAAATGCAGTCCTAACCCTATCCCTGCATCTAAACCTAACCCTACCCAGGGAATTGATAGGTGAATAACACTGATGTAGAAGCACCTAACCCTGGTTGTAAGCCTAAACTTGACAGAAACTGTAAATGTCAAGGTTATAGACTGTTATTTTGATTTTGTTTCACATAGATCCTGTTTCCCAGATCTGTTAGGGGCTTTTGCAATTTGCACTAGAGGAACCTTTTCATAGTTCCTAGAAGTATTGGCGAAAGTACCCATGTTTTGGCGTGTTCGCACCGCAGGAACTAGGAACTATTTTATTTCTAGGAACTCCTTTTTGATGAACTTATGTAGCTCCTACTTCAGAGTAGGGTCTAAGCGAGCACTATGGGCTCTATGCACGGCGGTATTTCCGGTGAAGCATTAGGGATGCTCGATAACTTCCGCCGATCGTAGAGTCCAATGCAATACCGAGAATTTATATTGAATTTTATACTGCATGGTTATACTAAAGAAACGTTAGTCACAAAAACAGATAAAACAGACACCCCTGGTTGTGTTTATGCTTCTTTTTAAAATTATATTAAATAAATATAACTATATATGAAATTACATCTAAACGTATGTACGTTTCATTTCAAAGACTGGAGGACAGTAAATTTTGAAGACTCATAGGAACTAACGTTACATGTGATATTAGTGTACGGTACGCTGATTGGCCGAACAACTTTGAGGGGACCAAGCTAAACATGATGATTATCTATTTCTGCTCAGCTAGCAACACTGGACATCAACCACACGGCATAATCTAACACCGTTTCATATACTGTCTACTTTCTATGTATAACAGTTCTATCTAATAACGTGTTACAGATCGTAAACTAATGAACACGGAGAATGCAAGCACTGTGTGCTCTGGCGTTCTCAGCGTCGTCAAAATAAAGGTCCGCCGCGCCGTCAAAATAAAAGTCACAACAACAAGCGCAGCTTACGTCACGTGAGAGTTTCTACTGGTGTTGCGAATGCCACCAGGAAAATGCTCCTTAAGGCAACCATTCGTTCTCAGGGAAACACCCTGGTGGCTAGTTCCTAGAATTACCTATTGCGAAAGCCCCTTTGGTTTCCTTTGTTTATGATTATGCCCTCATTTGGTCCTATGGTTACATATTATCACCTGCCTATCATTATGTTCTCCTTAAATGCTCCCTGTCATGTTTCGCCAGTTGTCGGTTCTTGTTTACATTGTGTGTTTCTATTATTATTCTGCGATCTTTCCTAGTTTATTTGAAATAAAAGTTTTTTTCTGCTGTAATCTCCTTCATCGTGTGATTGATATGGCCACACATAAGACTATACTTATCCCTCAAATCTGATTGGTTGATTGAAATGTTGTTCCAAGATATGGGAACATGTTATACTTGGTGAAATCATGTTCACCGACTGGGTCCACCTTACTTAAAGATAACCTTGTTTAAAAAAACAAAAATGTTGGAAAGAATTTAAATGTTTGTTACCAACTTAATTATTTAAAGTTTATCCAACAAACAAACAGAATTGTACCCACTTGAATTTACCATAGTGTGTAAATATTTGTAAAATCACTTTGACTTTGTTTGGATCACAAAATTCCAGAAATTCATAATTCAATATTAACTTGTTTACAATTGTCAGGATCTGTGGTGATGGAGAATTAAACAAATCGTTTAGTAGCAATAATACTCAGAACATGCAAGTGATTTTGATATTCTATGTTTACAGAGTGCTTGACCAGCACAAACTGTCTAAAGAGCAATGGGAGGAGAGGATCCAGATTTGGCATGAGGAGCACAGAGGAATCCTCAAGTGAGTTTTACTTATATTCTCCCATTCAGCTCGCCTACTTATCACTCCACAAGTTTATCATTTCTTTGAATTCTGTATCACTAGGGAAGATGCCATGCAGGAGTATCTGAAGATCTCACAGGATTTGGAGATGTATGGCGTCAACTATTTTGACATCAAGAACAAGAAAGGAACAGACCTGTGGTTAGGCGTGGATGCTTTGGGGCTTAACATCTATGAAAAAGAAGACAGGTAAGCTTTGTGAGCAAGATCTGATTATTTAGAAATGTTAGTTGGGGATATTGGGGTCAGTGTGCCATGACCGTGTGGTTAATGACCTGCAGAGTGACCGTTCAAGCCCACAACAAGTCAACATCAACGCCTGCTGCTTATTATTGAGAGGTCAATGCACTCAAGGACTAGTGTACCACAAACTTTGAGATTTTTGTAATGTTTGTTGACAAGCACAAAAAAAGGTAACGGTTTGTTACGTTAAAGTAGTAAAAACAGTAAATTATGCATAATTACTTGCAACTAACCCTAAACCAAACCCTGATCCTACACAAATACATGTTGTTAATTAAAATTATTCAATTTTGTCTTTTCTTCATTACTTAGGCTGACTCCAAAGATTGGATTTCCTTGGAGTGAAATAAGGAACATCTCATTCAACGACAAGAAGTTCATAATCAAACCCATTGACAAAAAGGCTCCCGTAAGTCTTCGCATAAATGATTTCGCCTTTCCCCCCACTGAAATTATTGCCAATGACAAATAAGAGTATCGAAGGTGAAGAAATTAAAAATCATTTAAAAATCATTTAAAATACAACTCATGTGGTTTTAAAATTTGATTGTCATTTTCAAAGCTTAAATGTTATGACTTAATTAATGTCATGTGGTGTAACCATCTATTAATAACAAATTTTCCTTGATCAAAATTGTAAGAAAAGGTTTTACTTTTTACTTTCTGGATTACGATATCAGGACATTTGAACACCCTTCCCTGATATTTTTCATGTTATGCATCCAAAATATACTCTTCCTCATAAAAGAAGTTGGTCTATACAGTCAAGTCATATCTACAGCATTTCTTGTGTATTTTTTAGTCATTCAAGCAGTCCGGTTATGCTATATTAGCCCAATTATTTATGCATATGACATTAAATGTGTCACATTCTGTTATTTCTCTCTTGGTTTTGCAGGACTTTGTGTTCTATGCATCTCGTTTACGTATTAACAAGCGCATCCTGCACCTGTGCATGGGAAACCATGAACTTTACATGCAACGCAGGAAACCTGATACCATTGAGGTACAGCAGATGAAGGCACAAGCCAGAGAGGAGAAACACCAGAGACAGATGGAGAGGTGAGGACACAGTGTTCAGTGCCCAGAGTGCGTCATTATATAGCAGAGAACAGCTGCCCTGTGATCACAGCAAGACACCAGGAAGCTCAGGCCAGAGCATGTTGGCCACAAAAATAGTTAATTTAATACAATATTTATTTATTTATTTATTTATTTTCTTTGTGAGGTTTTTCTGTTTGCATTGGGAGTATATTTTGGGCCAGATTGACTAAACACGGCGAATTAGCGCAATCAATAAGATCATTTCCATAATGAGCAGCGCAAATTAGCGTCTGGTTTAAAGGCATACTCCACTTTTTTGGAAATAGGCTCATTTTACCACTCCCCCAGAGTTAAACAGTTGGATTTTACTGTTTTCGAATCAATTCAGCCGTTTTTTCTGATATTTAGAAGAATATCAGTAACCAGACAGTTTCTGGTCTCATTGACTACCATACTATATTTTTTTCCTACTATGGTAGTCAGTGAGACCAGAAACTGTCTGGTTACTGATATTCTTCTAAATATCAGAAAATCGGCTGAATGGATTCGAAAATGGTAAAACTCAACTGTTTAACTCTGGGGGAGTTGTAAAATGAGAAACGCTTTTTTTCCAAAAAAAAGTGGAGTATCCCTTTAAGACATGCTTTTGAGCGGTAAATAATTGCACAAATACCAGTAAATTGACGAGTGCAAACCTTGCACGATTCATTTAAATAATCTCCTCCCATACATTTTGCATCTGAAAAGGAAACTCCTTCAAATGCATTTGCAATAAGGTCAGCTGCAAAAATAGCCCTGTCTATGCCTTTTCTGTGGTAATTTTTCACTGCGTGTCTTTAGCAAATCCTAACTGTATTTTTAACGACAAAAGAGGGTTTGCGCTGAACCGAGATGTTAGTAAATGTGGACCTAAATGTGTTTGCTACCTTTCCCCCCCCACCAGAGCCCAGCTAGAGAATGAGAAGAAGAAAAGGGAGGCAATAGAGAAAGAAAAAGAGATTGTGGAGAGAGAGAAGCAAGAGATGATGATGAAGCTTTTACAGGTTGAAGAGCAGACCAAAAAGGTTGAGAGAGGTAAGAATATTTCACTAGATGTCTGATCTCATATAGTAGACTTTACAGAGTGCTGGACTCTTGCATTGTCAATAAAAGATATTGACCAAAAATTGATGCACCTCTTGATGGAAATAACATCATAACATTTATCGGAGATAGTCCAGCACTCTGTAAAGTCTCCTCCAGCACATCCCAAAGACTTGCAATGAATTTAAGGTCTGGACTCAGGGGAGTTGATTCATGTGTGAAAATGATTCTTCATGCTCCTCACAACCATTCTTTCACAATTTGAGCCTGATGAATCTTGACATTGTCATCCTGGAATATGGCCATGATGTGTCTTCATACATGATTGTTTAAGAAATGTAAAGCTACACACTCAATCAATTAGGCTTAGAAGAACTGTTGCCAAACATATAACATGCTAGAAACATAATCACTGCAATACTGATCCAATCATAGACTCTAAAATATTTGCATGTTTAAATCCAAAAACAGCCTGCGACTTATTTTTGGCTTATTATACAAAATCCGATGACCCACCACCCTACTTGGCACACACTTGCAATGAATGATCATGTATAATCGAGTGTCTGGTGCTCCCTTCTGGATGATTCTGTGTATTGTTCAGATCTGATGGAGCAGTTTGAGAGGGCACGGATATTGGAGGAAGAGAGGCGGCGGGTGGAGGAGGAGGCAGCGCGTCTGGAGGCTGAGAGACAGCTGGCACTGATAGCTAAAGAAGAGCTGGCCAGGAAAGCGGAGGATCAGATGAAAAATCAGGAACAGCTGGTATGCTGGGGACAGTTTTACACACAAAACACACCTTAAAGGAGTAGTTCGCTTTAAAAAAAAACTTTTGCTGATAATTTACTCACCCCCATGTCATCTAAGATGTCCATGTCTTTCTTTCTTCAGTCGAACAGAAATTAAGAAATTAATTTTCTCCATATAATGGACTTGAATGGGAATCAAACGGTTCAAGGTCCAAAAGACAAACTGCAAACTGTTCAAAGGGCTTTAAACGATTCCAGACGATGAATAAGAGTCTTATCAAGCGTAATGATCGGTCATTTAATAAATAAATAACAAAGTTTAAGTTTAATAAGCTCAAATGGTCACCTTGCTCTGTTCTGTGACGCACGTTTGTGACTCTCCTGTTCGAACTCGTTCATCAAAATGAACGAATCTTTTGCCGAGTCAATTCGTTCGTTTAGTTCGTTGAATGAACCAAATGACTTGGAAAAAATCGGTAAACGAGTTCGAACACAAATGCGCATCACAGAACAGAGCAAGGCGACCATTTGAGCTTGTTAAACTTAAACTTTGTTATTTATTTATTAAATGAGCGATCGTTTCGCTGGATAAGACCCTTATTCATCGTCTGGAATCGTATAAACCCCTTTGAACAGTTGCTGGAATGTTTTCATCAAAAACTTTAATTTCTTTTCGACTGAAGAAAGAAAGACATGGACATCTTTGATGACATGGGGGTGAGTAAATTATCAGCTAAAGTTTTTTTTTAAAGTGAACTACTCCTTTAAACAGTGACACTAGCATATTCTGTGACAGTTTGTGTAATAGGGCAGAATTATTTGTTTATCTTTAGTGAAATAAAGAAAGATTTACCTTTTGGATTCCTTTAAAAGGCAGCAGAGCTGGCAGAGTTCACTGCAAAGATTGTCTTGCTGGAGGAAGCCAAGAGAGTCAAGGAAGAGGAAGCCAATGAATGGCAGAACAGGGTGAGTTGTGAACAGTATATCTATTAGGGCTGTGCTATGTAGATAAAAATGTATGTTTCATATCGTTCGGTATCCAGCCCTAAATTGTTGAAATACGATTAAATTCTTCTTAAAACTGACCTCTCTACTTTTCTCAGGCTAAAGAGGTTCAGGGCGATCTGGAAAAGACCCGTGAGGAGTTGCAGCATGTTATGTCGTCCCCTGTGGTCGCTGCCCCCATGGCCGCCCCTATGGCTGCCCGGGCCATGATGGAGGAGCCCTTGGAGAACGATCATGATGATCACGAGGAGAACAACAGCACCTACAGTGCTGAGTTGCCTGTGGAGGGCATAGAGGACCACCGCAATGAGGAGGAGCGCATCACAGAGGCGAATAAGAACGAACGTGTGCAGAAACAGCTCATGGTAACATGCGGATCACCTTTCCTCAGACTTAATTATGTTTGCATTAGTGGCACGAATTGTGATTCATCCTAATTATTCTTCAAATTCTGATTCTGAAAAACACCTTAAAACAGATCCTGATTCCTCCATTGATTTGTTTAGTAACTGTCTCTGGAGACAGGTTCTGGACTTTTTGTCATTCGTTCAAAAACACAAAGTTGTTCACAAATGAAACGTGCCTTATTATACTTTTTTCAGTTTTTTCAACTTACTTGTAGTTGTGTTTTTGATTGATCTCAGTGATTTAGTGAATGTTTTTAGCACCTAAAAACATCCACTGGCCTGTTCAGTATCTATATCTGGATGTTACATTATTATACCAGTATTGGTGACCAGTGATTTATTTATTTATTGAGTGAGTGAGTGATTGAGCATTAGGACTCATTTTATCATTTGTTTAGGAGATTTGTTCAAAAACACAGAGTCGTTCACAAATGAAACAAGCCTTATTATCCTTTTTTCAGTTTGTTTAAATACATATATACATAAAACACTTACTTGTAGTTGGGATTTTGATTGATCTCAGTGATTCATTGAATCTTTTGAACTCCTAAAACAAATCCAGATTCATCCACTTGTTTTTTAAGTATCTATTTCTGAAATCTACATTGTTCCAGTATTTTTATTTATTTTTTAGTTTATTTAACATAACACTTACTTGTAGTTGGGATTTTGATTGATCTCAGTGATTCATTGAATCTTTTGAACACCTAAAACAGATCCAGATTCATCCACTTGTTTTTTAAGTATCTTTTTCTGAAATCTACATTGTTCCAGTGAATTTTTTTTTTTAGTTTATTTAACATAACACTTACTTGTAGTTGGGATTTTGATTGATCTCAGTGATTCATTGAATCTTTTGAACTCCTAAAACAGATCCAGATTCATCCACTTGTTTTTTAAGTATCTATTTCTGAAATCTACATTGTTCCAGTATTTTTATTTATTTTTTAGTTTATTTAACATAACACTTACTTGTAGTTGGGATTTTGATTGATCTCAGTGATTCATTGAATCTTTTGAACTCCTAAAACAAATCCAGATTCATCCACTTGTTTTTTAAGTATCTATTTCTGAAATCTACATTGTTCCAGTATTTTTATTTATTTTTTAGTTTATTTAACATAACACTTACTTGTAGTTGGGATTTTGATTGATCTCAGTGATTCATTGAATCTTTTGAACACCTAAAACAGATCCAGATTCATCCACTTGTTTTTTAAGTATCTTTTTCTGAAATCTACATTGTTCCAGTGAATTTTTTTTTTTAGTTTATTTAACATAACACTTACTTGTAGTTGGGATTTTGATTGATCTCAGTGATTCATTGAATCTTTTGAACTCCTAAAACAGATCCAGATTCATCCACTTGTTTTTTAAGTATCTTTTTCTGAAATCTACATTGTTCCAGTGAATTTTTTTTCAGTTTACTTAACATAACACTTACTTGTAGTTGGGATTTTGATTGATCCCAGTGATTCATTGAATCTTTTGAACTCTTAAAACAGATCTAGATTCATCCACTGGTTTGTTAAGTATCTATATCTGAAATCTACATTGTTCCAGTACATTGTCATTTCAGTTTATATGAATATACAAACATAACACTTACTTGTAGTTGGGATTTTGATCCATTCGTTCAGGAAATTCTTTGTTCATGAACGAAACATGAAAGTCTTATCCTTTTTTCAGTTTGTTCACATACTACATGCTATATACTTGCGTAACACTGACTTGTAGTACGGAATTTGATTCATTCAGTGATTCAAATCTGTCGAATCTGTAGTTTACACTACTAGCTAGGTGAGTGTTTTCCACTAAAAACACTACAGTACATTGATTTACAACTTGTTTACAATTACAAGCCTTGTTATTCTTACTATTTTAGGCTGTTCATAAAAGACATGCTTCATTCGTACAGTTTTATATAAACATAATGGCACGTTTATTTGGTTCATTCGCGAACAACATGTTTTGTTTCTGAAATCACCAATTGCAGTTCAGTACGTACCATACGCCACTGTTATGCATCCGAATATTCTATTTAAATTGTCTTTATCTGGTATTTAACTGCATCTTAAATTGTTTTTAGGCCCTGAGCTCTGAGCTGGCCGAGGCCCGTGATAACTCTATGAAGACTCAGAACGACATTCTGCACAATGAAAACGTAAAGGCCGGGAGGGACAAGTACAAGACGCTTCGTCAGATCCGCATGGGCAACACCAAGCAGAGAATAGATGAGTTTGAAGCCTTGTAATGGCTGATCAATTCTCCAGTAAACGCGCTCTGCTCATGTGTTGCTGTTCAAGGGTGAATTTATCTAATCATAAATGGTCTCACTTTGTATTTGCCATTTAAAATGACTGGGTTATTTACACACTACACACTACTGTACACAATAGTACGGTTCGACAAATATGGACAACATGCTCATTGAAGGCACTAAAATGATGTGTATGTTTTAAAGTTTATCTTGAGAACACTCTTGAGATCCTATTTATGCTAATTGTGCCAAAGGCTTTGTCTTTGTCTTTTAAATCATGTCATCTTTTATGGGAACATTTTTAATGTGGCTAACTTAAGATCTTTATGTGTCATGAAACGCATCAGTTCCTCACAAAAAGGAGTTTTTATGCTTGGAAAGCGTAGATAGAGTTTGAGGATTGTAGATAATTATCTAAAACATGGATGAGATCAAATCGTGGCCATAACAAACAATTTTAATGTTTTTAACAGATTCTTGATTAATTAAATCCTGCATAGTAAATTAGATTTTCTATGTAATATTTTGAAATAAAAATATGAAATTGATTTGAATGACGACTTCTGTCGAGTTACTGTGGGACGAAAAATGCTTGGTTAGACATGTTTTTCACGTTTTGGCGAAGGTCTGTGGCAAAATGATTTTGAAGAGAAAAAAAAGACAGCACAATGTCTTGATAGCAGAATTGTTCAGAATAGCAGAAAGGTTTGCATTGTCTGTTTAACCAGATGTCCTTGCTGTGGCCGTTAAAGGAACTAGTTTATTTTGCACTGATGCGCAGAGAGGCTGTTAAAGGCAAATTGTTATGCAAAGGGTACGCCTGCTTGAACCCACAAAGGACCACTGATATTTACTCAAGGACTAGAGCGTTAATTATGTTGCTAGACAACAATTTATGAAGCCTGGAAACCATTTGTTGAAATATGCAAAGGGTCAGCGAACATGCAAGGGGTCTGGACTCTGGATTACTGTGTTCCATTGGAAAACGTTTCAGCGATCATTGGATGAGTTCCCTGAAAACCTCCTATAAAAATTTTCCATTAGACTGCAATGATTTTCACTGAAAGTAGGAACAGTTTATTTAGGTTTTTTTCTGTTCTTGAAAAAGCAAACCACACCGGTTTATGAACTTTTTTTTTTTTTTTTTGGAGATAATTATGTCAGTGATTATTAGATACACTTTCTAAATTCAGGAATCTGTATATGCTTTATGCTGTGACTATTATATATTATTGCCGTTAATAAAGCATAAGCAAACTCTTTCAAATGTGCAAGGGAGGTTAAATGCGGAAAAAATTCCCAGGTTTAAAGCTTGTTTATTTTCTTAAACTATTTTTATTTAATTTCTTCATGTAAAGGAAGAGGCGACACTTTACATTTTCAGTATAGCACATCATGTTATCACATTAGTAATCGAAAAAGTACGGTGGCTCAGTAGTACACAACCCAACGAAATTTAAAAAGCATACACAAATTCACAACACAATGGAAATGAGCCACAACAACACAAAGGAAAAAGTAGGCTACAACACAATAGAAAATCTACAACACAACGAAATAAAGTGTTGTGAACTTGGGTTTGCTTTTTAGGGTCGTTGTATTGTGCACTACTGGGCCACTGTAAAAAAAGCTCCTAAAAGAGTGACACATTCAGGGCTATATGTCGAATTGTTATTAGCGACACCTGTGGCTGTTATGTGAACTACAGCAAGTAACTCATTGCTCGTGCTCGATCAGGTTATTTGCAGACTGACTTGATTCAATGCTCCGATACTCACGGCAAACTACTTTGCTTACAAATAAAAATAAGTTGGAAATACATTTTCAGCAATAAAGCCTATTAGTGAACATCTAAACACAAAAATGACAGAGGAGAGCATCTGACCACAACTATGTGGAAAATGTTTGCACTAGCTCTGCAATTCACTGGCATCATGTCCAAACAAAGATGAGATAATTAATCACTCTGTTAATGTAAAAAAAAATCTCTTTAAATTAAAAAATGACTCTGTAATGATAGTTTAAATATATTGTGTTTGATACTATATAGATCTGATTATGTGAGACTAAGTTTGAATGAATCCCTTTTCTTTGCATGACACCTTAACTTTACAGTACAGAATGGCTCTTTCGACAATATCCTCCTTAACATAGCATTCAAGAGAGGCTCTCGGGAGCGCGAGTTATCGCCACATCCTTTGGATTTTCCCGGCAAAACCGGCCCGAGTCCTTCGCAGAAATATCCGCCTACGGGGTTTTTATAAACTAGGAAGTTAGTTGCGGTTGGTCTCGTTTTTTAAGTCTCCTTACAAGCTGTTCACACACTGGTTAGCCTATACAAAAAAATAAATAAAAATAAATAAAAAAAAAAAAAAAACTCTGGTTAGCCTACATTTTATTTTATGGTGTTGTATGTAATTACTGTATATATTTAACTATACTGTGTAATATTAAGCAACTATGTAGTCTAGGGTAGGATAGGATTAGGATTTGGTTGAGGGTTAGCTGCATGTAATTATGCATAATTTACTGTTGTTGCTGTTATAATGGTAAGTACAAGAATTACAATGTAATATGATCGATAACGCGCAACCCTTCCTTCATACTGTAACCCGAAGGGAATGACCATATAAGGAGTGTGTGTAGCCTATGAGTCCCTGGGGGTGGTGCTGAAAGAACAGCTCCCACTAAACACGACATCTTTTAATAGCGGTCCCCTGTGGCCACTGGCCACTTTTTCAGGAGACCCTCGGTTGGGTTATTGCTGCCAAGGGGTGCAAGGGAGTTATGACAAGCCATGAATCAGGAAAGTTCCCATGCCCGGACCGGAGCTTTGAAAACTGAGGGATATGTTGGAGCGACTATGAGAAGATGAAGAGGCAAAACCTGCGGACACTCGCCTTAATTATCTGCACTTTGTCCTATTTACTCATTGGAGCGGGAGTCTTCGATGCTCTCGAGTCAAAGCAAGAGAAAACACAGAAGGGCAAGCTCGACTATCGAAAATTTCTACTCATGCATAAATATAATCTCACCAGGCTTGACTTTGATCAGATTGAAAAGGTCGTGTTGCTTCTGAAGCCTCACAAAGCCGGAGTCCAGTGGAGGTTCGCCGGGTCTTTTTATTTTGCCATCACTGTGATAACGACCATTGGTAATTTTTTTTTTTTTCTGATTAACTTAATTTGTTAAGAGAGTCATTCTAGTCGAATTATGTTAGTTTCCTATACTATATGCCATTCAACTTTAAAATCATTTGCACTTTTTAGACTTTTATGTAAAAACAAATGTTTCATTTTCCAAAAATGGTTTAGCCTATTAGTGAAAATTATGAATCCCCTTATGAAAAGGGGCAATTCAATTCCTTCCACTAAAAATGTAATTTGGTTACTTAGTTGCTTATAGCATTTGTGTTGTTCCTGTTTTATTTTGAAGACATTTTCGATCTACTTAAAATCATTGCTTGGTTTTTCCTTTGAACATATTTTCTCAAATAAGAGTAATATTTTTAGGTAGGCTATTGTAATCATATATACTAGCTATATGGACTTTAACATATAGGCTACAATCACCAAAATGCCATCCAAACTGTATTTTTAACCGGAAAGTTAATCTGGCAACTGCAGCTGACAGTTTTCAAACCTGAAATCAACATTTTATTATGTGCTTCTTTGAAATAAAAATACTGCCGAAATTCAGCAAAATTCAATCTTAGTGAAATGTGCTCGTTAAAATGACTTAGTTAACACAAATAATGAAATTAGACTCAATACAGTCATTATTGAAGTGCTTAATCCTGTGTTACGGTTCATGGTGATTTCGTCATTGCTTCCGGTGGATTAGTTCAAAAATGGTCATGGGTTATTTTTGGAAGAGCACCCTACAAAATGCTAATGTATGTGAGTTTTGTCTCTGCGTTTTCACTAGCTGAAGACAATTACGTTGCATTGCCTGTTGAATGATAATAAGGCTAAATAGTATAGGTTTATTTATTTCTCTTTAACCCTCATGCATGTTTTGTTTGAAAGACTAATAGTTTTTTTAATATCAGATTAAAAATGACTTTTGCTATTCTTATTGATGATATATTGTACAAATACTCATTTTTTTACATCTTCAAACATCCTTCATGACAAATATAATTATTTTTTGTCTTGACTTGAATATAATCAGTTCATTTAGATTTTACCATTTGTGGGTCACCATGTCAGTTTGTATTAGGTTATAGGGTTAAAGATTGATTCACATGGACTGTTGGGTTTGGATAAGGTCAGATGAAGATATTTACATAAATCATTTAACATTACATTTTGGAATTATGGTTATTATTTGTTCATGCACATAAAAAGTAGTCATTCGGATTATTTCAATATATATTTTTTATTAGATTGATTTATAGATACAACATCAGCCTTTGTCCAAATAATAAAACAAAAGAACAGAGATTTTGAAATGTTAAATTCTTCATTACTTCGTTCTCCTAATTTGCTTGTTGAAAACTTAATTCATGAGTCTTTTTGGTATCCCAATACCAAGATCTTCAAAAATCTCCAGGCTAATGCCATATTAGTCTGCCCTCATTGTAGTTTACAGCATCATAACATAGCGATGGCTAAGTGCAATGAACGTTAGTAGTAATATTTACAGAAAGTTAAAGAACATCCAGTACAAATAAACGTGGGAGGTATGTGCGTGTGACGAAGAGTCTGATTACTCTGGCCAGTTACAAACAGTGAAGATATTGACTGTCCTGTTTACCTATAAATTATTCTGTTTAAGAGGTTGTTTAGCTGATATACACAACCAAAGAACACTTATGTTTTTTTTCTGCAAGGTTGAATTGACCCAGTAAATCTCAAACTCAGTCGAACCAAAGACCCATTGACATTCTCTGGTATGGTCTTGACTAACTTTAAATTAACTTTGAATATTATCACTCGTTGATACTATCAGGATTATAATGGGTGCAAGTTGATGACACTACCGTTAACATAAATTACCATGTAAAAGCCCTCAAATTTCATCAAAAAGATCTTCAGTTGTGTTCCGAAGATGAACTAAAGTCTTATGGGTTTGAAATGACATGAGTAATTAATGACAGAATTTTAATTTTTGGCCGAACTATCTCTTTAAGCGTTGAGTTGTGTTGTTGAGAGGGAAATGTATTCTAGACTAAGCAAAGGGTCATATATTCATTGTAATTGGTTGATCAGGAACCAATCGGTGACCAGAAACTACCCATCTTATAAAAACATAACATTTTATTGGTTCAAACCACAAATCACGTGATGTCCATTCCAATGGATGCAGGATCTGTAGGTCTACAAACATCTAAACATACAACATCCAGTCTTCCATGAAAATGTTGATTATTTAAAGGGATACTCCACTTTTTTTGGAAATAGGCTCATTTTACAACTCCCTCAGAGTTAAATAGTTGGGTTTTACCGTTTTCGAATCCATCCAGCCGATTTTCTGATATTTAGAAGAATATCAGTTTCTGGTCTCATTGACTTCCATAGTATATTTTTTTTCCTACTACTATGGAAGTCAATGAGACCAGAAACTGATATTCTTCCAAATATCAGAAAGTCGGCTGAATGGATTAAAAAACAGTAAAACTCAAACCCTGAAGGAGTTGTAAAATGAGCCTATTTCCCCAAAAAGTGGAGTATATCCCTTTAAGTCACGTATCTTGTTCTGCTCTCCTTCCCAAGGTTATGGCCATGCCGCCCCCAGTACGGATGCTGGGAAAGCGTTCTGCATGGGGTATGCGCTTCTGGGCATCCCCCTCACCCTGGTGATGTTCCAGAGCCTGGGCGAACGCATCAACACCTTCGTCCGCTTCCTGTTGCACAAAGCCAAGAAATGCATGGGCCTGCGGAGGCCGGAAGTCTCCATGGCCAACATGGTGATCATCGGCTTCTTCTCCTGCGTCAGCACCTTGTGCGTAGGAGCAGCTGCCTTCTCCCACTATGAAGGTTGGACCTTTTTCCATGCCTTCTACTTCTGCTTCATCACCCTCACCACCATCGGTTTCGGGGACTACGTGGCCCTGCAGAAGGACAACGCCCTCCAAAACGACCCTCATTACGTGGCCTTTAGTTTTGTCTATATCCTGATGGGCCTCACAGTGATTGGTGCTTTCCTCAATCTAGTGGTGCTACGGTTCATGACGATGAACACCGAGGACGAGAGAAGAGACGCGGCGCAGAGGGCGCTGCTCTCCAAAGATCAACCGATAGCTTCGGTTCTGCGGCGTCCGGACCCTCCGAGCCCAGCCGCCACGGGACGAGACAAAAGGCGAGGGCTGAAGAGCGTCTATGCTGAGGTGCTTCACTTCCAGACGGTGTGCTCCTGCCTGTGGTACAAAAGCCGAGAGAAAATGGTGATCCTCCCGCAGGATATGTCCTTTACTGACGCGCTGATGGAGCAAGGAGACATGTCGCCCCACCACTTTTTCGAACCCGGCCCGACGGGCTGCGTGTGCAACCCTCAACGCTGCTCGGCCATTAGCACTGTGTCTGCTGACCTGAGAAACATCTCGCCGTTCAGGCTCTTCTCCAAGAGACGCAGCTCTGTCTGAATCACCTCACTTCCTTATACAGTCACTGTAGATCTTTAATGAGTCACATGAATTTTTTGGATAGCATAAGATGCTTGAACGGACCACCCAAGCTCGAGGTGGACTGATGAAAACTTCTTTTTACACCAACACATCTAATCTCTATCAAGTCTTCTACTTCAAATGAACCCTGAAATGGTGCAATAGATAACAGTCCAAAAAACTTCTGGAGTGCGATTTTACCCTGTTCAGATGAAATACGTGTGGGATTAGAGTTTTCATAAATCTCAGCCATTTTTGGCTTTGCATTGCAGTGTTGTTTGCCATTCAGAATTGAACTGAGAATGCCTTTTAAATTCCAATTCTATTCCAGAATTTGAGTTGAATTTAGATAGAAAGATAGATGAAATGTCATTTATGTTTGAAGTAACAGAAAAGTCTATTTATATATTTCATAATGGTGACTGAAAAATATGAGATGGGAGAAACAAATGTATTGCAATACGTTCGCATTTGCTCACAAAAAAAATTGAGTAAGAACACTTTTTTATTATTTTTGTTGTGAGTGAACGCTGATTGTTTTTCAGGGGAAAGCAATACTTTTGAGAAACAAAGCAAAAAGTTTTGATATAATACAAGTTAAGGAAACTTATTTTCCTCCCTTCTCATATTTTTCCCCTTTGGGGGATCCATTGAATGCATGATCTGCGTTGAAATTCTTTCAATAAATTCACCTTCCTATCCGTTTAACTTCCTGTGGGGTGTTTCCAATTCAATTTATACTCCTTAAAAGACCAATTCTATAATTCTGCAATTTGCATAACCATGTTGCATTGATAGTTTTTGTATTGTTGAGAACCTGAGACTCTTTATTATCTGCGATTTGATGAAGGATATTATTATTAGACTATGTAATGAGTCACCTGTAATACGCTGTAGACTTCAGTGTAATGAAACACCTATCAGGTATTTGTTGATCCAGGTGGCATACCAACATGACTCCCTCAACCTCCTAAGCATATTAACCTGATGGAGGTCACGTGGAGTGATAAAATAATTAATCAGACCGGCTGCACTTTGTTTTTTTTGTTTTTTCAAAAACGAGGACAGAGTTGTCTATGTATGATATCTGAGTCAACATCTCGGCACGGAAAGTGCATACGACTTTTGAAAGTGAGGTATCTAATTACTCTAGATGTTTAACACATAAATGTCAGCTTTGAAGATAAAGAATAAATATGACCTTGGTCTGAACTGTAGGAAAAACAGTAGTTATCCCATACGGACCCTCTCAGCACTGATCTGGACATCGTGTTCTGTGTATCCCTCATGAATCAGAGAGGACTTGCTGCTCAGGCTATGTTTGGCTCACACAGGAGTCTGTGCCATCTTCACATCCTGCCAAGGAGAAAGCGCTTTGTGTCCAAGACTTTGCCTTCAGCTATTAAACCTGCATGACACAGTGACAGAAGGAACGCCATTACAACAAATGCCTGTATTGCCACGAACCCCCATGGTGGCGGCATCTGTTGCTTTTTCTTGTATATTTTTTTTGGTTTGGCATCATGTGAAAGGTAGAAAATATCTTTTGACCAGCAGGTCAATGAGGGTAGGACAGAGTGTACATTTATGTTTCTAATCCTGTCCTTACTAAGGGACCAGGGCAAAAATAACTCTGCTGATTAGAATAATAATAATAATAAAAAAGAAAATGCCCATGTGAAATGAATCCTTATTTTGTATATGGTGAAAGGTTTAATAAGGAATATGTTACAAGTTCAATACAAGTTAAACTTTTTGGGGGGTTATAATCTGTGACGTCATATTTTTGTCCAACATTTTGTAAAAAACAAACAAACAAAATTTGATTTGAATGACTTCACTTTGCTTCGTCGAAATGAAATTAGCGGAAGTAGGAAGTCTGACGTAGTCAGTCAGGCTAAGGTGTTTGGGCAGGTGAGAGTTGAAAAATTAAGGAATTATTCTCTATAACTTGTCTTTACCTCTTATATGCTCACCTGAATGTATTTGTAAATTTACATGTTTCTTCAATTAAAAAAAAAAAAAAAAAAAAACAGGGAAAAAAAGAGTTGAAAAATTAAAGCGATGGTGACGACAGCTGCCAAGAAAGGTCGTTTCAGGTGGTGAAGTCATTATATTTTGAACATGTACTTAATAACCTGCACATGACTTGAATCTTTAACAATTAGAGCGTGTAAAAGAAAGTTTTCTGATTTCATATTGACAGGACCCCGTCCCTTTAAAACTACCCAGTAGCAACGGGCCTTTTCATTGGCTGCAATAAAAACACAGTGCTGAGCGTTGAGGAACCTTTCAGACCTGTCAAATCTCGCAGAACATAAAGATGAACGTCAAAGAGATGATTATGAAAATCTTTGACCAGAATCGGCAAATCGCATTGTGCGCTGCAGGCACAACTGTTGCTCTGCTTGGACTCGGTGTCGTTTATAAATATATGCGTCAGGAGAAAAAGTTAACCCGAGTTGGAGTTGTTACTCAGCTGCTGGTTCATCCGATGAAGTCTGGGAAGGTGGTGTCGGTAGAGACAGCAGAATGTCTGCGAATGGGTCTGAAGTATGGCGAACTGCGGGATCGGTGAGTATTTGTTAAGTGTTCATCTTTGCTTTCCAGTCGTGTAATTTATTTGAAAGCATAGTTTGTCTGTTTCATTCGCGTTTAAATGTAACGTTACTGTTAAGTTATCTGGGTCAGTGTGCGAACTATCAGTGACTTTTAATGATTTACCGTCTGATAATGCTAACGGAAAGCGCTCGAGCTGTTGTTGCCATGTTTTTGTCTATTTTGTAACTTTTGTGTGTACTTAAACTTTTGAAAACTCGATAATATGAATAGCCTCCTTGTATTTTATGTAAATGCTGCTAATAATTGTGTCGTTCCACGTTTTGTTTTTCTTTCGTGGGGTTCAAAGTTCAGACACCTCTCACACCACTCATAATTCGCGACATAACATATCGTGCACATATTTTGTTTTGTTTCAGTCACTGGCTGGTCATCACAGAGGATGGACACATGGTGACGGGAAGGCAGCAGCCTCGTCTGGTGTTGGTGTCTCTGAACTGTGAGGGAGGACAGCTGTGTCTTAACGCACCCCAGATGGAGGAGCTGAGGGTTCCTCTTCACCAGCCCAGTAATGCAGTTGTGGACTGCAGGTACATAGTAGTGCTACAAACAGTGACCCACCCTACCTCACCAACACTTAAAGGGATAGTTCACTTTGAAATTAATGTTTGATATGTTTTAGCTTACTTCAAGGGCATCCAAGATGTAGGTGTCTTTGTTTCCACAGTATTTTCAATTTTGATATTTTTTGGTCAAACCGTTCTTGTCTGTCAGTGGAGATTTATGGGGTCCACCCTGGGTTCACCTCAAAAGAGCATGCACAGGGAGATGTTTTAGAGTTTCACCCCTTCATTGCTGAGCCCTTTCTTTCTGCATCGTGGCCGATTTGTAGATTGTACTCACAAAAATTCAGTGAATTTGTTTTTTTTTTGGCGATTTCCCATTTATTTCCTATGGTCGTGATTTTTGACTGAAGAGCACCTTCCAAATGCCATAAAAGTCACCAAGTTTTGTACCATTCCGATGAAGCTGTGATTTTTTTTTTTTTTTTTTTAACATTTCAAAACAGAAGATTTTCCGGATTTTCCAGATCCTGCCTGTGCGAACTCATTTTATGTGTGGCCAAAGTTTCCTTTGTTAAGAGAGTTCTTCTAGTTAAAGTGGCATACTACTGAAACTTGAAAATAATTTTGCTTGTGTGTCCAGAGTCTTTAGTATCGACGTTCAGGGCAGGGATTGCGGGGACGATGTGTCTGACTGGCTTACTCGATACCTGGAATCAGACAAGAAAGTTAGCTTGGTGCATTTTGAACCTCATCTAAAGGCCCAGAGACCTTCTGAGAAAGATCCCCTCTATCCTAAGGACGAAAAGGTTTGATGGACAGTCCTCTACATGTCTTATACTACAAATAAAATAAAATAATTTTTGTAAAACTGTAATATTGACTCTTGAGATGTGGGACAAAACATGTCTCATAACGATTTACTAGTTTTTGATATAGAAACATTCCTACTTTAAAATTTTTTAGATAGTAGAAATATATTATACCAAATATATTTATTAATGGGAGAATGAGAAATGCCTAATTATATTTTAGTATTTTTATTTTAGCCAAATTATATTAAATTATCACTCAATCATCCTAAAAGCAGAACTCTAGATGTATAATTAAAAGGAAAAAATACTGTCATGACAGAAAAGAATCCCGATATATAAAAATAAATAAAAAATATATATATATTATAAGGTTTCACAGCTCTGCTTCTACTGTACCTCCTTTCAACATATATGAAAATCTAGTGCAATATGACATTTTTGTTTTAATATCTAGGATACAATACACAAAACCTATACTAATTGTTGGAAATGACTCCCCATGACTGTAAAGAAGAGATCTAATGTTTCCTGTGACCTTCTTTGGGTTATATGTCTGTTATGTTCTATATATATGCTATATATCTGTCACTGGCATTATCTGATCTGATTTTTCAATTCTTCAGGTGGCCTATCCCGATGCCGCTCCCATCATGCTAATGTCGGAGGCCTCTGTTAGGGACCTGAATACCCGTTTGGATAAGGATGTTACCGTCTTTCAATTTCGTCCCAGTATTGTTGTCAGTGACTGTGAGGCATTCACAGAGGTATAACTGAATAATCAGGATACAGTAACTTTGAATGATATGAAGGTGTGTTATGATGTAAAATAAAACTCTATTATTCCTACACCAGGACACATGGGATCATATTCAGATTGGCCAAGTGGAGATGAAGAGGGTTGTTGGCTGTGGAAGGTAAAGTGGAATATACATTGATTGTTCACAAATATAATCGTTATTAATGTAACATTTAATTCTGTGTATAAATATTCAGATGCCTCTTTACCACCGTTGACCCCGAGACTGGAGTCATCACCCGGAAAGAACCACTGAACACGCTCAAAAAGTAAGTGCACACTTTAGATTGAATTAAAATCTATCCGGATCAAAGGGCAGAGCTCTCAAGTTCATGGCTGTTGTGTTTAGTCAATCATTTTCTTCTATAATACTTAAGTCCATCACAGTTTCCACAAAAATATTAAGCAATAATGATAAGAAGGGATCATGTGACACTGAAGACTTTGAAATCTGAAGAAACTGAGCTTTGATCACAAGAATAAATTACATTTTTACAATATATTAAAATAGAAAACAGTTATTTTAAATTCTAAAAATATTTCTCAATATTACCGTTTTGTTATTTTGATCAAATAAATACAGCCTTGGTGAGCAAAAGAGACTTTCAAATAAAAATAAAAATCTTACCAACCCTATCTATATATGAATTATATATGAATTAATATATTTGTGGCGCAAGCACCAACTCAACACCCCCTTTCCCCTTTAAAAAACGAAATCATAAAGGAAGGCATCATATGTCATGTTGTAGGCATCTCTTAATATATCCACGGTTTTCATCACCTACTTGATTTTTTTGCTTCATAGCTATCGACTGACTGACCCTAACCAGAAAACCTCGCCAATATTGGGACAGTACTACACCGTCAAGAAAACGGGCATCCTTCATGTTGGTGAACCCGTTTATAAGATCACCTATTGAAATGGGGCCGGATGGAATGAAATATCAAACCATATCAAAATCGAGTGAATAATTTACATGCAGACTAATTCACAAGTTACAGTGAATCAATATTCTTATCATTTTCATTGAATAAGAAAAATAAAATCATATGTAAAGATTGTTTGTAAAACTTTCTGTATTGGCTGTAGAATTATGGTTGGAATAGAGATTACAAAACCATTAGTCTTCTGCAAAGATAAAGGGACACAGCCCTATAAAAATCTTCACTTTCTCAAAATAATATCTCACGGGTGAGTAAATAGAGACAGTTTTCAACTTTGAGTGAACACATTCTTTAATGTGCAAAATGTCACCCTGTTTTGCAATGAGAAGATATGAATTCTGTGATTTGTTGACTAATCCGTATACTTCAAAATTACCAGTGTATTAGCAAGATAATTATGATGCATTGCAATAATGATCAGGTTTCATGTAACAACTCAAATCAACAACTTAATTGGAACAGTCTGTGACTAATTTAAAAAGGCATTGAGCATATTAAGCTATTCCAGTATTGTTTTCTCTCAACATGCTAAATGATCCCAACCATCAGACACTGAACTATTGAATAGAATTACCAATACTGTGATTTTTTTGTGTGATTTTTTTAAAGGAGACCAGGCATACTGTAAAGCTTTTTGAAACTTAACTAGCACTGTGTTCATTTGGAAAACACCCAATAGATGGTGCCATTTCAGTGGTTACAAGGAGTCTCAGTAAAAGGCGACAACAAAGTTTCTGTTTCTCCATATTTACAGTATTTTATGTAGTTGCTAAGTTCTTTTCCTCTCAATTTTTTAATCTAGGGATGTCAAACTCAATTCCTGGAGGGTCACAACCCTGCAGAGTTTAGTTCCAATCCTGCTTCAATACGCATCCCTGTAGTTTTCAAATAAGCTTGAATAAAAGCCTTGACATCCCTGTTTTAATCAATTTTTCACTGTTAAAGGGATAGTTTACCCCAAAATTAAAATTGTCATTACTTAGTCACCCTCAAGTTGTTTCAAACTTGTATGATTTTCTATCTTCTATAAATTTTATTAGATTGTCTCGGACTTAATACAAGCAGAATGCTCTTTTATGAAGTTACTTCACTTAATGAAATATTTAATTAGATTATGCCTGAAACGTTTTTTTTTTTTTTATCATAATGTTATTTTAAAAAATCTTATATACTGGTAATATGACTTGCTTATTGATTATATGATAATTGTATTTTTGTAATTTAATTTTTGTCATGAAAATAGCTTTGAATGCTGACATGGCATTAAATAAAAGAATCTGAATCGATCTTTTATTGAACACCAAAGAAGATATTTTAAAGAATGTTGGTAGCCAGACTGTTGACCGACAAAAAAAATACTATTATATCAACTGTCTGGTGACCATCATTCTTCAGAATATCTTTTGTGTTCAACAGAATAAACTCCTACAGGTTTGGAACAACATGAGGGTGAGAGTAAATGATGACAAAATGTTAATTTTGGGGTGAACCATGCCTTTAATGAGGAGATTTTAAAGGACTTTTTTGAAGATTTTATGGGAACTTTTATAATAATATATATATATATATATTTTTATAGGAAGATTTTATAGAAATCTCTAAATATTCTATTAGAATGCATTCTGTCTTCTATTAGCGTGTTGTCGTTTGTGTATATTCTGCTTTGCGGCTGCAAAGCATGTGTTTTTTCCCCTTGCATGTGCAATGTGTATATCAGATATGGCGAGTAGACTACATTGGACGTGGGAATGTCCCACTTCAGACCTCAGTTCAGTTCCAGTCAATCACACTCGCGTTCACACATTGAACATTTCGTATTTTTTGTGTGTCAATTATGGTAAAAACAGAAAAGAAATAGCCTAAAATACTGCCGTTCACTTTGAAAACGGCTGACAAAAAGCTCAAATTAAGGTATTATATATACTGTAAACGTAATGTCTAATGTTAAAGTTTGTTTTTACTTTTGACTTACGGTACACTATGCACATTGCAATCTTGGAAGTGATTATCTCGATGAGGTTTGGGTTGATCGAGCAGGTCGAATGTCTCACTTCGAGTGGCGTTCCATACGTTATTTCCAAGTAGGAGTTGGGACAAATCCATATTCTGAGCGGTCTGGAATGCAGCATTAGATTCTGTCAGTGACCCAATATTCTCACAGTACCTTCTATCTTTGGTCCAACAACTGGCTCCCAGTGGCTGTTTAACTAACTTGGTTTGTTACTTAATAGTTTTTCAGCTTAAAATAGTTCACCCAAAATTAAAACATAGTGTGAGTAAATAATGACAGAATAATTTTTTTTGGGTGAACTATGCTTTAGATGCTTTCTTAACTGCTGTCATTTTTGCTGGGTGTTTATTTTGTTATTGAGAGGAAAGCTTGCAGTACATATTTATATATTTCTCTAAACGGAGTTCTGTCTGCAGTGTGGATGATGTCGAGACATTCGTTAAAATGTATATTGCTGCAAAGATATTTCCAACTTCTTTTGAAGCGAAGAACGGAAAAGAACTTAACCATGAGTATATCAGGGCACAGAATCATCTTCGGTCTCTTATACGATACGTGTGTGAGCTTGAGAAATAAGTTGCTGGCTGCAGTTCACTTAATGGCCACCGGTGTCGCTAATAACAAGGGTTTCTGAATTCTACATGTATCAATTGAAGAAACGGACGTAACTTGAAACAATCATCACAAAATATATATACCGTTTCCGTGGTAGAGAAAGTCAACATGGTGAAAACGCAGAAAAATCCTGTGATATTGATTCTTTATTGAATTAGTATATTTGCATGGGTTATTGTATCGTATTGCTTTGCATTTGTAAATGTAATTCTTTTCCAAGCTTAAGAAACTCATCACCAGCATGTTTGTGGCTCATTCAGTAAACAGGCTCCTTTTAACTGGGAAAGAGAGTTAATAATTTTCTTCCTGTCGGATGGCTAGCACATCTATGTGAAATATCTCACTAAGATGACAAACTCGGTGAGCAGGAAAATGACAATAGCATTTCGGCTTGACTCAATTCTTGGGACCTTTCATTTTGTGGTTTCCTTTTAAATGAGTTACTCATTCATTAACCATTTCAGTCATATTGGTGATTTTATGGCCAATCTTTTGCAATATGTGAGAGACTGTCCATGATTTTTTTTTTTTTTTTTTTTGGCAATGATTTTCCAGGTCTTTCCCCAACCCTCCACATTACATGGATTGGGACTCACAAACAAACTCACACCATGGACAATTTAGTGTCCCCATTTCAGCTATAATATTTTTTGGGGAAACCAACACAGACAAAGGAAGAACATGCAAACTCCACACTTAAAGGCCTCCTGGGTCATATAAGGGACTCAAAACCGAACCTCCCTGCTGTGAGGCGACATTACTACCCGCCGAGCCACCGTGCCGCCCTTTATGAGTTACTACACAGTTCTCTTCAAGATTAAGTAAATCTGAAGCCATCATCATTGTGTCCATGAGCGGGAATGCTGTCTCATGCCCTGTGATCAAAGGGCCCGGGGCAGAGGGGACCCACCCATGTTAATGGTGTCCCGAGCCCCTCGAATTCTGGCAGCTTCACTCTTTCAGGTTGCTTTACGTGAATATTCCCTGTAATTAGTCTACTGTAAGACTCCATCGATGAAAAGTGTCTGCTAGAGGGCAAGTAATTACAGACTTGCAAAGTAAACAGTGACATAGGTATTTTGTTGTCTTTCAGGCAATGATCAAAACATGTTTTTTCATGGATGTTCTTCCTGTCTGTCAGGGGTCTTTTGTTGAATTTGAATTCATAGTATTGTGGTACCCTTGAAGTCATGAAATTGGGCCCCACTGGTGTAAAACTGTCTCCAGATGTCATGGTTAAGTGCTTGTTTAAAGTTGTTTTATAGCAAGTATAGCATGTCACACTGCAGGGCATTGTTTTAGTGTTACAGATACTAAGAAAAATCAAAAATGATCATTATTAGTCATTATGAATTATGAATTTTCAAATTTGTAAATAAATATAAAAGGTATAAATATATATAAATATTAAATATAAAAGGTTATTATATTGAAGTTAATTTTACAAGAAAATACTATTTCAGTTTTTCTACTTGTTACTTGCCATTTCTTTGTTATTGTTTGTGAAATTAATTTAACAAATTTAAAGAAACAACATATATATGTGTACCTCAAGACTCAACCAAATCAAAATGCATATTAGAACATGATCTTGGAGTTAGAAATAAATAGACCTTAAACTGAATAAAGCCAATAGAGAAGCAGAGAACCAATTGAAAATATTTCCTAGCGTGCTGCAGACCCTTTAAATTGTGCAATACAAATCAGGGCTTACTTGCCAGAGCACAATATGCAGGCCCGTTTTAAACTAAAGATCTCAAACACAAGATTTGTATAGTGATGTTTTCACCTGTCCGACAAATCATCACCTTTAGGCAATCTCCAAGATAAATCCTTAGGATTTCTGTCAAGCGAATATATCTTGCAGTGGCTTTTAGAAACCCAGTTATTAGTTTCTGCTTGACACGATACAAATAATCTCGTTCCAGCATGTCTTCTGAAACTTTTGTAATGGTATGCCCATAACCTGTGCTTTAATTACAGCATACAGTAAAGCTCTGTAGGTGAGAGAACAACAGAGCCTTTAAAATAAAGATTTAGCAGACTTAGGGAAAGTTAGGTTCTGTCAGCATGAAGTTTGTGTATAGTTTAACTGCAAAAGACAAGCCCTAACAAAGCTTGTTTTTTAAACAAAATATTGTTTGTGATCCTATTTTGTCACAGCCAGATAACCTGCATCAGCATGCCATGTTTATTTAAACTTTATACATTCACCAGCCACTTTATTAGGTACACCTGTTCAATTCATTAACGCAAATATCATGTCAGAAAATCACATGGCAGCAACTTGATGCATTTGCATGGTCAAGACGATCCACTGACGGTCAAATTGATCATCAGAATGGGGAAGAAAGGGGATATAAGTGAGTTTGAACGTGGAATGGTTGTTGGTCCCAGACGGGCTGGTCTGAATATTTCAGAAACTGATGATCTACTGGGATTTTCACATCTCTAGAGTTTATAGAGAATTATCAGAAAAAGATGAAATATCCAGTGAACCCCAGTTATGTGAAAATGCCTTGTTGATGAGAATAATCAGACTGGTTTAGCTGATAGAAAGGAAATAACATCTCATGTCAATATGGACCAAAATCTCTGAGGACTGTTTCCAGCATCTTGTTGAATCTGTGCCATGAAGAATTAAAGCAGTTCTGAAGGCAAAAGTGGTCCAATCCGGTACTGAAAAAGTAACCCTAATAAAGTGGTGGGTGAGTGTTTGTTTTTAAGTATTTACCCATTTTATTTTATCCAATTTGGCCAAACTTATTAAAAAAAACAACCAAAATAATAGGTAATAAAATTAACAAACATTTTATTTGACTGATTTAATATCAAATCACTGATTACAGTTGATAATCATAGGTCAGCTCAGGGTTTAAAACATTTTGATGGACCCAAATATGATAATCCCCTTGCACCATTCCTACATCCCATCACTGTTGAATTCTTATAATCTTACACTTGAAGGACCATAAGATGCAAAACAATACATTAACAACGCTGCAAACATATCTCAGTAAATTTGTGCATTCATATCCACCTTATTTTTGATCATTTGTGAGGCTCTTTACAAAAACTGCTTGATATTGCAAACTGGTATTTCTTTAATTATTTGTATGTATTGTTTTAGTTCTAGCACATATGGTTTGATCATTCCATGCATTTTTTTTGTTTTTATACCTGTAGCAGCTAAATCAGAAGTCTTAAACGTTTACAAAAAAACTTGTCTATTCAAAAAAACGTGCTTATCTATTCAAAAATGTAAGGTGCATACTTCTGTCCAGGTGTGTGGAAGGAAGGGGAGGTTATTAGGATCTTGAATGATGGATTGGTCTTGGCTTTGGCTGGATGTTGTCAGTTAAAATATGGCCGATCATCTTCATTATGCTCTGCTTGGAGTTTTTGACATACTTCACAGTGATGTCTCTGTTTCCGGGGTACAATTCTATGAGAAATTGTTTTTCGTTGACCTGTTTTTATATAATGCTGCAGAAAGTGCAACTATATTGAAAATCTTCTTTACTTGGCACTTTATTGGTGATTCACAAAACAACATGTTTTACTAAAAGTGTTTTATTAATTGTTTTGTGAAATAACATTAGCATAGTGCATACTTGTATGCATATTTAATGACTGCATAATTTAAAAGTTTAATTCATTAAAAGTCACATTGCAAAAATTGTGAATTTTATCATTTTCCATTTTTTTTACCTGTTCATCAATAGTGGTGCTCCTACAAGATTATTTTAATTTTCAGATGGAAATAGTACTTCAAACACCAAGGGTGTAGCAAAGCAATACTAAATTTACACCCTCATACAGACTCGGTTTGGATCTGCATTAAACAGAATTTTTCTGTAAACAAGCCAAAACACTTTACTGAATGAACCATTTTTACTTACACCCCCCAAAAAACATATGCATGGTACTTAAGTTTGCCTTCTGTCTGTGTCTGTGCCACTTTGGTTTTACATTTCTTAGGTATGTCATAAAATTATCACGTTTTACAATGCAATGTATTTTAGCTTAAAGAGCTTCAAAGATTTTTCCAAAGCATTCTTGTGTTTTTATTTAGAATTTCCCATTATAATTGTAGTTTCGATCTAAACTAAAGATCATCGCCCCGAACTAATTACTTAACCACATTCCAAAAATAAGATCAACATTTGAAGAATGCTCCTGTATTGCATGCTAAACAAAATCAACTGTTGGCGCAAGCCTGTTGTGGTTTTTTTCTTTGGTCTCTCACATCACACATCTTACTGACCTCAGAGCTGCTATTTCATCGATACATTGTTTGAACAGGATATCTTCTCATTACTGCACTACATTACTACCATCTAATTACTACACCACGCACATGGCTTATTTAAACAGTTTTCTCTTTTTTGCCAGAGGGCTATTTTTAGTATTTTTGCCGCCGTCTAGATTCTTTTTAGAAACAGTCGCCTTAGGTTTGATCTTCACAGGTTTCTTCACCTCTTTCCCAGTCTTTTTAGCCCTCTGTAGCCAGACATTCGGCTGTGCCGCCTCTTTTGGTTTCGTTGGTTTGAGCGGTTTGGTTTTATTTCTTTCCGAGCGTCCTTTTAAGGACAGCTTTGGATTGTGATAGGGCTTTTCTGTGACTTTTTTGGTTTGTAACAGTGTCTTCTTATGAGGACGAGGAGCTTTCTTTAGTGTTTTTGCGCTTGCATTGATTTGCTTCTCCTTTGGTTGAGTTGTCTTCTTGGGCTTGTCTTGGCGCAATTTTGCTGTAGTGGTTTGGCCCGGCTTTTCTTTCTTCGGTGCAGATGTGGAGGGTTTGGCCATTGTGGGCTGGCGCGTGCCCGGTGGTTTAGTGGGGAGTATGATCTTTTCCAGTGGAGATCTTGTTGGTGTTTCACTTATGCCAAGCACAGTCACTAAACAAAACAGTATATTTTTACATGGATGAGTCTTTAAGCAGTTCTGTTTCACAACACTGGCAATCTTAACCAGGTATGTTTGAAGTTTACTTGAGTTTACTTGAAGGGGTGTGCATAAGACTAACATGACACCTTCATAATCATGACTTGACATATGTTAGAATATGAAGGAAGTTTTATGCATGTTTGTGACAACTGTCATTAAGTGTTATTCGCTCAGTTATGACATTTTTAATGCAAATATGACATTGTTTGAGATGTCTTTGGCATGACAACTTGACATGAACCAATACATCATAACCTGTCATAAACATGACATAGCAGATTAATTATCAAACTTAAGAAAACACCTAGCTTTATTGGTTAACTTTACATAAAACTATCAGGTGGTTGGTTTTGACATTGGCTGTCATGAAGCCATTATAACTTTTTAATGACAAATTCAATTAGTACCACTGCAGTTACGAAAAATATTCATGACAGTTATAATGGTCTCATGACATCCAATGTCAAAACCAACCACACGACAGTTTAACTTAATTTTAGAAGAAGTTGTCATTACAAAGATATGTTAAACAATGTCATATTTGCATTTAAAATGTCATAACTGAGCAAATGACACTTAATGACAGTTGTCATAAACCCTACTTCATATTCAAGACATATGTCATGTCATGGTTATGAAGGTGTCATGTCAGTCTTATGCACATCCCTTCAAGTAAAGTGTTTCCAAAGTTTGTGAACCCCTTGCAGAATTAAATGTGAACCCCTTGCATCAGTGAATGTTTGAACCTTTTTTAATACTTGTGTTTATAAGTCCCTAAGTTGTCCTCAGTGTGAAAAGTTGGATCTCAAAATCATACAGTCACTGCTGGAACGGGATCAAATATGCAAAAGATGCTGGAAAACTGAAGAATTTGTGGGATTTTTCTGAAGAATATTAGGCAGCTTAACTGCTCAAACAAGGGACTAGAGAACATCACCAAAAAAAAAAAAAAAAAAAAACAGTCGTGGATCATCCAATTAATGACGCGGTATTAAAGGGTTAGTTCACCCAAAAATGAAAATTAAGTCATTAATTACTCACCCCCATGCTGTACCAACCCCGTAAGACCTTCGTATGTCTTCGGAACACAAATGAAGATATTTTTGATTAAATTTGAGAGCTGTATAACTACCACATTGGCTCCTAAGGGACTGCCTCTTGACGGCCCAAAAAGTCAATGAAGAAAATGTTTAAATATCCCAAGTGACTACCGTGGCTCAACTATATGTTTATCAAGCGACGCGAATACTTTTTGTGCGAAAAAACAAACAAAAATAACGAGTTTATTCGACTATTTCTTTTCTTCCTTGTAGGCCAGAACGAGACTTCCTTATAGATTTCCACGACGCATGCGCGAGATTTGCTATCTGAAGTAGTGAAGGCTGGTGTGAGCAGATCGCAAATCTCGCGCATGCGTCGTGGAAATCTAAGGAATTCTCGTTTCTGGCCTACAAGGAAGAAAATAAATAGTCGAATAAACTCGTTATTTTTTTTGTTTTTTCGCACAAAAAGTATTCGCGTCGCTTGATAAACATATAGTTGAGCCACGGTAGTCACTTGGGATATTTAAACATTTTCTTCATTGACTTTCTGGGCCGTCAAGAGGCAGTCCTTTAGGAGCCAATGTGGTAGTTATACAGCTCTCAAATTTAATCAAAAATATCTTCATTTGTGTTCCGAAGACGAACGAAGGTCTTACGGGGTTGGTACAGCATGGGGGTGAGTAATTAATGACTTAATTTTCATTTTTGGGTGAACTAACCCTTTAAGAATCACAAAGGTTCACAAACTTTTCAATGGGGTTATTTTTTAGAAAATCAGCTATTTTTTGCCTTGTGGGCTGTATTGTGAACCTTTTTTAAGTAAAATATCTCTAAAAGTAACATGCATTTTGTATGATCCCTCTTATTTTGTTAAAATAATCAAATTTTTCACAGATTCTGCAGGGGGTTCACAAACTTTCAAGCAGCACTGTATATATAGCCTATAATAAAGATCAATAGATTCTTACATTCTCTTGGTGTAAATGGCACTTTCTTCCCTCTGACTTTTACTGGAAGTGGCTTGTTTTTGCATTTTCCTGGAGGTGCTCTCCTGTAGACAGACAGAGGGAATGCAGAGAAAATGAACTCCCATTAACCTTAAAAAAATGTAGGCCTCCTTTAGTGCTGTGAGGTAAAAAAGTACATTTTTCAACACAAATTGATGCACAAGATTGTGTGTGTGAGACGACAATGACCTCCAACTGCTTCTTTTAGTAATAAATCCATTTTTTCCCACTTTTAAAGTGGGATAAAGAATATGGAACATCTGGGATTAATGTATGGAATTGCTATGAGATTGATTTCAGATGTGCCGATTAATCTCCTGTAGTCTTGCTGGTTCCAGCAGGATTATTTTCAGTTCATTATTTAAAACATCACACAGCTTATGGAATTTGATTATATATGTCACTCTTTAAATGTAAATTTGTCAGTTTCACTGTAAAAAATAATCCTGTATATAATTGGCAGCTGTGGTTGCCAGCATCATACCGTAACACTACGGTGTGTTACTGTTTTTGTGTTGGAGCAGTTAAATTAAAGTTTTATATAGCTGACAATACAGTATTTAGCTGTTAATATTAAAAACAGTAACACACCATAACAAAATAAAATAATAAATTAAATATTTCATACATCAGACCCCCTATCTTACAGAATAGCATGAACAAATCATTGCGTTATGATCCGTGATAGATAGATGATAGCAGATTTCCAGAAGTTTGGATGGAAACCATTTGGTGAAAGCATGCGCCACAGATTCCAAGATTCCAAAGGAATATAGACCACATGATGCTTAAACTGACACGTCCTGTCCTTCTGTCTCCCAGCATGATGTCTTAACTGAGAGTTATCAGTCACATTATAAGAACTCTTATAATGTGGAATTTACCCAATCTGTCTATTGATGCATGATGTATTTTGACAGTTCATTTCTTCACTTACTGTACTGCCTGCATATTATAGATTAATGGATGAATGGATAAAGTAGATATTTGCACGAGAATCAGTGTAAATTGACAATATGTGTATCAAAATATACATACCTGGATGGATCCACAAATTTGTAAACTGTGCCAAAAGGAGACATTGCACTTGGGTAGGAGGTTGCTAGAAAATAAAGCTCTCCTTCAGAAAAAGCAAAAACAAAAATATTGTATGAATGATTTTCAGCCATATTATTGCTTTAATATTCATATGACACCTTGACAGAACTGTGCACAAACCTACCTGCTTCATCCTCTGCAAATGAGATGATGAACTTGTGGTGATGATTTATAAGCCCAGGAAAAGAGCAGGTTGTAGCGTCTCCCATGCACACATTCTTTTCCTTCCAACTCCCAGTTTTCTTCTCCTCCTCCAGAGCCATTAGTCGTCTGAATAAGAACAAAAGGCTTGAATTGTCATCTCTTCCAGACTTATGTTAAGTAAAAAAAAGTAGTGACCGAATTAACTAAAATGGCTCGTACTGTAAATTTATAGTAATTTCTAAAAAATCGAATTGAAAGTCGATTATGCACAAAAGACTTAAAGTTTTTAAGTTGCAATACTGAATGAGCGTTGGTCCTTACCCACTCATAAAGTCTCCAAAAATATAAAGACCGTTGAGGTTGGGTGATTCGCATCCTCTATACACATAACCTCCAGTTACGGATTTCCCAACATGGTGTCCATAGGCAAATATTGGAAGAATGTCATCTGTCATTAAAACAATGTGTAAAGAAATTAGAATTTGTTACTTATTTAATTTGACGCGCGACCTTGTCATATTTTTACTTTACTCAAGTTAATATGCTTCATTAAGTTTAATTGTAGAATATTCTGTGTTAATTTTCATTTGCTTTGATCCTAAATTGTATTCCTTTCATAAAACACAAAGGCCTGGGTTTACAGACAAGGCTTGGATTAAGTAGCACATAGACTTTTGTAATCGTTCCTTAGAAAAGCATTACTGGTGTGCATCTTAAAACAAAACAATGGCAGTGAAATCTTTTAAGATATGCCATTGCAAGCTGCTTTCGGTTAACACAGCTCAAAAATGCATTTAAGTCTGGGACTAGGATGTCTGACCCGCATTTACAAGAAAGTATGGTGATTTGTACTGCTAAGGCCTAAAAAACACAGCATAAATGTAGTCCATGCAACTTGTGGGCTCTATTCCAAGTCAGCTTTACATTAACGTTGTCTGAGGAGCAAAAAAATATAAGCAATTATTAGATTTGATATCTATGCATATTATCCGTTAATTAACAAATGTTTCATAGGACTTCAGTCTTTCATAGGACTTCAGAAGACAAGTCAAGATAAACAATTCTGTGTTTACACCCAAATTTGGGTAAAATATTGACAAACCCAAATGTTGGGTTAAAAATGCAATAAAAAAATTACAGTTGAAAGTAAAAGTTGAAGTTGGGTTCAAATTTGAGATGACATTTTTAACCCAACAGTTGGTTTTGTCCATATTTTACCCAAATTTGGGTTGAAACAATCCAGCATGTTTAGAGAGAGTTCGAGAATCTGTCATTGTAAATCCCTTATTAATTTACCATTATTCTGAATATTGTTTTTTTTTTTTTTTATATATATATACTTTAATTTTTTTTATTTGGGCCTTTTTTTGATCATATGGGAATTTGACGGTATCATCATCCACTTCCCTTGTACGGAAAACAGACTCAGACGTTCTGTTTAATATCTTAAGGATTCCATGGAACTGAAAATATAGTATTAGTGTTGGAATGACACGGGGGCAAGTAAATCTTAATATTTTTTAGTTAACTATTTATTTAAAATGATTTGAAAACGTCACCATTTCCAGAAATCAGGATCACAGATGTATGGACTGGCCTGTGATATGAAGTTCTTCAGTGATCAGTTTATTGAGCAGTAAAAAATCGTGCAATGCTCTGTTTGATTTGTCATTTTCTCCGACCCCAAATGTGTGTGTGTGATTATTCTACGGTCCAGCTCACCTAGTGAAGAGTTCTGGCATAGTTTCACATCAAAGCATTCAAAGCCTTCTTTGGCCCTCCATCCATAGTTTCCTCCCTTCACAATGATGTCAACCTCCTCGTATCGATTCTGACCCACATCGCCACAGAAGATCCTCCCTCTGCCATAACGGGTGAGCGGATCGCCTCGATCCACTGAGCAGCGCCACATATTCCTCACTCCATAGGCATAGACCTCTGGCTTTGCATCAGGCTCTCCGAGAAAAGGATTGTCTGGAGGAATCTTATAGGGCTTTCCATCTAAACTGCTACCATCCACATCAATCCGAAGCGCTTTTCCTAACAATGCTGATCTGAAACATATTCAAATAATGTCCAAGAGGGAGGTACTGGAAAGAGTTTTTTCAAAGCACTAATTATGATTTGTGACATTCATATTAACTCTACACTAATTAAAATTAAATGTTTCAAAACTGTCCTCACCTGTTTTGAGAATTTCCAAACTTCCCAAAAGGGTCTCCTGCTTTTCCACCGTCTCCTGTGAATATGTATAGATATCCATCTAGACCAAACAGAAGCTGTCCACCATTATGGTTTGCTGCAGGCTCCTCGATCTCAAGAAGAACTCTGTAAAAACAGATTTAACTGAAATACAAGGAAGATAAATATAAAGTAGCCTACTATTTCAAATCTTCTGTCACCTTAAAGGGATAGTTTACACAAAAACAAAATTTGTCATTACTTAACCTTTCCCTTATGTCATTCTAAACCTGTATTTTGTTTTTTTTTCTCTCTTTGGAACAGAAAGAAAATATCATAGAAAAAATCTCGTAGTTCTTTTTTTTATACAACGACAGTAATGTGGCACTTTTCCACTGCATGGGACGATACGGCTCGTCTCGGTACGGCTCACTTGTGGTGCTTTTCCACTGCATGGTACGGTATGGCTCGCCTCGGCTCGCTTTAAATGGTACTTGGTCTGTTGAGGTTCCAAACGTACCGTACTGGTACTAAATGTGACGTGAAACACTGCAGATCACTGATTGGTCAGACAGAATCGTCACTACCAGCGTCATTGTATTTGCGACCAATAGACATCGACAAGTGAAACCAAACCTGCTAGATTTAAATAGCCAGTAACAGCCAGTCTATAATCCCACCCACTTTAAAGCGGTACTAACTGGAGTGGAAAAGCATCCGAGCTAAAGCGAACCAAGCCGTGCCATGCCGAGCTGAGCCGAGTCGTACCATACAGTGGAAAAACGAAGTGAGCCGAACCGTACTGAGCCGTACCGAGCCGTACCAGCAGTGGAAAAGCTCCAATAGTGACTGTCTGTTTTCAAAAACAACGACATCAGTTTTGACTTCAATGACATTTGGTCATGAGGCACGAGAGAAACAATGAGGTTTGATGTCATTAACATGCAGCTTAATGGGGCGCATCAATTTATGGTAGTTTGAGAACTTGGCTGTAGGAATATTGTATGTACAGAATAACTGTGCGGATTTTAAACAACTTGGGTTAAAAAAAGATTTTTGTATTCTGTATGTATTCTTATAACAGATGCATGACAACATGGATCAAACCTATTAACCTCTCTGAGTGGGGGTCTGCCATGTTCATGTCATGAGCTGAGACCTTCATTTCGCTGATGCGAACTTTCTCCAGTTTGCCGTTGATCAGAATGGAGTAGTAGATGAAGAAGCGGCCATTGTATCTGTACTTGGGATGGAAGGCGAGACCCAGGAAACCTCTTTCATCTCCCAGCCACGGTGTGGTCAACACCTCCCCGCTGATGTCCAGGAAGGGCTGCTCCAAGCGGCTGCCATCTCTCAGATACACCCATACAAAGCCTATCTGCTCTGCCACGAACATGCGGTGGGTGTCGTCTCCGCTGTGGACCATCAGCACGGGGTTCCTCAGCCCATTTGCCACTTCTGTCAGGCACAGTTGGAGGCAGCCTCTGGGGTCCTCCACAACTTTTCCCAGATTGCTATACAGGTTATTGTTCTTCAGGACATTGGGGTAGCAGTAGTCCTGGTCAGGGAGGTTAATGAGGTTACAGAAATGCGAGCGGTCTTTCTCGCACGTCTCCTGCAGGGTCCGGCTGTTGGTTAGGTACTTTACCACAGAATGGCACTTGCTGTGAAAGTCTGAGCAGTAAGTGAAGCACAGTCCTGGAAGGTGGCGCACTGGAGTGTACGGGTCTTCAGCATCAAACAAGTGTGCTGCGTAAGGAGAACACTCCTGCAAAAGAGCAATACAAGTAAGAAAACACAACTAGACTTTTGACCTTTTTCTGAAGCTTATACTGGCCCACTCAAAAGAGCCCACCCACACATCTAACGGTAGAGATCCACTTGTCCGACACGGCAGTCGCGTGGTGTCGCGATGCCTCCCCACATTTGTACGTTGATGGGCGTTCCTCAAGTTTACCGCTATGGGCGTGGTATTGACCCAGCGGCCAGTCTAGAACAAAGGCCCCTCGAGAGACTACTTCTATTGGACAGACGCGTCGCGTTTGACGGATTCATTTGCATAAAGATGGGCATCGGCCAGCTTTTTGACACGCAGCATTTTTCCAAATGAAGCGCCGCCTTCCTGGGATGCTTTGCGGGCGCGTTAAAGTCGCGTGATGTCACCCATAGGAATAAAGTGGAGTGCGGCACGACTGAAGAGCCAGTTCTCATCCCAAAGCGCCATATAGGACGCTTTTACAAAAGCGTAAATATCCAACGCACATGGCACCCTTTAACGTGAAATGAGACGCAGATATATTTGGGCAGAAGGCGCCCCCTAGTGGTCTAACCCTTACCCTACACCATACCTAAACTTAACCATAAACGAAGCGTCTCATTAGACGTTAAAGGGTGCCATGTGCGTTGGATATTTACGCTTTTGCAAAAGCGTCCTATATGGCGCTTTGGGATGAGAATGCGTTGGACTGAAGTGTCGCACGGACAAGTGGATCCGCACCGTAACAGGTGCCCAATCCAAGAGTTCAGTTCCAACCAGTGTTGTAGGAGAGTCCATCTTGATCCTGCTGAAACATCCAGCATTGTTAGTCACCAGCATGTTTTGCATGTTGTTGGTTTGGTGGCCCCCAGCATGGGAAGAAAGAGTGCAGGTGGACCAGCTACACCAACTCGAGCCCTGTTTACACCTGGTATAAAGATGCATTTTCCTGTCTCTTTTGTCCACTTTTGGACCACATCTGTTCTGATTTCTTCAAGGGGAGGGTCTATGGCCAGGTAAATGTATGTTGTTGTTTTTTTCAGCTCTTTCGATCTAATAAGCTTGTTCAATTTACATATGAACGCACCTGAAATCCACAAGACCACACTGAACACTGTGAGTGTGTGTTAAAAAGAATGGTGAGAGAACATTGTGCTTGGTATGTTTTTCGTCTTCAAACCAAATGTGGGTCTTCAGCCGACAGTCTAAATCCCGTCTGGCTAGCACGCTTCTCGTAATGTTTATGAGTTTGGTCAGTAGGCGGTTTTTGTGGCTGTTGGAACGCTTTCAACCTCGAGCGCCTACTACGAAAGCAGTCTGGTCGAATGCGTTTTTGACTCTGGAAGTAGTTGAAAGTGGACAAGCTCAAAACGTTTAAACCCCAGCTGTCCACTTGTGATCAGATCGACCAAAATGCATTTTAATTCCAGGTGTAAAACAGGGCCTCAGCATTTGGACTTGGTCTTGACTCGTCATCGTGTCTCTGGAACATGATACAGAGGTTCATGTGACACTGATTCAAAACCAGCTTTGCTTGCCCTAAAGGAAAGCCTATTTACACCGGTCTTGGTCTTAACTCTGACTCAACCTTTTCAGGTATTGGCCTGGACTCAGACTCGAATGAGCTGGTCTCGACTAACACTGGTTCAAACACACCTGATTGTAATTTTCAAATTTAATTGATATGTAATTATCCTATTCCTGAGGAGCTTAATTGGTCCAGGTGTATTATTTAGGGTTGGAGCAGGAAGGTAGATCTCCTGGAACAGGATTGGCACTCCAAAATCACTTTTGAAGGGTCACTGTACACATAAAAAACACCCCAAAAAAACTCTGATATGAAGTATCATTCATATCTGTATAGATTGGCCAGTGATAGCTTCGCATTTTTATATATTTATTAATTTCATGCGATTCGTCATGCTTGCCACATGACACCGCTGCCTCATGGCTGTATGACTGATGTGTTGGTTTTATTTCATTTTAATTGATTCAAAACATTCCCAAACACTTGTTGAATATATATTGTGAAATCTGATATTACGATTCTCAAATTTGTGTAAGAAGATGTATTTTGTTCTTCAAACACCTGAATTACACTATAATAATAAAGAACTATATAATTATTGCAGTGGATAAGACACATGCCTTTGGTGTGAGAGACCCGGGTTCAAATACACTGTGAGACATCAATGTGTCCCTAAGCAAGACACTTAACCCCTAGTTGCTCCAGAGGCGTGTGACATAGCAATTGTAAGTCGCTTTGGATAAAAGCGTCAGCTACATGAATAAATGTAAATGCAATTCAGAACACTAAAACAATTTTGCTTTTGCAATTATAACACTGTGGCTAAATTTATCTACTTCTTTTAAAAGACATGAAAGAATATAGATGGTTGGTGAACTCAGAAAAGAACTATTATTGGCTCTTCTATAGACAGTGTGTACATTACAAGCTAAAAAAAATGTTTTTTGCTAGTAGGCTACTATATTATATGCACTTAAATATCATAAGCATAAAATAAACAATTGAGAGCACATGATGATGACGTGCCGCACTGAACGGTCCAATCACACCTGCGTGATATCAAAAGTAAAAATATTATAATTGTAATTATTTTTGGACTCTGCATTCAAAATCGATTTGGCTCAAAAATCTGAGGGGGCAAGTAGGCTACAACAAACAAAATATAATATTTGGATTTGGCGGTTTGTTTAAAAGCTGTCTTATAGCCAAATAGCCTAATACAATAACGCTCGTCTTAATAAAACAATTTACTGTAAATTTCTAACACTTTCAGCCGCACATCAACTAAGAGCAGCAATAAATTAAACAGGTGCAACTTATTTATATTTTCTCACACACATAAGACAAACATGTCAAAAAAACACGTTAATACATCAGTAACACAGTTGAAACGTCATCATAATTGTTCACAAAGAATCAAACATACCTGACACATAATATCTTTTACCAGATCCCCGCACACTGCATATTCTTCTTCACCAATAAGGTCCATAATGTCCCAGTATCTCGTTGCAATATTGTTGTCCGTTTTTTGGTCACAGCAACCAAATTTCTCATAGTGCCTGCAAAACTCAAGGTGGTGAGGGGGTTTGAAAGGTGGCTGGAAGTCCAAACACTGAGGATGTGCCCAAGTGTGCCTCAAATAAGAGAAGTGAATTATTATAATGAGGCGTGTGAAGAGTCCTTGGAGCCATGCAGTCCTCTTGGTCAGGGAACTCACCTCAGGGCAATTTACACGATGATGATGATTTCGTGAATCCGGCGCTCTCGGCATTTTTCCTGTGTGTTTAGGAGTGTGTTTGCTCTTGAGCGTGTGTGAGTGTCTACGGTATTTCTGCTTAACCTATATGTTGTGCGTGCGTGCGTACGCGCACCGCACTCTTCGTAAAATGCGCCATTGATTACAGGATATCGTATTCTTACCCTAAGCTAAATTGGTGATGTAGACCAACAATATTTGTAATTAGTCTATAAAACGTCCATATATATATTTGGTTAAATACAATTCATTTTTAAATTCGACACATTTCTGATTTTCTGATATATAAAATTCAATACAAATACTTTAGCAAAACTATTTGATTTTATGATTAGCCTAATTTGTTTTTTTCTGTGAAGACTTTTGGTGTTAAAATGTATTACATTACCTTTAATAAAATCACATACAACAAATGAATCAAGAGAGAGCCATCCATGCTTAACAAATACAGAAGTTACAGTTAATTTAATTTTTAAAATTAGGCTATATTTCTTTACATTTTTGTTTTATTTAATTGCATGAACCAGGATTAGTTTATATTGTGTTTATGAAATTAAGAGTTCCACCATAATTATAGCCAGGATGAGGAGATGAACTGAAGCCTATATTTCTGTTTCGAGCAAATACATTGATTTCCTGAAAACAAACGCATGTGTGCCACCTAGTGGGGGTAGAAATCTAATCTTATCCAAAGTATTGCTTCCTTACAACTGGTTAACTTTCAAAACTACACAGTTTCTGTGTATTATGTTTGTTTTAAGAGTAAAGTCTGTATAACACATACATAAGTCATATGTTGCTCAAAGATAGCTCTTGATCCCAGTGATCCAGCAACATGAACTGGAAAGTGTTTGATATGCTGCACACACAGAGTCTATAAATCTTTATTCCATCTGCTTCTATGGAGTTTAAAAGCGATCAACTAGATCTAAACAATGTTCAGAAATAATGCCCACGTAAGTAGCAATATAACAATTTTTTTTTAATTGCACACCCAAAAATGAAAGTTCTCATGTCGTTCCAAACCCATAAGACTTTTGTTCCTCTTTGGGACACAAATACAAATAATTTTGATGAAATCTGAGTGATTTTTGTCCTTCCATTGATGGCTACAGAGCTACCACCTTGACACTTAAAAGATCAAGAGATGGTAGACTAAACCGATTAATTCATATGGATTAGTTTTAAGTTTTCAGAAGAGACTCGATCACTTTATGATTGAATTAAGGCTTTTATTTGCATATAAACAGTGATCAGTGAACATAAACAAAAGCTAAACAGAACCAAGTTTGCTTAAGCTTCCTTTTACCACAACTGATGTGTTTATCCAACGCATTCTCATCCCAAGGCATCATATACTGACGCTTTTGCCAATGCACCTAACGCACATGGCACTCTTTAGCGTCAATATAACATGCTTCGGTTATGGTAGGTTTAGGTCTGGGGTAGGGTTAGACCACTAGGAGGCGCTTTCTGGCCGATATATATCTGTGTCACATATTGACGCTAAAGGGTGCTATGTGGGTTGGATGTACGCATTGGCAAAAGCGTCAGTATATGAATGAATGAAAAGTTTTTATTTCGAACATGTAGAAAACAAAAAAATAACAAAAAACAAAAACAAAACAAACAATACATAAAACAAAGAGAGAGAAAAAAAACAACAACATTTTTTTTTTATTTAACTTATACATGTCCGAAAAGGAGTAGGAAGAAGCATAAGTTTATTCAATCCTACCCCATCTTCAACTAATTATAACTAATTAACCCTATATGACGCCTTGGGATGAGAACGGGCTGGTTTATCACAAGTTTACAAATATTTATATGTGAATAAGGCCTAAATTCAGTCTTTTCATCATAAAGTGATTGTGTGTCTTAGAAAATTTTGGACTAAACCCCTCGATTCATGTGGATTCGTTTTATGGTACTTTTATAAACTTTTTGAACCCTTGGGTTCTAAACCCCATTCAACTTTTTTTTTTTCCTGAGTGTATGACCAGGATTTTTACTTTAGTCCAACTTTGCACTTTGTTGTCAGCTTGTCATAATGTTTGCAGTGCAACTGCCTTTAACTTGTACCTACTTTCACCCACAATTAACCGGGAAAAGTTCTCACTGAAATTTAATAACAATACACTTGGATGTAAAGTTAACTTGTCATTTATTTAAGAAATTTTCATCATTGTTACAGTCCATACCATTTGATAGCTGTCCAGAATGCAGCGCATTGTGAAAGTCAGAAGAAAAATAATTTAGAATTCTTGAATTGTATATATTGTGTTCTGGGAAAGTTAAATTAACATAATATGCAATGATCTAATGCATAGTTCCTTCGTGAGCAAAAATTGGGAGTTCATTTAGTTTTCGATTATTATTTTTTTATTGCCTATCCTTCCCTGGTGTGCTCTTCATTAAATTGCATCCTTATGAGCAGCAATATGGTTCAACAAAATCAGAAATAAATGCTGAAATAATGATCAGTGGAGTGAAACAATCTCTAGTGTCTCATTTCCAGCCAAAAGTAACAATCAGCAGTCCTCTTCACCATCCTCCACGAGAGGAATTTCTGCAAAATACAAAGCAAAGCATCGGTCATTGTTTTGATAAAACAGTGTGTTATACCACTAGGTGGCGGCAGTCTTACCGTCTGCAATGTCTATGCTAGGGCTCGTGGAAGCGGTCTCTTCCATAGAGGTGAAGGCATTGGTTTTCTCAGACATGTTATTAAGCCCACCAGCGTGCGAGGACGATGGCTGTATGCCTTGAAGACATTCTGATGTGTCCGAGATGCTATCACAGGTCTCGGCCTCACCAGTGTCCAACGGCACGCTATTTTGACTCCCTGTATGCCCGGGATATGAAGGTGGGTTTTGTTCTTCTGAATGCTGTGAGCTCCCCAGACCAGCAGGGGGCAGATCGCTTGGTGGCTGACAATAATCACCACTAACAGCCTCTTCATAAGAGGGAAGTGGCACAGCAACACCATCTACAACCAAGATGTTTGGATCCCGGCTTTCATCTTGCTCTTCACTGAGAACGATAAATAAATATACTTTTTAATGAGTAATCAAAAAAAGATCAACCGACACTGTGATTATTATGCTGGCGGCACCTTGGGCTTTGCTGGGATTTGCATTTGAAGTGGAACATCTTGGCTGTGATCACCAAGAGCAGGGCTAGCAGCACACTTGTGGCCGTACAAGCCACTACTTTCCACGTGGTTAGTAGAGAGTCTTGAAAACCAGGCCAGGACGTCTCTATGGAGGGGAAAAACCTGTATTTATTAACATGTGCATCCAAGTTTAAAGGGATAGCGCTTTAAAGGAAAAAAATGCATTAATTCTTAAGCCTAGTCCTTGACTAAAATGCACGTTTGAGCTGTTTTAACTGGAAGCAACTTGCACTGATATGTTAAAATGTCATTTTTAATATATGTGCCATTGTTTTTTCTCAATATGCACACTGGTAATTTTTTTTTTCTGAGGCATGTTTATAAAAGCGACTTAAATGTTGGCTTATCCTGGCTTAATCTAAGCCCTGTCTGTGAAACCTGGCTCTAGTTTTGCTTTCGTTGCAATCTCTCTGCTCTTCGCAAATATGTTGCAAATTTATTGTTCTTTTCAGACAATTGGTAGAACTGCCAGACCGGTCAATGTAGTGAAGCAATTTTAGGTGTGTATAGAAAAATTGTCTCACGAGTTTTGTATCATCGGCTCTTCTGATTGGCCTTTACAAAAACCACCAATCAAACTATATAAGGCAATCAGCACCCTTAACAATTCTCCTTTTGTGGACCATATTGAAAGAAGGGCATATGAATATTGTGTTTGGGATATGAGAGAAAAGATAAACAGAACAGAATTAATCTATAGATATATCTTACTGACATTTTAATGGTATTATATCCTGAACAAAGTTGCATTTATTTAATAAAAATACAGCAAAAATGGTAATTTTGTTAAATTGTTTTCAAATAATGAATTTTCAGCATCATTACTCATGTGTTCATTGTCATATGACCCTTCAGGAATCATTCTAATATGCTGATTTGGTGCTCAAGAAACAGTTTTTAATATTAACTTTTAATTAATGAATTTTGCTTGTGCTGCTTAATATTTTTGTTGAGACCGTAATGGTAAAGAGAACAGAATTTTCTCGAAATATAACTTTTTGTAAGAGTTAAAAAAAAAAAAAAGATTGACCAATTTAATTGAAGTCCATTTGTTTCAAAACGCATAATTACCTCAAACACAAATCAGTTTTATAAATTTCATAAAACTTATTCAACATGAAAGAGAAATGTACCTAATTATTTCTCATTGCACATTTCTTTGTACTAATGTGCAAGCTTGATCAGACTAGGTTGTGTATAAATAAAAATGTTTGTAATATTTAATTGAAACTGATGCAGACTGCTTTACCATCTTGGTTGCAGTAGAACTGCAATTCTGGGAACCATTGCCCGTACTGGCAGGTGATGTACTTGTAGTCATTCGCTAGAGAGTAGCCAGGATAACAGTAGTATTCGACGACCGTCCCGTGAATGTAGCGGTCACATGGTTGTGGGTGGCACATGTAATCTCCATGTTCTATCATCGGGGGTAAGGAACATGCTGCGAAAACATCAGAGACAGAGAAAAAGACATCGCAAACAGATAAACAGAAACTCATTTCCTCTTCCCGAGTCCCAGACCACATTTTAATACGTGTCCCTGTATTTGTTTACGGTTTACATTACTGCAGATTTTCTCAATACATTTTTTTTAAGGTTGCTTTCAAAAGTTTACATATAGATCTTGAGATTTTACTTGTCTTTCATTAACAGAGAAAACTAAACTCGTGAAAGGTCGAAGTATACTTTGTGGTTAAGACTATATACTGTAAACCATTATCTAAGGGTACGTTTACAAGACAATAATGTACTAAAAACTGAAAAGCTTTCCTTTTTGCTTCCAGACGACAACGTTGCCATGTTTATAAGGATTCACGAAAACGTCTAAAACCGCTGTATTATTCATGCCAGGCCAGTAGGTGGCGATGTCACTTTGTCTGTAAAGAAACACTTAGCGCCTATATGACATTATGTCACCGTTTTCACAAATTCACATTTTTGTAGTTTACACAGACAATAACTGTATCGTTTTCATCAACTTGCACTTTAAAACCCATTTCAAACATCTGCATCTTCAGGCCCAAAACGCAGTTGTCGTGTAACGGCCGCTTTAAGTTGAAAACGCTAACAAATAAACGTTTTTATGTTTTCAAGGGTACTAAAAATGCAATTATAGTGCAATCATAAAATAATTCTAAACAGATAAAAATAATAAAGAACATTTTTAGGCCGGATTCACATATAGCGCCTAAAAACGTGTAGAAAATTCTGGGCGCTCCACATTCGCCTTAATCCAAAGCGATAGGACAGTTGCGCTCCGGTTGGTTCTTGTCACGTGACCTACTGTGCGCTTATGGTGCGCTTTTGGCATACTGAAAAGTTGAGATGTTTTTATCTCGAAGCAGCGCAAATACGCTTGGAAAAAACGAGCGCGTCGCACTGAGACCGCGTCGCTTCCATTATGAGTGCCTACATTTGAAATAACGAACTTGAGCGTGCAAAAGACGCGATAGGTAAACAGGCCCTTATTCATAACATAGCTGTGTATCTTTTTCAACTCAAAACTGAGAAATGATTTAATGATCTTTACCCTCAACATCAAGGCACCGGGGTGGCGTATCCGACCAGATGAGGTTATACATGCATTCCAAAAGTTCAGGACCCTCCAACTTGTAACCAGGAAAACACTGGTAGTGGACTACAGTTCCAACAGGCACAGAGAACTCTGTTTCCGAGATGTTCATGTAACTGTGTGGAGGTATCAGCGGCCGTAGACAGCCTGAGGAGACAGATGAGTGCATCAAACCCACACCCTGAGTGGAGGACATCACATCACATGAACATTTTTGAAATATAGTCAGACTTGCATCAACCTTGACAAGTTGGCTGATTATCCCACGTCCCATCGGCTTGACACACTGATTCCATAGTTTCCGTGTCAGGATACCGGATCTGGAATCCCTCATGACAGCTAATAATGAGGCTGTCGCCAGGCCTGTACGTCTTATTTGTGACATGGGAATCCTCGATGAATGGAGGAAGACAATCTTTAAAAGACAGGTTCTCCAAATAAATAAACGCTGCAGCATTTTCATACAATTACAGATGAAACAGTAAAAAGCATTGAGTTACAGAACGGAACTAGTTGAGATTTGAGTAGCCACACCTTCTGAAAGGCACACTGGTTTAAGGCTTGGTTTCCAGCCTACCGATCCATTGTGGAAGCGCGTGCAGATAATCTTGGCCGGCCCCTTTAAGCTGTAACCATCAACACAAGAGAACCTCGCCACCGAGTTTTCGAAGAACACACCGGTGTTTGGAGTTCTGATTCCGTGCTCAGGAACACCGGGATCTTTGCAGAACTGCCCCACTAAAAGTTCACCGGGAACAACCAAAGTCATACATTTAAAGCAAAGAAGACATCTTGTGATTGATCATGTAATTTGATCATTTTTTGAGTTCCATACCTTCCAAGCCTTAATATACTCTTGTTTATATCTGCTACATATGAAAGTATTCCATTAAAAATGTAAAAATAAATAAATAAAAATGCTGTCTACATGGAAACTCGTTTTCGCCACAGAATAAAATATAAAAGTGTAATGGCGACGGTTTATATCACAATTCTGACTTTTCCCCCCTAAGAATTGCGAGTTTAATCACGCAACTTGCAATTCTGACTTTTTTCTACACTGTAAAAAAAATCCTGTAAATAAACGGTAAACTACTGGCAGCTGTGGTTGCCAGCATCATACCGTAATTATACGGTGTGTTACTGTTTTTGTGTTAGAGCTGTTAAATTAAAGTTTTATACTGTAGCTGACAATACGGTATTTAGCTGTTAATTTTAAAAACAGTAACGCACCGTATTTTTACGGTATGATGCTGGCAACCACAGCTGCCAATAGTTTACCGTTTTTTCTTACAGGATTATTTTTTTACAGTAAATTGCGTGTTTATATCTCACACATTTCTGACTATCTTGCCATTCTGACAACTTTTCTCAGAATTGTGAGATAAAAACTCGCAATTGCGAGAAAAAAAGTCTGAATATATCAGTCAATTCTGACTATATTTCACAATTCTGATTTATAACTCAGTTGTGAGGGGGGGGAAAGCAACTGCGACCCGAGTTCGATTCCCAGGTTGCGGTCCTTTGCCGATCCTGTTCCCCTTTCTCTCTACCCCATGCTTTCCTGTCAAAATCTCTTCTGTCCTATCCAATAAACTCAAAAAAAGAAAACAAAAGTTGTAATTATCTTTAAGTTGTTTTATTCTGTGGGGGAAACTCTTTCATACATGTATGGGGTCGTGGTGGCGCAGTGGATACGACACCTGGGTTCGGTGACAAGACACTTAACCCCTAGTTGCTCCAGAGGCGTGCGACCTCTGACATATATAGCAATTGCAAGTCACTTTGGATAAAAGCGTCAGCTAAATGAATAAATGTAAATGTCTGAAATCTGTCAATGTCTGGTTAAATCATAAACAACAAGATAGAAATTTGCTATCTCTTTCCGCAATCTGTCTTTTCTCCAAATTGTTATTTTCCTTTATATTTTAAATATGTTTAATCACCTTAGTAGGGTGTTGAGCGCATGATAGCATTTTTTCACCCATATTTTAGTTGGGTGAAACTGCTAGTGTTACAACTCAGTCCGTGTTACAACACTCCCTGTAGTCTCTCCAGCATCACACTATATTATTTCCTTACATGAGAAAACACCATCTGCTGAGCTGTTTGTTTTTACTTAATGATTCTGGAATTTTATGATTGTGTTTTTTGCCTGTTATGAATTTGTTTGTTTCGTCACGACCAAAGGTTATTTAATTTACAACAGGAAAGCAGCATCGTCATGGCATATTGGCATAAGGCAGAACAGAACAGAATGGGCCGGGGAGGCTTTCTACTATTTCAGAGTGTCCCGTACGTTACTCAAGGGAGGTCCTGCATTTTCATCATATTCCCAAATACATACCACTTTTATAATCGCAGCATTTAAGCAGTTCTCTTACCTACTGTGTTAGCCGGGAAGGCGGTGACCAGAAAAGGGAGGAGGATGAGGATGATGATCGAGAGAATAATCTGGCCGTAGACAGGATGTCCAAACGCAGATTTCTTGCCTTCTTTATCACCATGATGAAACATCTTTCATTGAATGAAACTCATCGGGTCACAATGCTCTGAAATTATGATGACAATGACAAAAACTAGGTAAAACGTGAAAATATTAGGATTGCATCATGGATTTTCAACCCTGCAGAATCTCCCCGCCGACGCGCAGAACATGATGACCAGTAAATCCCCATATCAATTTGTAAATACCAAAATAGTCTTTTCGGGAACGCGTGTTGGGCATATCCCGCACGCATTGTTATGCATTATTCAATTGTCTTCAGCAGAATCCGAGGAAGGCTCGCGCAAAATATCGACGCTGTTTAAATGTACGACGGTCGAGATGATGATGATGATGAAATATACGTCATAAGCGTCACTATTCTATACCTGGTTGAAAGCCAAGGTCTAAGGGTGACGCTACTGCTGTTTCTAAATAAGTGCTCGTGTATTTTAGATTAGTTTCTGTCACCTACCCACTGATGTCGTACATTGAAAATCAGTTTCGTCGGAGTTTCTCTCTGCCTCGAGCTGATCAAGCTGATTATATTCAATGTAATGAGGTTTCTTCGGCTCGCTAGTTCATTTTTTACACTGGAAGGTTATCCAGCCTCTCGTGGTGTAAGTAGGCTATCTCGTGATGGGTAGATGAGTTATTATACAGGTCAAAGGTGTGGAGAAACATAAAACGAGCAATAGGGAAACAACGTTTTTAAATAGACAAGTAGGCCTAACTGCTAAAAGAAAGAGCAATACATTTGGAAGGATGAGCATGTGATATGATATTCCTAAATAAGGTTTAAAAAAGACATGACATTTTGGTGATCCACAATTTTGATTTACACAATAGTAAACAGGCCTATTCCTTTTAACATATATTAACAAGAAGCAATGAATTTTGTTCATTTCAGATTGGAACTTTGACAAATATGAAACTATCATTATTTATTAGTAGCCTAAATTATATCAGAGGCTATAAAAAGCATTCAGAGATGGTTTTATCTTATGCATTCAAGGTAAAAGTGTCAATATCAGTAATTCAGCTAATGTAAGTGAACAAAGCCACTGAATGCATGACTCAGATGAAAGTTTAGGCTGAAGGAAATCAATATTTGCTATAGAAAAAATCATCTTGTCAGATATCATAAAGATCAAAGGGCTAAAATAACTATAAGCTGCATTTATTTGTTTGTTTTGCAAATTACGTCTTATCAAAGTGCATATGTGATGCAAGAAATTCTCATAGAGGCATTATCATTTTAAACATCAAAAGCAACTTTTGATGATTACAATAACAGAAAAAAACATGTGTTTTCTAACTTCCTGCACCTGCAGAGAAAAACTTTAGTCAAGTCACCTTTATTTAGATAATGCTTTACACAGATTGTTTCAAAGAATATTTACAGTAATAAAAGGAAAATGATTCAATGATGCAAACAGAGATCATTTCGGCTGTACAGCTGCTCCAAAAGAAGTGTCATTGTTCAGCTGAAGTCAGTTCAGTGTTGATTCGGTTCCATTGTAAATATCATCAATTATTATATCAGTTCATTTCATCTAAAGCAGTTCTGCAGAAAAAAAGTGATGTCAGCATCCAGTTCTCATCCAATAGTGTCAGCGCGGTCAGATCAATAATATTGCTGAATATTAAAGGAGTAGTTCACTTTAAAAAAACAAAAAACTTTTGCTGATAATTTACTCACCCCCATGTCATCCAAGATGTCCATGTCATTGTTTCTTCAATCGAGAAGAAATTAAGGTTTTTGATGAAAACATTCCAGGATTTTTCTCCATATAATGGACCTTACTGGGCACCAAACAGATTGTTTTCAAGAACAATTTGCTTCAACCCATTTTTATTTTAACATTTCCAATTTAGAATAGGACCAGAGTTTCAATGTAATTGAGAACCTTCATCCTTCAGAGAATGTGTAGAGTCACAAAGGACGTATAGCTACACAAAGACATTACTATCAACTTAAAAAAGAAAACACGGTTATGAAGCAGTTATCATTCACTTGGATACATTTCCTTGAAACTCGTCATAATCTGGTGGATTGCATTCCTGTACAGTTGCTTTACGACCCCGCAAATATAGCACAAGTACTAATAGAGCAAAAGCAGCTGCTACAAAGAATATTATCAGCCCAACATATTCTCCTGGGGTCGACATGCTCCCCCGTGCTATATAATTAGGGTACGGTGTTGTGATTACTTGACCACTAAATATAAGATCGAGAACGCATTGACTTCCATTAACGAGGATAAAGGGCTGAAAGCAATCACATCTATAACTCCCTATCGTATTTATACACTTATGAGCGCAGTCATTATTTGATTCACATTCATCTATATCTTCGCAGGTTTGTTCGCTTCTAACAAAGCCATCCGGGCACCAACACGCCAGTCCGCTTTTCATACATAGCGCTTCGCAAACTGATGTTGTGCAATAGAAGTCACAGCGGCGTGGATCCCGAACATTAGGACGGAATCGCTCACGACACGAACACCTGTATCCGGTTCCCATAGGAATACATGTATGTTCACAGGGTGCATACATACATTGCGCGTTGTCCAGGATGACCACGCTTCCTTTGCAGAGATCCCCCTGAGGGTCCTCACACAGAAATCCATCCAGCTTTTCTGCGCATGGTTTCACAGTCAATGTTCTGTCGCTGGAGACAGACACGCAGAGAGGAACGCACGCCGTTTCTGCGCTCTCCAAGTTCGTCAACTCCGTCGCCATTTCTCTTTCGCGTAATGCGCTCGTATTACTTGAGCACGTATCCTTTGGAAAATGTTGTCCTATCCAAAACTCTCCGATCATGTTATCAAGAAGAAAGCCGAAAACTGTATCAGATGCATTCGGTTGGATGGATAATTGGCCGCCCCGTTCTCTGCAATTCTCTTGAGCTGTTTGAAAGTCCGCTGGTATTTGGTAGATGTTTGCACAATGTTTTATATTACTTGAGCAAGCACAGCTATGCCCAAATCCAGCACAAAACGAAATTAACACGATGAAAATCAAAATAGTTTGTCCATAATAAGAATCCATCCTATCTTGATTTCTAGAGGTAGGGAATGGCAACTTGAGCTGCACGAGGATAGTCTATATGGCTTTAAAAGCATTGAATATTGCCAACTTGAAAACCCATTACAAAGGCCTAAAGGTAAACATAGGAAGGAAACCCCGCCTGAGGGAGCAGAGAAATAGCCTACCCCTAAAAATGACGGGTCACTGTTTGTTCTTATAAATGTGATGCACTTAGGCCTATACGCTCCGAGAAATCCACCAATGGCAATCAATGACCTTGACAATTACGCATGATTGTGGTCCCACAAGAATGCTCACAGTTAACGATTCATTAGTCAGTCACTCACTCGCTTTTCCTCACGTAGCCTGCTCTTTCGAAGATATTTCAGTAAAAGTAGCAGGGCTGTATGAACCGGAGATTTTAGTTTCAAAATTAAACACCAGAACCAATAAACAGTTTGAAAAATACAAAGATTTTCAGGGACAGTTAAAGGTATATTCAACTATGAATAGCTTCAAGGGCAAAAAAAATATATAAACTACAAGTATTATGTTATGTTCACTTAAAGAAAACTTGACTTTACTGAGAGTAGGCTACACTCCAAAGTGGACTTTGATAAACTAAAAAAATGTGTGAAGTATTTGACTAGAAAACTATCAGTATACGTATAGTGGGCCTATAGGAGAGACACCGATGCAGATCGTTGTAACACCTTTCTGAAATTTTTAGCTAGAGTTCTCTAACTTTTATACAAAGCATCCACATTTGTTTAGTACCTGTACAAATGGCACCAATTCAGCCCTCTCCGAATATCACAGACCTTGTGAGTTGATGTCAACACACTTAATCACACTTAATACCTTAATAACACTAAGGCAATGGGTGCCTATAATTAAATAACATCATTAGGTCTAAAAAAAACCCCCATGTCTGTGTGTGTACATTAATGTAGAAAAAAATAAAGTTCTCTGAAAAAACATTGCCCTTATGTGACAACATGTTCAAATTGTATCACAATGGGTCCTGTACAATTAAATATTTAATAGGCTTAACAGCAAGACAATTATCAAATGAAACAGAAAACAGGTAAAAGACAGGAACTCTATTTAATAAGGTAAATTGTTAAAGTTGACATGACACACAGTATAACTTGTCAACACTGCATTGATTTAATACATGTCCCAGAGGACATCATGTTTATCAGGCATTCTGGGAGACACAAGTGGATATAAAGAAATTATATATACATATTTATGCATTATTAGACTCCTGTTTTTATTACATGTTGCCCCAAGAACATTATGCAAATCATTTAGATAAATAACTGAATGGGACTACCCATTTATGGCCATTTTATTGCATAAAGCAAAATGGTATATCAATTCATTCCGTTATTTGTTTCATAACATATAGTTGAGAATCACCTTTATTCTAAGTTTGGTTAAAAACAATCCTGACCTAAAAAAATTGATTAGTGAATGAAAAAAAAACTCTTTGTTTTTGCCTGTTATTTCATGTCTTTTAATTTTTTAAACAACTGAGGACTGGTTTCCACAGAGGACAGAATATTGTTATTCAATAGGCCCTATTGTTAAACCCATCCTCCAACCCACCATTTTTTTTCTTTAATTTTTTTTGTAATGCTCTAAACAATGTTATGACATGAGACATGATTACATAAAAAAGTTCTGAACTGGTGTTTGAAACAAACAACGCTAAAACAGGCATTTGCGTCAAAATGTCTTTAACATTGTATCTTTGTTAAATATGTTGCTGACAGCAAAATTTCACACTTGGGATAGTTACATTTATTTGTTCAGTTAAATGTTGCTTTTTTTCCGTTCTTTGTCCAATCCAGATGAAACCCAGCAGTAGTTGTCAGCGGTGGTATTTTTCAAAGTGGCTTTTTTTGAACGTTTCCATAAAACGACAGCGATGACCACAGTGAGCGCAACCAGTGTAACCGAAGCCAAGACGGCGCACACCAATATCCAAGAACTGCCGAGGAAACCTTCTCTGCGTTTAGTGGTGTCCGCTTTAACGTTTGTCTTGTTAAGTTGAGGGGGGTTGATTGTTGTCGACTCAAAACTGACAGGTAAATGACTCAATTTAGTGATGAACTCTTCTCTATGAACTGGAGATGGAGTGTTTTGTGGATTCTCAGTGGGTTCCTGGACGCAGCTGATGCCATTTTTAGCCAAAATGAAGTTTTCTCTGCACGAACATTTGAAACTACCCATAGTATTGAGGCAGTTGTCTTCACATGGTTTACCAAGGCATTCATCTATATCTGTACATATCCCTCTATCGTCTGATAATGAAACGTAACCTGCGTGGCAGTAACAAGAGAATGAACCCTGCGAATTGAGACAGCCCTGCTGACACTTTGATTCGGTGCATTCGTCCACGTCTTCACATTTGCCAGCAACAAGCCTGAACCCTGGGTTACACTCACAAAGAAAGCTTCCCGGCGTGTTGCGACACCTGTGTTCACCGCAGACACGCTGATCACATTCATCGATATCAACGCAGCTGATGTTGTCTTCAGACAGCTGAGATCCATCCGCGCATGCGCACGAAAATCCAGAAGCTGTCGGAATACACTTTGATTTGCACGGTGAATTTTCGCAGGTGTTTCTGAGAGCGCAACTAACTTGATCATCCATCAGATAATAACCGTCACGACATTCACAACGAACACTTGCTCCTGCAGTCTCTGAACAATGGTGATGACAGCCTCCGTTTTCGCGCGCACAACTTCTATTATCTCGAGCGTTAAAACGCTCTGAATTTGTCCAGGTAAAAGTGCCATCTTTGTTGTCACAAACTGAGATAAAGGACTCTGCATCTTTCGACCGTCCATACATTATTTCAGCCCATGTCCCGTGTGGTATCATCGCCAACTTTTTTGCGGTTTGCGGTTTGTCTAAGAAGAACGGAAGATTATATTTGACATCACCTGGTTTTTCCATCACTAAAGGTTTGCACATGCCTTTGGAAATAAATTTACATATATAAAATGCACTTTCTCTACATGAGCCATCTGTCCACTTGAGATCATCAGCCCGCGAAATCGACACGCATCTATTTTCCGTGCACGTGCGCAAAGGTTTATTTTTCCAGTTGGAAAATTTGGACTCTTTTGGGTCTGTCGTCCATCTGAAGCCGTGCAACTCCTCAGTGAAATCCGTGCAGCGTCCTTTTGTCAACGCAAGTCCGATCCAAAATTTAGAGTTAAGGATGCTGATGTCTTCTGCTGCCAGAAGGACCGATTTAACGCTCTGAAATTCATTTTCATTTCTCATAGTAACCAAATTGCCACCATTATTGACACAGTTATCAGAAGCTTTTTCAAAATCCTTTTCTTTCAAATGCAATGTGAAGCAAGCCTCGGCTGTGCAGGTTGGGATCACCCGGCCAGTTCCGTCAGCGATAAAAAAGGACAACATCAGAATCAGTACACGCATCATCCCGCCACTATCATTAATGTTAAAATACTTATCGCTTTGAGGAGAAAAATTCAGTTAATCTCAGAGAATGGACAAAGAGTTCTTCAGGCATTCCCAAGACTCAAACTAATGCATCCTGTTTAGCCTAGTGAATAAACCCAGGGTGAGTTCCTGACGCCAACAAAAAACAACTGACTTAGCCTATTGTTTTGACTACTTTCCCAGATGTATCAACCTATGGCAGTTCAACAACGTGACACCAGAGCAATTTTAGAATTAGACTTAAATCCATGTTTCATTCTGTCATGGTTTCTAATGACGAATCACATTCACACCTTACGAAATATTATTATAAGTAACATAGCCTACAAGTGTCCATTGAAGAAAATCAAGCTTAAGCAAACAAATCTTGATGTTCTTGTGTCATCAAGATAATAATAATAATAATACAATCATGATCAGACAACTGTAATTGAATCTGAGAGACAAAAAAACTGGGAGAGTAGATGAAACCTGTCAAAATGCATATCTTTTTTTCCATTAATCATAATTCACAAATGAAAGTTATCAAAAAGAGAAAAGTTGTGTATTATGTTGTCATTATTTCATTTCCCCCCAACATAATTCTATTTCATTTTTAATTAATTAGCACTTTATTTTACAGTCCTGTTCATGTACTTGCTAAACTTGAACCTACCCCTAAACCTAATCTTAAACCTTATATACTTGTATGCCATCAAATAAAGTGCAACCTGAATTACTTTACTGATCTAATGAGATCCAGGTGAAATTAGAATATCGTGCAAAAGTTAATTTAAGTAATTCAACTTAAAAGGTGAAACTAATATATTATAAACTCATTTCATGCAAAGTGAGATATTTCAAGCCTGTATTTGTTATAATTTGGATGATTATGGTTTACAGCTTGAAAACCTTTTCACAATATTCTAATTTTTAATTGGGGTTTTCATATAAGCTGTAAGCCATAATCATCACAATTCTAACAAATAAAGGCTTGAAATATCTCACTTAGCATGTAATGAGTCTATAGAATATATTAGTTTCACATTTTAAGTTAAATTACTGAAATAAATTAACTTTTGCACGATATTCTAATTTTTCGAGTTTAACATAGTATAGGCAGCAGAGAAAAAAACATCCAGGGCTAGGGCTAGTTCACACTTTTTTTAATAAATCGTTTATATATATATATATACAGTATATATATATTTTTTTTTTTCCACAATTGTAGTTCTGGAAAAAAGATATAGTTCATTGCACAAACACTGACATTTTGTCCTGATATTTTGGTATGAATAGCCTTTTATTCAGCAGTAAAAACAAATACGAAACAAAACGATTGATAAAACACCAAACAGTTAAGAAATATTAGCTATGATCTAGGTGTTTGAAACCAACATACAAAAGCACTGTTTTATACATTTTTGTGTAACTAAACGAAAATAGTCACTTAAAGTGCTGTATGAATTTAACATTTAATACAAACTGCATACTCAGCCACAAAGGTTATGATCTTTCCTAAATTGTACACAGAAACAAACACACAACATATCTTGCCATTGTGTCTGTTGCCTGCCTGTTGCTGATAAATCTAGCCATGGACCACATCCTGTGTTTGTGTTGAGCGGGGCAGCGCCTCCATTTGAATGAGAGGAAATGACCTAAGACACCATTCCAGTGTGCCCTTTAGACCCCGTGCCATGCAAGTGAAGTTGCTTTTTTTCTTTGTCATTGGGAATTGCAATTGGAACAAGTGAAAAACATTGTCTTCAATGCAGGGAACTTCATCAAAAATGCAAAGGACTTTTTTACAGCATATCAAAACGATGATCTATTAAAAAGGATGGACATGGATACTTATAGTGGGTCATGTCAATGGAGCCCATACTCATAATCATAATTAACTCTATCAAAGTATTAATATTCCATTTCAGTACAAATATCAATGCATTGTCTCTCCCCAAATATCCCTCACTCTTTTTTAAAATTAGAAAACCACCATAGACAAAGAAACATCTGCTGTCCGTCCGTCCCATGAGCTCTGACTTGTAAACAGACAGCTTCCTTCCTCTGTAGCATATTCTCTTATCAGGGATCTCTGTTTGTTGTTTGAAACTTTTTTTTTTTTTTTGTATAATACCCTTATCACACATTTTCACTGGTGCAAAAGACTAAAACAATACAGGGAGTAGCAAATAGCATACATATTGAATTCAAAATATATTGTTGAATTTCTGCAAGACTTATTAGCCTATCAATAAACAAAACAAGTCACCTTGAAATTGAAATTGATGTTCCAATCAGTTTCCAATGGACAAAATCAAGTCCCGGCCTACATTTTTTCTTGTTCGAGAAACAATCACTTTGATATAGCCAAAGCCTACATCACAACAGGAAAGAAAAGACTATCCCAACTCAGCATAATAGCCTAAAAGACGTATTAATATTAATATTATACATTTTGTGTTTATTGATTCTAATATTGTAGTTCCTCCTGCCTTCATTAGGGGATGGCGTAGTCAGATTGAGTTACTACTAGTCCTACATTATCATGAAGATGTTAAATGATTACAGGTGAAGATGGGAATTGGGAATGAAATTCACTAATTTAGTGTCAGTGAACTCTAGTGGAGAACTGGTGACACGACGGCTGTGAATATCAGTTTTTACCTTAACCAATCACATCTGCTTAAAAGATATTTGCCTTTCTGTTTCTTCTACAGAAGTCAACATTTGAATTTGAAGTCAAAACATTTTATCAAAATTATTCATGAATTTTGAACACTACCCATTCTTGTCTTGGGACAACTTTGAATAACTTTTTTGATCCACTTCAGATGTTGACTACTGTAGTTTGGCACAATCAAACTACTCCTCTCGTTGTACAGTGGCAGGACTTAATCTGACTTGACTGGTTTTCATTTGCATATAGTGTATTGACACAATGATTTAAATACCTAACATACCTGCCTGGTATGAGTGATCATTTATCAAGAAATGTCTTACTATAGCCAGAATTTATACATTTTAAACTCATCATTAAATATATAATTTTACATATATTAATTTCAATTTGATATAAATGTAATTCATGATCAGTATAATGATGAACCATATAATGATCAGTTCTACATTCAAAGCAAGTCCAGGCAGGATAAACTGGTTTCTGTTGCACTGAATGCATTTTTGGAGGCCTTACATAACCTCATACCATAAAACAAAACTAAACTGTAATAGAGTGTCTAAAAAAGCACAATGTATTTTATAATATTATGCACAGAAATAAACCATGCCAACCATCTTTCCTTCTAGAAGAATAATAATAACAATAATAACTTGCTAATGTGAAATGTTTAGGATGTCAGTGTCTTATAATGACAAAGATTCAGATGAGTTTCTGTCAATCAATTCTTTGTTATAGACACATACACTGGAAATTGGGCAGGGCTTCAACAAGTGTTTAAAAGCTTGAAGTAAGGCAAAAGTGTGTGAAGACGGAGAAGATTACCAGTCACTTGGTTGAAAATTCATTGCTTCTCTGAAGGTACATATTCATCTTATTTATGTCAGTAATGCAATAAGTCGAAGCTCAATACTCTCATAGGAAAGGAAGACCTATCTGTTGGTTTACAAACTAATTTATATTAAAAAAAAAACACTTTATGGACTGTATCATATGCAAAATAAAGTATAGGCCTATCTGCATATTTACTTCTGCGGATGTTGTTCTGTAAGGATTTATTATACTGTGTCTGTGTTATATCTGTATTCCAGCAGTTGAGTATTGTGCTAAAATAGTTTGATAAAATGTATACTTTAATGAAATGAAAGTGGTTTGGATAAAAGCCTAAAATGGAAAAGATACAACACAGAAAAATCAAAGGTAACCTTTATTAAAGAAATGTAATATCTTTGTATTATCGTTGTAATTTCCTCTTTTTAATAGTAAAGAAATCCAGACAGATTTCAAAATGCCTCCTCCAGCGGTTCCACACGGCATGTGTCTAAAAGTCATGGATGACCGCAACATGAAGGGTGGCATGGGCTCTGAAACAAATCCTTTGAAGTTCATGGATCAGGACTACAACTCTTTACAAGACTACTGTCTTAAGACAAGACAGAAATTTGTTGATGAGTTTTTCATGCCAGACTCTCGTGCCATTGGTGAAGAGCTGCTGGAGCCAGAAGTCATGGCCCGAGTGAAGTGGATAAGACCAACTGTATGTAATCTATACTTCATCTTTAAAGTATTCTGATAATATTGCACATAATAAGAAGTGTAAACCAGGCACGTGCAGAGGGGGGGGCGTTGGGTGCTCGAGCACCTGCCCTTTTGCCCCTTGGTGCCCAAAGTGCCCTTTTGTCAAGACAAAATTTCCTCTCCTTTTTTTTGTATTTAAAGGCACTTTTGTGGATGCCTGCCCCATCTAACTAGTAGTAAAATTAATGAATAATAATTTAGCTGTAAATAAAATGACCCACATGATGACCTTTCACCTGATTCCTCACGCTGCACGCGCATTTTTTAATTTCGCGCGGCTACGCGCAATCGCGCATTCCCAGAGGATATCTTCAACTCTTGCGGCTGCTGGTAAGTTGTGTTCTATTCTCAGCGAAGTGATTTTGATGTTTGTTTACTTATTATAATTATTTTACTAGAACGACGTGAAGAGAGCATGCAGAGAGATGTTGTTTGTATTGCTGTGTGCAGGCACGTGCAGAGGGGGGGGCGTTGGGTGCTCGAGCACCTGCCCTTTTGCCCCTTGGTGCCCAAAGTGCCCTTTTGTCAAGACAAAATTTCCTCTCCTTTTTTTTGTATTTAAAGGCACTTTTGTGGATGCCTGCCCCATCTAACTAGTAGTAAAATTAATGAATAATAATTTAGCTGTAAATAAAATGACCCACATGATGACCTTTCACCTGATTCCTCACGCTGCACGCGCATTTTTTAATTTCGCGCGGCTACGCGCAATCGCGCATTCCCAGAGAATATCTTCAACTCTTGCGGCTGCTGGTAAGTTGTGTTCTATTCTCAGCGAAGTGATTTTGATGTTTGTTTACTTATTATAATTATTTTACTAGAACGACGTGAAGAGAGCATGCAGAGAGATGTTGTTTGTATTGCTGTGTGTAACGTTAGGCTGTAGAAGTAACGTTAGCTTGCTGTTTGAGGGAGAAAAGTTTCATGGGCGTGGAGTGGTGTTATTTGACTAAAAACTATTATTTGTACTTTAAACTATTATTATTATTACAGTATTTATTTAAAAAAATATTTTCACATAAAAATTATTATCACAACTCTGGTAAGTTATCACATAGGCTTACCAGTTAGTATCTTATGTTTTGTGTGCAGAAGCCTGTGTGAACATCTGCCCTGTTACGTTACTATTCTATTATTGTATTATTATACTATAGCAGCCTGGGTAGAATCTGTAGCTTTAGCAGGTCAGTGAACTAGTGAGCCAGTTCCAAACACTGTCAGCATTCTTTACATCTTGTCATGGTCACATAAAAATTGTAGACATTAAAATAAACAGAAATATAGGTTATTAGCTGATTAAACCGTCTTAGATCAACTCCAGCAGTATCAGCAGCAGCAGTAACAACATCAACAGCAAAGGCAGCAAACTCACTTAAGGACTTAAGTAAGAATTAACCATAACAGGCATCACATTAATGTTAAAAATCTTGTAAAGTATTAATTGATGTTTCTGTTTGCTTTGTTTTTATTTTCATTGTATAAAATGTAACTCTTGTATTTTTGTAAATCCGTTTTTGCCATGAAAATAGCCACAGATGCTGATATGCCATTAAATAAAACTATACTGTACTGCACGAAACATGGGCCAGGTTGATTTTGTCCTATACAGTTCACTATAACAGTTGTTCTTTATTATTCTGTATAACAGAGAAGAAAAAGCCATCAGGTTGGGACAACTTAAGATACTTCAGTTTCTAATCCCAGAGTTATATATAAATATATAAATTATATATATATATATATATATATAAATTATTTTTTTACATTTTAAACTTTAAAATTGTCTTTTCTGTTCTGTTTCTTTTTCAAAACTGCATCAATGCATTTGCTGCTGTATCGATGCAGAATCATCTGTATTGATATATTACTGTATTGATATTTTGAGCACAGCCCTATAAAGCCTTGTTTCCATGTGCCCCATTTTATACTTTGAGCACCTGCCCTTCCAGAGGTCTCTGCACGGCCCTGGTGTAAACATTCACAATTTTTATTGAAAGCTAAAAGATCTGACTATGACAAACTAAACACTTTAAAGAAATTAAACGACACTACTAAAAACCACTATCAATCACATCCCTTTCACAGAATGCATCAGTTGATCACAAGTCAAATACTGAAAACGTTTCTTATTTTCTTTCAGAAATTGTATCCAGAAGCTGAATTTATTGTAGACACAGTGTCCAGGTTTGACTATGCCCAAGGGAATATAGGTATGTCTGAGTAACCACAATATTGTCGTTTTATACACTTAAAGTGTGGGTAGGCAGTTTTGGAGACACTATAGCAATAGCAAGTTAGCTTTGAAAGCATCCCGCCCTCCCTTCAGAGCTTCTCGAAAGCCACGCCTCCTTCAAAACTGTCATGAGACAGCAATTTCCTCACGCCTTAAAGCACATAACACTATAATTATGTAAAGTAAACAACATACAGAGTTCTTACTTGTACCAACCGACTGAAGCAAATACATTTCAGCGTTGTGTTGCCAAAGAAACACAAAAATCCGAGCCTGTAGACGTGAACGTCGCGGATTGCCATTGGTAATTATGCAGCGTAAACTCATTGTTTTGGCTCAGAAGGAACTGTTAAAGGCGACCGCTGTTTGTTTGCAGTCTTTTGGCTGTCTGATACAACTCTGAAGCATAGCCTTATGAAACGCGCTGATGATGCAGGCAGGAAGGTCATCCCATCATTGCACGCGAACCGAATGCAATGATTGGAGGTGCATTTCTTTAGTCCAGAGACTTCCACTGAAGATAGGCTATGTACATTTTTAAACGTAGACCACTTCAATTATTGATTGCTATCAAGACGAGAAGAGACTTTCAACCATTCACAAGATGTAAACACTGGTCCAGAAGCACTTCCTGTTTCAGTTTTTTAACACTACATAAAAGCTGGGATAAAATACAACCAACAGAACATTTAAAACTGAATCAAAAAGTTAAACAAACATCTTTAAGATGTTTTCTTTACATGTGAAATAAAGAAAACAGTTACAAATTGAAACAGGAAGTGCTTCTGGACCAGTCTTGTTTACATCTTGTGAAATGGTCTATAAAAAGAAAGTTGCCTACCCTAGTTGCCTAACTCAGTAAATTCTAGTGTGCACCTACTGCCACCTAGTGGCATCATGAGCAAAATAGTGTTCAGTACGATGACCTATGCAATGTAGACATCCATCAATACAGTCAGCCAAGATTATTTTTCCAATAATAGATTAGAGAGGCTATTGAGATAAAAGCGACCTGCTTTGTGTAAATAAAAGATAGCCTATGTTTAAGACAAGTAACCTTTTTGTATTTGTAAAGATTTGCATATTATTCTTTTTCTGCCATCTGAGCAACACACTTGGTGGTGTTATAATAAGTGCATTTTAGTTTTACATATCTTTCCCCTTTCAAATCCTTGTAAGCTCCAAGAACCATACATCAGATTTTGTTTGCCCGCAGGGAAATTTTTCCGCCATATTGAATGTTTTTGGAAAACCTATTTTTTGGTTCATTCAATTTGCACAAAACTTGGCATGCATCATCCTAATACCCTCATGACAAAATTGCATCGGATTAAACATAATTTTACAGTATAGTTTTATATAATTTGTTTACAATTTATCCCAATAATATTGAAAACATATTTGTCAATTTGTGTGATGTGGTAAATATACTGCTGTCTAATTAAAAAAAAGAGACAATGTTATTTGTCTTTCCTAAAATACAGAATAACACATCTATAAAGACACACTTAAAGACTTATTATATTTGAAAAGATTCATGAACATCCCTATATCCTAGTTAAAAAAAACAGAAATGAGTTGTGGAATATGAAAGATATCCTATCAAATTTACTGTTCCAATAATTGTTTTTTTTTCTTCTTCTTCTTCAGGAAACTGCTGGTTTCTGGCCTCTGTTGGGGCTCTGACATTTCAAAAGAAATTTTTACAAAAGGTCGTCCCAGACAGACAATCATTCAGCCACAATTATACTGGTTTATTTCACTTCAGGGTAAGTTCCTCTCATTTCATGCCATCATTTTTAATATTTAATTCTATTTTGATCGTATTATTCAGAATCGAAACCCAAAGCATTTTTTTTAGTTTTTCACTCAGTGTTCTGTTTGCTTAAACTTACAGTTCTGGCGGTTTGGGAAATGGTACGATGTTGTAATTGATGACAAACTGCCAACAATCAACGGAAAGCTGATTTTTGTCCAATCAAAAACATATAATGAGTTCTGGCCAGCCTTGCTGGAGAAAGCATATGCAAAGTAAGTGCCTGTACATCTTTTAGTGACTTTATAAAAAATAATTTCCAGTATATGTAAGCAATAGTGCTGTTGTATTGAATATAAGAACGACTGTAATTCAACCTCTGATTCGTGTCCAGTTAGAGTCATCATATTTGTGTCTATTACATTGCGGCATACAATTTAGAGTTTGAATGACCGTTACAGGGTGTGCGGATCCTACGCTGACATGCACTGTGGCCGGGTATCTGAAGCCCTCATTGACTTCACCGGTGGGGTTCATATGCACTATGAACTGAAAACGGCTCCATCTAATTTGTGGGAGATAATGTACCGTGCGTTCCAGTCAGAAGTCCTTATGGGTTGTGAAACTCCACCTGGGGTAAAAAATAAATTAAAAACCCTATATTTTACAGAGACATTTTAATTTCTTCTTAATTCTGCGTTTACACCACATCATCTGTCTTCTGATAATTTTTCTGTTTCCACAGAATCGGAATGAGGAACGATTACCAAATGGCATTGTTCTGGGCCACGCTTACACTGTGACAAAGGTTTACCAGGTAAGACTGCACAAAATCAGGTCTCAGCACGCATCAGATTCAAATAAGGTCTTGAGATAAATATTTTAGGGACAAAAGAAAATGGAAGCAAAACAACTTGATACTCACCCATGCTTTACATGTCTGTACATGATTTGGCCTTTTTGCATAAATCTTAGTGTTTCTCAATCTTTCTGCTTTTTTGCCACATTTTCATACTACTAATTCATAAAAATATTTAAACACAAATGAACAGGTCATGAGTGGTAAATATCCAGTTCAGCTTGTGAGATTGTACAACCCATGGGGAGGCGTTGAGTGGAATGGAGACTGGAGTGACAAGTAAGAATTAATTTGATTTAACCACACAATTTAGAGTCTCTTTATCTGTTGTTAAAATGTCCTATTTGCAACAAATGTTATTCTTTTGGATAAAGCCGTTGAGATTCACATCTCATTTTCAAGAGGGTCCTAAAATACAATGCATAAAACACCTAAAAAAAGGGCAACATATGCTATAATTGTATTGCCATATTATATTGCATATTATAATGTAACTTATTAGGCCTATATTTATAGAATAGCAAAGTATACCTAATCAATGTGCAACACATAGGTTAGATACATAAAGGCTATCATAGACATTTTGCCAACAATGGATTTGTTTAGTTTAGTATACGTTTTATGAAGTTTTTCTGCATTTGAAGAAAATAAACATGTATTATTTTCTAGGTACTTTGATAACAGAGAAATGAATTGTTCAAATACTTAAAACAATAACACAAATTATTGATATAGGTCTATAATTATGTGGATCAAGAATGTCACCTTCTTTATAAATTGGAGTAATACAAGAACACTTCAGACAGTCAATGGATCAGCCAGTGGATACATGAAGATATGCGTAGCAGATTTAATGTATTATTAAGACTGATCTGAACAATTACATTCAAAAATTCTGTAGGTGGTATTTTAGGAAAAGAAAATAATACTATATAATTGTATAATAATAGTAGATTATTGAAGCTATTCAAACATATTCGTATATTTTTTAAAATAAAATGTATAGCAATAGATAGGGAATCATGAATCAAATCACACAACAGTAGCATTTTAACATAACTAACTAATAGTGAAATTTTTTAACAAGTAGTTCTTTTTTGCAGTTCTTGTTTAATTATTGCACAGTCAAAATGATACATAATTCTGATGTATGTTTTACATAATTCTTTCAGCTCACCTTTGTGGAACACAGTGAGTGATGAGGACCGCAAACAACATCTTCAGGACAAAAATGGAGAGTTGTGGTATGAAACATGTTTTGAAAAAGATTCTTAACGCGTACTAAAACATGAATTTAGTCTATTATTTACATATGAAGCCGGGTTTTTGTTGTTGTTGCAGGATGTCAATGAATGATTTCCTTAAAATATTTGACAACATGGATATCTGCAGTTCCTGTCCTGATTTTTTGGAAGAAAAGTCTGCATGTCAGTGGATTTCCAAGGTCCACCATGGCAGCTGGGTTCCTGGGAGTACAGCTGGAGGTTGCATGAATCACTCAGGTGCTTTTCATTCATAAGTGGTGCCAAAAGCAAAGTTATTGTTATTTCTCAAACTTATTTAGCAGAAAAGTGTAATTTAGCACATTTGAAGAGGCTGACAGGCTCTGTATGAACATAATTCACAATGGGGTAAAAGGTGCACCCCTGGGGGACATGAGCTTCCCAAAGTGTCCCCATTGAGACACCTTCAACACTCCCTGGCCACGCCCTAGCAACTCAAATCCAAAGATGGATATCTTCCATTCTGAATGTCATATAGAGGCATGGGAGTTGGTTTATATCATTCATACTGACAAGCAGCCTTTGGAGTATCATCATTGGCAGCTGCTTAAAGCCACTTGCTAGCAAGTACCCTAGCAAATTTTTTGCAAGACCAACTGTATATCTCTGCATCAGAACATCATATAGAGATTGGGGTTGGCTCTTTTGACTCATGCTAGCAAACAGGACTTCCAACATGTTACACATGCTAGCTGTGAAAAGCTACATGATAATTGCAATTAGCTTGGGGTTAAACATTATAAGAACGAGTAAAAATGTGCAAGCGTCATGCTAGCATCAGGACAATCCTACTAGAATCATTCTAGAAACATGCTATTCTTGCTAGCATCTTGCTAAAAACATGCTAATCTTGGTAGAATAATGCTAATCGTCATGCTAGTAACATGGTAATCATGCTAGGATATTGCGAAACATGCAGACGTCATAATCAAGCTGGCATTAATCTAGCAACATGTTAATCATGCTAGCAACATGCCAATCCTGCAAATCATGCTAGTAACATGCTAATTTTGTTATCTTGCTAAAGACTAGCTAACTGCTCCTAGCAACCGATTGGCGATTTTTGCCACTGCAAACACTACTCACATTTTCTTCAGGAAATGTACATTCTAGTTATGATTATAAAGCTACTAGTCATCAATGTAAATCTGCTTCTAACACCATGTCCTGTATTTGTAGACACCTTCTTTTCCAACCCCCAGTTTTGGCTGAAGATTAATGAGATGGATACGGCCTGTGACCAGGGCCAGAGCAATGTTCTGGTGTCCCTCATACAGAAACCTGACAAGAGAAACAGACGCCTTGCTTCACACCATGGCATCGGCTTCTGCGTGTTTGCGGTCAGTATTCACAAAAAAATAAAAAAAACATAAACAAACCTGCAAAGGCAATGCATATGGTTGTACAATGATGCCTTTGTGCTCAGAGTGTAACATTCATTTTTGTTTTGAACTTTTACAGGTTCCACCCGAGGCAAGTAAAATTTGTATTTAATCAGTTTTTAATACATATTACATAAGCTGTCATACCTTTCTGACACATTTTTTTTTTTTGTCTAATTATCCTTTAGATGAGATTTGAGGGAAAGTTTGGATCAAGCTTTTTCTATAGCAGAAAGCCCGTGGCAACAAGCGGGGCTTTTCAGGATGCAAGACAAGTGATGAAACTATTCAGACTGGAGCCAGGAGAGTATCTCATCGTGCCATCCACTTACATGCCTAACAAGAACGCAGAATTCATCCTGACCATTCTGTGCAAAAATGAGATAAACATTCAGTGAGTAACATGAAGGACTGAGACATTGACTATAAGTTTACAATATTCAACATTTGAGTACTTATTTATGCTTGGAATACTAGAAAATTTACTTTATACACTGAAATGTTTACAGTCATGTGCTTTATTACACTGTTTTTTTTAAATATGTGTTTTTTATCCAGAAAGGACAGAGAAAGATTTTCTTGTGCCTATAGCTGAATGGAGAAGATGTGATGTGCCACAAGTAGCTCTGTCTTCGCAAGATTTAGTTGAAGGTGGTGGTCCTTCATTTCAGAAAGGTCCTTCCTTCAGTGTTGATACTGTGAAGCTGCTTTGATGCAATCTATATCGTGAAAACCTATAAATATACTTGACTTCATCGGGCCAGAGATGTCTGCCAGATAGGCTGAGATACAAGCTGCAACCATGGGATCGTCAGGCTGGAATAAGAGGTAGAGTTGTGTGTCATCAGCATAGCAGTGACAGGAAAAGCCATGTTTTTGAATCACAGATCCTAGTGACGTCATGTAGATGGAAAAGAGAAGTGGTCCAAGCACTGAGCCCTGAGGCACCCCAGTAGCTAGATGTTGGGTCTTAGATGCCACAGCCCTCCACGACACCCTAAGGACCTATCTGAGAGGTAAGACTTTAACCATTGGAGAGCGGATCCCAAGATGCCCTTCATCTTTAGGATTGACAGGAGGATTTCAACATGCACTCTAAAAAATGCTGGGTTATTTTAACCCAATTTTGGGTCAAAAATGGACAAACCCAGCCATTGGGTTACATTTTTAAATTAAATTTTTAACCCAATGTTTGAGTTTGTCCATATTTGACCCAAAATTGGATTAAACAACAATAGCTGCCCAGTGACCCCTAAAATATAAAACAGATATTATGATATAATATTTTCATTCACACATTGTATAGATCCTGTATTTATGTGATGGTTCTTGTGCCCTAGGCTTGCATCTAAATGAAGACATCCTGAGTCTCATGGTTGTGCGGTATGGTGGTGCTTCAGAACAGATCTCTCTGGAGGGTTTCATTTGCCTTGTCATGCGTTTGAACTGCATGGCTAGTGAGTAACACTAGACAGAAAGACAATTTGATGTTCTCTCTCTCTCTCTGGTTTCCTTCTACAGAAAGCTGGAGCCTTTCCCAGTACAAACACTCACATTCACACTCTCACTGTAACATCTATGGGTCATTTTAAACTTTCCAATTTAACCAAAGTCCAGACAGAAATCCTCTGAGCCACCGTGTGCTGCCCTAATTTGGTGTTCAGGACTTAAAAATAAATAAATAAATAAATAAATAAATAAAACGTCAGGGTAAGCAATCAAGAGTTGGGTCACACAAACTTGTAAAGAATGTTTGGTTTGACCCTTTCATGCTCCTGAAATAGTTTGAGCTGAACACCCTGAGTATTTATTATTATTACTATTACATTTTAACAGCCTTTATTTTCTTCATCAGGAATATTCCAGAGACTCTGTGAAGGTGGGAAGATAACTCTTAATGAGAGTGAGGTAATCCTGATGTAAACATCATTTTTTTTCTTATCTCTGCAAGTGTTTAAAAAGAAAAATCTGTTTGATTTTCTTTGTAATTTTTTCCCCCCATTCAATACATTCACAACCAATTTCTGTGCATCTGTTTTAGTGGATTGGACTCACCATGTACTCGTGAACGAACGTCTTTTTGCCAGGAGGTTTGCCATCAAACGCAAGAACAGATCAGTGGTTTGGGAAGTCTAAAAAATGGTTTTATTTCATTTTACATTATTTTTTATTTTTAATAATGTATATTATTTCATAATATATTAACACAAACAAATTGTGATGCTAGTCACTTATTATTCCTCAAATAATTAAAATGCTTTTGCTTTTCTTACAATTATTATTTGATATACACATTTCACATTGTCCAATTGTGTTTGTAATGCTGCAATTTGTGCAAAAATAACTGTATTAACTGTCTGTTTGAAAAGTGATTTATGGATGTATTATTTCTCATGTTGACCACCCGGAGTCACTGTTGTTAGATTGTTTGCTTTGGTTTTGAAACCTTGTGCTATTGCTGTCATTGTTAAAAATATGACAATTGAACCAACCCTGTGTTGCTAGGGTCAAATAACCAAAAATGAAAATTCTGTTATTATTTACTCACCCTTGAGTTGTTCAGATTCTGCATGACTTTCTTTCTGCTGAACACAAAATAAGATATTTTGAAGAATATGGGTAACCAGATAGTTGATGGCCCCATAACCCATCCTTCAGATGAGATGTTAAATCGAGCTCCGGACTTCCCAGGATGTCCTTCGGAAAAGAGTAGGGGTTTAACCTCGGCATCCTGGCCAAATTTGCCCATCATGGCGTCCTTATCATCCCCGGCCGCCGGCCCATATACTAATCGACTTCATCACTCTGCGTCCTCTCCATCAGTAAGCTGGGGTGTGGTGGGCGTTCTGGCACAATATGGCTGCCGTCACATCATCCAGGGGGATGCTGCACATTGGTGGTGATTGAGGAGATTACCCCTTTCATTTGTGAAGCACTTTTAGTACCCAGAAATACGCTATCGAATTAGTAACTTTCACAGTATGGAAAAACATACTATGCTAGTCAAAGGGGTCCATCAACTGTTATGACATTCTTCAAAATATTTTCAGTTGTGTTCTGCAAAAAAGACAACCTTCGTACAGGTTTGGGACAAATTGAGCATAAGTAAATGATGACAGAATTTTTATTTTTGGGTGAACTATCCCTATGAGCTATAGGGTCACAATGTAAAGGATTCACTTGATCTATTGTCTCGTTACTCTTCACTCTTAAAAATAAAGTTTTTTATTGGCATCAGTGGTTCCATGAAGAACCTTTAACATCAACAGAACCGTCTCATTCCACAATAGGTTCTTTATAGTGGAAAAAAAAACAGATGGTTGTAAAGCTTATAAAAGATATTTACCTTATGTAACCTCACAGATTCAAAGTGATTGCACATTCTTATAGTTTGGCACTATCAAAATACTCCTCTTGTTGTACAGTGGCAGGACTTGATCTGACTTGACTGGTTTTCATTTGCATATAGTAGTGTTTATACATACTTGGCTGGCATGAGTGATCATTTATCAAGAAATGTCTTATAGGCTCTGTTAGCCTTATTACTAAATTATGTATTATTGGGTTTTGGTAGTGACAAATTTGGGGAGAGGAAAAATATTCCCAAACTTTCTGAAAATAAAATATGATAATTATCTGCACAATTACTAGAAATGTGTACCTCGGATATTTTATACAGTTTTTATAGAAACAAAACTTTAATTTTTTTCAAGACGTTTCCAAGTCTGACTTTGAACCAATGTAGAAGGGCCCGTATAGCAGCGGTGCAGCGCCCAGAATTTTCTAAAAAATATATACATTTTATTCTTGGAATTCTACGAACAAACAATAACTTTCAGTGGTTTTACTCTCTCTGAGGGTCTCTTAAAAAAAAGAGTACATTTTAACCTACATGCTACTATGTGTCACACACACACACACACACACACACACACACACACACACAGTTGCAGTAAGCAGACGATGATGAAGAGGATTAGGTTAAAAATCTTTCACGGCAAACTCAGAAGGCAATGCAAAAAAATGGTGACGAAGAAATACAACTAATTGTAGAGTGAACAACTCAACGCTGACTGCAACTTAATACGTACAAGCCAAATTAATATAATAATGATAAACACCTGTGCTAATTAAACGATTTACCGTGACAATTAAAGAGAGGCAGAAAAACGGAACAAAGGAAGACAGGAAACGAGTGAAAACAAACTATGGCCATGTCCACGTTTGAAATCGTAGGCCTATATTTTTCTCTCCGTTTTGGCCTTCCGTCCACACTGAGACGCCGTTTTAAGTAAACGAAAATTTAGGCTATTTTGGTTATCTTTTGTAGTGTGGACAGTGAAGCTGGAGGTAGGCTATCTGAAAACGAGTTTTAGTCGTGTGATCCATGTTGTACCAATAGATATTCATGTTTATCGGTATTGTGCCTGTTATGTGCTATTCAGTTTTACACTGTTGCTAAAATGTGTTATTTTGCACGTTCTTCATAGCACAGTACTGCAAAGATGACAGATAATGTATTCCCATTTGCTGTCCTGCGGGAAAACAGAAGAGCAGTTGCGTTTTAGACCAAACATCTAGACTGAATGCGACCTGCACGCATCAGTGATGGGTGAGATATTTTATTTTGCTAAATAAAATTATCCTGTTTCTAGCAGTTTAGTTTTCTCTAACAGGATTGTGCGATAACTTTATTTTCCCATATGTATCATCTCACGTGAGCTTTTGTGAAGTTTCACGCATGCGCAGTAAAGTGAATTCAGAAGGTTCCTGAAACGTCGGAAAATGCTAGAAAATGCCATGGAAAATGCTTGAAAACGTGTGGACGGAGAGCGTTTTTAAACGAAAACACCGTTTTCAAATGTATCCGGACGTAACCTATAAGAATGAATGAATGATTGTTTGTGACACTATGACTGATCAACTTGCTTTGGGAAACCAGTCCAACCTTTTATTTGTAGGCCACATGTCCATGTAATACTTCTGCTTATTGTCTCTTTGAAAATAGCTACATATACATGGTTCATACCATCCAAATGGAAAAAAAAAACAAAACAAAAAAAACACACACACAAAAAACAAACGGTTGTAAAGCTTATAAAATATATTTTCCTTAAAGTACCCTCACAGATTCAAAGTGATTGCACATTCTTATAGTTTGGGGCTATCAAAATACTCATCACGTTGTACAGTGGCAGGACTTGTTTTGACTTGACTGGTTTGCATTTGCATATAGTGTATAGATGCACGTATTTTATATACATACCTGGCTGGAGTGATCAAGAAATTAGGCTAAAACCAATTTAGCCTAAATATGTTTATCAATTGTAAATAATTCACATACTTTGTACACTGAGCATTTTTTCTTTTTCTCTTTAGCCAGTCATAGAATGTTTGATAAATCATAACTGATTGTTGGCTTACCATCAGAAATTCATGTATAGCAGCGGTGCAGTGCCCAGAATTTCCTAAGAAATAGAAATTCTATTTTTGAATATTATTAATTGAACTTTTGAGTGGTCTTACTCGGAGGGTCTCGTTAATAAAACAAAACCAACTAATCATCTTGCTTTGGGACACAAGTCCACATGACTCTTTTGTGGTTATTATAGCCAACATTAACACATCTACCTATTGTGATGACTTATATATGGAAGCTTGTTTCCGCCATTGAATAAAAAATATTATAAAGAATTGTGACTTTTTATCTTACAATTCTGACTTTTTTTCTCACAATTCTGACTTTTTTTCTCACAATTGCGAGTTTATATCTCACAATTCTGACTTTATTTCTCAGAATTGCGTGATATAAAGTCGCAATTGCGAGTTATAAAGTCAGAATTGTGTGTTATAAAGTCAGAATTGCGAGATATAAAGTCAGAATTGCGTGATAAAAAGTCAGAATTGTGAGATATAAAGTCGCAATTCTGAGAAAAAAAGACAGAAGTGTGACTTTTTTTCTCACAATTGCGAGTTTACATCTCGCAGTTCTGACTTTATAACACATAATTGCGAGTTTATATGTCGAAATTCTGACATCTTTTCTCAGAATTGTGAGATATAAACTCGCAATTGCGACTTATTAGGCCAATTCTTTTTCCCCCATCAGAAGAGTTTAAATCTCACAATTCTGACTTTATATCATGCAATTCTGACTTTAAAACTCGCAATTGCGACTTTATATCACGCAATTCTGACTTTATAACTCGCATTGCGACTTTATATCACGCAATTCTGACTTTATGTCTCGCAATTCTGACTTTATAACTCGCAATTGCGACTTTATATCACGCAATTCTGACTTTTTATCTCGCAATTCTGACTTTATAACTCGCAATTGCGACTTTATATCTCGCAATTCTGACTTTTTATCTCGCAATTGCGACTTTATATCACGCAATTCTGACTTTATATCTCGCAATTCTGACTTTATAACTCGCAATTGCGACTTTATATCACGCAATTCGGACTTTTTATCTCGCAATTGTGAGAAAAAAAGTCAGAATTGTGAGATAAAAAGTCGCAATTATTTATTTTATTTTTTTATTCAGTGGCGGAAACAAGCTTCCATACTTATATGACTTAAATATGACTTAATGACTTAAACATAATTTAAAACATAAGCCTGCCTAAATGTTTCATTCCTTCCAAATAAACAAAAATTTTTTTCCCCAAAGTAACCTCACAGATTCAAAGTGATTGCACATTCTTATAGTTTGGCACTATCAAAATACTCCTCTCGTTGTACAGTGGCAGGACTTGATCTGACTTGTCTGGTTTTCATTTGCATAAATACTGTATTGGCACAAGTGTTTATATAGGCTACATACCTGGCGGGCATGGGTGTTTATTTATCAAGAAATGTTTTATTGGCTACTCTAACTTAGTTATATGGTCATAATTTATATATTTTATACTCCTCATTAAAAATGTATCATAAAAATATTAATTACAAATACAAAATTGGTTTCTGTGATCGAGTGTCTAAAAAGCAGCATGTATTTTATAATATCATGCACAGAAATAAGCATGCACCCAAACTTTCCTCCTAGAAAATAATAACAATAGTCACTTAAGTTACTAATGTGAAACATGTGGACCTTCGTTTTGTCCTTTGACAAATATGTATATGTCAGTATTTTATAATGACAAAGATTCAGATGAGTTTCTGTCAATCAATTCTTTGTTATAGACACATACACTGGAAATGGGGCAGGGCTTCTACAAGTGTTTAAAAGCTTGAAGTAAGGCAAAAGTGTGTAAAGACGGAGAAGATTACCAGTCACTTGGCTGAAAATTCATTGCTTCTCTGAAGGTACATATTCATCTTATTTATGTCAGTAATGCAATAAGTCGAAGCTCAATACTCTCATGGGAAGGGAAGACCTGTCTGTTGGTTTACAAACTAATTTATTTAAAAAAAACACTTTATGGATTGTATACTTGTGTGAATTTAATTACATTGTCTTTAGTCTGTATTAGCTATATTCAAATTGAAGTACTAGGCCTACTGTACATTTACTTCTATAGATGTTGTTCTGTAAGGATTTATTATACTGTGTTTGTGTTATATCTGTATTCCAGCAGCATAAACAGTTGAGGATTTTGCTAACAATAGTTTGATAAAATGTATACTTTGAATGAAATGAAAGTGGTTTGGATAAAAGCCTAAAATGGAAAAGATACAACACAGAAAAATCAAAGGTAACTTTTAATAAATAAATGTAATATCTTTGTATTATAATTGTAATTTCCTCTTTTTAATAGTAAAGAAATCCAGACAGATTTCAAAATGCCTCCTCCAGCGGTTCCACACGGCATGTGTCTAAAAGTCATGGATGACCGCAACATGAAGGGTGGCATGGGCTCTGAAACAAATCCTTTGAAGTTCATGGATCAGGACTACAACTCTTTACAAGACTACTGTCTTAAGACAAGCCAAAGATTTGTTGATGAGTTTTTCATGCCAGACTCTCGTGCCATTGGTGAAGAGCTGCTGAAGCCAGAAGTCATGGCCCGAGTGAAGTGGATGAGACCAACGGTATGTAATCTATACTTCATCTTTAATGTGTTCTGATAATATTGCACACCTAATTAGAAGCGTAAACTTTTACAATTTTTATGGAAAGCTCAAAGATCTGACTATGAAAATCTAAACACTTAAAGAAATTAAACGACACTACTAAAAACCACTATCAATCACATCCCTTTCACAGAATGCATCAGTTGATCACAAGTCAAATACTGAAAATTTTTCTTATTTTCTTTCAGAAATTGCATCCTAAAGCTGAATTTATTGTAGACACAGTGTCCAGGTTTGACTACGCCCAAGGGAATATAGGTATGTCTGAGTAACCACAATATTGTTGTTTTATACACTTAAAGCGCGGGTTGGCCATTTTGGAGACACTATAGCAATAGCAAGTTAGCTTATAAGGGTTTTTTTTCTTCAGGAAACTGCTGGTTTCTGGCCTCTGTTGGGGCTCTGACATTTCAAAACAAACTTTTACAAAAGGTCGTCCCATACGGACAATCATTCAGCAACAATTATACTGGTTTATTTCACTTCAGGGTAAGTTCCTCTTTTTTATATACCATAATTTTCAATATTCAATTCTATTTTGATCATATTTTCCAGAATCGAAACCCCAACCAATAGTTTTTCCTGTTAGTTTTTCACTCAGTGTTTTGCTTATGTAAACTTACAGTTCTGGCGGTTTGGGAAATGGTACGATGTTGTGATTGATGACAAACTGCCAACAATCGACGGGAAGCTGATTTTTGTCCAATCAAAAACATATAATGAGTTCTGGCCAGCCTTGCTGGAGAAAGCATATGCAAAGTAAGTGCCTGTACATCTTTTAGTGACTTTATAAAAAATCATTTCAAGTATATGTAAGCAATAGTGCTGTTGTATTGAATATAAGAACGACTGTTATTCAACCTCTGATTCGTGTCCAGTTAGAGTCATCACAATTATGTCTATTACATTGCGGCGTACAATTTAGAGTTTGAATGACTGTTACAGGGTGTGCGGCTCCTACGCTGACATGCACTGTGGCCGGGTATCTGAAGCCCTCATTGACTTCACCGGTGGGGTTCATATGCACTATGAACTGAAAAGGGCTCCATCTAATTTGTGGGAGATAATGTACCGTGCGTTCCAGTCAGAAGTCCTTATGGGTTGTGAAACTCCACCTGGGGTAAAAAATAAATTAAAAACCTTATATTTTACAGAGACATTTTAATTTCTGGGATTCCAAAAAAAAAGAAAAAAAGCTTACAGCACCGTTTAAGCAATGACTTTTATACCACATCATCTGTCTTCTGATAATTTTTCTGTTTCCACAGAATCGGAATGAGGAACAATTGCCAACTGGCATTGTTCTGGGCCACGCTTACACTGTGACAAAGGTTTACCAGGTAAGACTGCACAAAATCAAGTCTCAGCAGCACACATCAGATTCAAATAAGGTCTTAAAGGGTTAGTTCACCCAAAAATGAAAATTAAGTCATTAATTACTCACCCCCCATGCTGTACCAACCCCGTAAGACCTTCGTTCGTCTTCGGAACACAAATGAAGATATTTTTGATTAAATTTGAGAGCTGTATAACTACCACATTGACTCCTAAGGGACTGCCTCTTGACGGCCCAGAAAGTCAATGAAGAAAATGTTTAAATATCCCAAGTGACTACCGTGGCTCAACTATATGTTTATCAAGCGACGCGAATACTTTTTGTGCGAAAAAACAAACAAAAATAACGAGTTTATTCGACTATTTCTTTTCTTCCTTGTAGGCCAGAAACGAGAAATGCGCGAGAATTGCGATCTGCTTTACACTACTTCAGATCGCAATTCTCGCGCATGCGTCGTGGAAATCTAAGGAAATCTCGTTTCTGGCCTACAAGGAAGAAAAGAAATAGTCGAATAAACTCGTTATTTTTGTTTGTTTTTTCGCACAAAAAGTATTCGCGTCGCTTGATAAACATATAGTTGAGCCACGGTAGTCACTTGGGATATTTAAACATTTTCTTCATTGACTTTCTGGGCCGTCAAGAGGCAGTCCCTTAGGAGCCAATGTGGTAGTTATACAGCTCTCAAATTTAATCAAAAATATCTTCATTTGTGTTCCGAAGATGAACGAAGGTCTTACGGGGTTGGTACAGCATGGGGGTGAGTAATTAATGACTTAATTTTCATTTTTGGGTGAACTAACCCTTTCAGGTAAATATTTTAGGGACAAAAGATAATGGAAACCAGCCAACTTCATGTTTTTACATGATTTGGCCTTTTTGCATAAAATCTTAGTGTTTGTTCTGCTCAGTGCTCAAATGTCACAAATCATTAAATAAACTGATGCTTTACTTCAGAATTCTGGTAAGTTACAAAATAAAGGTACTGGTAATATCAGAAAGATTCGCCACATTTTCATACTACTAATTCATACTATTTATATATAAAAATCTTTTAAAAAAAACTAACAGGTCATGAGTGGTAAAGGGCCAGTTAAGCTTGTGAGATTGTTCAACCCATGGGGAGACCTTGAGTGGAATGGAGACTGGAGTGACAGGTAAGAACAGATTTTATTTAACCACACAATTTAGACATTTAGAGTCTCTTTATCTGTTAAAATGTCCTATTTGCAACAAATGTTATTCTTTTGGATAAACCCCTTGAGATGCACATCTCATTTTCAAGAGTGTCCTAAAATACAATGCACAAAACACCTAAAAAAAACACACAAGATAATATACAAGACCAGCAAACCATTAATTAACACTTCCAGTAAATTACAAACTATTTAGTTGTCATGAACTACTTCGAGACAAGGTTGAGGATCCAAATGCAGTATTTATTAAACAGGGCAATGCAAAGACGTGATCCAAATTACAGGCAAGGTCAAACACAGACAGGCAGTCCATACCGCATAGACTGTAAAAAAATTACAGTCAAACAAACATCCGTACAAACAAACACAACAAGGCACAACAGTTCCACATGATCACATAATCTGTGGGAGGCAGGATTCTTTCTGGTTGCTTGGATCAAATGTTTATTTCACTCGAACAAATGCTAATCAAACCTTTATATAATGTGTTTTTTGGTTGATTTTCTGTCTCTATCCATTAAAATAAACCTATTGTATTATGGACCATTCGTTTCTTTGAAAGTGGTCAAACTTACAAAATCAGCAGGGGATCAAATTATTATTTACCCTATTTTTACCCCATATTATTTAGTTTTATATATATATATGAAGAGTTCAGATGCAAAAGCCTCCAAGTGCCATTTGAAATTTTGTTCTAGAAGGACCATTTTTATCAAGCCTGTGTATTTAAGTTCAGTAATTTCACTTAAATGACAATTAATAGGTAATCTTCATTGCCATTTAAGTGAAATTACTGACCTTAAATATACAAGCTTAATAAAAATGATAATTTTAGAAGAAAATTTCAAATGGCACTTAGAGGCTTTTGCATCTGAACTCTTCATATATAAATCATCTAAATCAGTGTTTCCCACCCCTGCTCCTGAAGGACCCCCAACACTGCACATTTTCTTTGTCTGATTAAACTCTTCAACTCATTAGATCATTATCACATGGGGATATATGTGATAATGAGCTGATGAGTTGAATCAAGTCACCATCTTTAATAATTGGAGTAATACAAGAATACAGCCAAATAGTCATAAGGATATGATAAGCAAATTTAATGCATCTATTATTAAGACTAATAACAATAACATTCAAAACTTCTGTATGTGTTATGTTAGTGAAAGAAAAAATAATGATAGAGTATATTATTAAAGCTATTCATAAGAATGATCAGATTCAGATGTTAAAGCAGACTGTAGAACACTTTTACCAAATACTTGAGTAAACTATAACATATCTTATATCACACAATAGTAGCAGTTTAAGATAACAACTCTCAGAACAAAAAAAAAAAAAAAATTGCGAAATTGTTTGATTATTGCATTGTCAAAATGATCCATTATTCTGATGTATGTTTTACATTCTTTCAGGTCATGCTTGTGGAACAACGTGAGTGTTGAGGACCGCAAACAACATCTAGATAGCGAAAATGGAGAGTTCTGGTGAGTATGAACCATGTTTTGAAAAAGATTCTTAATGCGCACTAAAACATGAATTACATTTAGTCTAGGATTTATGAAGCGTTTTTGTTTTTTGCAGGATGTCATTTAATGATTTCCTTAGAATATTTGACAACATGGATATCTGCTGTTCCTCTCCTGATTTTTTGGAAGAAAAGTCTGCATGTGAGTGGATTTCCAAGTTCCACCATGGCAACTGGGTTCCTGGGAGTACAGCTGGAGGCTGCATGAATCATTCAGGTGCTTTAATTAATTATAATTATAAAGCTTCTAGTTATCATGTAAACCTGCTTCTGACACCCATGTCCTATTTGTAGACACCTTCTTTACCAACCCCCAGTTTTGGCTGAAGATTAATGAGATGGATGCGGCCTGTGACCAGGGCCAGAGCAATGTTCTGGTGTCCCTCATACAGAAACCTGACAAGAGAAACAGACGCCTTGCTTCACACCATGGCATCGGCTTCTGCGTGTTTGCGGTCAGTATTCACAAAAAATAAACACACAAACAAAACAAACCTGCAAAGGCAATGCATATGGTTGTACAATGATGCCTTTGTGCTCAGAGTGTAACATTCATTTTTGTTTTGAACTTTTACAGGTTCCACCCGAGGCAAGTAAAATTTGTATTTAATCAGTTTTTAATACATATTACATAAGCTGTCGTACCTTTCTGACACATTTTTTTGTTTTATTATCCTTTAGATGAGATCTGAGGGAAAGTTTGGATCAAGCTTTTTCCATAACAGAAAGCCCGTGGCAACAAGCGGGGCTTTTCAGGATGCAAGACAAGTGATGAAACTATTCAGACTGGAGCCAGGAGAGTATCTCATCGTACCATCCACTTACATGCCTAACAAGAACGCAGAATTCATCCTGACCATTCTGTGCAAAAATGAGATAAACATTCAGTGAGTAACATGAAGGACTGAGACATTGACAATATTCAACATTTAAGTAGAAAAACTGACTTTATACACTGAAACGTCACAATTGTAGAAAGTGCTCCCCTTTGGCACATGGACTCTCCCAGTCACCCCTGTCATTCAGTGAGAAATGGACTATTCCAAAACTTTCCACCGGAGTTCGCGAAGTGACGGTGAAGAGAGTTGACGGGTAATGAAGGGAAAAGTAGATCGGCTGAATAAGTGTATATAGTTTAGAGTGAGATACAGAGTATTAGCCAAATCGGAGGAGTTTTACTGATTGTGCGTGTGCGTGCATCACACTGTAAGTAATCAGATAATTGTTGAACATTCTCAGTAATCGCTAATTTGCCTGTATCTGTGTTTACATCTGTGGTTAAAGTTGTTTACTTAGTTATATTTCACTGCTGTGACATTATTAGCATCCATGTATATTGATGTCATTCTTATAATAGTTATATTGATTCCGTTATCTCGAATGCATGATTCTATCTCAAGTCGCGAACATGCGCTCTGTTGTTTACATCTCGGTTCGACCGCATGTGCAGCAGTAGTCATGCTCGCATGCACAGCTCGTGCACGGCTCGTGTACAGCATTAGCGCACACACATCTGTTCTCACCTTTTTAAGTATATTATCATAGAGATTATTGTTATTTCACCGCTATTCGTCAGTATTTTAACATATAAGTTCATTTATACTGGTTGTGTTTTATATACGTTTATACATATTTATATCTGTATTTTGTGTTCACAGAACCACACATCTATGCACATTTAATAAAACAACGATTTGGAATATATCCTGAGTGAGACATCATTGTTCTGACCGGACAAACTGTAGCCTTCAGCAAAACCTGAACTAGCAATTAGAGTGAATAGTCACAAGATTTTTCATGGTCCTTCGAGCCGGAGCAGTGAATTGCTACAGAGATGTCTCAACCCGAAAGAGAAGTGCCTGTCGTGCGTCCACGAAGAAAGATCAACCCACCGACTCATTTAGTGGATTATGAGCTTGGTGCGCCATTGTCACATCGACAGCCATTCCCAGACTTTAGCCATAGCAGAGTCCCGTCACCAGCACAGACACGATCGACTTCTCCTGTCAGTCAAGAGTTAGATCATGAGGATTGGACACTGAGAGATGAATGGCAAAGTAAAAGTTTCAATGGGCAAGGAGAAGAGGAAGTAGAGCTTACATCCATGCTGCAGGTGATGAAACGCGAGAACGCTGACTTGAGGCTACAAACCAGCCAGCTTCCAGAGATTATTTCAGCATTACAGGAGATGCGGCAACAGAATGCTTTGTTACATCACGAACTTCAGAGTCTTAAGGCAGAAAGGAGAGCCCCCTTAAGGCCAGTGACTTTACCAGTGCTATCTCCAGGTCTCTTCTCTCCTGTGGTGAGCCCTGAGACTCCACAACGGTTCCGTCCTACTCCAGCCCCACGGACAAACCCCCCAACACCGCCTACGGCCATGAGGGAACGGTGCACAGCTACAATACATGAGCGCATTGGATTAGCTGAGAAGTTCAGAAACATGGACATTTCTTCCTCAATGCATGATAGAGTACCATCACAAATACGTTACAGTGATCCACCTCAACCCATGTACTCTCGTTCCTCCCAACACCTTCCAGCTTATCAGTCAGAGTTTGACACCACAGCACATGACAGTATGCCACTTCCGCACTCAGGCCACAGACAAGAGTTTTATAAGCCTTCATCAATGCAAGAGAAAATGTACAGAGGCCCTGCTCCAACCATTCCCTTCCTAACATCCCCTGATCCTAGGGAGTTCTCTCGACTGAGAATAGCATTGGAGAACATTTTGCCTGAGGATGCAACCGAGCGATTCAAGTATCAGATCCTCACTGACCATCTTAAGTTGGAGGAAGCCCTACTTGTGGCAGACTCATACAGTAACTCAAACTTTCCTTTCACAAATACCATGAGAGCCCTCAATAAAATGTATGGCCAACCACATCAGCTAGCCTTACAACGCATTGCAGAACTGATGGATGGACCAAACATTCGAAGTGGAGATGTGAAAACTTTTCGCATGTTCGGGCTCCAAGTGCGTTCCCTGGTCAGTATGTTGGAACAGCTGGGTCAGAAAGGCAATGTAGAGTTGGAGTGTGGATCCCACGTGTCGAGACTGATGAGCAAACTGCCACATGATCTCAGGTCCAGTTTCAAGAGGTACACACATCCTCTTCATGTCACTATCCCCACATTATTGGACTTTGCAGACTGGCTTGAGTACGAGCTACAAGTTCAGGATGACCAAACTGATTATACCAGCCAGCCTAGAGTTCCTACAGTGCCGAGGAGAGAGCTGAGGAGAGACTCTAGACAGCCCCGCAAACCCACTACTATCCTCTTTGGTACAGAGAAACCAAAGGCCAGCCCAGCATCACCAGTTTATCCACTCAAACCAATTGCTGCTAAGAGAGAAGGGGTAAATGTTAACTGTCCATACTGCGACAACAACAGACATTTCCTGAGCGGCTGTGAGAACTTTAAGTTACTCAACAAAGAGCAGAAGGTGAATTGGATCAAAAGCCAGAATAGATGTTGGCGCTGTGGGCGTGGTCATCATGCTGCCAATTGTACACTGAAAGCCCTCTGTCCATCTTGTAACAGAAAGCACTTGCTGGCCTTACATGATGTAAATGACCAGAGCAAAGCCACAGAAGAATCGGTTCCAGCCAGTGCAGTCTTGTATCTAGATCGTCCAACCTGTGATAACAAAATTCTGCTGAAGGTGGCTAAAGTTCTACTCCAAAATGGCAACAAATCCATGGAGGCATATGCAATCCTCGATGATGGGTCAGAGCGGACCATCATCCTGCATGAAGCTGCGCAGAAGTTGAATCTGAAGGGTCAGCCAGAGGACTTAGTTCTCCGCACAGTCAGGCAAGATACACAGACCCTTCACGGGGCGGCTGTGACCTTCACTGTGTCTTCAGTGGCTAACCCTCGTAAGGCTTTCATGATACGTAGCGCATTCACAGCCAAGAGCCTGGGTTTAGCAGAGCACACTCATCCCATCAAGGTACTCCAGAAGAAGTACAAGCATCTTGCAGGCCTTCCACTACAGCACCTTCACAAAGTGAAACCAGTGGTTCTCATTGGTTCTGACTGCCCTCACCTCATCACACCCATAGAACCAGTCAGACTGGGTCCACCTGGTGGCCCTGCGGCTGTGAGAACACGCCTAGGATGGACACTACAAGGCCCAGCGCAAGAACTAACCAGCAGACTTTCCCCCCAGCAATGTCTTTTCACCAGCTTACGGCCCACTAATGACATTTATGCAAATGTGGAGAAACTGTGGGAAATGGACATTCTTCCGTATCAAAACGAGAAGGTACTGGCAAGGTCTCGACAAGACAAAGAGTCCATTCAACTTCTCCAGGACAAAACCGTGAGAGTAGAGGTTGACAGAATCCAGCGCTACGCGACCCCTCTTTTACGTGCCAAAGATATGCCATGTCTACATGCTCCCAAAGAAGCTGTCCTGCCACAATTAAGGGGAATAGAGAATCGACTGAACAAGAATCCTGATCAAGTGGCAGAAATCCAAGAACTCACGGAGTCTGATAACTGGAGATACGTGCCATCAAAGGAGAACCCTGCCGATGACATCACAAAAGGAAAAATGCTGTGTGACATTGGCCAGGAAAGCAGATGGAATAAGGGGCCAACATTCCTCAGACAGACAATTGAACATTGGCCGGAGATGCCACCATTTACAACCACTGATCAGGATAGTGAATTGAGAAAGCCAATATTCATTGGCCTATCAACCACTACTCCACCTACTCCCGATCCACAGAAATACCATACACTTCCAGAGTTACTGAAGGCTTACATTCAGTATGCCAACGGGGCGGCCACCGATATCCCAACAGCGGATGACTACAAAGAGGCAGAACTTGCAGTACTCCAGCAGAGCCAAACTGACTCATTTCCAGACGAACTGTCCTTCCTCAGAGCAGGTAAATCCTTGCCAAAAAATAGTCGATTGCTGTGCCTAGCCCCGGAATTTGATGAGGACACCAAACTCATACGCGTCGGTGGTCGTCTGCGTCAGATCAGCCAGTTAGAGGAAGATACAATACATCCTATTGTCCTTGACTCATCTCATCCAACTACTAAACTAGTAATCAAGGACTATGATGATCGGCTACATCACCCAGGACCAGATAGGGTGTTTGCTGAACTTCGGAGGAAATACTGGGTGATACGGGGACGGGCTGCAGTCAGAAACCATCAGCGACAATGTCCAGAGTGTCAGAGATGGAGAAGACAACCACATCCACCAAAAATGGCAGACCTCCCACCTGCGAGATTGAGGATCCATCAACCTGTCTTCTATTCAACAGGTGTGGACTGCTTTGGACCTTACACTATAAAGGTGGGACGCAGGAATGAAAAAAGATGGGGAATCATCTTCAAATGCATGACTTCCCGTGCAGTTCACATAGACATACTCACCAGCATTGACACAGATTCCTTCTTGATGGCTTTAAGGCGATTCATCTCCAGGCGTGGTAAACCTTTCGAGCTCCTGTCCGACCAAGGTACCAACTTTAAAGGAGGAGAAAGGGAACTGAAAGAGTCATTCATTGCCCTTCATCCTGAGCTTCAAGCCCAACTCGCTAGCCAACAAATAAGATTCATCTTCAATCCACCCAGTTCACCTCATTTCGGTGGATGTTGGGAGAGACAAATCCGTTCTTTGAAGGCTGCACTTAATGTCACCATTGGCAGCCAGACAGTCACAGAAGAAGTGCTGAGAACTGTCTTCATAGAAATAGAAGGAATCCTCAACTCCAAACCCATTGGCTACACTTCTTCAGACATCGCGGATCCAGATCCAGTAACCCCAAACATCTTGTTGATGGGGCGGCGAGATGCCTCATTACCGCAAGTGGTATACCAAGACTCTGAACTCCTGAGCCGTAAGAGATGGAGACATAGCCAGCTCTTGGCTGACCACTTTTGGAGGCACTTTATTCGACACTACCTACCCAACCTCCAAATCAGACAGAAATGGAAAACTGAAGAAACGGATCTGCAGGTCGGTGACACAGTCATGATAGTGGACCAACAACTGCCCCGCGCTCTTTGGCCTGTAGGGAAAATTGTTCAGGTCTTTCCTGGGTTGGACAAGAGAGTCAGATCTGTGGAAATACAGGTTAACGGCAAGACTTACACCCGACCTGTAGCCAAATTATTTGTCTGCCCTCTCTACCTGACTAGCCTTGAACTTAATGTAGCAGTCACTTAAAGTTGACAAATTCACACTGTGAATTTGGGGGCGGCTGTAGAAAGTGCTCCCCTTTGGCACATGGACTCTCCCAGTCACCCCTGTCATTCAGTGAGAAATGGACTATTCCAAAACTTTCCACCGGAGTTCGCGAAGTGACGGTGAAGAGAGTTGACGGGTAATGAAGGGAAAAGTAGATCGGCTGAATAAGTGTATATAGTTTAGAGTGAGATACAGAGTATTAGCCAAATCGGAGGAGTTTTACTGATTGTGCGTGTGCGTGCATCACACTGTAAGTAATCAGATAATTGTTGAACATTCTCAGTAATCGCTAATTTGCCTGTATCTGTGTTTACATCTGTGGTTAAAGTTGTTTACTTAGTTATATTTCACTGCTGTGACATTATTAGCATCCATGTATATTGATGTCATTCTTATAATAGTTATATTGATTCCGTTATCTCGAATGCATGATTCTATCTCAAGTCGCGAACATGCGCTCTGTTGTTTACATCTCGGTTCGACCGCATGTGCAGCAGTAGTCATGCTCGCATGCACAGCTCGTGCACGGCTCGTGTACAGCATTAGCGCACACACATCTGTTCTCACCTTTTTAAGTATATTATCATAGAGATTATTGTTATTTCACCGCTATTCGTCAGTATTTTAACATATAAGTTCATTTATACTGGTTGTGTTTTATATACGTTTATACATATTTATATCTGTATTTTGTGTTCACAGAACCACACATCTATGCACATTTAATAAAACAACGATTTGGAATATATCCTGAGTGAGACATCATTGTTCTGACCGGACAAACTGTAGCCTTCAGCAAAACCTGAACTAGCAATTAGAGTGAATAGTCACAAGATTTTTCAACAATCATATGCTTTATTACACATGTTAACTTTGTTTTAAATATGTGTTGTTGGTTGTTTATCCAGAAAGGACACAGAAAGGACAGAGAAAGGTTTTCTTGTGGATCTTGTAGACGAGGTAATAATACAGACTTATTTTGTACAAATTTTAGTATACTCTTGAGTTTGTCAATATATGCAGTCATTTATATTAGAAATATTGGTTCATTCAAAATTGTCTTGTTTTTGTTAATTCTACAATGGAAATGAAATTAATTGTACAAATAAAGTTAGTATAATTACAACTTCAGAATCTAACACGTTTCTCTGCACATTGAATATTAAGTTGTTTATTCTATAAAAATAAAAATATAATGTTACATAAATTAACATTTAATTCATTTTAAGAGTTGAGAATCTGATATCATCCAAAAATTGTAAAGAGTATATTATCAGAACTCAGATATTTATTTTCTGCTGTAGAAATGGGAAGTCTAATTGTGATTTTAGCAGTTGCCAATGCTACAGTTTCTCAGTCTCTATTCTCATATTTAGGTCGCATACAACGACAACAACGAAGTGGATGAAGACTTGAAAACTAAAACTTTGTTTCGACAATATTCTGATCAGGTAAATATGTGAGGTAATTTATTATCAAAAAAAAAAAAAGAAATGTAGCTGCTACAATCTTCAAACTCTTGTATGTCTTCTTTGGAAACAGTACAAAGTTGTTGATGCTGAAAAACTTCAACAGCTTCTACATGAAAACCTACTTAGAGGTGAGTGTTTTAAAAATCCTTTATGTTAATATTGCTAGTTTATAAATCTTAAATTGCCTCATAAATCACTCAAATGTGACCTGTGCGTTTTAGGAAATAAAAACACTGAAGGATTCGGCCTGGATTCATGCAGAAGTATAATTGCCATGTCAGATGTATCCTTTCCTTAAACAAGAAATTAAAAACTATTAAAAAACAATATGTTTATGATTTATCCACATGGTTCAGCTTTTGTTTCCAGTCATACTGTGAAGAAACATGTTTTAGCTCTAGAAATATTTCCTGACAATAAAAATAGTTCTCTGTCACTGGAAGACTTCGTGGATCAGAATTTCTTCGTCTGTGGAGCCGCATTATGATGTACAAGGTGAGTGGATTTGGTCTGGAATTTAGCGTTGATAGTTATTGTATTAAGACAAGAAACATGGCACTTGCAAGACACTTACATTTTTTATTATTATTATTATTATTATAGAAAATCTTCTACAGCATGGATACTTCCAAAGATGGCGTTCTGTCTTTGAACGAACTGCAAAATGCATTAGAGAGAACAGGTTGAAGCTTATACACTTTATACTTTTCTAGAAAAGTATTCAGTATTTGCACTTTTTTCACAAACATCACTGCTGGTGGTACAGTGTACCTCTATAGCTGCCCAGTGACCCCTAAAATATAAAACAGAGATATTATGATATAATATTTTAATTCACACATTGTATAGATCCTGTATTTATGTGATGGTTCTTGTGCCCTAGGCTTGCATCTAAATGAAGACATCCTGAGTCTCATGGTTGTGCGGTATGGTGGTGCTTCAGAACAGATCTCTCTGGAGGGTTTCATTTGCCTTGTCATGCGTTTGAACTGCATGGCTAGTGAGTAACACTAGACAGAAAGACAATTGGATGTTCTCTCTCTTTCTCTCTCTCTGGTTTCCTTCTACAGAAAGCTGGAGCCTTTCCCAGTACAAACACTCACATTCACATTCTCACTGTAACATCTATGGGTCATTTTAAACTTTCCAATTTAACCAAAGTCCAGACAGAAATCCTCTGAGCCACCTAATTTGGTGTTCAGGACTGTAAAATAAAATGTAAAAATATATATTTTTTAGGGCTATAGAGTTGTGTCACAAACTGGTAAACAAAATTTGGTTTGACCCTTTCATGCACCTGAAATAGTTTGAGCTAAATAGCCTGGGTATTTATTTATTTATAATTATTATTATTATTACTATTACATTTTAACCATCTTTATTTTCCTCATCAGGAATATTCCAGAGACTCTGTGAAAGTGGGAAGATAAGTCTTAATGAGAGTGAGGTAATCCTGATGTAATACATTTTTTTTTCCCATATCTCCAACCACATACTGTACAAATGTTTAAAAACATTCTGCTTGATTTTATGTGTTATTTTTATAATTAAAAATTCATAAATTTACCTATTTCTGTGTTTTAGTGGATTGGACTCACCATGTACTCATGAGGGAACATCTGTTTGCCAGGAGGTTTGCCAACAAACGCAAGAACAGATAGGCAGTTTAGGCCGTCTAAACACTTCTTTTATTTCATTTTTTTTAATATCAAACTTATAAACAACTTGTGATGCTTTTCTTTTTCTTCACCCTTTTATCCCTCTAAGAATTAAAATGCTTTTGCTTTTCTTAAAATTATTATTTGATATACAGTACACATTTCACATGATCAATTTGTTTGTAATTATATAAATTTGTGGAAAAATAACCGTCTGTTTGAAAAGTGGTTAATGTAATTGCTGTATTATTTCTCATGTTAACCACAGTTGTCGGATTATTTGCTTTGGTTTTAAAACCTCCTGCTATTGTTGACATTGTTAATCATCTAGGTTTAGGGTTGCATTTGAACAAACCCTTTATTGCTAGGGTCATTTTAAGGCATGGTTCATCCAAAAATTTAAATTCTGTCATTTATTATCCATCAAGTTGTTCCAAACATCAAGTTGTTATTAATAGGTAACCAAATAGTCAATGCGGATGAGACTGGGCTGAAATAGTAAATGATTCTTCAAAAATGTTGAGTTCAAGACACCCTGACAGGATTTTTGTTTTTTAGTGTATTTGATAGGGACCATGCATATTCATGAACATACTGCACCATATAAATATATGCAAAATTAGTAAACAAAATTTTTTTTTTTCAGCTTTCATGTTTGGGTGAACTGTTGGTATAGGGTCAAAATGCTGCAATTATACATGCTGTAATATGTTCTTTCATCCTTCATACTGTTAAAACACTAATATAAATAAATACAAAATAGTATCCTATCAGAAGAGAATGTTGTAGCCTACTTTGAGCTCTTGTGTGAACAAATCCAAATTAATCCCTGATATCTGAGAGAATCAGAAGAAGACGGAAGAACTTTCGGGTAAATTTACTGTACAGTGAAATCAGGGGAAATGGAGATGTACAGTACCTAATATAAAATTCGAGACTAGTTGTCTTTGTTTGTTGACCTTAATTAGGATAGACGACATATTGACTTAACTTACAGACTTAACAAAGCTGTATAAAAATCTTTTTTTACATTTTCAGGTCTCACAGCTTTCAATGGTTTAATGATTTGTTATCCCCTGACTTTTTTTTTTTTTTTTTTTTTTTACAGTACCATCTCTCATAGCAATTTGTGTTCATTTTAAGAGGTGGCTAATGGCTCTTTCAGACTGCACGATTTTCAAAGTAGTCAGGTCGCTGCTCTTTTCACACTGCATGACTATCTTGGCCAGCATTCAGTCGCTGCTGTGTTCACACTGGACGATGGATCGGCGACAGAAGGTTTCACACTGCATGACTTTAGAAAAATCGCCGACAGACTGTCTAGCACGCTGCACGCAAACTACATTTCACAACAAACACGCGTGAGATATGAAAAGGAAACAACGCGCGACACCACACGTGCAAGACTGGAGTTCTCACGTGAGACTTTTTTTTTCGACCCGGTTGGGGTACAGCTGGTGAAACAGACACGAGTGCTCCTGCCAAATTTCTACTAATTTTTCTTCCATTTATTGTGTCCAAATAGACCGAGAAGAAGCTTTTTTTGTTGAAACAATGCCATATCATGTTGATATGTGATCTAACTCCTCCCCGAACTCCCTGCTGCTCTGTATCTTGCTCTCTCACTGGCTGCCGGTGATCGCCGATGTAGTTTTCAGTCAAAACACTTTTCACACAGCAGGATTTTGAATCGCCGACAGGTCCAGATATTTAGCATGCCAAATATCTCACGGGCGTCGGCGACTCGTCGGTGATTCTCTCAGTTCGCGTCTTTGTTCATTCACACTGCGTGATTGTCACTCGCGTGAACGAGCGCCGATTTGCCTGTGATTTCGGGCATTTGTCGGCGATTTCTCAAAACCTGTCGGCGAGCCAAAATCGTGGCTAAAATCATGCAGTCTGAACTCGGCATTATGGAAATGTCACAAACAAACTGAAACATTTGATAATATGTAGATTTTGTTATGTAACAGCTTAGACTCTGATTCTTTTAAATTAAGATTTTTTTTAATCTAAGTCAGTCTTTCAGTGAGATTAAGCTTGGAATGTTGTAGTTCTGGGGTGTGCGACATTTGCAGCGTTAAGACATTGACAAGTCTTCTGAATGGCAAGAAAAAAAAATCTATCTAAACAAAACAAGGGTGTTGGCAAAAAAAAGAAGAAAAGAATGCTCCTCAGGTGTCGAGTATAAAACCAGATGCACTGAGAAAGCACTAACTTTATGTTAACTTCCTGATCAACCAGATTCTTACAGGTAAAATATATGTTCTTCTTTTTTTAAGAATGTAGTAATTTTATCCAAATGCATTTTGTTTTTGAATTAATCTGCAAAGGAATATTTTGTTAAAACATGGTTAACAACTGAACAATGCTGGACAAACATTAAAATATATGGTTTTAGTTTTTGTACTGATAGTTGAGTATTAGCTAACACCGATGAGTTGTACAGGGACAGGATAATATCAGTTCCTAAATCAGTAAAAAACTTAAATATCAAATGTGAGACTTTTTTGTTTGTCTTTAAGTTCTCTGAGTGAAAAATGCCTCCCCCTCATGAGCGCCACGACTACGAGACGGATCATGATGAGGGTTCTCCGTCTCCGACTAATCCTATGGCGTTCCAGGGTCAGGACTATAAGAAGCTGCTCCACCAATCTCTTCGTAAAAACGAGCTGTACATTGATGAGTTGTTTCCTCCGAACAGAAGCTCTATTGGCACTCTGGATAAAGAAACTGACGTGGACTACGAAAACATCGAGTGGAAAAGGCCATCGGTATGTAAACAATGTTCATTAAAATAATAAATTATATATCTCTCTTCATATACATGGTATGAATATAACTAAGGATACTTTGATCATTCTGTCTAAACAGGAATTAGTGTCACCTAATAAACCTTTCTTCACTGTTGATGGAATATCCAGGTTTGACTACAAACAAGGGTCCAAATTAGGTAAGTCTGAGTTTTTTAAATAGTTCGGCTCATCTTAAATGAACAATGTGATAAAAAAAACTGTAACGTTCATAGTTCAGGGAACCAGCAAACGCAACTTTAAAGTCCCTATGAAATCTGTCTTCTGTTATATCAGCTCCAAAACACGGACAAAATACGCAATTAGAAGATATAAGTGTTCACCGCTCTCACTTTTGCCATATGGATCAATGATTTTGATGACATCATTCAGCTTCTCATCAGATTTTCTGTCCAATCAAATGTTTCAGTGGAAGTCATGTCATTTGTCATTGTCTGTTTCCTACATTTCACGTATACTATTTAGATTTGCACAATTTTATTTGTGTTTAGGAAACTGTTGGTTTTTGGCTTCCATTGGTGCTTTAACCTCGAAGACATCGATTAAGAAGACGAACGATATAATAAACCAAGTCATTCCAGCTGATCAGTCATTCAGCAGCAATTATGCAGGGATATTTCACTTCAGGGTGAGCTGACTTATAATAAATAAATCTTTGAAGGAATCTTCCCATTTTTAGCCCTTTATCTTTCCCTCTTCTGTAATTTATCTTACAGTTTTGGCGGTTCGGTAAATGGATTGATGTTGTCGTTGATGATCAACTGCCAACAATCGATGGCGATCTCCTTTTTGTTTATTCAAAAACATCTAATGAGTTTTGGCCTGCTTTACTGGAGAAAGCTTATGCGAAGTAGGTGGCAGTAGATGGTAAATGGTAAATGGACTGCATTTATATAGCGCTTTCATAGAACTAATGGCCACCAAAGCGCTGTACATACGCTGTCCAGCTCGTCGGGAGCAGCTGGGGTTAGGTGTCTTGCTCATGGACACCTCGACACTTGGTCAGGTGGAACCGAGGATTGAACCACCAACCTTTCGGTTTGTAGACAACCTACATGAACGACTGAGCCACTGCCGTCAGATGCTAAAACCACACTGAATTAATTTAATTATTGTTTCTTGTCTCAGAAATATTGGTTGGTGAATGTATGCAATGATCTTTCCTTTGATTTGTCTCTGTGTCTTTGTGTGGAGGAACATTTTAAAGTGTTCAGTTATAGTACATGTGTAAACACAGCATATTACACCATAAAATGGTTATTGCCTTGACAGGGTGTGCGGATCTTATGGTGACCTGGATGGTGGATTCATATCTGAGGCCCTGATGGACTTCACTGGTGGGGTGCACATTCAGTTTACGCTGAATGAAGCTCCTTCTTATCTGTGGGACATTATGTATCGTGCAGCCAAGTCAGAAACCCTTATGGGCTGTGGTACTTACCAAGGGGTAAGACCTCACCTGCAGTAATCCTGGATCTATTTTTCTTTGACAAATATTGTTGGCATAAACTTTTATTAAAGAAATACACTGTCCAGACAAAAAAGTTGTTGTTTGGATTTTAACAGACAAATGCTTAAAAGTCCATGACGTGTCTTCATACATGGTTGTTTAAGAAATGTAAAGCTACACACTCCATCAATTAGGGTTGGAAGAACTGTTGCCAAACATATAGCATGCTAGAAACATAATAATCAGTGCAATCCTGATTCAATCATAGACTCCTAAGCATTTGCCTATTTAAAGCATGTTTTGTTTGGCTGGGCAGTGTAAGCAAGTCTTAATGTACTACTTAGGAGTGTTTCAAGGACTGGAAAAAAAAAATCAAGGTTTATAAAAAGAAACTTATGTCATTTACTCACTCTCATGTTGTTCGAAACTTATAAGACTTATGTTCATTTTTAGAACAAAAATTAAGATATTTTTAATGCTGACTGTTTAAAAAGTACAAAAAAACAAAAGGCAAAATGAATGGTTTAATTAATGAGTTCTAAAAACGAAATTTTATGGAAGTGCTTCTATGCACTGAAACTTCATAATTATATATGTGATCTGCTGTGTACTGATGTATAATGTTAACTGGACCGTATAAACATTATTGATGTGTGTAATCTTGTTTGTTTTTGATTTTAGGAATCACGTGAAGCTGTGTCATCCAATGGCATAGTTGGGGGTCATGCTTACACTGTGACGGGGGTTTCCCGGGTAAGAACACAGAAAATCAATTCTCATTGCTACAAAGCAACCAAATACTAGTGATGAACATTTGTTTCAGGCATCCCTATTCTTTTTTAGGTTTATTCTTAAACCAATCTCCCTGATTATGTGTGCATGAACTTTTTACTTTTTTTGTATGTTAAAGCCCCCTCTAAATTCTTTATGTATGTTTAAGTCTGACAGCATCATGCTTGGTTTTCAGGTGACGAGTAAAAGAAACCCAGTTCATCTGGTGAGAGTGTTAAACCCGTGGGGAGAGACAGAGTGGAATGGAGACTGGAGTGACGGGTAAGGGTTGCTTATACTTTTATGTACTGGGTAACAGGTTTAGTATTTTTATTCTTTACTGTCAAACTCGCATCTATGGTGGCTGTCGGACGGATGCATTTAGTCCCCCCCCATAAATCATTACTATTTGTTACCCTTTGTGTCTGTTTGTGGGTTTTGCAAATATTTAACCAATTGAAAGTAAAGAAAAAGAGCTTGTGACTAAACTTCCTATCTCCATTGGATCCTCAAACTGTCACGTCAGAGCCTGCCAGAATGGGCGTGGCTTATGCCTATATAAGCAGACCATTTCGCCATAGAATCAGATTTAATCTCCTTCAGCTAAAACATTTTCTTCTCTGGCCTTCGAGCCGAAGCCGACATCCTTCGACCTGGAAAAGCGTCCTGGTCATTCGTTTCCTTCCAGGAGGCTCAACCATAGATATCTATATAAAGAAGGTCGGCTGGCCAATGGAGGTCGACGTCAGCACCTGGCGGCCATCTTGTCACAGGCAGCTCGCTCACTGGTAACATTGTTTTAATGGTGCATGTAATTTTTAAATCACCATAACTTGCTCAATTTTCTACCGATTTTCAAACGGTCTGGTTTGTTATAAATGGCAGAGATGTAGTTATGATACTGCGTACTTATGAATAATAAGTGTATAAATAAATAATCATCCAGAATTATAGCCACGTTTATAACGTTTGTAAGAAACCAAACCGTTTGTACATCCGTCAAGATTTCAACGAGATAAGAGTATTTCTTACATCAGATACCACAGAGCCCGCCAGAAAGCCTGTCTGTGACAAGATGGCCGCCGGTGATGACGATAAATACTCCGCCGTGAGACATCTAGCCTTTATATAGATATCTATGGGCCCAACCCGCCTCGGCCACCCTCTGTCCCCGCCTGGGACTGATCGACGGTCCTCAGGGCCCTTAAGCCACGCCCATTCTGGGGTGCTCTGATGTGCTCTGGGCACGAAGCGACTTGATTGGAATGAGATTTTGTCCAATGTGACTGAAAAACAGAGTGCCCACCTAGCTACAATAAACTAAGTTAAAATAAATAAAAGTTTATAAGTTGATGAAAACCTAATGCTAATGATGTCAATGGGCAAAGCCACAATATCAACTGTGGCAACACAGTGTAAGGTACGCATTAATACAATTAATAAGATTAACTTTTTCCAGCAATTAGTAACAAAGTAATGCATTACTTTCAAGTTTACAGCAAATTATTGTGTTTTCCAATTAGAAATAACCAATAAGAAACAAATTATAAAAAGCATAAGTGCCAAAATGCATTACTTCTAATGACTTAAAAAGTTACTTTTTATTGTAAGTAACGCAATATTGTAATGGATTACTCTTAAAAGTATTTAATCACTTTGTCACCTCACATTCATGTATTTAAATGGTTGTTTGCACATATCATTCTATATAATAGGGTTTCTGTGATGCTGGTATGGCACATTAAAGTCTGTATATTTTGTACATAATTCTTTCAGATCACGTTTGTGGGAAACAGTGAGTGCGGAGGATCGCAAGTGGCGTGAAAAACTTGACAATGGGGAGTTCTGGTTAGCATTGATCATGTTGTAATATATGACCCCTTAATTTCCAATGTATAAATCACATATTGGGTATTATTTACTCAGGATGGCTGTTTTGCAGGATGTCAATGAAAGATTTCACCCAGAACTTTGAAAGCCTGGATATCTGCTGTCTCTGTCCTGATTTTCTGGATAGATCTCCTGGTTGTCACTGGAAATCTCAACGCAATTTTGGCAAATGGATTGCTGGGACCACAGCTGGTGGTTCCATTGACAATGCAGGTGTACATGTGTAAAATAAATTCCATTATTTTCTAATAATAATTTCAATGTTTTCGCCCTTTTTCACTTTTGTCGCCATTGGCTTTTGGCTTGCTTAGTTGGGGACATTTAATTTTATATTTAACAATATTACAACATTATTTTCCTGTTATGTAAAGTTGCTTTGAAACAATCTGTATTTTAAAAAGCGCTATAATGTACATAAAGGTGACTTGACTTGCAGGGCTGACTTTTTAGTGACGTCATTGTGTAAAATAAATGATCTACAGTAGGATGTATGCTATTAACAAAACATTATGTGCAAATGTTCTCACACACTTTATAGTCTTAATACTAAAACGTAGTCTTCACCTTCACGTTCTGTGTACAGATTTCACTAGCTGATATTTTAAACTTAGCAATCATTTCCATATACAATGTGTGCAGATGAACATCCCTGAACATCTGGATTTGATTAAGAAAAAGTCCTGTGCAAAGCTTAACTATTTTGTTGTGTTGTAGAGACGTTTTGGAAAAACCCTCAGTTTCGTGTGAGGATTGAGGAGCTTAGTGAGGACTATACACATGAGGAGGGTGCTGAAAACACACTGGTGTCTCTCATGCAGAACCACGAGAAGAGAAACAGAAGTAGCCAGGAAAACTACATGATTGGATTCTATGTTTTTAAGGTTAGTATCGACAGATGTAGCTCCGCAATGTAGTCTGGGGAGAGTTGTAACACTTATTTTTAACATCTGTAACTTTTTTACATTTTTGTTTTACACTAGGCAACAATTCCCTACATTTTTTTAATTCATATAGGAATTTACAATATTTTTTGTAACCTCGGGAGAATGATGGTTGTGATCATGATTTTACTCCTGTAGCTATTTATATTTATAGAAACTGAGGGTACATTTAAACGACAATGATGTGCTAAAAATGGAAAAGTTTTTACTTTGCTTTTTTTGCATACATATGACAACGTTGTCAACTTCACAAAGATCTGCAAAAACTGCTAAAATTTTATGCTGTATTATGCATGCCAGGCCAGTAGTTGATGATGTCACTTTGTAAAGAAATATTACACGCCTATAGACTGAACACCTAATATGTATGTGCATGACGTCAACTTTTCCACAAATGTACATTTTTGTTGTTTGAAACACGATTTCATTTCAAAAACTTGTATTTTCAGGCGGACATGTAAATGAACAGACAAAACATATTTAAAAAATTAATATGTTTTTACTTTAAAACATTTTTGTGTATACAGCCCCTAAATGAAAAAAATATATAGATTGTGTGTTGAGATGTTTTATATTACTGTTTTATCAAACTTTTTTGTACTTTTGCAGATAAAAATACTCACAAATATTTGACTAGGCATATATAGATGCATATAACAAAATAAATACATTATTAATTTATTATTGCATTCTTCTTTAGATGAGAGGTGAGAGTGGGAAGCTCTCAGCTGAGTTCTTCACTGACAAAACGCCTGTGGCAATAAAGTCTTTCGACGCTCTGAGAGAGGTGATGGAGTTTCTCTGGCTGGAGCCAGGAGAGTATGTGATTGTACCGTGCACTGAGAATCCTGGTGAATCGGCTTCCTTCGTCCTGTCTATATATTCAAAGCATGAGACACACTTTGAGTAAGTTGTGGTGCAGTCAAAAGTTTATTCTTCATCTTGAAAGTGAGAGCCACAAAAACGTACAAAATAAAATCCAACATTGATGTGTATTACATATATGATGGTACAATACAATTTTTTAAAATCTTTTTAGGCACACATGATATAGAAGTAAATGCAATAGAAAATGTTTAGTTTAGCTTCTGTCATCTAAATTTGTTTTCCCATCAGATACATTGAAGAGACTGAGGAGAATGAAGACGATCTCTGATGAGAGTGAACCTGTCAGGCAACATCGCTTCTTGGAGAAATACGTCAACATATGCCTTTTTTCTCTCTTTTATTTAATCACTTTTGACATCACATAACTAAAGCTACTGTATTCTCTGATTGGTGCTAGATTAACTGGGTAGTTGTATGCTTTTTGGTAACACTTTATTTGAGTTCCTATTGTTTCAGTACATGTTACATTTAGTTATAGTAATAACTATAAAATATGCATAATTACATGCAACTAGCCCTAAACCAAACTTCAATCCTGACCCTATCAGTATATGTGGTTAATTATTATTACCCAGTACTTAAAATACTTACACTGTAACATGGACACCTTAAAATAAAGATTAATTTTTGCCCCCAAAATTGATTTGTTATTGGTACTTACCTGGTAATAAATATATACATTTGATGTCGTTTTATTTATTAGTATTGATCTATTTTAACATTTCTAACAAATATTAAGACTGTGCGTGACGTCATGCGCGTTCATGCTCACCTGGCTACAGTGTGTCTGGCAGGTTTGTGTATTTGCCGCCATTCTCCATATCAGCGAAGACAACTCGAGCGACAAAACTTTAGTCAACTTTCGACAAAAGTAGAAGATGGATTCATTGAGACCGGCTTGTAGTTCATTCCAAACCCCAACGCAAACTCCACGTAAGACAAAGAAAATAAAACTTTTGTCGAGTGCCAGGCGTCAGAATAAGACGAGAGTCAACATCGGGAAGCTTTCAACAAATGGAGAGATCTCCGGTCTGCTCTAGGGCTCAAACGGGAAACTTATATTGTTCATGAATGTGTTTCCATAATAAAACAATCATAAGTGGATACAGTAAACACATAAAACAGTTCAACATGGAGATAGATGGAAACAAAAAACAGTGTTTTCGACTACCCCTGTTTTGCCATCACCATTCCTTTCATATATTTAAAATGACTTGCAGAATTATAACTTTATTACCTCTGAAGACATTATGACTGTAACAAAAGATTTGTCCGGCTGATGCTCCTTTGGTTATAGCTCATGCAAGCGTGCACACCTCTGGTTGCAGTTTCGCTTGTTGCCAGAGGGGGCATAGTTCTGCAAAAACTAGGAGAATTGCCCAATGCACCTTTAAATATAACACAAAATGTTATACTAAAGTCAGTGAGGTTTATTATTATTGTGTACTCTTAATCACACGGTTAAAGTAATAGTTAAATTTACTCACCCTCAAGTTGTTCCAAACCTGTATACATTTTTTTTTGTTCTACTTAAAACAGAGGAAGATATTTTGAAGAATGTTTGCAACCAAACAGTCTTGGTTCCTGTCATTCACTCTCACATCAATTTCCGCCATCAAACCCACACTGGTGCCACTCAGTCTCATACAACAGCAGTCATAACGTGTCTGTCATGCACATACTAACAATAATAATAAGACTTAATGATATGCAAAAATGTTTGATGTATAGACTACTGAAACAAAACATAAATAAATGCACAAAATGGAAAATAAAAAGCCCAAAACCCCAATAAACTAGCAGTATAGATAGGTTGCCAAAAATATACAAAATTGTGGCCATGGGTCCCCCCCATGGAATAGGTATGTTTTACCTACCATTCACTCCAATGGAATGCTTTTATTGACACAGTGTTTTGCCTGCATCATCAGTTCCTCCTCATGTGAGCTGAAGCAACAACATAATGCAGAACAGTGGTATTTTCCATTCCATTATTATCTAATAATAATTTAAATTTTTTCGCCCTTTTTCACTTTTGTCGCCATTGGCTTTTGGCTTGCTTAGTTGGCGACATTTAATTTTATATTTAACAATATTACAACATTATTTTCCTGTTATGTAAAGTTGCTTTGAAACAATCTGTATTTTAAAAAGCGCTATATGTAGGCTACATAAGGGTGACTTGACTTGCAGTGCTGACTTTTTAGTGACGTCATTACGCAATCCCCGTCAAAATCAGCCTCTGCCTTCTCAGTTACAGTTACAGTCAGTGTGCAGTTTCACATCAGATTAAAGCAGCACCGCGAGCCAGAGAGAGAGAGACTGACAGACACTGACAGACAGGTATGTGTTTACAGACCTCTTCACAAGACTACAGAAATGAGACATATAAAGTGAATGGTGAAGTCAATATTAGTGGAGGGAGTGTTAATGCTTGGAAGTTATCATGCTAGTGTTTTGTTGACGTTATTTTCTCGGATATTCGGAGTTTTAAGAACGAGCGGTGTATCTTTCCGTTTAGTGTCGTCACGTCAGATCAATTTTTAGTGTAGCTTAGTTTTTGAGCAAAGTGGAGTTTGAACCTCCAAAACAACAACAATGAGAATATTTTGTTATAGCCAGGTAAATACATATTACGCAAATATGCCACGCAAATAATTCAAACATTCATATACACGTTTTGGCAGGGGGAATGTAACATTTTACAGGTACATTAACTAACGTTACCTTAGCCTTAGCTTAAATAACATGAGCTAAGAGTGAACAATACTTCTTCAACATTTATTAATCTTAGTTAATATTCATTTCAAAACATAATACATTATTAAAATCAAATGCTGTTAACATTAGTTAATGCACTGTGAACTAACATTAACAAATAATGAACAGCTGCAGGCTAAATAACAAATATTTATAAATACTGTAACTAATGTATTGCTCATTGTCGGTTCATGTTAATTAATAGATTAAGTAATGTTAGCTAATGAACCTAACGTTTTACCAAAAACCTGTAAGTGTTACCAAAAGTTTTACAAAATATTAATTTGTCAACACAAGTTTAATACTTACCTACTATAATAATTAAAAAAACAACATTTGAAAAAAACAACAACATTTGCAATGTTTTGCATCAAGACGTGTTTTATATATTACCAATCATTGCCCAAAACACTAAGTTTGGCCAGAGTTGCTCCCCAATCAAAGCAAAATGTGTGTTTGTGCAGAATCCCTGATGGTGCACTGAGCTCTGGCTCCTACTCAGTCATAGACTCAGCATATATATATATATATATATATATATATAAACTATTTAGGATTTTTCAAAACATACATTCACTAGTTTTTCAAGGTTAATATCTCTGTTTTCAAGAACCCAGTTTAAAGCTGCTCCATGTCATGAGGATCTAACAGTCCATCACAGCCAAGATGCCATTACACTGTCCAAAGTTCAGCAATGCACCTCCGTCAAAGCTCTATTTGTCTATAACTGATAACTAAGTGCAGTCATGTAGAGTGCAAGATAGTGCCCAACTGTGGCCAATTGATTTTTTTAGTTAAAAGCTAATTGTTTGGTAATTGTTTTGTTTTATATCCAGACTGTGTACATTATTTAGCTCTCCTCTCCAGAACATAGCCAGCGCTTCCTAACCAGAAGCGCTGGCTTTTTTTGCGACGTCATTACGTAATCGCCGTTAAAATGAGTCGACCCGTCCTGCTGCCTCAGTCACAGTCAGTGCGCTGTTTCACATCATTATAAAACTTAGAATATACTTCTATACTCTTTGGATATAGTACTGACCAAAAGAGAGAAGTAGGCTACACCCTGCTATTCAGTGCAAGAATTTAATTGTTGTTTTTATTTGTCCATTTATCGAACTTCCATGCCTCTTATTATGTACCAATTTACTAATGCATTACTAATGTAATGCTTACCTATAGCCTACACAATATAGTAGTAGGCCTGGTAGCCTAATAATATTTATACCGTAATTATAATAATAATAAGAATTATTAGCAATTGTTATTATAGGCTATGTCAAGCCGAATTCACTGCATGCTATCTCAAGGTAAACTTGTACATTTTATGAAAGTGCATGTCTAAACCACAAATAAAATTTCTCATGCCATTTATAGGCCAAAAATAGTTTTTGCATGTATATGATAGGCTACATAGTTTTCACACACTTTTTGGCATGTAATGCGCACAAGAAATTTAATTTGTGGTATATACGTACTTTCATAGCACAACATTAGTGCAAGTTTACCTTAAAGGGGTGGTTCAGAATGTTGGACATCGGGCCTCATTTCCAAGTTACCCTTAGTGTTATATATCAGTGGAGACAGTTTTCAAAAATTTTCATCCAGTCGTTCCAGTTGCATAGTTTGCGGGTGTTAGGCTAGCAACGGTAACACCACAGTACACCAAAAGCAAATAAATTATAACGCCAGCCTATCGATGTAAATGTCTGTTAAGAGAGTGACAGGTGCATTTAGCGGTGACGGGTCGAGTGACAGGTCTCGATGGCAGCCGCCCCTGCCAACGGAAAGATTTTAGCCTTACTGGAACGTCCACAGAGTGCAGAACGCCAGCCAGGCTTCTAACTGGCACTAAAAAAGGGACCACATTACTCACTACGCTGTCTTCACTGGCTACCGGTTCATTACAGCATTGAGTATAAGAATTTACCAATGGTTTTTAAAGCAATGCAAACATGTCCCCAAACTACACTGTTGACCTTTTAGGATCGTTCAAATCAGGCAGGACATTAAGATCAACGAGCCAACTTCTGCCGACAGTGAGTCCCTTATTCCAAAAAGAAGTCAAAGGGTGACCAAGGTTTCTCAGTTGTGGCTCCAAAGTTGTGGAACAGTCTTCCCTCTCATATCCGGCTAGCTCAGACAATAGAAATGTTTAAGTCTCAATTAAAAACGTATCTTTTTAACCTAGCTTAAATTCTATGGTTGTAGTTGGCTATGGATAAATACATATTATGCTGCAAATTTGTCACCTTTTGTTGCAATTCAAACATTCAAAACATTTAGCTCCTCTAATAGCCCTACATTTTTGTCTTGAATCAAAATGTGTGTTTGAGTACAGGAGCGCCATCAGGGATTCTGCACAGTCATAGACTCAGCATTACTGTACAGGCATTAATAACATAACAATGATTTTGCTATTTTGTAAATCACAGGCCGACACCTTAAGTCCTCTCTATTTAGAAAGGGAACATTAGGCCACTCTTCAGCAATTATTACCATTAAAACACTGGGAGAGTGAATAATACCACCGAGAAGCAGCAGAACATGTGAACAAATGTATTATAATCAATGACTGGCCAGAAAATAAATAAATAAATAAATTATATAGTGAAAGAGAGCAAAGAAAAATCTATTTAAGCAAATAATTATCATTTAAAATCAAAACAAAAGAAATCACAGAAAACCAGCAAATAGTGTTATACCAGATATGGGGAGGAAAAGGGGAAAATTGGACTTTGCAGTTCAAAAATAATCTTTCTAACCCATTTCAACAAACCTATCTAATATAAAAGAAAATGTAGAAAGAGAAGTCTTCAACTTCCGAGATGCAAGACCACCCTTGTAAGGAATAATGTAAGCAATATGTAAATTGTAAAATGTAAAAATGTAAGCAATAATAAATTGTAAGAGTTCAATATCACCATTATAATGTCACAAAAACATTATTTTCATCAGAAAAGTACTTTGATGTCAGTCGTCTAAAGATGTACAGGATTCTTCATAATTGCATGTTGGCGTGTGTTCAGGGGCACCATGCCAGGGACACGCAGGGCTGTATAAATATTTTCAGAGGCAGCACAATGGTCAAAGATACCCCATCCCCTTCCTCAGTTGCAAAGTGTTCATCTTTCTTTTCCCAACCACCAGTTCCCACGCCTGTGTAATGGTGAGTCCTGGGGTGCTGCAATACCTTACCTTATGTTGTTTCAAACCTGTATGAGTTTCTTTCTTCTGTTGATATCTTGAAGAATGCTGTTAAACGGTTGACTTTAGCTTCGACTTTCATAGTAGAAAAAAATTAGGGTTAGGGTAAAATACTGTGGAAGAAGGCAATGGCTACTGTCAACTGTCTGGTTACCAACATTCTTCAAAATATCTTCTTCAAAATATTAACAGAAGAAAGAAACTAATACAGGTTTGGTACAACATAAGGGGTTAGTAAATGATGACAATATTTTAATTTTTGGGTGAACTGTCCCTTTAACCCGTTCCTGCTGCTATGTTATGTTTACATAAATAGACCATGAGTTAAATAAACTTGCAGTGATGCAAAGTTCTGTCATGAAACTCTAGATGGTACAGGCTGATATGTCCTTAACGCAAGTTGGTGATATTTGAGAAGGAACAGAACATGTGAACAAATTTATTAAGTGCAATGACTGGCTGAAAACTATATAAGTATAAATATAATGAAAGCAAAGATAAGAAAAATCTATTTAAGCAAAACATTATTATTTAAAATCAAAACAAAAGAAATCAAAGAAAACCAGCAAATTATGTTATACCAGACCTGGGGAGGAAAAGGGGAAAATTGGACAGTGCCAACACTAAGAAAAGAATAAAACAAAAATAATCTCTCTAACCCATTTCAACTAATCTAATACAAAAGAAAATGTAGAAAGAAAAGTCTCCAACGTCCGAGATGCAACACCACCCTTCGTGTTAGATCTTGAAAAATGTAAGCAATAATGAATAATAATGTCACAGAAACATTATTTTCATCAGAAAAGTACTTTGATGTCAGTCGTCTAAATTGTACAGGATTCTTCATAATTGCATGTTGGCGTGTGTTCAGGGGCACCATGCCAGGGCCACGCAGGGCTGTATAAATATTTTCCAATAGAGGCAGCACAATGGTCAAAGATACCCCATCCCCTTCCTCAGTTGCACAGAGATCATCTTTCTTCTCCCAACCACCAGTTCCCACGCCTGTGTAATGGTGTGTCCTGGGGCGCTGCAATACCTTAAAGGGACAGTTCACCCAAAAATGAAAATATTGTCTTGACTGTAGCTTTGACTTTCATAGTAGAAAACAATGGAAGGCAATGGCAACCGTCAACTGTCTGGTCATACCAACATTCGTCAAAATATCTTCTTCAAAATGTCAACAGAAGAAAGAAACTAATACAGGTTTGGAACAACATAAGGGTGAGTAAATGATGACAATATTTTCATTTTTGGGTGAACTGTCCCTTTATTAACCTGTTCTTTTACATATATAGACCATGAGTTAAATAAACTTGCAGTGAAGCCTAGTTCTGTCATGAAACTCTAGAGGCAAAACCGTACAAAAGTAAAAAATACAGGGCAATTTCGCCCTGGCAATTTGATTGGCCCGATCATTTTTTGACTGATCATAATTACTCCTCAATGGATCGAGTCCAGACCGAACTTCCCGACCAAAAAATGTTGTGGGCGGAGTTCGGGCTGGCATCCAGGCTAATGCACCTGTGTATCCTCGCTTATGACTCCTCGGGAAGTCTCCTCGATCCTCGACTCCTCACGGTGCAATTAGAGAATTGAGGTGTCCTTCAAGATGGCTGAGCTCGATTGGTTTCCAGGTCATAGGAGGGAGTGCGGAGGAGCGAGGAGGGATATTGAGAAGCACCCAAGGACATTCCCATTTGAAGGGCGCTTTCATTTAATTTGACTTTGTAAAGAACTGTAGCCATGTGCGCCCATGTTGATACACAAGCACAATGCTAATACACATTACTGATACTATTGTGGCTATAAAGGAGGTGGTGCACACTGTACAAACTGTGTTTGTATTGGTTTGTCAGAGTGAAAGATGCCTCCCCCAGATGGGTGCAACCATAATCCACATGAAGATGATGTGAATTCTCCTACCAGTCCTTTTAACTTCCTGGATCAGAACTACCAAGAGCTTCACCAGAACTGTCTCGCTGAAAACACACTATTCTACGATGAGTTGTTTCCTCCAGACGACAGCTCCATTGGCACTTTGGAGGATAACCCTTACTTGGATCCGTCCCTAATTGTTTGGAAGCGGCCATTCGTATGTTAATCATACAGAATTCTCTAAATATTCGATACCTTCTGCCATAATGGCTTTCACAGCTTTGCTTGATATTACAACAAATCTCTTAATGTTATGTGTCTGTGTTTTTTTAATGAACTGCACTTCATTTTCTCTTATCAGGAATTGGTGTCAGACCCTAATTTAATTGTAGACGGCGTGTCCAGGTATGATTATGCACAGGGGAATGTAGGTAAGTTTGAGTTATTCACATATACAGTATTCTATCATATAGGATGTCTGCTATACGTTTTCATGGTTGAGGGCTGCATTGGGATTCCCGCGGGTCCCAATGCAAATCTTGCGGGAGCAGGCGGTTTGAACCTTGCTGCAGGCGGGAATGGGCGGCTAAAAAAAAAACTGCGGGATCGGGAGGTAGCCTAGCGACATGGTGGACATGACAATAAATGATGTGGAAAAGAACCTCAAATTAGGTATTTACAGCACAAAACCTAGCAAGGCAAGTCTGACGTTTATGTTATGTCTTTCTGTGTTCTCCGAGGCTAGCTAGCTTTCAGACATGCTTTCTGCACATTTTCTTCAGGATCAATAACAGTATACTTCAATAGCCAAAATCAAAGTACTTGAAGTCTAAAGAAACGCGCAGTAGCCTAAGATGTCCCCGATAGCCTAGCCAGGCTATTCATCTTCCTGATTAGTGCGTCAGAATACATGCAGGCCAGGGAAATAAAAGAAACAACCACATGAATCTCTTTATTAATAGCAATACAAATACTTTTTTTTTCCTGCGGGACAGGAGAAGACACAAAATCAATGCATCTCTATTATTGTGTGGGATTAAATTCTCAGAGTTTTGCGGGTGCGACATACACTTCAGTCTTGAGGAAACCACAGTGTGACAGTGATGTGAAACTTGCCTAATAATATACATCATTATAGGAAAATCATGTTTGACACAATTGGTGCATATTTCTCCTAAAGGGACCTTTGCTAAAATAAAAAAAATCTACAGACTGTCGCATGCTCACGAGAAACTGTTATATGCTCGCGCTATGTCTCTGTCATTTTCCCAAGAAGTATGCGAGAAGTGCATATATTAATAAAGACCTATTTTGATCTAATATATCTTGTAAAATACAAAATTTGAGTACATTTTACTGTACCAATATTTTTTTATTGGCCGTTTATGGCACACTAAAATACTGCCCTATGAAACCCAAATGTTGATAACTTTTATTACCATATGCATTTATTTATTAAATGCAGATATTTGACGATTTTTAATTGCTTGTTTATTTAGGAAACTGTTGGTTTTTGGCTTCAATTGGGGCTCTGACTTTTGAGAAGGATATCATGAAACAGGTCATGCCGCCTGAACAATCATTCACCCAGGATTATGCTGGGATATTTCACTTCAGGGTGACTACAATACCTGTTCAGTTTTTCTTTTCTTTTCCTTTTTACACTTTGTTTCTATTATTCTATCTTGTTCTGTTATTTGTAATATCTTACAGTTTTGGCGATTTGGGAAATGGATTGATGTTGTTATTGATGACCAACTTCCAACTTATTTTGATGAACTACTTTTTGTGAGTTCAAAAACGTCTAATGAATTTTGGCCTGCCTTACTGGAGAAAGCATATGCAAAGTAGGTATCATACTGTCTGCATGTCATCCTTCATTGATTTGCGTTGTTTAAAATGGTTTACATTACTGCATGTTTACAGGGTGTGCGGGTCCTATGCTGACTTGAATGGTGGTTTGATGTCTGAGGCCCTGATGGACTTCACTGGTGGGACGCATATGTATTATAGTCCGGATTATAATCCTCCTCCTGCTGATTTGTGGAAAATCATGGAATGTGCATTCACATCAAAAGCGCTTATATGTTGCGCCACTAATGCAGCGGTAAGAAAGAAATCACCAAATCCTGGATCCAATAATTCATCCAGTACTTCATAAAAGTGTTGGGCAGTAGTGCCGTCACTGCTAACTACATTTCTCAGTAGCGTGGTGGTAGTAGTGTCGCTGTTTTTTAAAAAAAATTAAATAGCTTTTCAGTAGCACAGCTCTTTTTTTTTATCAAGTAGTGTTTGATAATGGATTAGTAAATGACGGTGACTTTGTCTTCTTCGTGTTTTATGGCGGCTGGCAACTATAGGGTCATATGATTTAATTCCCACGTTGCAGAAAACATGGGTGGCATCCAGGCATAAAAATGGAATTTACTTTATAACGCAAAACTTCAAGGAATTTGTCTGATCTTGGATGAAAAGTAGGCCAGTAAACATGATTAAAACCGCGATATAGACTAGTGTCTGTGAATATTTAACTGCATAAAAATGAACCCGTAAAAATAAAAGCTTGGTTTAACCTTTGAAGAAAGTTTTGCTTAAATCATTACATTTTAAATCGTTGGTCATTTCAAATTAATTAAACAATTAAAATGGAATCTATGAAACTAAAAAAAAAGAAAACAGAATTTGGTAAAACAATATATATATATATATATATATATAATTGTATAAGTTTCATGAGTTCAAATAATTAGATATTATTTTATTCAAATAATTAATTTTTTGATTACTAACATTTAAGTTACCCATAATGGAAGTCCAAAAAAAAAAAATTAAACGGAAAAAACATAATACAGATAAATTTAAAAAGAAATGTTTTATTTAATGTTTTATTTATTTATTTAATAAGTTTATTTGTCAGGGACAATGTACAAAATACATTACGTGGCACATTGCATTGTAATCTGACCAGCAGCAAAGAGCCCCACAACCAGCTTTTTGAAGCATTACCACCACCTTCTTCTCCGGACAGTGACATCACGTACCAATCTCAATCCTTGGGCTTACACATGAGAAATTTAATTAATGGAAACATCCAAAGTCTCTCAACACCTGATTTTGTTATAGTTTTATTTAGTTATATGGTTTTTATATAGTTATGGTTTTGTTATACAGTTATGGCTCACTACATTTTCCAAGAACAGTGGGGCCACACAAAGTATTTAGTCAGCCACTGATTGTGAAAGTTCTCCTACTTAGAATGATGAGAGAAGTCTGTAATTTTCATCATAGGTACACTTCAACTATGAGAGACAAAATGAAAAAAAAAAAATGTAGGATTTAAAAACAAAAATTATTTGTAAATTATGACTAAATACATTGGCCCCACTGTATATGTGCGAAAGTCCAGGTAAAACCATAGGGTTCAAATACTGCAACGATTAATTAAACTCGTTATATAATAGTAATAAAATAATAAAAAAACAATATCATTGAGTTTTTGTAATGTTTATCTCACAAGCATTTTTATTTTATTATCTATTATTTATTTCATTTTAAAACTGCTTATAATATTGTTTTTCTTCATAGAATTAATACAAAACAGTTATTTATTCATTATACTGTACGTGATCAGCTATGTACTATTATGTAATGTTTGTTTGTGTAACAATAGACAACAGCTGAAGAAAAAGAGAAACTTCATGGCATAAGTGAAGAACATGCTTACACCGTAACAGGAATTTTTGAGGTGAGGCTGCACAAGCATCTGGCCATTTCAGTCTGGCTCAGAGTTTTGATAAGGGAATATTTCCCACTGGAATTGAGATTCAGAAACATGTTTACATTATACAGTACGTATATATACAACAAAAGAACTAAAAATTACAAAAAGAAAAAAAAAATACTATGTTTATAATATTGTATAGTTGGAAAATATACCTGTGGCAACATTGTACGTTTCACAATGCTTTTTAAAGTAAAATATACAGTAATTGATTTTGATTTATTTTGCATTATTTTTTTATAAATTCTTTGAGCTACAGTGATGTGAATAAGTTTGGACACCCATGCTTGAGGAAGATGAAGAATAAAAAAATAATCTTTTGGAAATTGATCTTAATGCCTTTAATAAAAAATAAAGAAATAAAAATAAATACAACCTTTTTAAGGACACCAATTTTCTGTGAGAATAAATAATGTATCATAAATAAATGTTGCCCTGTAAAAGGGTACCCTGTATTCAGTCAGGACACCAAATTCCCGTTTTTAAAGTTATTTCATGGATCCAGGATACTATTTATTTATTTATTTATTTGAAAGTGACAGTGTACATTAATTGGCATTACTGCAAATGTACCAGAATTAGCCAAAAGGCTATTTTTCATTCATTGTCCCTGGAAATATCTTAATATTGTCTACCTTAAAAAGAAAAAGCCATTAAAACATTACAAGGAAAATGCATCCTAATAAAGTTCCCTTAGCCTTTGGAATTAAAATAGCCCCACATCATCACTTTTACCATACCTATAGATTGGCATGGTGTTATTTCAGTTAGCCTAATAGCTAATTTGATTTGCATTGAAAAATGATCTTATGGAAAGTACCCCATGCCAATCTCTAGGTATGGTGAAAGGTATTTGATGATGTGGGGCTATTTTAATTCCAAAGGCCAAGGGAACTTTATCAGGATGCATATTATCCTGGATCCATGAAATAACTGGCCTTTAAAAATAAAAATAAGCCTAGACTCTATGGGAATCTAACATAGGGGTGTCCTGACTTATGCACCCTGTATTTTAGGGAAAAACGCTTTTTTATTATGACACATTGAGACACAGCCAAATTCGCAAGAGAAGGAAAATTGGTGTCTTTAAAGGTCGGCTTTTCCCTAATTTTTCTAATTAAGGCATTAAGATCAATTTCCAAAAAATGATTTTTTTATTCCTCTTTTTAGGCAACTTTAGGATGGGTGTCCTGTCCAAACTTATTCACATCACTGTATGTATGTGTAAACTGTGTGAAAATTAATAAAAGTTTTTGTTTTTTTATTGGGACTAGTGTTTATTTTAGCTATCTTTCTCCTATTTGAATTAATTTAATGCTCTTTTACTTTAATAAATTATTTTAAACTAACATCGATTCCTGGCTTTGTGCAACAGGTAACGAGTGATGAAAATCCAGTTCATCTGGTGAGAGTGTTAAACCCATGGGGCAAAGTAGAGTGGCAAGGAGACTGGAGTGACGAGTAAGAGCTTTAATTAGTTCACAAACTTGGCAGAAAGCTGTACTTTGCTTCTACATGTCATCACTTGGGCATATCAAGTTCCTTTCTTTGTATTTGTGTCATGATATTACATTGCATCCATGTTTGATTATACATTTTACAGATCACCTTTGTGGGACACAGTTTGTGAGGAGGTCCGCACAATTTGCCATGAAGTCTTAAATAACGGGGAGTTCTGGTGAGCATGACCATGTTGGGATGCATGACCCACCGTTAGAACTTTTTGGAAGATGAAAAGGGTTTGATTAGAGTTATTAACTTCTATGGTCCAGGACCCCTGTCGGCACTCTCAATAAAAAAAAAAACTGCATATGACTTCTTCATATAATACATCGCTTTTTGGCTGATTAACTTAGAAATACTTTTTCTATGGCAGGATGTCAGTGGAAGACTTCACCAGCATTTTTTATTGCATAGATATTTGTTGTAGCTGTCCTGATTTTTTGGATGGTTCCTCTGAATGTCACTGGACCTCAAAACGGCATTTTGGCAGATGGAATGCTGAGACTACAGCAGGTGGTGACATAACTAAGACAAGTATTATTATTCTATATGTAAATATGCCATCCTATTAGGTACACCTGTTCAACTGCTTGTTCAACACAAATATCTAATCAGCCAAACACATCAATGCATTTAGGCATGTAGAAATGGTCAAGACAATCTGCTAAGACACAGAATGGGGAAAAAATGGTGGTTGTTGATGCCAGATGGGCTGGTCTGAGTATTTCAGAAACTGATGATCTAATGGGATGCGCACAGCCATCACTAGAGTTTATAGAGAATGGTCTGAAAAAGAGAAAATATCCAGGAGATTTGCATCATGGATGTGCAGCCAACAAATCTGCGGCAACTCTGTGATCCCAGCTTACAATTTTAGGTTCTAAGAACGTTTTCATAACGTTCCCACTAAGTTATAAAAATGTTATTTCTGAATGTTCTAGGAATGTTCAAAACGTTCAGTTTTTTAGACATTGTATTAACGTTATTTCTTGGTTATAGAACGTTTTTGAAAACGTTATTAGAACGTTCAAAACGTCCAGTTTTTAGACGTTGTATTAACGTTATTTCTTGGTTATAAGAACGTTTTTGAAAACGTTATTAGAACGTTCAATTCTCCCGTTATATAAACATTGTATTAACGTTATTTCTTGGTTATAAGAACGTTTTTGAAATGTTCCAATAACAACGTGAGGATAACGTTTTAATGCTAACGTCTTTAGAACGTTTATCAATCTAATATAACGTTGGCACAACGTTATAATAACGTTACAGCAAGAATGTTTTTGACAACTTTCAGAGAACGTTAGCCAATGTTCTGATAACGTTCCCTGTTAGCTGGGCTGCTCTCATGTCAATATGGACCAAATTCTCGGAGGAATGTTTCCATAACCTTGTTGAATCTGTGCCACAAAGATTTAAGGCAAAAGGGGTCCAACCCGGTACTGACAAGGTCCACAACCTAGCATATCAATCAATTCCATTTCCAGCATGGCAAGATTACAGTATATAGATGAGGCTTGTATAAGTAAGACAGATACAAAAATAATGCATTGAGATTAAAATAATGTACAAATCTTTTTTAAATGTGTTATAGAGACCTTCCCTCAGTTTCGGGTGACAATTGATGAGCTTAATGAGGAATGTGCTATTGGGCAGCGTCCTGAAAACACACTGGTGTCCCTCATGCAGAACCACGAGAAGAGAAACAGGATGAGCCAAAAATATTATAATATTTGCTTCTTTGTCTTTGAGGTCAGTATTGGCGGTTGGAGCTTTTCATATTAATGCTTGAAATATGTCCATTTAGCTGATGCATTTGGCAGTGACAATGTGAGCAATTTCTCACAGAGCCATCAATTCTCATAGAGCACATTATGCACAATTCCTGGTTTATTAGAACACTAGACAAAGAAACAAGCAAGCAGATTTTGTGTGTGCATTATCTGCGATATCCCTGTGTTGATCGCTGTTGTATCTTTTTTCCCCTTTTACTTTTACAGATACCATTAGAGGCAAGTGAAAAAAGAATACAAATATTATACTCATATTGTCCTTTTACGAGATTCATTCCTTTTTTTAACCTAAGACAGATTTTATGATTCTCTTTTAGATGAGAGGTCAGAGTGGGAGATTTTCAGCTGGGTTCGTCAATGAGACAGAGCCTGTGGCACAGACTGATGCTTTAGCAGGGTTCAGAGAGGTTATGAAATTCTTCAGGCTGGAGCCAGGAGAGTACCTGATTGTACCGTGCACGGAGAATCCCGGTGATACCGCATCCTTTGTCCTGTCTATTTTCTCAAAGAATGAAACCCACTTTGAGTACGTTATGAAGCAATAGAAAGAAACCTGAAAAAGCCTGACTAAAGTACAGCTCCGTGATCTAAAGTTCTTCTCTTTCCAACAGATATATTCAGGAGACTTCAGAGTAGAATGGAGACATGTCTTGATGAGGGTGAGGTAAACCCTTTGTTGTTTGCTGTCTTAATGCTTATTTTCCTTTCAGTTGTTAATTCAATAATAAAAGTAGAATTTTATTCGTTTTTATGAATTATTCTATTCCAAACAAGGCCCTTTATTTGTTGACACACTGTTTTTCAATTGTAAAGTAAATGTGTAATCTGTTGGGTGGGTGATGTAGGCTGCAACAGTACTTGTTGCTAGTTTTATTTTTTTTTATTTGTCTGTATTAATGATTGATCAGTTATGTTAGCATACATTATTCGATGCCATTGGGGGAAAGAAGAAAGGCTTCATTTATAAAAAATGATTGCAATACTGTCAAAATAAGACTTTAATGGAAAAGCTGTAAACAGAATGAAAGTGTGGACTTATATCTGTCATGTGTCAGTGCATTTCTGTTTAGATTGGTTCCTTTGTTCTTTACCCGCCATTCCTTCGTTTCTATGGTTACTATCATTATGAGGTTAATTTGTCCCAGCTGTGTATGATTAATTATCTTATTTCTGTTTGCTATTTAAGATGCACCCTCTCGCTTTCAGTCTTTGTCTGATCACTGTTGTGTTAATCTGGTTTCCCTGCCTGTCAGCTTGTTCCAGAGTACTATTATTAGAGTTTGTATGGATTCTTAGGTCGGTTTGAGGAAACCACAGTGTGAAAATATCAGCAAGTGCATGTTATAATCAGTGGTGGAATGTAACGAAGTACAAATACTTCGTTACTTTACTTAAGTACATTTTTCACGTATCTTTACTTTACTTAAGTAGAATAAATAGTGCATACTTTTTACTTTTACTTCGTTACATTTTGCAGAAATTATTATATTTTCTACTCAACTACATTTCTACAACATCTGTTACTTTTTCATTACATTTTCTGATCAGTTTTTCCCCTGACAAAACGTAATCTGACCATCCGTTCGTTGTACGTTTGTCTCACCAGTGACGTTTGGTTGCCATGGATATATCAACTCGGTCACACTAAATGCGTCTCCCACACAGTGTGTTTATAGTGCAAATTATACGCGAAATTTTTTTTTTATGTGCATAGGAAACGCACTGTGTGTAATAGGCCTATACATTTGGTTAGGATTAGCCTATGGCAAGCCAAGAGGTTCAGAATAACACCATAAATTAATTGCGTTTACTACCAAACAAAGTTATTAACATATAGTAAGAATAAGCATGATGTGCATATTGCCTAATTGCAAGCTTGTTTCAGAAATGGTGACAACAATTTTTTTCCATGATTATTGAACATCATTATAGGAGTAGGTGGAACGAGTTAGAATTAAATGTTTTATTAATCATTAGAAAAAAATAGACATTAAGAGAATAAATTGTTATGCAAGTACTTTTACTTTTAATACTTAAAGTACATTTAAAATCAGGTACTTTTTACTTTTTACTTAAGTATGATTGTCATTGTGTTACTTCTACTTTTACTAAAGTAAATATTTATCTGGTTATTTGTACTTTTACTTAAGTACTGAGATTCAGTACTTCTTCCATCACTGGTTATAATTCTTATTCGTATTAATATACTGCTGCAGAATGGGCTAATATGGAATGTATATGCATGAAAAAGCTCACATTTATTTCTTTAATATTGTTCTTCAAAGAGACAGGATATATGCAATAAAAATGTAGTTGTAGTTTTGGTTATAGTTTGTGTCCATAGCCTTACAATTAAATTATTGCAAATACATTGTCCTGTCTATGGCATAGCACCTGTTTTTACCCATATTTTAATTACCGTTGAACTTTTTCAGATCACTGGAAAAAACATTCTGTATATTAAAACTGGTTGCTCAAACAAGGTTAGCTTATAAATATTTTGGTGATGAGGCAAAATGAATGTTAGCGGGCTTAAACAGCTACTTGACCTACTCCCTTTCAATGTCTGGGAATATGTCTATTTTAAACAGGCACAAATATTTGCTGCATATATGGCTGTGTGACCCCATGGTGACCCCTGTCCACAGCCAAGTGCCTACTTGGGCAGGTGAGCGTCAGAACCGGACCATGGAGCAATGGAAGAAAGCCGCCTGGTCTGGCAAATCACGTGCTAGATCAGGGGGATGGCCAAATGCTTGTGAGTGTGAGTTGTTTACCAGGGGAAGAAGACAGTCGGATCCAATATGGAGGCCAGTGTTGTGCTCTGGGCAATGCTTGACACGTACCACCAACCCAAACATTGTTGCAGACCACATAGGCTACACCCTTTCATGACAGTTTTGTTCCCTGGTGGTATTGTCCTCTTTCAGTAGGATAGTGCACTCTGCAGAGCACACTGCAAAAAATAATAATTAAGGAATGGTTTGAGGAACATGATAAAGGGTTCAAAGTGTTGCCTTGGCCTCCAAATTTCCCAGATCTCGTTCCGATTAAGCATTAATGGGATGTGCTGGACTAACAAAACGGATCAATCGGAAGACCCAATTCGCAACTTACAGGACTTGGATCTGCTGCTAATCTTTTGGTGCCAGATTCCACAGAACATGTCTTGTGGAGTTCATGCCGCGACAAATTATAACTGGTCTGGCCATTTTCAACTGAAATCAATGAAGCAGTCAAACTACTTTTATTCTTTTTCCCATGAATTTTCCCACAATTCCTTGCAAACTTACTTACATTTTGATGTTTGTATCACATTACTAGTTCCATATGGTTTCTCACGTACATTTTCAGTAGAGCACCTGATACAGCATTGCACTCGAGTACTTTAGTTTTTATCCCTCGTTTACTTTTGTTAACAATATAGGTTAGGTATTTGAATAATAGTGCACTGACTTGACATTTCACTTTGAATGCGTTGTGAAACGTGAAGAAGCAACCTTAATATAATTTTGCAGAAATGACTACTCCCTCAACATGTTTGTTGTATTAACAGCAAATTAGTGATAAATTATATATATTTTTAAAAAACCCTGTGTCATCATCTTCATATTCCAACCATATAAGCTGCAATAGCTCATCAGATGTACAAGTGATAGTTGAGGAGACATTTAAACAGCCGTCACCAAAGAAATAAAGCACTCTGCCAGTGTCAACTCAGCAGGCAGTCTCAAATGCCAGGGTCAGTCTCATGCAGAGACAAACGAGAAGCAGACAGGTTAGCTAATGAAAAGGCAAACTGCCTTGCTGAGCTCTCCTGCCCATTCTATAACCCTAAAAGGACTGTGATGATGTGTGAAGACCATTGGCATATTGTGAGCATAGCAGAGAGCTTAGTGGGGAACTGCTGACCTCACGATATTACCCTGCGGACCAAGGGAGAAGTAGTTGGTCTTTGTAAACAATAAATGCCATTACATGCATGTGAGTTAAGAAATGATGGACCCGTTTTCTTGTACAGAAACTCCAACCACATGAAGAGAGTAAAATCTCTCCGGTAGGTCAACATGGTTCAGGCTGGATCTCTATAATGCAAGTGATTCTGAAACTTTCCTAGTCAGAGATGAAGTAGTCAGAAGTACAGATACATGTGAAAGCAAGCATTCTTAACTTAGAAACTTGGTTAACACAAAAATGAAAATTCAGCCATTTGCTCACTCTCAAGTCATTCCAAACTCATAAGACTCGTAAAACTCAAATTTATTTCTATTGAAATCTCTGAGGGATTTCTCTCTCCAGTAAGTCCAGGCCTATTCACCCAAAACTCTGACCATTTAAAACGTTCATAAAAGAAATCCATTTCAATCGAGCTGTTTAGTCCAAGTTTTCTGAAGGGCCACGATAGCGTTATATGATGAAGATATTTAATTCAGATTTTTATTCACAGATAAATTTTGATCAAGCATGCTTGCTTTATGCAAGAACCAATGAGATTTGTTCTTGCGTGTCTAACAAACACATTTGAGCTTCAGCAAGAATCAATGGAGGTTTATAGCAAGTCAAGCAAGTATGATTTACAAAATTTGATTGCTTTATGTATGTATGTCAGTCAGAGTGGACGATCAAAATGTCTGGATCTCAAGAAACGTTAGTTCAACACCAAAGGGGGACACATCAAATTGATACTAATTACACACCTTAATCCATTTTCTCTGAATCTGAGCATACTACATTTGAGTTAAATCCGTTTTTTTTTTTTTTGGTAATAGGCCTAGCTAAATTTTTACTAAATTAGTAGTTACTCTGTTTTACATTTGTACAAAATAAATGACAATTATGTCATCACTGTAGGCTACAAACCTTAGAAAACCTGTAGGCCAATGAATCAGTCACTCATCTAGTGGTGCCATATAAAACCACCATGTTTGGTAGAATGAGACACTACTAAATGATCAACTAACTTCACTATCAGTCACATACGTTCTCCCACATCATGCAAATGTGGTTTAACTTTCACAAAAACGGAAGTGTTATATGAGTATTAAAATATGAACTATTGATCAAGCAATCACAATGGTACATAAAATATTGTAGGTTACAACCTACAACCTAGTGTTTTATCAGCATAACAATTCAAAAATACATTTAATAATCTAACGATAACCCAATAAAGATAGATAAGTCTATCTATCCCTCACAGCCTCCCAAAGATGGGGCTGCTGCATGTGAATTACACTGTAACTAAAGCAACAACAAAAAAAAAGGTCTATTATGTGACGGTGAAAACTTATGGCAGTTCAACAAACAGATTAACGCATAGCCAAAAAAAATAAAAAATCAACATTACACAAACAGCCTACCACCAGTATTATGAATAAACCATAGATATGGAATAAACTGTCAAACAAGTTGAGTCCTTCAGTGAAAAGAACAAATGATTCATTTAAACGAATGATTCGCGAATCAGACGTCACGTACGTGACGTAGCGCACTGTGTTCAAGAACATGGCGACTGACGAGGATTCGGAAGATTATTTTGTTAGAGAAATAGAAAAAAATGACGGGTCTATTTTAAGAATTTATCAGTGCAACAAAGGGGACGTTGGCTGTGTAGTATGGGACGCTGCTATTGTCCTGTCAAAATACCTAGAAACGGAACAATTTTGCAGTATTCAGTCTGGTGTTAGTACTTGGTCCTCCAAGAGCATTATTGAACTCGGTGCAGGAACAGGACTAGTTGGTCTCGTGGCTTCAACTCTGGGGTGAGTTATGAATGCTGTGCCTTATAAACATTATTTAAAATATATTAGATGTGATGTGGCAACTGATGAAAGTGAATTTATTATATTCTGAACGTTATAGGATTTTAATTTATTATTCTTTGTTCTGAGTAAAAGTATTTTGGCTGGATTTCAACCTGAGTAATGTGCACCCATAGGGCAAATGTCACAGTGACAGATTTAGAAGACCTGCAGCCTCTCCTAAAGCTGAACATTGAGAAAAATCAGCAACTCATCCGAAAAGGCTCAATCACAGCCAAGGTACTGAAATGGTTTGTACTGCATTTCATCCTACACCTTAGGATATGTTTTGGGAGGGGTGTGTTTTTATCCTTAGCTATGAAACCTATTTTCATTACATTTCAAGGTTTACTAAATGAAAGTTTTACATCAAAACAAATTAATACACTTTTTTTAAAGAAGTTTTCTTCCAAATTCAGTTAGTTGTCCCCACATGTTGCACACAAATAAATTAAAATATTGTCTTAATTTATTCGCCATTATGTCGTTTATGACTTTTCTTATATTAAATAGTACGGAGCCCCTAAAGAGACATTTTTTTTTTCAAATCTATTGCGTTCCCTCGCAAAACTTTTGTGTTCCCTTGCAAACATATTTGCATTCCCACATAAAACCTGTTGTCAGCTCGGACAGACATTTCAGTTTTTCAGAGCTGATCGCATTTCTGCGAGGTTATCTTAATGCAAAAATTTTGCGAGGCAAACATTTTTTTCCCACCACCACCACTTCCTTTTAGGGGCTCCGTAAAATATATATGAATATATTTCTTATATGAAAATATATTGAAAAAGTGATGTTGTTTTTTGTCCTTGCAATGAAAGGTTAATGATACTGAAATATTTTCCTTTTAAAAGGGGTGAAAGTGTTGGAGATTTTCTTCCTCATCCTCATTATATTCTGATGGCTGATTGTATCTACTATGAGCAGGTACTATTACAATGCATATTACACACACACACACACACATATATATATATATATACTTTTTTATATAACTTATGTTACAATAGGGTAGGGGAGCAATAGATCTTTTTCACAGCAGCGCCATCTTTGATTTTTAACAGGAATGAAAGTGAGAATGTGAGGGATAGATTTACATATATTTAATATACAAGAGATGTACTTACTTACTTTAATGTGTTTTTTTTTACTGTTGTTACACTGACAAAACACTGCAAAATGATCTTTTCAAGAAGTTTCAGTAGACAAAAAAAAAAAAAACTCCAGACAACATGAGCTGTGGAAAATTACAAGTAATAAACACAGTAAGTCTATCCCTCACAGCCTCGCTTTCATACCGGTTATGGCGCTGCTCTGAATAGTTAACTCTACATTCCAGAATTGTTAACAGCACTAGTGTTTAATACCCTCTGTGTTTTATATTCCACAGTCTGTGGAGCCTCTAGTGGAGACTCTGAAACTCTTGGCTGGACCAGAGACGTGCATCATCTGTTGCTATGAGCAGCGCACTGTTGGTGTCAATCCTGAAATAGAGAAGAGATTCTTTGAGGTGAGAGAAATAAACTGTAAAATCCTCTATTACACCTATACATTGTCATTTAGTGGCACACTTTAACGAGAGTGTGTTAGATCATTAGAAAGCTCAATAAGCTAAACTGGAGCTAAATTAACAGGACAGATTCCATCACCAGTCGTAGATGGGACCTTTTACACTGTGATCTCACAATGTACAAAATATGTGAACATGTCATTTTGAGACACTGTTTATGATTTATGGGGAATAAAAAAAGGATTAGGTGGAATTTTACCATTGTAGGGTGTTTGTGTACACACACTGCTGATGCATTTATGTTTTGCAAAATAGGTTCCTTTTAAATGCATGAATAAAATGCCAGTTAAATATCTTGTCAGGCTAAATCTTCTATTTTTATTCCTCATCTAATACACTGTTTCATAGCTACTTGTGCAAGAGTTCCAGTCAGAGGAGATCCCACCTGAGAAACAAGACCCAGAGTTCAACAGTCCTGACATTCGTCTTCTCCACCTGCGACGAAGAGTCGACTGAATGCCTTTTATGAGGATGGGCTGTGTATGTTTGTGTTTTAATAGACTGCAGTGTTTGTCACTGTACCTATTATATATATATATATAAACAACAACAACAACAAAAAAACATTTAAGTTCATGTTATATGGTCTGGGAATTTGACCTTAGTGTGAGCCCAAGTGTGTTTTCAGACAAACAAGGTTAAGCAAACAGTTTTGCATGTGCATTGTGCACTATGTTAAACTGACAATAAATCTCAAGTGGGCTTTTTTGCACACCAATTCAAAGAATGTTAAACTGATTGACATCTGTAAATAGGCACATAACTGTCTAAACTTCACCAAAACATTTTTGTCAATACTAAATCATTTAAAACTTTTCGACAATGCTCAGTTTCAGTGTCATTAATCATCTGATTGTGATGTTTCAGCATTAGTATGTTTCTTTTTTTTTTTTTTTACAGTTTTGTCCAGTGTCATTCTGGGCCCTTGAATGCTTTGAGATTACAATGGAGATGTAGTGGTATGTTTCATAATTTCTTAAGACTTAAAGAGCTACATCTGAAGCAGAAAACACTGAATTTTCATTTTAAATACAGATCTTTATAGATTTAAAGTAGGTATTATTTAGTTATTCGATTCATATTAATGTTTTTATGTTATTTTTTCCTATCGGGGGAAACATTTAGATTTTTGTTAAATCTATAAAATATAAATTATGACTTTAAAATTCAAATGTAAGGGATTTGTTTTGTGATGGTAAAGTAGTCTGGTTAAGTGAATGTATGTATGTTACAAAAACCTGGAGATTCGTCAGCTTGTGCCTTTCATTTGCAAGATTTTTAAAAGACACTTGGAATAGGAAAAGATTCATATATAACCCCAAGTGTCTTTGGGATAGCATTTTGGACAATTTGCACGCGAGAGATCACAGTTTGAGACAGAATTACAGTAGTCCGGACGTGATGTTATGAGAGCGTGGATTACGGTCTCCAAATCTTTCGGAGGTAGAAGGTGATTTAATTTCACAACCGATCTCAGATGAAAGAAACTGCCCTTTACCACTGTACTGATTTGTTTAAAAAAAAAAAAGTGACTAATCAAATGAAACCCCAAGATTCCTTACATGAAGTTGTAACTAATCTAAATTAAAAAGAAATCTAAATTTCACTTTTGCTTTCATTTAATTGCGAAAAATTATTAGCCATCCAACATTTGATCTCCTCAAAACAGTTGCAAAGTTTTAGCGGGTAGATTAAACTGTTTATCGTCAACATAGCAACGGTAGGAAATCCTATATTTCTTAAAAATGACATCCAGTAGTAGTATGTAAAGTGGAAAGAGAAGAGGGCCTAGCATGGACCCTTGGGGTACACCACATAATAGGGCAACCGAGGAAGAAGAAAACATCCCTCAGTGAGAAAGTTAAACGTAGTTTCAATGTGTCAGAATACCTGGCAATAGAGAAACACAGCAATTGTGCTGGAAGTTTTGCTTACAGATGATTTCTTTAGTGGTTTTCCAAATCTCTTTAAATACCCAAATGGAACAAAAGAACTGTAAACATTTAGCACCCAAATATTTATGAAGCTTTTGTTGGATCTACTCTTATGCGCAAAGGGTCACGCCTGGTTTCGGGGATGAAAAGCAATGAGATTTGTGAGATGTGCATGACTGAGTGAGGGAGTGGGGAGACGAGATGGAACCCTGTGCTCTCTTTTTGTACTGCTTGTACTACAAGTGAATTTATAGGTATACTGATAGTTTACTAGTCAAATACTTGCACTTTTTTTTTTTAGCTTATGAAAGTACACTTTGAAGTATACTCTCTGTAAACTACTAGTTTGGTAGTTTTATACAGCAATTATAGTTGAAAGTTTTCATTGACTGAACTTTTTTGAACATTTTCAGGAAACGTTCATGGCCCCCACAATATTTTTTTGTATGAATATCTGAACATACAATAAATCAAAGGAAATTTTGGTGGGGATGAGAAAGAATAAAGTAGATAGAAAGTAAACCAGTGAGTGGACTATAGCCTATACAATTACGAACATATCTGTTTTCTTTATAAATAAAACAATGTACGTTTATAAGACAGTGTGTAAAACTATGTGTAAAGGCTGCTCAATCAAACACAACTACAACCCAAGTATGCTTAGAATAATGAATTATACTTTTAACTATATCTCGATCAAAAGATTAAGTACAAGTATAGGCCAAATATAATTTTCTGTCAGTTTAAGCCAAATATACTTGTGTCATTTTAAGTATATTTCCGAGAAGCCCATAAAGAGTTGACTGAAATGATACTTTCTTAGGTATAGGCTACTAGTAGCACATTTGAATACAATTTTTAGGGGATGTCTCAGGTGAGAAATTGAGTGCAAGTTTTGTGAAGAGATCAGTAGAGTTTCTGTATTTTCATGATCTTGTGTGACATTTGAACTTTATGGAGTTTCTTTATTAATTCAATATTATAAAAAAAACACAATTTTGGCTACAATTTTAAAAAGACGTTTGAAGATCAAACTGCTTTCTGTGTTAATTTGCATATTCATGAGTTAAGGCTATATTTGGTGGAACTGTTAAACAACTGCACTGGTGGGAGGAACTTGGAAGTCTTCAGTTTACGCAATAGTGTGCCTGAGCAACATAAAACACACTGCTCTACACCCTTCCTGAAAACATCATTCGCTCTGAGCTCGGAAATCCAGAGCCTAGGGCAGAACAAAGAGATTCGGTCAAACCTAGGAAGAGAAAACTGCTCAATTAGGTGAGTTATCCTTGGAGGTAAAGTATATTGATTATTTATATCTTAAAAACTGAGTTTAATTATATTGTAAGTCTCTTAAAAGCTATCAAGATGTGTCTTTTTAAAGGGACAAGATTTCACTCCCAAACAGGTCTAACAAGTCTCTTATCTCTTATAGGTCTTTGGAAACAAAACATATTTTAGCATAGTGGTGCGTCATCTCACCAGACAACACTTTTATCTGTTTTACTTTATATATATTTTTTACAGCTGTAAAAATGCCACCACCTCGTGTGAACAGAATAGCCAGGGATGAACAGCCCAAAGACAGAACGGGCACTCTTGACATCCCTTTGAAATTCTTGGATCAGGACTACCAGGAGTTGAAGAAGAGCTGCCTCACCAATAAAAGGAGATTTGTTGATGAGAAGTTCCCTTCAGACAGCAGCTCCATTGACCCAAAGAAGAAACTTGGATTGGATATGGAAGAAATCAAATGGTTGAGGCCATCGGTAAGTCCTGTATTGACTTTCTATCTTCACACCTTCAGAAACTTTCAAGAAGAGTATATAGACATTATTGTTCCAACAGATCTAAAATAACTTGAATATTACCTGTCCTCATCAAATGTTGCAAAATGTCTCTTAGAGCTTGTACGAACAGGTTTATCTGTAGCATTTCCCAACATATTTATTTACAATTGTGGCAAGGCATCTTAAGGCACAGTATGCACGATATTTTTTTAAGTGTCCAAAAACCACTAAAACAGTGTTATATATTGTGTTGACATGTTTCCAACAATGTTTAAATCAAGAGGTATCATGTCAGTGTAACGGCCCTTGTCAACATGTCGTCTGTCAAGGACATATCCATATCACCAGTATTAGACGCTTTAATTATGGCCCGAGTGTGTGTGAGGACCCTAAGTATGAGGACCCTCTTGGAATTGCTCTGTTTTAAATTGTTTATAATATGTATAGGTTATGTGTTTGATAATTATTATGCTTTAATATAACTGTTTGGATACTTTTATTGACAGAAAACTAATTGTTATATAGCTCAACGCGGTTAGTCTTGAAAATCTTGTTTTCTTGATTTACCGCGTATAACATGTTTGTACAATGACTCGCAGACAATGCTATTTTGTCGAATGGCCAACATGGCATAATCAAAAAGAGCTTGTAGTAACAACAGTACAGCATTTTCTCCACCATACAATATATTTTAAAATTAAGTGTAAATCATTTAGCAACAGCTTTTAATATTATGATAGTCTAATATTGATCTAAATTACTGCAATGAGCAACAAGTGTCTCATACCACCCATCGAGCGAATGCACACTAACGTAACGCTAACATAACTTTCAACACACTCAAATGTATTTTAGTAAGATTGTAAAAAAGTGCCATGTTACCCCACAATTTTTATTTATCAAATAAAGTGACCTGTATGAGAAGTAATTCAGCACTCGTAGCTGTTTTATTTAGAATGAAATAAAATTAGGGGAATTCAAGTGATCCAACACAACTGTACCATATGTACATTAAATAAAAGTTCAGAAAGGAGGTGAACTTTAAATGTAACTTTAATAAAAACAGCAAGGGAAAATGTCCCATGGCTCTCGGCCCCGCCCTGCTTCATACCACAATAATGTTAATACAATTAATACATTAGCTCAATCATTAGTCCCGTTGGACTGATTTCCATCGGCTGTTGAGCTGAAGAACACAACTCGATTCCACGTTCAGTGACGGCATCATCAAGCTATAATACATATAATACATAATTAGAGTCTAAATGTCTACTGGTGTTCCCAACTCCTTAGGGCAAATTTCATTGTATAATGTATTAATTTAATGAATCTCTCTCTTTAGAAAATAGTGGCAGACCCTCAACTCATTGTTAAGGGGGTTTCCAGGTTTGACTATTCCCAAGGATCTTATTTAGGTATGTTTATATCTGTGTTTACATACTCCAGTAAGTGTTGATTTTGAATTATACTGTATCTATACAGTAAATCGCATCACTCCATATAGACCAGAATGTTCTCAGTTTGTTTACTCAGTGAAAGATCTATGTTTGCTAATGTTTGTGCTTTTACCTTAGGAAACTGCTGGTTTCTTGCTTCAGTTGGAGCTTTAACCTTTCAGGAGGATGTCATGGACCAGGTCATGCCAGATGGCCAGTCATTTGGTGAAGATTATGCAGGGATATTTTACTTTAGAGTGAGTTATTTGGTCTTTTTCAAAATGACTTAACCTGTTCATGCACCAGGTCCACTGAAGGGATTGATGTGCGACTTTCCCATCGAAACCCTTGCAAATTCAAGAAAATGCTTTTTAAATAGCTGTCCATTGTTAGTCACCACTATGCGTGATTAAATGCATCTTATGTAATCAAATGATTAGTCTTTAAACCTTCTGCTTTATTCCAATAGTTCTGGAGGTTTGGGAAATGGATTGACGTCGTCATTGATGACAAACTGCCAACAATCGATGGCAAGCTCATTTTTGTTCATTCAAAAACATCTAATGAGTTTTGGCCTGCCTTGCTGGAGAAAGCTTATGCCAAGTAGGTTTATTCTTAAAATCATACTACTTTCATAGTATAAAAGCATGTTTGTTTACATGTTACATTTTGCGAATGTGTACTATAGTTACCCAAGACAACAGCACTGGTTATATATATATATACTGTATATATATATATATATATATATATATACAGTATATATACATACATGCAGTGTCATGTACAGTGTAATTATACATTTAAGTCCTGAGTAATATTAAGCAACTACATGTACTTACTATAGGGTTAGGGTAGGATTAGGATTTGGTTGAGGGTTACTTGCATGTAATTTAGCATAATTAACTGTTATTACTATGGTAAGTACATGAAACATATGTAACATGGACACGACGCTGTAAAATAAAGTGTTACTTAAAGTGCTACCAAATATGATTGAACTATAATTACAAGAGATTTTAGCCCTTTTTATGTACCCTGGTTTCCTCACAGATAGAAATATTGGACATTGTCTCAATAATAACAGTCCAAACCCGGTCCTGGAGGTCCACTGTCCTGCAGAGTTTAGCTCCAGCTTTCCTCATCACACCTGCCTGGAAGTTTCTAGTGTGCCTAATTAGATCTTGATTAGCTGGTGTGTTTAATTGGGGTTGGATCTGAACTCTGCAGGACAGTGTTCCTACAGGAGCACGATTGGGCCAATCTGGTCTATTTTAATCATCAACAATTTGAGTAATCCCACAGAATCACTCATTAAAGACTTGTTCCACTGTATATTGAAATGTAGAATGTCTTTTACAGGGTGTGCGGCTCCTATGCTGACATGGATGCTGGTTTTATGTCTGAGGCGCTGTTGGACTTCACTGGTGGCGTCCACATGTACTATGAAACAGCAAAAACTTCTATTGATTTGTGGAGCCTGATGAACCGTGCAGAAAAAGCAAAGGCTCTGATGGCCTGTGGCACCTTTGTGGGGGTAAGCAGTGACCTCAGGCTTGTCCTTTCATTACCGTGACTGATTATCACCATGTCCATCTAAAACACTGGCAATGAAGTATATTGCATTAAAGATTTCAATGTTCAATTAAATATAAATAGTACAATAGTACATTTTTACAATATAAGATGTATGGACAAATGTAGAGCATTAGCTGTGCATAAAACAATCTTTTCCTATTTCCTGATACATATTGCATAGGGCATCATTATTGATTCAATGTCTTTTTTTCATACTATATTAGAAAACATCTGCAAACACAGTATTACCCAATGGCATCGTTCAAGGCCATGCATATACAGTGACTGGGGTTTACAAGGTAAGTCTGCACAGAAGCAAATGTCAGATCACAGTGCCAACAGAATAGACAGACCGACAGACAGACAGACAGACACAGACAGAGAGAGAGAGAGAGAGAGAGAGAGAGAGAGAGAGAGAGAGAGAGAGAGAGAGAGATAGATAGATAGATAGATAGATAGATAGATAGATAGTCAGTCTATTGGAAAGAAAAAATAGTTCTTCTTTTCCAAGATGTAACCGCAAGTAAAACCCACCTGAGTTCCTTCCAATTCCAGTCCTAAGAAATTATCAAAACACGTAAAACCTCCCGCACTTTAACTTTGTGTTGAATTCTTGAGTAATGCCCTTAAGGCTCTGTTCTGGGACCTGTCTTCACATGTAACCACCTGGGAAAGTTTTTAATAAGCCTGAGGTTGATTTTTATAGAAAGACAAGTGTTTAACTACAACAGGGGTGCCAAATCCTGTTCATGGAGATCTATCGTCCTGCAAAGTTCAGCTGCAACCCTGATCAAACACAACAGAACCAGCTATCTTAGATCTTCAGGAGCACTTGATAATTACAGATGGATGTGTTGGATCAGGGTTAGATCTCAACTCTGCAGGTTTGATCTATAGGAACAGGACTGAGCACCCCTGAACTACAACAATACTTGCTTTGTTCTCACATTAACCATTTTTGTTATTGTGTTGCCTATTTATTTACTAATTGCATTCTGGTGTATTCAGCATGTGCTCCACACTTTGATTTGTCATTTGCTCAGCTTATTCATTTCTGTGTATCTCTTACGTCAAGCCTGTGATTATGCAAGAGAAGTTTCTTGAAATAATGTTTTGTACTTTATGCAACTCAAAGCATTGTGTTTAGACACTTACTTCAGTGCTGAGGTAAATAGGTTATTTCACAATATCCCAGATGAAATGGCATATTCTGTATTTATGCATTAAAAGTGTCATGTCATGTTGTATTCTACAGGTAACCTGCCAGAAAAAATCAGTTCAGCTGGTGAGAGTGTTGAACCCTTGGGGAGAAGGCGAGTGGACCGGTGACTGGAGTGACAAGTAAGAGTCATGTGAAATTATAGGTTCACTAATCACAACAACGATCAAGCGTCATTTTTTGTTTGTACCACTAGATGATTCATGAATATTATTTTTAAATATCTTAAGAGGTTTGAAAGTTGTATTAAGTTATAAGTTTGCTAAATAATTTTTTTCAGTCAGCTTGTTAGCTTTCAAACTGTAAATCTAAAAGTAAAAGGTAGTATTTTAGATCAAATATTAAGCTCACCAAGCTGAATACTATATTACTTTTATAGGTTTCTTTGATCAAAACATCAATAATTTTAAATTATACATCTACTTTGATTTGCATGGATTCTGCCATTTTTGTCAAGCCCCCGTGTTAAAATGTGTGTGTATATACACTGAACAAAATTATAAACGCAACACTTTTGTTTTTGCACTATTTTTTCACGAGCTTTTATCCCAACTTATGCGTCGGAAGTGGCGCCCGCCTCTTTCAGGGCCTGTTTTGTTGGTACGCAACAGTTATAAATGAGGCCCCTTGTGGACATAACTGTCGTCAGCATGCCAAATTCACACTGCCTCAAAACATGTGACATTTGTGGGTTTGTGCTGTGTGATAAAACTGCACATTTTAGAGAGGTCCTTTATTGTGGACAGCCTAAGGCACACTTGTGCAATAATCAAGCTGTCTAATCAGCATCTTTATATGCCTTTGGATTATCTCGACAAAAGGAGAAGGGCTCAATAGCACAGATTTAGACAGATTAGGGCACGTTTACATGACAAAGTAAAAGTTTTTCCTATGTGTTTTTGGCGTACAACGACAATGAAACAGTATGCGTTGCCTATAGACTGAACATGTAATACGCGCATGATGTCACCCTTTTCACAAACCCTTTTGCGTTTTTGTACTTTACATGCAGACACTAACATTTTCATTTTCAAAAACTTGTACAGGCCCCCAAAACGCCATTGTCGTGAAAATGAATGGCCAAAAGCCCAAAACACACAAAACGTTTTCTGTTTTTAATGTCTTGTAAATGCACCCTCAGTCCTTGAACATACCATTACAGTCTTGGTAAGGAATGTTCACACTAACACAGATTAAATCGCTGGAGGTTATCAAGTGCTGTTGGTCAGTCTTAGTCACTCTTTTGTAATAAATATCCCTTTAAAAACAAAAGCCAGTTCTTTAGTGACGTAATTTTCTGCTAACTTCATTTCCATCCTTTTTTGCATCTTCAGTCTGTGCCATTGAAAATTCGACTATTAGAAAAATATTTATTAATTACAAAAGAAGCTAATTCAGTTTAAAAGGTGTTTTTTTCTCTTTAGTTGCTGCTAATATCTCAGTTAGCATAACCTCATGCAATATTTTAATATATCCTTTCGCATAACTTTAGGTCATCGTTGTGGGACAAAGTGAGTGAGAAGGAGAAATCCAGATGTCGTTCTTTGGCCAATGACGGAGAGTTCTGGTGAGCATTAACTGTAGTTTCAGATTTGATCTCTAGCATTAATGAATCAAATGCTTTCAATAACTCATATTTTACTGCAGGATGTCAATGGAGGACTTCATCAAAAACTTTGAAGACATTGATATTTGCTGCCTCAGTCCCGATTTTCTGGACAGTTCCTCTGAATGCAGATGGACTTCCACATGTTACAAAGACAGCTGGGTTGATGGGACTACAGCTGGTGGCTGCCTCAATAATAAAGGTAGCTCATAAATATATAATGAGAGAGTGGCATGTGAGCATTTCATACAATTACATACTAGCATGCATGAATAAAAATAGGATACAGCATGCAACATGCTTTTTGGGTGTATTATGTATAATATTGGGCATATGGTTGTGTGCGTGTGTGTTTGTGTGTGTTTGTCTATTGCATGTACCTTAAATGTCTGACTCACTGGACATCTTGTAGACTCTTTCTGGACGAACCCTCAGTTTCGGGTGAAGATTGAGGAGCTTGATAAGGAATGTAGTGGTCAGTGCCCTGAAAACATTCTGGTGTCCCTCATGCAGAACCATGAGAAGAGAAACAGAAGTGAAGTTTCTAACCACTACATCGGCTTCTATGTTTTTGCGGTCAGTATTAACAAAAAACTCTATTGGGAGTCAGAAATACAGTAATTTTTTCTTTTTCACTTATTAATGATGTGCTATTCTATTTTCTACTTTAACAGATTCCACCACAGGCAAGTAAAACATATAGTTAATTCAAGCTCAAAAGTCTAAGGCTCAATCCCAATTCACACCTTATTTTCGAGTGTACCCCTTGGCCCTTAAAACAGAGTTACAAGGGCCAAGGGGTTGAAATATTCCCCTACGAAATGGAACAACCCTTCATGAAACCGATACGTCATCAGTCGTCGGCGATGGATCTGCCGTTACAGAGTTTTTACAGGATTTCTCCATGACAACAACTGACAATCAGCGCAGCTGCTCTTAACTTTGAATAAACATGATGATTATAACATCCCTTCCTCGAAATGGATGTCTTTTCTGATCGGAAAGGTAATTTACTATACCATTTCTTAATTTAAATGACAATAGTATTATTATATGAGTAAATTAAGTGCATGGTGGGATCATCTGGCGCTAAATTTAAATGTTTAACCGTTTGCGATCCATCTTTCCGGTGATTTGCGATACATCCCGTGAACTTTCTCTTAGCCCTCCGTTTGGAGTGTGCCTCTGAAAAATCTCCGTTTCGAGGGCTTTGTATTGTAGCCCTACCCCTTCGCCCTACCAGTCGATCTCAACAAGAATCGGGGCACCAACGTTACCCCTAGACGTGAACGCGCAAAACGGAGGGGTAGGGGCAAGGGGTGAATTGGGATTGAGCCTAAAACTTTGCTTTACTTTTAAAATGCATGAATTACATGGTATTTACAAAATAAACTGGTTGCTTGAATACAAGTTTATATTTCCTTTAGATGAAAGATGTGAAGCTCCCGGACAAATTCTTCGACGGCAAACGCCCCATTGCTAGTAAGAAATGTGTCAATGCAAGACATGTGATGAAATTCTTCAAGCTTGAACCAGGAGAGTATCTCATTGTACCATCCACTTTCAATCCTAAAGAGAGTGCAAAATTCATATTGTCCATTTTCTCAAAGAGTGAATCCCATAGGAGAAATAAGAAACCTTAGATGACCGTATGAGATGACCTATCAGTGAAACTCCAGATAAATGAAAAATCAGGACTGCAGTGCTGACAGTTTCATAAATCAGTTTTATATTTCATGGGGATTTTTGTTTACAAGCATTAATGTTTCTCTTAACCCTCTGGGGTCTAAGTTGTTTTTGGGGTCCTTGAGATGTTCTGACATGCCCTGACATTTGTCCTTTTTAGTTGCTTATAAACAGAATGGCACAGGTGAAATTGCTCTATTTAGCACAAACAGGGCTACCATAATCTGTGAGCAAAATGTATGTACATGTTTGTATTTTCGAGAGAATATTGTTTATGCATGGTTATTGAAAAAAAATAAACATGAAAGTTTCTGAATTAAATTCCAATCAATTCTCAAAGGATGAAATCAAGCCCTGTCCTACATTTTTTTTCTTATTTCAGAAGCCGTTTCACTCGGATATACGTTGCGACAAGGAAAAAATGACAATCTCAACTTCCGTTTCTTGCCGACTTTAATATATTTCTAACAAGTGCACTACATTCATAATAAATACATGTTTAATTATATTTTTAAGAAATATGCTAAACACAGGCATACTTTTAGTGACGTTTTAGTGCATTTAACCCCTTGAGTAGCATGGGATCATGCAAACTGTTAAAAATATCCATATTACTTCTATTGTTTATATCCTGAAATTTCCCTTATTTTCAATGTTCAATGTTGATAGCTATGGACTGGATACGGTAAAAGTTTAATATATCAACTTGCTCCGCTGGTGGGAAAACGCATGGGACTCAGCCGTCACCTTCTTCGTTTCTCTGATTGGTTGTAGCGCTATCCAATTGCGTGCAGAGAGAATTTGAAAGGCGTTTATCCCGCCCCTCGGATTGAGCCCTGTCAATGATGAGTTCCCAGACCTAACATCTTGATGTAGGTCTGGCGTGCCAGGCTAGCGTTGTCCTGTTTATTCGACGGACTCTCCACGTCCACCGCATTACTCAATGAAAAATAACATATCAGTGTTTTTAGTAGAGTGTCTGGAAATGAATGAGATCGGCCCAGAAGATGTCCGATGAAAACTGGCCATGTAATTTTAGAAAGGATTGAAGGATGTCAGGCGCTTTTGGTGACGTGTGATCATGCATAATGCTAATATGTGTGGTAAAAAAATAAACCAATAGCAATGGGAAACTTTTGTGTTGTCACCCATCTGAAGCCTATGCCACAGAGCCATATAATGTGTCCTTGAGCAAGACACTTAACTCCTAGTTGCTCCAGAGGCGTGCGACCTCTGACACACACAGTATGTAGCAATTCACCTTTGGCTAAGCCCCGCCTCCCTTAGTTACTGTTGCTACGTCCGTCAAACTTCATCTGGGCTCTGGTTTGGTATCAACATGGCTTATGCTTTGACAGCTCTTCCTGTTGAAATGTTATCAAACTTTTATAAAGCAGCAAATAAAGTGTCCGATAGAAGTAGGCAAAAGGGACTGGAATATGCATTCGAAGGGAATATTCAAGACATACAGGTGAAACTCAAGAAACAACAAGGCATCCAAAATAGAGGCAAAAGCATAACGTTACCGGTCACAGTCAAAAACTGAACCACCGCATTTCCTACTAATCGAGACGGAGACTGAGACTAACATCAGGGAGCAACACTGTTCATGCAAAGCTGGGTAGGTCTCTATTCACTTCTATAATCGTTATTACAAAGCAAACGGACTACACGAGTATAACGTTGTATTTATTAGCAGCGTGTGCTAGCGTGTCAACAACCGGTATGAGAACCGAAATCATAACCTAAAACATTATAAAACTGTCTAGCTAGTATAACTTCACACTCACAGTAAGGTTAGAAGTAAAAAAAGTTGTGCTTGTTGATCTTTGCGGGGTTTACACAGTTTAATCCAAAGACGACGTGCACTTGTCAGGATTTGACTTCGGTTTTGGGAAGGGAAAAAACGGACACCCCCCTCCAACCTCTCTGGGAAACGTGTATCTGTGTTACAAATGCCCCAGGCACAACGTTTAACCATATTTTGGGTAAAACTACGACGGTAATAGCCTGCCGAGACCAAAAAAATGAGACGCCTGTGTTGAAAGTCAATGAAGCGCTGTGAAAAAGTGTCGGACCTCTGTGGGAGCTCGTTCCCGGCAGCACTGTGATTGGTCAATCTACATTCTAGGGCGTGGCTTAGCCAAAGGTGAATAGTAAGTCGCTTTGGATAAAAGCATCAGCTAAATTAATAAATGTAAATGTAAATGTTTAGATGTCAATGTTTTATTGAAAATGTTTGGTCACAAATATAGTGATCAGTGTTTCCTTCAGTTGGGCAGTTTGACTTTTTGATTATATTATTTTCCATTGAGACGGTAATCTACTGTAGAAAAACAATACATTCTGGGTTGTATTTGTAGTTAACACCATGTTCATATGGAAACCAGCAGCAGGGCGTTAAAGAAACAGATGCAGTGTTAGAGTTAATTCGATACTTAAATGATTAATTGAGTGATGATTGGTTGATTATTGAAGACACCCCTCCCACAAAAAAAAAGAAAGAAAGAAAAATTGTAATGTTACTGTCTAACAAAAAATTATTTTCTATATGAAGTTTAAGTTTTTTGTAGTTTATTGTTAGACTGATGCCACAATGTTCTTGGTTTCTGTTCATAATTATGGTCATTATTGTGTGTCATCATTATTATCTAACACACTAACCTTTCCGTCAAAACATTAATTGCTTACCAATACTGTTAAAAAGTTTTTGAGTGCTTTCCGTGTTCATTTGCATATTCATTTTTTTTGAGTTAAGGCTATATATGGTGGATCTGTTATGCAACTGCACAGGTGGGAGGAACTGGAAGTCTTTTTCAGTTTAAGCAATAGTGTGGCTGAGCAAAACAAATCCTACACACTGCTCTACACCCTTCCTGAAAACATCATTCGCTCTGAGCTCGGAATTCCAGAGCCTAGGGCAGAACAAAGAGATTCGGTCAAACCTAGGAAGAGAAAACTGCTCAAAGGTGAGTTGTTATCCTTGGAGGTGAAGTATATCGATCATTTATATCTTAAAAACTCAGTTTAATTGTATTGTAAGTCTCTTAAAAGCTATCAAGATGTGTATTTCAAAGGGACAAGATTTCTCTCCCAAACAGGTCTAACAAGTCTCTTATCTCTTATAGGTCTTTGGAAACAAAACATATTATAGCATAGTGGTGCGTCATCTCACCAGATGCCAGATGTGACACTTTTATCTGTTTTTCTTTATATATATTTTTTACAGCTGTAAAAATGCCACCACCTCGTGTGAACAGAATAGCCAGGGATGAACAGCCCAAAGACAGAACGGGCACTCTTGACGTCCCTTTGAAATTCTTGGATCAGGACTACCAGGAGTTGAAGAAGAGCTGCCTCACCAATAAAAGGAGATTTGTTGATGAGAAGTTCCCTTCAGACAGCAGCTCCATTGACCCAAAGAAGAAACTTGGATTGGATATGGAACAAATCAAATGGTTGAGGCCATCGGTAAGTCTTGTATTGACTTTCTATCTTCAGACCTTCAGAAACTTTCAAGAAGAGTTTAGACATTATTGTTCGAGCGGATCTAAAATAACTTGAATATTACCTGTCTTCATCAAATGTTGCAAAATGTCTCTTAGGGCTTGTAAGGACAGGTTTATCTGTAGCATTTCCCAACTTATCTTTATTTACAATTGTGGCAAGGCATCTTAAAGGCGCAGTATGTTAGATTTTTTTTTTTATTAAAATGTCCAAAAACCACTAAAACAATGTTATATATTGTGTTGACATGTTTCCAACAATGTTTAAATAGAGAGGTATCAGGTATTTCAGTGTAATGGCCCTTGTCATTTTGTCGTCAATCAATGACATATCCATATCACCAGTATAAGACGCTTTAATTATGGCACGAGTGTGTGTGAGGATCGACCCTAATTAAAGTATGAGGACCCTCTTGGAAATTGCTCTGTTTTATATTGTTTATAATATGTGTTTGATAATTATTATGCTTTAATTTGAGTTTTATTATATAGGTGAGCAACTGTTTGGATACTTTTATTGACCGAAAACTAATTATTATACAGTATAGTTCAACATGGTTAGTCCTATTGCTTGAAAATCTTGTTTTCTTGATTTACTACGTGTAACATGTTTGTACAATGACTCACAGACAATGCTATTTTGTCAAGTGGCTGGCATGGCATAATCAAAAAGAGCTTGTAGTGACGGTATAGCATTTTCTCCACCATACAATATATTTTAAAATTAAATGCGTGTCATTTAGCAACAGCTTTTATATATTATATTCTAATATCGATCTAAGTTACTGCAATGTGCAACAAGTGTCTCATACCACCCATCGAGCGAATGCACAGAGTAACGTTAACATAACTTTCAACACACTCATATGTATTTTAGTAAGATTGTAAAACAGCGCTGTTACACCCAGAAATTTTTATTTATCAGATAAAGTGACCTGAGAAGTAATTTTGCACTTGCGGCTGTTTTATTAGAAAATAAAATTAGGGGAATTTAAGTGATCCAACATAACTGTAACAAATTTTAAGTTCAAAAAGGAGGTGAACTTTCAATGTAACTTTAATAAAAACAGCGAGGTAAAATGTCCCACAGCTCTCGGTCCCGACCCTCTTCATACCACAATAACGTTAATAAAAGAAACACATTAGCTCAATCATTAGTCCCGTTGGATTGCTCATTTAAGACCACGTTCCACGTTCAGTGACGGCATCATCATGCTACGGCTTTTTTTTAGTTTTCAAACAGGACCTCTAGAGGCGTACTGTGCCTTTAAGTGTCTTAAAAGCAGATTCAAAATACATTATAAGAGTCTAAATGTCTACTGGTGTCCCAAATCTTTAGGGCAAATTTCATTATATAATGTATTAATTTAATGAATCTCTCTCTTTAGAAAATAGTGGCAGACCCTCAACTCATTGTTAAGGGTGTTTCCAGGTTTGACTATTCCCAAGGATCTTATTTAGGTATGTTTATATCTGTGTTTATTTACATACTCCAGTAAGTGTTGATTTTGAATTACACTAGTAAATCGCATCACTCCATACAGACCAGAATGTTCTTTGTTTACTCAGTGAAAGATCTATGTTTGCTAATGTTTGTGCTTTTACCATAGGAAACTGCTGGTTTCTTGCTTCAGTTGGAGCTTTAACCTTTAGGGATGATGTCATGGACCAGGTCATGCCAGATGACCAGTCGTTTGTTGAAGATTATGCAGGGATATTTCGCTTTAGAGTGAGAGA